TATATAGCCTCACGGAAACGGTAAGAATGCACAATGAAATAGTGAGGCTGTACAGCCTTCCCATTTCATATAGATGCGCGTGAGAATTAAGCGCCGGAGCTTCCTCCGAGCCCTCCGGACCAATCAGAAGATCAGACGTAAGAAGGGTGTATACGGAGTAGAAAAGGGGTGTACACCGAGTAAATATAGGGTGTACATTTAGCAGCGCCCTTTGCTATTCGGCCGACGCCTTTTTGCTATTTGGCCGACCCTCCCCCTGCAGCCCTATCACCGCATTCTAATTAGCTCGCTTACCGGGCCGACTCCTCCGGGGCATTCACTCTCACGTGTATTTACCCGTGCATTCTTTTCGATTTATACATCCTCTCCGTTTTTTATAGCTTTATATATAGCCTCTCCGTTTTGTATAGCTTTACGTATAGCCTCTCTGTTTGTATAGCTTCACGTATAGCCTTTCCATTTTATATAGCTACGTGCCTATATACCTACGTACCTAGGAGGATACCTAAACCATTAATTTCGCACCTAATAGAGGCCCTCTCTCCATCGCACCTGGCCTATAAGCACCTACGTAAAGTTATCATCTACAAGCTCCTCCGCATACTCATCGAATTCCTCATCAGCCACCTCACGAGCCACCTTACGAGGCTGCGGGCCTGTTGACTGCACTGTACTTCCTGCGACAGGCTGTAAAACTTCGTACCTGCGCTTCTAGCAGCGCAATCTTTCGCTCAAGGTCTGCCTTGGTATTCGTACGTCGCTTCTTTGTAGGACCTCCTGGTGTTGAGTTCTTAGGTGGCCTACCGCGCTTCCTAGGCGGCTGAGTGATCGCAAGCGCAGCTGTCGACAGAGTAGCGCTCTCAGTAGCCTCTCGCTGTATGCCTGCTGGTCCACCTCCGCGCCTACCTCCACCAAGAGCTGCACGTGCAAATACACGTGAGAGTGAATGCCCGGAGGAGTCGGCCCGGTAAGCGAGCTAATTAGAATGCGGTGATAGGGCTGCAGGGGGAGGGTCGGCCAAATAGCAAAAAGGCGTCGGCCGAATAGCAAAAAGGGGTCGGCCAGGTAGCACTAGCCTTAAGTTTAGGGGTAAATGCAAAATCCAACCCACTTCTACGCGAAAACTACTCAATCCAACCACCTATTCCTCGATTCAACCTGCGGCGATTTGCAAACCGTGGAAATATGCCATAAACTGCAATAATTTGCCGGAGCGTATCCTTTCCTACCCGTATATATTCGGTCCATACGGTCTCTACAATACAAGCAGATTGGACAATTACAACCTGAGTACCGGACTACAGGAAATCAGTGGAAGAGGTATATCAAGACGCCATGATTATGGCTTTCTAGTCAAGCAAAAACTTGTGTTTGCTTATCAGCGCTTCTCAGGTTAAATTATCTCTGATTTTCCTAGATGACTATCGAGCTGTATATATAGAAGGGACCACCCCCCAGGGGCTGGACACTACTCAACGCTATCCAGTAGCGTGGACCATGAAAGCTGAACGAGACGTTCAGCTGGCTTCTACAGATAATGTTTCCAGCAGTTTCGGCCACAGTGGGTGAACTAACAGCGCTCAAACAATGCGAATGCTGAGGTTTCTTCCTCCCTAGTGTACTGACTTCTCAGCAGCGTTACTAGGGATACCCGAGAGGCAAAAAATATCGAGGGTGAACTTCGACCAGCCCATTATCGACGATGCACTCTCAGAGGTTGTTCATGGTGCTCAAAAGGGGACTTTGAGGGTACCTAGAACACTCTTAGGCTGTATCACACGTAGTGAGAATTGCACTACCCTATACATGACCGAGGAAGTAATAGAGTTCCTGCAAGACATGCTTTTCTTTGAGCGCGATGCTATTATTGCCCCTTCTCTCCGCCTAGGCAGGTCCAAAGCGGCAGGGACATGTGAGAAGAGGAGGTCTTTGGAAAGGTATTTTTACAAGGCTCCCTTTTTTTGAGGCCGAGGGGCTGGAAGTGGAGTCCTGTGGACAGAAACTAACCACGCGACGGCGCGACCTGTCTAACCCCAACAACCCAGACTTCTTTTCCAACTTCGCGCTCTTTAAGGACTGGGTGCTGCAATTGATATTTGCGGATGAACCGGCTGCACCCGAGTCTCTCTGGGTCACGTCTATGTAAGGCTTGATGGGCTACGTGATGAACGACAAGGATAGACCTCGGATTCATGGCAAACGCAGATCAGCAATGTTGAGCTAGGGACGTCTTCTGCTTTCTTGATGGGTGTACTTCGCCAGTAGTGTTCAGGCTGGAAGCCGACGGGTCCTTCCGCCTGGTCGTTTGCATGGGTCTATGATGTCTCGCTGGACAAAAAGGATACCACGGAACTCGCTATAACTAGTGGATCTTCCTGTGAACTAGTTTGCGCGGGTCTGAGCTAGAGTCGGGGAACTCGCTCGCGATCAAGGGTTGGTGCAACGAAGCTTTTGCTTGCGGTAGAAGAAATTAGGCAAGGCTGTAGGTGTGAATTAGGTTCTTAGGTTCCTGCTCCATGCTACTACAGTTTCATCGGCGACTCAAGGTCCCCCGTCCCTCACGGTTCAGCCTTCTGATTCATGTCACGTGACACTCTACATCTACAGACAGTCACACTCCTAAGACAGCATGTTCCTTAGACGGCACGTTCTTAAAAAGGCATGTTCTTAAGACGGCATGTTCTTAAGACGGCATGTTCTCAAGACGGCATGTTCTCAAGACGGCATGTTCTCAAGACGGCATATTCTCAAGACGGCATGTTCCTAAGACGGCATGTTCTTAAGACGGCCATGGTCTTAAGATAGCCGTAGTCTTAAAAGGGTAGCATCTCAAGACAAGGGCGTTCTCTAGACAGGCATGCTCTTAAGATAGACTCGTCTTACTGACAGAACGTATCAGCCACTCGTGGCTTTACCCTTGCATGGATGATAAAGTGGCGCAGATTACGCTTGGGCTGTTTTCCATCGGAGGGTAAATTTACTTGAGAATTGAGGCCCTGAAACTGGAACCAGGCAGGCCCACGGGCCCAGAAAAAACTCCAAATCGACTGCAACTGCGATTTTATTTGTTGCCTCTCTGCCACTGTCTGAAGTCCCTCATCATATCTGAAAAAAGCCGAGCAAAATGCTTCAGAGCATCCTATGCGTCGAAAGTTGTGAATGGACTTATGCACGCCAAGCGTCCTAGCGCGACAGGGAAACTCGCCGGCCAAAAGTTCACCACCGAACATCGCGAATCCCTTCAACCAGCAGTCATGTTAGGCCCAGCTCGACGGCGCATCGCCTCATATTCGAACTATGAATCATTACCTTCTTTCCTTGTCCCAGCCTTTCAAGCCCCAGCGACCATGAGAAGCTTCTCAACCACCCCATCGTGCCTCTCCAAAATCGGCTCAGCGCCATTGTCGATTCCACCCGAAGTCACCTTTAATGTCCTCCCGCCCAAGATGATGTCCATTGGAAAACATGGTCGCGCGCAGCCATACCGAGTTGTGGAGATCAAGGGGCCACTGGGTACGGAGTCTCTTAGGAGGAGCGAAGGACATTATTGACAGTGTATAGGCGAAATATCTATGCCCATACCGCCCTTTATTACAATTGATCGAAGTACACCTGCGCCAGTTCTATCTATAGAAAACACGGAGGAGGCAAAACAAAAAGCGATGTGGGGTATGTAGACCGGTACGATAAGTGAGTAGGAAGCTAGGCTAATAGCTCCCAGGAACCACCCGCGCATACCTCCAAAACCACATTCTAGGCGTCTCAGAAGGCCATTCCGCTATCCTCCGCATGGTCGGTGTCGGATACCGCGCGACTGTCGAACCTACCGCGACCACCGTTCAGCCTGAATACCCGGGCCAACAATTCGTAAATCTGAAAGTCGGCTATTCGCATCCTGTTGAGCTGGGCATACCGAAGGGAGTGACAGCGAGCACACCGCAGCCAACGCGTCTCTTGTTGGAGGGTATTGAGAGGGAGGTTGTGATGCAATTTGCGGCGAAAATCAGGATGTGGAGGAAACCAGAGCCGTATAAGGGCAAGGGCATATTCGTCAATGGGGAGACGATCAAGCTGAAGAACAAGAAGATCAAGTAGATGCAAGAGGTACGGCTGTATATTGGGCTCATGGACTGTATTTGTGTATGTATCATATTGGCAAATGTACAGTATTGGGACGAATCAAAGGCCAGTCCCAATCTTCGATAACTTCATATTCTGTCTAGATCCTAGAAGCAGCAAGGCTCTACTTCCTTACCAGCTTGAAGTAGATATAGGCCACTTGCCAGATATCATCCTTTTCATCCTCAAGAACCTTCTTAATCATCCCCTGCCTTAGGTCTTCCAGAATTCCCTCTTCCCGCTCCGACATCACAGTCACATCATCGCTGCTATCCTCACTCCCTGATCTCAACGCCTTCACAAAGAAACCCGCAAAAGCCGCAAGTATCCAATCCACAATCCTCGTCGCAAACTCCCTCCTCAACCCCTCCTTCCCGCTCCCATCATCCTTCTTCAGCTCTTCCACCAACCACTCATACGCCGGATGCACAATCGTCTTCTCAAAGCAGCTCTCCACACTCCAGAGCTCTTTAACCTCCTCAAACACACTATTAACCTCCTCCATCGCCCGCTCATGCGCCGGCGGATCCATGGCCATGATATTCTGCGGCGTCATCCGCCCCGCGGCCACCATCGCCCCAATCGGCCCCATCATAAGCCCTATGATGCTGCTCGCGATGTGCGAGCCCTCGCCACATGGCCGGGCGCTAGTGCCGGCGATGAAGGCGCCGCCTTTCTTGATCTCCCTTGCGCGCAGTGCGAGCACTTTCACGAGATCGGCGTGGCCTTGCTTGACGTTGCGCACTGCCCGCTGCCGCACCATCTCGCGTAGGTCGGCGGTTGGCGCGAGCGGCATTTGTGTTTCGAGGTAGTTCAGTGTGGACCACGCCATGCCGACGTCAACGGTGTTGTCAGGGACGATCTGATTGAAGTAGCTGATTGGAACCATAGAGGGAAACGTGTGGAGCTCGCCATTGCGGTTCAGGTCGGCTTCGCGGTCTTTGATGGTGCGGCTGAGGGTCGTGAAGTCGTTCTCTGGACGGTCGTTGAAGATGAGTTGGACGCTGGAACCGGAGGGGATGGTAGCGAGGAGGGTTTTGAGGGGGATGATGGAACTGCCGCCTTGGGAGCAGCCGTAGTCTACGATTACGGGAAGTTTTTGGGTGGAGAGGGAGGGGAGGAGGGAGAGGGCGGGGAGGACTGCAACTTGTTGGAGGGAGGAGTTTTTGTTGTAGTTCCCGTCGCCACGCATGACGACTTCGTTTTCAGCCATTGTGGAATGTTGAAAGAGTTTGAGAGTGCTTGAGTTGAAGGGTATGGAATGAAAGGAGGGTGGTGTACTTGTTGATTGCAAAATAGCTGCACTCTGGAGCTATCTATACAGATAGATCTCGGGGTTAAACTTGCGAAACCAGGGGTACCACTAACCCCACCTACAGGGACCCATAATAGTGAACAAGGTTGTAGGGACGGGGTGTGACTATCTACAATAGATGCCGGGTGAACTAAGACTGGACCATGATCGGATGCCTGCTGCAAAGGTAGGCTCTACTCTCGTATCCGTTTGCTCAGTTTCTTGAACGTTTAAAAGCAAAGAGTGCCACTCCGGCAACCTAACAACGAAGGTGCAAGCGATGCTGGCTGCGGACTTCTTTGGTTGTGAAATAGCACTTATCCGGGAACCTGCACACTGCATAATATTCGCAAGAGAAGCATGAAGTCTTGGTGACTGTGTGGTTTCACCGTGACGGATCTGATATACTACAGTGGAGCTGTGTCCCCGCCAGGAATCCCTTGTCCTACTTGTATGGGTGGCCGGAGTATCAAATTGGGCCCATTCCTGAGTAATGCGTGATGATGAAAGTGCTGACAGGGAATGAGGCTGGGAAATGCTCAAGGGAATTGAATCCGGCTAGTCCCGTGTAGGACGCGTTCAGTGCTTTCACAGTTCCATCGTGCTGTTGTTAGTATAGGTAAATCTCAAGTGAGGGTTTGCTCTACACACGCACCTCATATACAAAGGTAGAAAACGGAACGAAATGCAGTATTTTGATCACGTGATACCGAGCTAGCGTGTTTTGTTCGCGTCTCTCCCGATTCGAAGCACCCCTCAATACTCCGACCATTCCTCCAACTCCTTCGAGACTAAGATATCACAAAATGGCATCTCATCAACGCCAACCCGGCCGCCCCTCGGGTGCTGCCTCTGCATCGGCCACCCTCCCGCCCTACCAACAGCCATCGCATCCTCTCTCCATGAGCGCACAACAGGCCCTCACCACCCTCTCCAACACCGTTTCCCTCGCCAAGTTGAAAGCCCACTATGCCAAGATCGAAACCTTGATTCCGAAAGGTGCTGGCGAGGTGAACGACGTTCTATATACGCGACAGGAGCAAGCAACACAGCGAAAAGCGCGTCGCGCAAGGAAAGGATTGGAGGAGGAGGGCACAGATGAAGAGTTGGAAGAAACAAAGGAAACTATCGAAGGCATGACGAGAAAGATGGAGGCGGCTATGCGCAAGGCCATTGATGGGAGGGTCATTGTGGAAGATATAGAGGAGGGTGTTCAGTACCTGAGGCAGAATGCGCTGCGGCTGACACAGGCTGAGAGCCAGACTCAACTAACTCAAAGGAGCCAGCAAAGGCGAAAGGGTAGGAGGAGCGGGAAGGTGGAAGGATCCGGAGAAGACGACGAGGATGAGGAAATGGCGGATGACGAAGAGTATGATAGCCCGGGTCCAACGCCGCTGAATATGGAGGGCATCGAGATCACTGGGCCAAGCAAGATGTTCAAGAACAGGCTACAGGAGAAGAAGGACAAGTGGCAAGTGGCATCGCATTCAGCACGCTACGCCGAGAACAACTCATACATCGGATTCCGTCAGATTGTTCATGACGCTCAGCACCCAGGTGGAGACATACTCCTCCCACATGCCTCTACCTGGTTCACCGAGAGGGGAGAACCTGCACTTGGGGTCACAGTAGGTGCTACTGCTGGAGAAGACGATGACGACGATGTTATGATCGCGAAAGACACCATCAGCACAAAGTGCCCGCTCACTTTGAGGGAGTTCAAGGACCCTGTGTCTAGCCGCAAATGCCCACACAGCTTTGAGAAGGAAGCAATCATGGGGATGATCAATGGTAGTGGTGCAAGATTGGGTACAGGACAGAAGGTGGTCCAATGCCCAGTGTCTGGATGCGACAAGGTAAGCAGCTCAAGTTGCCCTGAAAAGGCCCACGTTCTAATTGCCAACTTTGTAGATGCTATGTGCTGCAGACCTGAAGGTCAATCCCGTTCTTCTCCGCGTAATCGAACGCCTACGGAAAGCAAAAGATCAAGCATCGGATGATGAGGATGATGTTGACGCGACCGACCGACCTTCAGGCTCCTCAATGCAACGTGCCGAGTTTCTCGTGTCAAGTCCTGTCAATACGGCACGCGCAAGTACAAATCTGGCATCAAGGGCTAGGAGTAGGATGCCTGAGCAAGAACCGCCACAGAGTTCCATTGTGTTGGATCTCGGAGGAAGTGATGATAGTGATGAGACGGAGGAGGAATGAGGTCATGATATGATACCATAGATTGCAATTATCAACCTGTCTGCGGCATTTACATTCTGAGTACGCGCGATAGCAAAACCGTACTAATCAACCTCATATAAATCTTACTACAAAAGTACCTTGTGAAGCACAACTAGATGTGCGGGTATAAAGGCCCGTTGGGATCGACATACCGGATTTATAGTACCACGTGATTTAATCTCAACAGCCCAACTCCCCGGTCTGTCTCGTACTGGTGTAACATGAGGTCTCGGCCACATGCATTCAGGAGGGGTGTTAATGCCACCTTGCGTGCTCGCATCGTCGCGTCTGTTCACTACCCACCACACCTGTGGATCTCACTTCAGAGCCCTGATCCCTAGCGCCTCATGCTAAGAACCACATTGATTGAAGCTTGTGGCCCGTCTACCACTCATTACCTATTCTAAGGAGCTGTACCGTATTGCCCGCCTCGGCCCTCCCATCTTCGCACCGATTCGCATGCACCACTTTCTACCCTAGGTTTTCTCCAATGCAACGATCGCTACACGACCAGGCCAGCTCTTCGCTCGGCTCTGTCGATCTTGCATCAGCTCTGCACATGTCATCGGCACAATCTCACATTGATGCTTTTCGATTCCTCGACCTACCACCTGAGATCCGAAACGAAATCTATAAGAACCTCTTATGCACCTTCGAGGCTCGAGATCCTCAGGCGGAAACGGAGTATTCATTCCTCGAAGAAGCAGCCATACCCGAGGAAGAAATCAGTCCTGGAGGAGGCCGCGAAAGTGAAACTTCTATCGACGCTATAAAGGTCAAACACTCTATCGAAACCCAAATCCTCAGGGTATCAAAACAAGTCTATCACGAAGCCTACGATGTGATGTTGAAGGAGAATCTCTTTGTAAGGATCACATGTAATAGTACGCAAGTTGGAACCGTGGTTTTGAAAGACGTCCCGGTCATCACCATGAACCGCAGACATATCCTCGCTTTCGATGGGTATGCAATGCATCACTGCATGTACGCCGACGACGCATCAGACACGGTCACGGAATTCATGCTCCTCCACCGCGATCTAGATCTATTCTGCGACTGGCTTGTTCATGCTAACGTATCAATACCATATTTCACGGATACCTACGAGCATATTCTTACCTTGTTCGATCGTCCCACATCTATGTACGCACTCACTACACAATTTCAAGAACGTCTCCTAAAATGTTACACCCGGGGAGACTTAAATGGATTCCATCGCTTCCAGATTTGTGGCTCTGTGGATCACACACTTTGGCGAAGTGCGCTGGCTACTATTACATGGACCTTCACAAAACCTGAAGAGGCAATCGGATTTTTCTCAAGTGCATGGTATCAAATGAAAAACGAGGCCGCAGATAGAGTTGTTGGAATTTGTCACAGGTACATCGGCCGAATCATCTCTCTTAGGCATAGCAAGACCTGGGATGCTTTGCTTGCGAACGGAAGCCCTGAATTCCGCCGACGTATTGTATCTATCGCGCATTCGTTCTGTTGCTTTGCATTTCTCTTTCCAGTAGACCTGGATGAGGCTCTTCTAAAGGAAGCTTCCCGCAAGGCCGAGTGCGAAATCTTCACCTTCCACCTGTATCGTTATCTTCGGAGGAGTTCTGTTAAAAGGATTCAACTCGCGATAACGATGCTTCACAAGCTTGGCGACGCATTCCATCGGGATGGTTTCAAAGAATATCCCAGGACATTTCGCCTCATCCACGATTTCTTGTGTCGATATCGTTCGAGCTGGAAAGATTATCGCGCACAAGTCAATGAGCTACTGAAGAGATACAATGAAAAGACTAGTGCTGAAGGGAAAACATCTGATTTGATTAGCGCGCAAAAGGAGTGGCCGCTGAAGTATGAGGCGTTCATAGGAGGTATGGAGAATCCCCAGATTACAGATCAATAAAACTCTCAGGACTGATTCATTGGGTCTTTAGGAGTGAACTACCCAGCCATAGGTTAAGCTACACTACTGGTCGTGTTGCTCATCTTCACTAGTCCAGCGCTGCAGTTCGACGGTTGGAATCGAAATGGTCCTTGTTCTGATCCCGTATACACAAGTCCCCATCATACACCCGCGTACACTTCCTTCCCGTTCTTTAGGGCGGTTCCAGTATATTCTCAGACTTTTGGGACGATTCGAAGGCTCACTATTACAAGCGATCTGTAGACTTCCTAAGCCGCCTCGAATAGTGCCGTCTTCCCTTTAGATAGGCTAATTACCTACAGATTATTTAAGACAAGTTGAAACACCACCGCCAAAGGTCGAAGAGTGCACACATATTGCGGCTACTTCGCGCAATATTTCGGTCCTCTGTTTACAGCTTTGATAGATTTCTCGTCACGTCCATTTTCGCTTCCCTAGAAATTTTCTTAGACAGTCGCTAGATGTACAAGCTAGCGCTTCTTTTTATTTGCGCCCCAAGGAAGACAATTCATCAAGTAACTTCGGGTGGCTCGCATTGAAATCTGAATTTCGGATATGCTTACATAACGGTTGACCGCCTTCTTTGGAACAGTCACCACCTGGTTCCTGTGTACCAGGGTACGAGATGATCAGAGCGCTCCTTTACTACCTACCTACGGACATATACCCATGGGTGTGATTGTGCTTAGGCGTAACTCAACCTGGGTTGAAGCGAGCATCTATGATTCAGGCCCAGAATCTCACACTTTAAATATTCGAATACCCCAAGTTCTCTGCTGCAACTCTCAAACTTGACAGTAAGACTACCTCCCTATCCTCACGCATCACACTTCCTGAATAATGTCTCTCTGTAACAGCGCATGCCTGCTCCTCATTCCTCTACTGCTCGGACGCATCGCCGCCTTCCTTTGGACTACGACCCAACAGCTCCATAGGACCAATATCTACCCAAAACTGCAAGAGTTCGGCACGTCAGCACTACAAAAGTACAAAGTGTCCCGCCCTTCCGCGATGTCCCACGATGTCCTCCGCATTCCCTCCAAGGGAGATACGATGGCCTCTACATCGACCTTCCGATTCTTCGACCTACCACCAGAACTCCGGATTATGGTTTACAAGAATCTTGTGTGCGAAACAGATCGCACCGATCATGGAATTTTTGAGGATCCTTATTCTGTCCGCAACCGCGTGGGAAAGGCTGCTCCTTCCATCAAAACTCAGATTCTGACAGTCTCTTAAAAAGGTTACGGCGAGGCCTACGACGTGATGATCAAAGGCAATCTTTTTGTGCGAGTCACTTCTCGGGGTCTGGACTTGAAACAGTTCCTAGTCGAGAAAGACATACCAGTCGTAACTATGAACTCGCGATTAACTTCGGCCGTCAAAGGATATGTCATGCAACATCACTTGCGCGGCACCGGCTCAACTCGGATTGTAACAGCTACAACCTAGGATCAACAACTCATACGGTTCACGGTCACCTACGGACAGCGTGGCGAGGTCCTCTGTTCAGCTACACCAGGGTCCTCTCAGCTGGGTCCGTTCCTTTCAGCTGGCCTCTATTCAGCTGAGCTGATAGACCTAGGGGGTGGGCCATTTCCTATTAGTATATATTCGGCCCATACGGCCACGACAATACAAGCAGAGTTCACATCAATTTCAACCTGAGTACTCAAGTCCACGTTATGATTTGATGCTTCTCTACCGAGACTTGGACAAGTTCTGCGCTGCTCTCGGCGAAGGAAACAAAACCTATCGGGACTGCAAACATTCCCTCGACATGAAAAATATCTTCACGGTGGCCACGTTTCCGCGTAAATACCAGGAGCTACTACTGCGCCCTTACATCACGCATCTTCACGGCTTCCCCCACTTCCAAATACCCACTTATGTCAGCTCTGAGCTTGGCCAAAGCGCACTGACGTCTATCAAACATCTTGCCTGGTCTCATCCGGACAATGTCATCCAATGTTTTACCCAAAAGCATGCTCTCGCAGTCGCGCAGTTCCTCGCCAACGATTACACAACAAGCCCTCAGAACTTGCCAGTCCGCCATCGCGCAACTTTTCTACCTGAAGCAGAGCGGGGACTGGAACACAATAATCATTGTTGGAGGCGCTAAATGCGACCTACCTTACCATGTGGCTTCTCTCGTCTATGATTTTCATTTAACTCTTACCCGATGCACTTTATCCGCAATGCGATTTTCTGCCAGCCAAAACGACCAGGCAGCGGTAGAATCGGCGTATTCCTCTCTTTGGGCACGGAGCGACGGCCCACGAGATCCGGACGTGATGTGGAATATGTTCAAATCAGACAGGAGTCGCATAAGAGAGGGGGAGACGAAGCTTGCATGGGCTGAGATGTTGTGTATCTGTCGCAACCCCGACGACTTGACGAGAGCGAAAGATGCAATTCGAGAAGCTTCCCATCTTTTGCCTAGAGTTGAACCTAGAGACGAGCGAATCGAAGAAACGCTGAAGATGGTTAAGAGTTGGGAGAGGGAGATAGAAACTGATCGTGCTACCCAAAGCCTCGTTCATCTCATGGGGGGAATCTTCGGTCTACAGCCTTAAGCTCTACCTCAAATGGGTACTTTCACGTTTTGTCTAAGAGCTGATGGAGACCCATTTTCATTACTTCCAGCAGTTAGGAGCTCACTAAACGATCTCACCATGTTCGTATTCGCTTCGTCTAGTTCTATGTTTTCCGCTTGTTGGATGCAATTTCGTTCTTACTCTGGTTTCACATTGCGTCACTCCGTTTTTCCAACCCAAATCCTACTTCCTGGCATTCCGACTTCTCAAATAATCCCCCATGCCCCCATCGTCTATGGACTCCACATGACGGTTCAAGCCAGATTGTCTCGACGGAGAGCTTTCTTTGCTCGACTCGGCAGAAGATGTGGAACTCGATGTAACCGCACCGAAGCCTAGCGACGAGAGTGCAGAATAGAGCGTCGAGGTCAGATACGATACGTTCTCCGATGCCGAATCCTCAGATGTTTCTGATGATGGCGTGGCTGAGACGTCTGATGAGTGCGTCCTATCCAGACGGTGGTCCTCGGGCTGTTCTTCCGTTGTCGTCGTCGGTATCGGAAGATTGGATGGAGTGCCGTTGGCAACGTTGACATCCCTATTCTGAGCATCCTCCACATCTAAGACCTCTCTCGGCTCGGGGGCCACACCGTTCGTCACGGGGAACTCTTCCTTTTCCCTACTTGCAGAAGTTTCCTCCATGGACTCCTTCCCGCCCGCGCTCTTCTCAGCTGCCAACGCCTCCTCCAGCTTCTTCCCAAAGAGCAACGTAAAAACAACAACCAACCCCACCTCCCCCGTCTCCCGATCTTTGAGCACATACCTCAGCTCATGCGTCTTGTCATCGATATACCGCACTACCGAGATCGAGAACCCGGGGAGCTTCAATGCAAAGTCTGCCGTCATTAGCACCTCTACCGATACAACCACCACTCTCACTCTTCCACAAACTTACTCGCAAAATCCAAATACGGATTGAAGAAATCCCCGCCATACCTCCTCCCCTCCTCAAACACAAACCCCTCCAACCTCTCCCTCTTCAAAAAGTGCTTCCGCCGCTTATTCGCCGCCGCCGGCACGCCCAGCTTCTCTCTCACCTCCGCACCGCTCCCATCACCACCTTCCTCAATCACTCCCCCCTGTTCCACATGGACGCCGCCATCGCGCTTCTCCCCGACCCGAAACGCAAAGAAACTCGACAACGCCGGCCCGTACAGAAACGGCGCGTCCGAGTACGGATCCGCATAAAGCCCCGGATCCAGCAACGTCGTCGCGATGCGCATCGCCGTCTTGAACCCCGGCGGCAGCCTATCCCTAATGCTATGGTCGAAATCGAAACCGGTCACCAGATCCTGGCCTGGGATGTCGCGCTTCGGGACGAACGTGTACCCCACGCTGTGCAGATCGGACGTGTGCAGCGGGTGCGAGAAGTAGCGTTCGTCGGTGGGCGGCGCGGAGGTGGGGAGGCCGTTGTAGCCGCGGATGCGCACGTTGAGGTAGGCGTCCATGAGGGGGGTGGAGACGTGGGTTGGCGCGCTGCTGTTGACGGAGACGAGGGTGTGGGAGGAGGTGGCGTAGGTGGGGCCGGCGGTGACGCGGAGGAGGTATTTGTCTCTTCGGGAGGGGTCGGGGACGGAGGTAGAGGGGGAGGGGGTGCGGGAGCGGGAGGTGGTGAGGGCGGATTTGAGGGCGGAGGCCATGATGGTGTGGTGGTGCTGGGTTTGAGGTGGTACTTCAAGGTAGTGCGGAAGAGGTTTTGGGAGTCGTAGGAAAGTGCTTGCAAATTATTTTTCGAATGTTTAAGAATTCTAGGAAATGTTTAATAGTCTAAAGGTATCAAAATAGAAGTTTGAAATAAACGGTCGTCCTTGAAGGTGGGAATTATGGGGACCTTTTTTTTTTTGGCGGGGGGGATCTAAGTCTTGAAAGTGCATACCAATTGCTACCCCAGCGCCCCCCATATTATAGAATCGGACATCTGACAGTTCCAGAATTTGAAACTAGTATTAGAGGCATAGCAAAGCCACAGTCGTCGTACCTACGTCCAACTCGCAGGCCGGTCGGGAAACTCGGTGGAGACCGTAACACGGTTGACGCGTGCGTCGTTTCGGCATGCCGCAGGTCATGACGGCATCGGAAGCTGTGTCAGCCACTTTGGCTGCGCCCTCATTGGCTAGGAATTTTCTTTTGGTCGTCCAATCATGGTTTGAGTTAAACTCTCCGTCATGTGATATGCTTTCACTATGAATTTTGCACAGCGTCTTGGGATCGAATTCTCTCGGTGACGGTTTAGGCAGTCCCTCAAAACTACCCCTCCATCCTTGGTCCGAGCTTCTTGCCGTTTTCGGTAATCTCGTCGCCAAAAAGTGTCGAGCACCGAGCGACCTTACATCTGACTACAAATTAATTCGTGTAAATTCAACAACGAGGTTTGAGAGCCTATCCGCTGGCTCAATAGAAGAGAAGATTGACGCGAAACTTTCTACCGCATCAGAAATAGAATAAACGTTGTTGGGGTGGAGGTATAGCGGTTGAAGCGGATACGCGTTAGTTTTGGCCAAGACGGGGACGGCAATGGAGGGGAAGCATGTTTTGGTGGAAAGACGCCATTGTATATCAAAGGCTAGATTGGGAGCAAAGTCGTGCGGTTGTTCATTCCCGGCATAGAATGGCTTCACGGCCAATAGGATCGTGTTTTCTAGCTCCCAACGACCCCTTGCACTCAGAGCTAGCCGCTCGACGGCGGGTCGTCCCGCCCCCCGCGCCTAACATCATACTCTCACCATCTTTTGTTCGCCTTCTCATTAGCATGCGCCGCAGACGTGCATGAGATCCGTTCTCATGGCTACGAATCCGCCTTTCGCACGCGCCGTAGGGCGCTCTGCTGTGCCGCATGCATTCGCCGTAAAGCCCTGACTCTTGAAAATGCCAGATCTGTCTCGATTCCTCATGAACTCTGCGCGATTTAAGCCGTCCTATAATGATTGCAAACTCTCTATATCAAAGACGCATTCAATTTGCGATAGCCGGGCTTGTCGCTTTCTCCTTGTTTCTGCTGTATTTCCGACACGAAATCTCATCTGCATCGAATGAACTCCCACATGTGAGTGGGACGTTTGCACAGAACGGCTTGTTGGAGAACGTACAGAACCAAACGCTAGGGGTAATTTTGATTTTCTTCTTCACATTTTCTTACTCTGTGCTTCCAAACGGATCCTCACACAGCGTCAGTTCCAGAAGCTCTTCGTTCTCAACCTTCCCTCTCGGACAGATCACAAAGATGCCGTCTCGCTGGCTGCCGCCTTAAGCAATCTACAGCTGCATTGGATAGATGGGGTCAAGGGCGCCGATGTGCTTCATAAGGCACTGCCTCCAGGAGACTACCAAATCCCGCCTGATGGCGTCAAGGGATGCTGGAGGGCACATATGAATGCTCTTCTAACGTGCGTACTCGAGAAATTCCTAGCTTTGTTTCGCCCGCTAAAGAAATGCTGTAGGGTTATCCAACAAAATGTTTCCACAGCCCTTATTATGGAAGACGATGTAGACTGGGACATACGAATCAGAGATCAACTCCATCGCTTCGCTGTCTACGCCCGCATCCTCACACAACCTCTCTCGTCCAACCCCTCTGAATACGCCGACCCGACATTCCCGGAACCAAAACTAGAAGGTCAGATCTTGAACATCCCCCTCGAACACGTCCCCAGCACGATCGCCCCCTTATCTTCTCCCTATGGCGACAACTGGGACCTCCTCTGGCTCGGCCACTGCGGCATGCAATTCCCCAAGCCCGAAAACAAGCCCCTTAATCCCCTAGGCCGCGTTGTACACTCGAACGACCTCACCGTCCCCGAAAAGTAGTTCATCTACTTCTAATGGGGCTTCGAAGACCTTGCTAACGACTATCCCGCCCACGCTCGGGTCGTACACCACGCCACGGGTGGCGTCTGCTCGCTGGTCTACGCCGTTTCCCAGCGGGGTGCACGTCGGTTGCTCTACGAACTAGGCGTCAACAAGTTCTCTGCAAATCTAGATATCATGCTGCGCGAGTTCTGCAATGGGGCGAACGGGCGCGTGCATGGGACGCGTCTGACGGTGCAACCGCAGCTGTTCCAGCACCATCGGCCGAGGGGCGCGAGGAAGGGGTTTAGTGAGATTTCGGATCATAGGGAGAAGTGGAATGAGGAGCCGTATTCGAAGCATCTGCAGTGGAGTGTTCGGATGAACTTTGGGAAGATGGTCATGGGGAGGACGGATTATGTGGGTCAGTGGCCGGCTGGGGGGAAGGACAATGGGCTGCCTAGTAGATAGATCTGATGAAGGGTGAGCGTTACTAGAGCCGCATCCAAAATGATTTCAAGGGACTCACCCATCATTCCCTTCCAGGACTTATATAGTTCATTTTGTGTACCGCTGTCACTTCCATTATGTTATTCGCCACCCATCACAGTGCCCGCTTCAGATTTTCTTAGAATGATGTACAGGACTAGTACATGAGTTTGCGCACGTCGCCTTTTTCATCTCGTCTTGATTTATGATGATGTGCTGAAGCACCACATAGAGTAGCAAGTAGGCCGACCGTCAGTATGTGCATTGTGTCTGATTCAAGCTCTCACGGACTTTACATCTTATCAAATCGTTCAGAATACATTGTAACACCTCCAACGGTGGCGAGCAAGTGTGCCCAAACTTTTGGCAAAGCACTATACATCATCCTACAAAGGTATCAGCGCAGCACTGCCGGATCGAGCGTCCACGTGATTAGTCATTCCACATAGGACACAATTAGGATAGAAATAGGTGAGTTGCCTCTGGTTTCAGAATTTTACATCCATACCATTCCTACTGTCTTACGTTTCGAATATAGAGATTGTCTCTCACATGACCTCGTTGTATCCTCCCGATCTCCAGTTCTAGAATATCCCAGCTCACCTCGAGCTCCTCGAACCCAAGAGATCGGGTCATCCGAACCGCTGCATTAGTTCCCTCTCCACGCAGCCGTCGCCTCACTTCTGGCATGGCTCGCATCTGTGACCCATGCGAGAAACGAGCTATCACTTTCTCTAGACGTCGACGGCGAAGCCGAACTCGGGAGGCCAGCGGGCCGCATTTGCCGCCGCCTCGACCTGCAGCCGTCTCTAAGTGCTCTTCAATGCCTTATCTCAAGCCCCAGATAACAAAAGGAGAAGGTGATGGTGTACATGTACATAGACGAGCGCCTCCCGCCGAGGTCTCTGCATGGTACCTCCAGACTGCCCTCAGTTCACCAACTGACCCGCCAACAATGAGCCCACGTACCCCTCATTTAGGGCACCCGGCAATTTCCACACCTCCCCACCCCGGCGAGAACAGCTATCCGATGTTGCGCATTGCATGATGCACATAGTATTGCGAATACCGTGTGGAGGGGCGGGTACCGCGGGTACTGGGTAGGGACTGCATCGAGTGCTCACTTCACAACACCAAGAGACCTGCCAAAAATACCATCAGACAGGTCACATTTGAAGCCCTGCAGGACAGCAGATGGCGTCAGGGCACAACCTCGGCCCGTCCCATTGACAGCCCGCCTCTGGGACGCGGCCGTCAGACTGGCCTCGCTTCCGGACGTGTGGATGCAAAGCAAAAGCAAACTACTGTGTAGTTCCGATCCGGGCTATGAATTCACTCACGCGCACAGCAAATTGTCGCTCGGCCTGGAGTGAATTGCACAGCCGCATCAGGCGTGGAGGCACCTCAGACGGCGGTCCACGCGGGTACACAGTCGTCACTTCCTTCATGTCCACCACGTCTATTTAAACCTCTGCTCCGGAGTTGCCTTTATCTTCTTTCCAATCCCGCAGCAGCACCACCTCTACAAGTCCAGCTCGTACTGCTGGCCCTCGGTCAATCGTCACACACCGCGAATCCAACTACTCTACCACACAATCCTACACCACTATACCACCGTCAGAATGGCCCCAGCTGCTTTAAGCACCCCACAACATGTTGCTATCAGCGCCACCAAATCGCAGCCTGCCTCAATTCCCGCCTGGGTGAAGCCCGATTTGGCCGCCCTCCTGCACGTTGAACACCGCTCCGGAGACTTCGCCGCATGCTCCGTATCACTCGTCTCGCTGCCCGCCGGTGCCATCTTCGCTCGCATCACCACTCCCACTATCGCCACGAAGGCCTACACCTCCGTGCAAGCCGGGCCGGACCTGCACATCGAGCTCAACTCCGACCTAGTCTACATCAACCACTCGTGCGAGCCGACCCTCATCTTCGACATGGCCCGCTGGGAGGTCCGCGTCAACCCGGCGCTGTCTGGCGGCCTGCAGCCTGGTATGGAGCTCACCTTCTTCTATCCGAGCACTGAGTGGCACATGGCGCAGCCGTTCAAATGCTTGTGCGGGACCGCGCAGTGCCTGGGGACCGTCAGCGGAGCGAGGGATTTGGGCGGAAAGCTGGCTGGCTACTATCTCAATGCTCACATCGAGGATCTGCTTGTGGAGCAGGCTGCACAAGGCGAGAAGAAGTAAGACGGCGCTCCGGGCTGACACCGTCAGAGGTCCTTCGACTTAGTATCAGGGCGAGAAGTCTGCGAAGGGCGGCGGTCTGGTTTGCAGCACGGTGCAGGGCGGAATTTCATTCAATATGGCTAAAGGCGGTAAAAGTTATCTCATGCATTTGCAGGCTGTGCGGTATATGGGAGGGTCTTGCTGGTGGCATGGCGTGGCGGTGGACTTATCTAGCCTGGAGGCCTTGATGGCGTTATGAGAATCTAACAATGCCTTACATTCACTTTGACATTGCTGGTGAAGCTGGGAGACGCCCCAGGCCTAACCATACTATGATGTCAAGTGTTACACCCTCGAAATCACACCTGGCTTAAGGGTGCTTTTCCCAACATCTATGTCCATCGGAGCCACCTCCGAGCTATCTCAAATTCAAAACCTACAATGTCAAGTTCCACACCCTTCAAATCGAGAACCGCTTTCCTAATTATGATCCTCCATCAGAAACACCTCCGACTTCAAAATCAAGCTTCAATTTTCCACACCACATAACACACGAGGGCACCTCAAGCCTACCTGAAATATCAAATCCCCCCAATGTAAAGTCCTACGTCCTTCAAATCAGACCCTGGGAGGTGATGTTGTGGTGCGGAGGAGTGTTGGTGGGCTGGGGGGTTACTTCGATGTGTTATGGGGGTTGAGAACGCACACCCTCAGAATCAGAAACCCGACTTTTCCAACCTCTGTTACCCCTGTGCCCCCATCAGGCCACCTCAGACGTTGGTATCACACAGTCCCCCACCCCTTTTTCTCCCGACAGCCACGTTGTGCGGCGATGCGGCTCTTTGGAGGTGTGGAGGGGTAATTCACGATGTCAGGATTTTGCGGGTTGGTGGGGGCGGGGTAGGGGACGGGGGTGGTTGTGATGTGATTGACATGTGACGCTCGCGTGACCGGGGAGGCGTGAGGCGTGAGAAATTCCTAATTTAATACTGTATTAGTGGCCAATCAGATGCTGCGATAAGAGCTTGCGTACACCTTTTCACCACCGCTTGAAAGTGCTCCGGTGGGTTGGTGGAGAGCTGGAGCGGCGTGTTCAATTGTGTACACAGGTCTATCACCGCCTGAGGTGGCCTGGCGAGGTATCAGGTTTGTCGCAATGATCAATATCTAATTTCTCTTAGGTTGCTGAAGACACTCAAGCGGCGATAGAACAATGTAAGGAGACTCATGTTCTGGTATCATAGAAGACGTAAATACAGGCACAATAGGTCTATGTACACCTCGCGAACACTGTCTGAGGGACTTCAAAGTATTTTCTGGAATATACGTCTCGTGAGTGACATACCTAGAGAGAATATCTACACCTTCGGTGAGGCGACGCAAAACGCGGTCTCTCGAAGATATGGTCTCCATCTCAAAGTTGTCAAAGGAAGATGGATCAATTGAGTCGCGGAACCAATCCGGAACCCCAATCGCCTCGAAATGCGTCTTGGGCGACCTCAAAAAGCCCTCCAAGCTGTCAATTCTGCTTCGAAGGCAATCCAACTCAGAAATCTGACTGTCGGCACTCCCGGACGTGGCAAAATCATGGCCCAACAACGCCAAGCCGTCCAGCGTGTCGCCCGATGACAGAGAAGGTGTACGGCGTCTCCGTTTATGCAGTGCCCGAGTCTTCCGTGAAGTGTGATGGACGGCCCTGCGGTTGGGGTCCCAGGGTCGGCTGTGCCTGGGTCCGAGGGTGAACCTCACGCGGGCGGGCCTCTGATGCCTGCAAGAATCATTTTGAACAGTCCATAGACTTGTTGGGCTACCTCAAACAGCGGTGCAGTGGTTCGAAATGTAGTAGGTGTGAGGGTACGATTCAGCGTGACTTCTAGACCCCTTAAGCAAACTCACTTACCACTGTCAGGAGTGCTCCAACCTATGACCTGAAATCCTAATTTGTTGTAACATTCCCGACGCTCCAATTCAGACCGGCACTTTTTCTTACCTTAAGCCACCGATACTAATGTCAATGATCCTCCTATGCTTTTGAAATTCTACTTGCTGCTCAGAACCTCAATGACCACTTTTAGGACCTCCGGATGGATAGCCTTCGGCGCAGCAACAACACCCTTGTTCCCCGACAGCGTCCTTCCAATACTGAAGTCCAACTTCTTCCCCCAAGCATCCGTGACTGTTCCTCCGGCCTCGCCCACAATAACGACACCGGCAGCATGATCCCAAATCTTCTCCTGGTACGTCTTCGAGATCGGCAGTCTCAGATACAAGTCTCCAGCCCCCCTTGCAATCGACGCATACTTCGCCTGCGAATCCATCCTCACACTCTCCTTCGTGATGCCCAACTTCCCCGCAATCGCCGCCTGGTCGCCATGGCTCGAATGCCCCGCCTCCACACTCTCACAGAACGTCGCTTGCGTGATATCCTCGAGCGGCTTCATCTTGATAGTCGTCCCCTCAGCCAACGCACCGCGTGTCAACGGCCGGCTCGTAGCTCCGTGTCCTAGAACAGCAGAGAACAGCACCCCCTTCCCCTCCGCGTCCGTCTGATCCGCCCCAATACTCGTATCCAAGCGCTCTTTATCGTCAACAGGCAGGTTCGGGCATCCCAGTACGCCCACCACCACCTCCCCATCCACCATCAGCGCCAGGCAGACCGCATACTGCCCGCCTCGCAGGAACCCCTTCGTCCCATCAATCGGATCCAGCGCCCAAATCCGCCCCTTCGCACCACCCGCACTCCTCCCCGCATCCAGTGCCGTCAACATGCCATCGACATCTTTGATCGGCCCGCCCAGCACAGCCTCCGCCTCCGCATCATCCAGTGTCGCTTCCTGCACCAGTTCCCAGATCTGCGAGCGCAGCGCCTCGTTCGTGCGCAGGTCGTCGGCATCCTCCTCGCCCACGACCTCGTCGGAGGGGAACGCGTGCTTGATGGCGGCGATGATGAGGGCCTGCGCGCCGAAGTCGCCGATGGTGACGGGCGAGGCGTCGGATTTGGAGAGGGTGCCTTTTGATTTTGCGGCGTAGACGCGGCGGGTGAGGAGGGTGGCGCGTTGGACGGCGAGTTGGGCGAGGTGGAGCTCGTTTTCGTAGGCCATGGTGGTGTAGTTGTGCTTTTTCAGGATGGTGGTGGTGGTGGGGGCGGGGTGGAGGAGGTGGGCGGCGAAGAGGGAGAGGCGGGTGGTTAGGCGCGAGGGGATGGTCGTGAGGGCCAGGATTGCTAGGAGGATTGAGAGGAGGAGGAGGGCTAATTGAAGAAGTGGGCGCATTTATGGTGGGGTTGGCGGAGTGGGTTGCGGAGATGATGCTGAGTTGATGTCTGTCGTCACGGCTTGGCGAAAAAGTGTTCGGCGCGCGTGCTCGTCAACATGTAGTCAGTTGTAAAATGTGATTTTAGAAATATATGGGAATCAGAAAGGGCAATGCAGTCAATACTTGGAAGGTCTACTGGAACATGTGGTGTTGAGGAGTCTGTGATTGCACGAAGTGGACGTGTAGAAAGAACAGTAGATCATTCATCTGCAGCTGGAGTACTATTGTAGCTCTGAAGCCCCCATTAATGCAGAGAAGAAAAGCTACTCGACGAACTGATATCGAGCCAGCAGAACAATTTCTTGATGCCCATCGGTCGTCAACAAATCGTGGCGTCGTGGCTTGTGCGTTGTCAAGGGCAGCCTCCAGGTCCTCAGATCTCCACCAAACAAAGCTTCACCTCTCATCAACACCACTTCCTCCCAGCAGCCAACACCCTCGACCAACCACCCACCATGACCTCCCCCCAGCCGGTTGCCCTCTCAACGACGAAGCGCAAATTCCACAAACTCCTCGACAACCTCCACGCCAACAAATCCACACCCAACCTCTCCTCCTCACTCCGAAGCGCCAATACCTCTACAACCTCCCTCGCCGTTCCCACCACCACCGAACCCCCTTCCAAACGCTCTCGCCACTCCGACATCTCCATGCTCTCCCGCATATCCATGGATAAGCCGCGCCCGCACGCCAGCCCCAGCACCATCCGCTCGGTCAGGTCGAAGACCACCACGGCGTCGACGCCCCCGCGGAAGACGCCGAACTACGCGCCGTACAGCCAAGACGCGTTTCTAGCGCGACTCAAGACGTTCGCGGATGTGAAGCTGTGGACGATGAAGCCGGACGCGATAAACGAGGTGCAGTGGGTGAAGAGGGGGTGGGTGTGCGAGGCGTGGAATACCGTTGCTTGCAAGGGGGGCTGCGAGGCTAGAGTGGTAGTGAGTCTGCGGCCGAAGCGGAAGGACGAGAAGGGGGAGGAGATTGAGGGGTCGGAGGATTGGAGCGTGGATGTTGAAGAGGAGCTGGTAGCGGCGTATGCGGAGAGGATTGTGGAGGGGCATGCCGAGTTTTGTTTGTGGAGGAGGGCGGGGTGTAAGAGTGAGTTCGGATGGATATGGGTATGGACAAGTGGGCGGAGGGAATGATGCTAATTTGGTTGCAGAGGATATCTATCATATCCCGATTGCGCGCCGCGATGTCTGCGAAGCGGATCTCTCACGGCGGTATCAGTCTCTCAAAGCGATTGAGGCACACCTCCCTCCGTTCGAGTGTGTCAAATACACCGGCATCGATCCGGAGTCCCTCATCAAGTGCTTGCCATCTTCTTTCTTCGCTGCCACCGAAGAGAGCGTTGCTGCCGAAGATGATACACCACCATCCATCACAGCCTTCGCCTTTGCCCTCTTCGGCTGGAACGGCGTCGCCCAAGATGGCCTCTATCTCGCACAATGCTCCCACTGCTTTCAACGCGTGGGGCTATGGCTCTACACTAAAGAGCGCATTACGACCATGGCCAAGAAAGTCAACGCAGAAGAATCTCAACTCCGACTCAACCTCCTCGAAACCCACCGCGAGCACTGCCCCTGGAAGAACGCGGAGGCGCAGGCTAACCCGCCAGACGGACAAGTGGCGGGCTTTGCGGCGTGGCGGACGCTGCAGTATGTACTTGGTGTCAACAAGAGGCGGGACACTACGGCGACGCAGAATAGTGCAGAGGTTGGTGGGGAGGTGAACGGGGAAGAGAGGAAAGATGAGGAGGGGAAGGGGGATGATGATCTTGCGGGGAGGTGGCAGCGGTTGAAGAGTAAGTTGAAGAGGTCGACTAGCAAACGAAGCTTGAAGTCCCCAGGGAAGGGCGGAGATTCCTAAGGTTGTGGCTCCATGCTGACAATAGGATTCTCCTGAAGCGTGGTGCCTCTGCTCTATGGAGAAGCGACGTTGACTCTACTACCATTATCGCCTGGTACAGCCCTAGGCTTATGGGATTAGTATGTGGCGACGTTGGATGGCGATTTTGGGAAAAGATATGCTTGCGATTATGGTTCATCTTCCGAAGATTATGAATCACGGCAAAAGGGTTATGAGAATATTATAATTTGGAGATCTAGTTATCAGGCTAGGACTGTCACGCCTCATGGGGTCAAAAACGATTGCATATGACTACCACAGCCATTTTTCTATCGATCGAAGATGACGGATCATAGTGAAGGAGCTACAATGACATTTGGCTACGGGGGTAGCGGGGTATTTAGTAGGATATTCCGCAGTTCTTCAACCAGAGCTTCCCATCTACTTCCTTTCTCACCAATACCCATGTGATCAACAGCACATGACTTCCATGGTCAACACGTGCAACATCCGTGCCCGGCTCATATGTTTCCTATAAAAGCCACTCGCCCGTCTAAAAGTTGACTCCCTACGGAGAAGCGGGTGGTGGTCAAACATCGAAGCACGAGGTTGCTCATGGTGTGCAAAACCACGCCTGTATTCTTGTTATGGAGGAGCGTCCTGGCTTGTGTCAAAAAATCTAGGAAAAACGCCTGATGGAATTGGAGGAGTATGTGGCGTTGGGTCAGCACAGCGTTGTGGGGTGTGATGATGTGCGTCTCCAGCTCTTCATGATGAATGTGTGAGTAGCGTTGAGGGAGGAGGGAGATGTGTATCAATGGAGGAAGATTTGGGTGATTATTAAAGAGTAGATCGTGGGGAGCATCGTTGTGAGCTAGTGATACAAGAGGACGGCTACTTCACCCCACCTCCATTACAGTCTCGTTTGAATTGACGTCAACCAACTGACTATGAATTCACTCCTCCATCGCGTTGCCCATGGTGTGGATTGTAGTCAGCCCAGACCCAGGCCATGCGTGTTTTTCTCGATGTGTGTTGATCAACTCATACCAGTCTCTCTATGGGAGAGGAGTTTCATCGCGAGTAGGTAGGCTTATATACTCCTCTGAGAAGAAGAGCTGGATTCGGAGAAGGATTTCGCCTTCATTGCAGGCGAGTAGCATCACGTGAACAGCACGTGCTCTCTTTTCGACCTCGGTCACCTGCTGACTGAACATCCCCCTGTCACGACCCGACTAAAATAGGAATTATCTTGGCGCTCTCCCGGCCCCTGCAGCACATCAATCAATAGTTCGTGATAATAAATGAAGTCAACCGTCTTGACCGGTCGCTCATTCCTGCCGTCTTTGCCGACTCCGGAATGAAGCATGATCGAAAACTCCTCTCAACTACGGGGAGCGCGTCTTCTCGCTCTGAAATGTCAGCAAGGAGCAGACTCTTCCGCGCGGAATGGCGTGGTGGTGGTAATAAAGTTTGTTTTTCTGCGTCTCAGCTCCAGCGAAGCGAGAGCGCGAAACCCCTTTCTTGCCAGACTGGACGCCCCCTAGCGCCCTCCACCTCCCTAAACGCCATCCACGCCAGCTCGGCTGCCACGCCCAGCCAGGAACACGGCATGGCAACCTTGTGCACCAATCGCGTGCGTGGCTAAGAGCCCTACGTGGGCGGTGGCTGTCGACAGCTCTCGGGGCTAGACCTTCTGGAGCTGTCCGCGCTCTTTCAACACGCCCAGTCGCTGGCTGACTACGGCAGCGATGCCGCAATAGGACCCGGGCTCAGGAACACGGGCAGCGTTGATTCGGCGCCTCCGTCGACTCACCAGCTTCGTGGCTTACGTGCCCGGCAGACGGTGCGTGCCCTGCCGCCTTCAGTTGTTGACAGCGGGAGCAGGGGCCCAGATGGGCATCAGGGGTTTTATGTGGGCGGTATTCCTCTTCTCTGTCTGATCTTCAGAGTCCTTCTTCTCGTCCATCAATCCTGTAGATCTTTCTACGTACACTCGTTTTAATATTTGTCTTCCGTTAATATGCCTTCCTCATCACTCGTTCTGAGCGTTGGCGCCCTCACTCTTTCCACTCTTCTTGCACCTGTCTCCGCCACTCTTTATGGAATCAAGGACTCTTATGCCGGTTCGACCTTCTTCAATGGATTTACGTTCATCTCTGACCCGGACCCCACTCATGGATATGTGAAGTGAGCAAGTTCAAAACCACACTGGCATGTATTAGACTAACACGACAAGATACCTCGACCAGGCTGATGCCACAAACGCTGGTTTGGTCAAGACTGTGGGTGCCGCGGCCTACATGGGCGTGGATTTCACAAACAAATATAGCGCCTCTGCTGTAGGACGTCCTAGTGTCCGAATCGAATCGAAGAACACGTACAATCATGGTCTCTTTATTGCCGATATTGCTCATATGCCAGGATCAGCCTGTGGATCCTGGCCAGCATTCTGGTCTCTCGGAGACGGAACATGGCCGGCGCATGGCGAAATCGATATCATCGAGGTATGATACCTGCTCCTGGACTGCGGGGGATTGAAACTGAAAAATACCAGGGAGTAAGCAAGAACACTAAGAATCTAATGGTTCTTCATACTGCGGACGGATGCAGCGTTAGTAGCAGTGGCATGACCGGAACCTTGAATTCCCCCGTGTGCGACGTTTCGGTCTCTACCTCTGGATGCAGTGTCACGCCCACGCAAGCAAACACTTATGGGACCGACTTCAATACTGCCAAGGGTGGTGTGTACGCCATGGAGTGGACTTCGACCGCCATCAAGATGTGGTTCTTTCCCCGCACTGCTATCCCTAAAAGCATCACCACGGGCAACCCGGATACTACCACCTTTGGCACGCCTACTGCCGCCTTCGCCGGATCCTGCGACATTGACACTCATTTCAAGAACCACCGCTTTATCTTCGACACCACCTTCTGCGGTGACTGGGCTGGCAATACTTACGGCTCCTCTGGCTGCCCGCAGTCAAGCTCGGATCCAATCACGGCTTGCGTGAACTATGTTGGACAGAATCCTCTTGCTTTCACCGAAAGCTACTGGCTCATCAACTATTTCAAAGCATATACCGCCAAACCTGCTGTCTCTAGCACGAAATCGTCCACGACGAGCTCGAAAACTTCTACTAAGGTTTCTACAAGCACGAAATTATCGACCACAACCAAGGCGTCGTCGACCGTCAAGACTAGCTCGTCTGTGAGGACATCAAGCACTTCGGTACGTCAAGTTAGGCCCTGAATATCAGACCCCAGAAAGTTGGTTTCCTGAATGCTTTATCAAGCGAGTTTGAATAGCCAGCCGGGTTGTATCTCAATCGCGCACGAGTTGTATTTCAGACAGCTGCTGAATTCGGGGGAGATATCCGCCTTAATCTGTACTATGCGAATACTGGCTAACTGTGTCCTCACTATCAGACCAAGGCGTCCTCGACTTCTACTAAGGTTTCTTCTACTTCGGTACGTAGATCTGTATTTTATCAATTTGGTGAGTGTTTGCTAATTGCGCGTCCTTTCTCAGACCAAAGCCTCCTCCACCTCCACAAAGGTGTCCTCCTCGTCTACCAAGACGTCCTCCGTACGTGAGACCCGTCGAACACGGATACCAGACCCTCGGTTGCGAATTTTCTGAGATGCCTCGTTGTAATTCTGTTTGCAAGAAATTGCCAGTGTTTGGAAAACTTTGATATATTCCAGAGATCGATATGAGTGCAGACATATTATTAAATTCGCCTCCTTGTATTAATCAAGATGGTAGCCTACCACATAAAATGACCATACGCGCCGTTAGCTTTCTGAAATATATCAAAGCTCCCCAAGCAGTGGCAGATAATTGTATATTGATTATAACGAGGCACCTTGGGACCTTTAAGCTGAGCGGATTTCGGAATTATCCCAACCCTCTTTCCATTCATAGACAGTGCTAATATGTTGCATTCTAGTCCAGCTCTAGCACGAAGATCAGCAGCAGCGTAAGCTCCACTCCGACTTCTACGAAAATCTCGACGACCTCATCCTCGCCGTCACCGAGCTCGTCCAAATCAAGCTCTTCCAGCACACCCGTGTCAAGTAGCTCATCATCCTCCGCCGCGGTCTACCCATCAAGCACACCCGTGCCAAGCAGCTCATCGTCCTCGTCCGCCGCAGTGTATCCAGCAAGCACCCCTGTCTCGAGCAGTTCATCGTCCTCGTCCGCCGCTGTTTATCCTTCCAGCACCCCTTCGAGCTCCAGCAGCAGCGGCGCCGTCCACTCCTCCAGCACCCCCTCGGTATCATCTTCTGAGTCTAGCAGTAGCACCAGCGCCGCGGTATATCCATCCAGCACGCCGTTCGTGTCGTCGACCACCGAGTCGAGCAGTAGCAGCGCCGTATACCCATCCAGCACACCCTCGGACTCGTCGTCTTCCTCATCCGTGGTGAGCAGCAGCAGTACCGTGTACCCTTCTAGCACACCCTCAGATTCCTCGTCAACCTCCACCGTTGATTCGACAACATCCGTAGCCAGCAGCACATCTGAATCCGCCTCATCCACCTCTAGCGCTGTTCCCACGCCTACATCGTCTTGTGTATCGACTGATAGTGGCAACTGGCTGATTTCCCCCGGAACTGACTACTACGGCGCCGATGATGAGAACAGCCCGGAACAAATTGACAGCGTAGATGGGTGTATTGTGGCATGTGAAGCCATTGATGCCTGCATTGCCATCTCTTGGCTGCCAGGAACCAACGGAGGACCTAGCTTCTGTTATTTGAAGGATACCGTCACGGATTCGGGCCCTAGCAGCGCCATTACAGGAGCCAAGAAGGTCTCATCTTGCCCTGGGTCGTCCAGCAGCACATCGTTTTCCGTGGCCTCCACGACGACGTCCGCGAGCTCCGAAACCTCATCGTCAGCGGTTCCGACTATAACTTCTACCGGCTCCGATATTTATCCCACATCTACGGCATCGGATTCGTCCGTCTCGTCTAGCGCCAGCAGCACCAGCACCAGCAGTGATATCTCGTCCTCGACTTCTACCGGTTACCCCACGAGCACAGATTCTAGCTCTCTTTCTTCCGTTGTGTCTTCGTCCTCTATAGGAAGCACGTCCGTTTCGTCTAGCGCCAGCAGCTTCAGCAGCGATATTTCGTCCTCAACTTCTGCTGGTTACCCCACGAGCACGGAATCTAGCTCGCTTTCATCTATTGCATCTTCGTCCTCCGTAGGAAGCACCTCCGAATCCAGTGTGGTCTACTCTGGAAGCACCTCAACCGAGTCCATCAGTAGCACCTCGACCGAATCTCCGACTGCTGTTTACCCGACTAGCACCCCTGGATCTTCTGTGGCTTACCCTGGAACCAGTTCCGAGTCTACAACTTGCACCGAGACTGAGTCGTCGACTTTGGTCTACCCTGAAAGCACCCCCGGATCATCTATAGTCTATCCTTCGTCTGTGGTCTATCCTTCGTCTGTGGTCTATCCTTCGTCTGTGATCTATCCTTCGTCGGCTGTCTATCCTTCGTCAATCGTCTACCCCGGAACCACCAGCGCTCCGCACGCCTACCCGACTGCATCTTCCAGCACCAAGGAGACCATCACAACCGTGATCACGACCTCCTACGTCGATGTCTGCCCAACTGGCTATGTCACCTCCGTCATCACACAAACCGTGACCTACTGCCCTGGAGACATCACACCTGGTGCCCCGGCCCCTGGCTTCACGACCAAGGTCACTGTCTACCAGTCCTCCACCATCACCCTTACCGTCCCAGCCACTGTAGCCCCATACACTACCGCTGCCCCAGTCTACTCCGCGCCAGCTGAGAGCTATTCGATCCATTTTAGCCTCGAGTCTGCCCCCGCAATTGCTTACGTTGCGCCCTCTGCCTCAGCACCGGTAGCTTATCCTTCAGCACCGGTGGCTTACCCTTCAGCACCGGCAGCTTACCATTCAGCGCCAGCGGCGTACCCCTCAGCACCAGCTGGGTACTCCTTTGCACCCGCCTACGTGGCCTCCTCCTCAGTCGTCGCTGCTGCATCGACCGAGGTCATCTACCAGACCGTTGAGATGGTTCCCGTACCGGTGTCTACGGAAGCTGCGAGCTATGGCGCTGCGTATACGGGCGGTGCGTATACGGCTTCGTTGAGCGTTCCAGCCGTGTCCGTCGTCACGCCGCCGGCGTACGGAGGATATGGAAACAGCACGGCTGTGTATCCGACTGGCACAGCGGTGCCGAGTTCGAGCTATACGAGCCCGGAGACGCCGTATTTCACTGGCGCGGCTTCGGTGCAGCGGGTGGGTATGATGGGGATGATTGGAGCGGTGGTTGTTGGGTTGTTGGCCGTCTAGACTGAATAGTGTTCCAGCTTGGATGATTTTTAGTCTGAAAATGTCAGAATGATAATGGGGGAGGCAAAGAAGGGATGATGGGCGGAAAGTACTATAGAGATGTATTTTTTAATCTGTCCGGCTTGAAAGAAATGATGTCGTTTTCTTATGACTTGAACATTGCATTAGAGGCATGAATCATTGCGCCAGTATTAGAGGAGTGGTCTTAACAAAATGCAATGGTCTTATACACTTTCAGCCAGCATCTGGCATGCAAAACACAGCACCACCATCAGCGCCACCTGTTCCGCTACCCTCCAACAACAACTCTACCCAGACTGCCCGCCCCCAGCCTTGGGCGCGCTCCCCCCACCACTCGTCCGACTCCTCTCACTCCCCTCCTTCCCAGGGCTACTCTGCGCACCCCCCTCCTCCGATCCCCTCGCCTCGCTAACCTCCCGGTTTCCAGGACTAACGTTCAACGCCGAGTGCTATACACGAATTAGCCGCCTTCACCCCCTCCTGAAACCTGAGCGAAAGCCAAACATACCTTCCCAGCCTCCTTCTCCCCACTCTCCTTCTCGGCCTCAGGACTCGTCGTGCTCGGATCAAACGCTGCCTCGCCGCCCGCGGCGGCGTCGTCGGACCCGCTCTTGCTGTACTCGGTGCTCTGGGGGTTCAGGCTCTCGCGGTCTTGGTCGTCTTTGCGGGGGAAGGCGCGGATGGGGGTCGAGTGGAGGTGCTGGGAGCGGACGACGGCGATTTTGGTGCGCGGTGGGCAGGTGGCGCGGAGGCGGTAGGGAGACATGAGGTGCAGGGTGCGGGTGAGGGATGGTAGGGAGGGCATGGTGGAGGTTGAGAGGGGTGTTTGGGGTTGGGGTAATGATGTATTTGTTTATTTTTTGTGGCGCGATGCTAATGCAGGGTTCCGGTGTGCTGGATCTGGCGATTGGATCCGGATCCGGTGTAGGATCGTGGATGCTGGTGGTGTGATGGGTTGAGCGGGTAATTGGTGAGTTTGGAGACGGTGGCCGAAAGTTTGAGGGACGTTGGGGGTTTGGGGAGGCCAATTGATTTTGGCATTTGAGGTTCGTGATGGTGAGCAGGGATGTGCGATGAGAGAAGACTGACGTCAGGAACGGTGAATGGGGCTTCACCGCCTGGCAGAATGTGGTGATGACTAAGGTGGGTCACGTGAGAGGTGAACATTTCTGTCAATGTTTGTGTCGCACCAAGATTTGTTCATCTTTTCTCATCACCAACATGGGGGTTGATTCTGGGTTTGCGACACCAGATTCTACATTTCACGATGGCAAACGGCAAATCTAGAACTAGACGCGAGTCAGCTCCTTCGCCCCCCAGATTTTCATCAGGCATCAACTCCAGGCAACGACACGGATCGGTTCTGTGACTCCATATCGAATCCTGGTTTGGAAGGAGTATAACTAACGGTGAACGCCGAATCCCACTTCAGTGTTGGGAACAGTCATGATGGGGTAACGTCCCGTCCCGCTGTCTTGCCGCTCCGTGGCAAAGCGGCTGATAACAGAGTGAACCCTATCCGTTCGTTATACATATATAATGGTCTTGCCCCTATACTTAAAGATGAACTTGGCGCTGGCCTTGCTATCATTGTTTGATTGTTTCTAGCTTTATTGTTTATTGTTTGTAGCTTAAGCCTTGTCCTATAAGATCACTCTCTTCCATCTTTCTACCTACATCCATCGTCCTATCACACTTGCTACCACCACTCTTCAAGAAAGCCTACCAACCTCTCAACACCACATCTCCCATCATTAGTACTCGACAAACTATGGCAGTCTTTTCAATCTTCGAACTCGAGCAGCCATTTCAGACCGAGAAGCTAGACCAGGTCCGAACGGGCAAGGTCAAGAAGGTCTTTGGCGGCAAGGCTCTTTCTGCCATTTACAAAGTCCCCCACAAGGAGGCTATCAAAGTCTCAAAACTAGGCTGCGAAGGTGATGAACACCATTACGAATTCCATGGCGGGCCAGACAAAGCCCTCCTGCATTACTGCTCCCGACATTACGACTCGTGGAAGGCGGAGCTACCTTCAAGCACCCACCTCTTCTCCTCGGGCGGCTTCGGTGAAAATCTTGTCAGCCGCTACGCCAACGAACGGAATATATGCATTGGGGACATCCTTTCCATCGGAGAAGAGCTCATCGTACAGGTTAGCGAACCGAGGGCACCATGTTACAAGCTTAATCATCGCTTTGAGGTGAAGGATATGTCGCTGCGGTGCCAGACTCTAGCTCGTACCGGCTGGTTATATCGGATTCTGCAAGAAGGGTCTATTCGGCCTGGCGACGAGATCAAAATGCTCAAGCGGCTGAACCCAAAATGGACTGTTGCAGCTGTGCAACACTACCTCTACATCGAAATGAATAATGTGGATATGATGAAAGAGATTGTAGTCCTCGAAGAGCTTGGCGAAGACATCAAGAAGATCTTCCGGAATCGACTCAATAAGAAGTTCGAGGATCAGCAGGCGCGTCTCCTAGGCGACGATTCGATGGTGTTGAACACCTGGTCTGAGTACCGGATTGCAGAGAAGCAGATGGAAACCCCGCAAATTGCTTCATTCGTTCTGGAAGCGGTAGAGCCAGCCGAGTCTCCCGCGGCTGTTCAGCCCGGCTCCCACGTCCGGCTCAAGCTTGGTGGCAAGCTCGTCCGAGCTTATTCAGTAATTGGTGGAACGGAAAACCGTTTCGAACTTGGAATCGCCTTCGATGCGAACAGTCGAGGTGGTTCGAAGTTCCTGCATGAGAAAACCAAGCGTGGCGATACCCTCACCGTTGGGAACATAACCACCAGCTTTCCCCTATCGAAGAGAGCTGATCACCACATTATTATTGCTGGTGGAATTGGCATCACTGCCTTCCTTGCGGCAGCTCAGTTCCTGGAATCAACTGGTATGAGCTACAGCTTCCATCTTGCGGTCGCCTCAGATGTCCCTTTCCGACGATACCTGGATCCTCTCGGCGATAAAGTCACGATTTACAGCAAATTCCAGGGAAATCGAATGGACATCCCGACAGTTCTTGCCAGGGGGGATGACAATACGCACGTCTATTGCTGTGGACCCGAGCGTCTCATGGAAGGCGTCACAAACGCTGCTGAAGGAATTGGACTCCCGAAGAGCAACATTCACTTTGAGACTTTCCAAATCTCGGCCTCTGGAGATCCATTCACTGCAGATCTCACCATTAGCAAGAAAAAGATTGAGGTAGATGCATCCAAGAGCTTGTTGGACGCACTACGAGAGACCGGGTTCGACATACCCTCTTCATGCGAAGCTGGCAATTGCGGCACGTGTCAGGTTACTGTTTGCGGGGGAAGGATCGAGCATCGGGGGACTGGCTTGACTGATGAGGAAAAGGAGAATACGATGCTGAGTTGTGTTTCTCGGGGCATTGGGGAAGTCTCGCTGGAGCTGTAATGGTTTCATGCTAATACCACGTCTGGCTTTTTCTTCAATTTTCTGCATCCCTCTTCTAGATATCCCAAATTTCAACGTCGGCATTCATGGTTCCCGAAGGCCGTGGTATACTAAGTCAATCTATGTGTATTCAGTCGCAGTCAATCTTTGCTGTTGCTTCCAGACTCAATTATGTGTGTACAAGAACTTGATTCTACCCAAGCTCAATCGCTCCTGTCATTCTTTTTCTACGTCTAGGAAACAGCTCCCATGTTCAAAGTCCACAACGCTCAATAAGATGTGTACCTAACATACAGACCAATAGGCTGCACCAAATTGCGTTCGTTCGATATGATGCCAGAGGTATCGTTGATGAGCTATTTTTATAGCTTCTAGAAGCTAGAGTTCTTGCCGTGTCGAGATGTTTGATAAAGCAATGGCCGACAAAGTCACGTGATTCTTATATCCATTCATGGAGAAAAAAAGACCATTCAGGCTCCAAAGGAATGTTTATTTCTCGGACGAACTGACTAGACTACCGAAATCCCCCCTTTTGTTTCATTGGATCATGTATGTGCATCGTCAATGGAGTGAGAAAGCAGGATCTTAGAACCTCAACGGCTGGTCCAAGTCCAATTCTTTGAATCCAATGGACAATTGTGGCACTTGCTTATAATGGCTCTCGCCGAGGATCGTCCTCGTTTGCTGCAGCGACTACCCTTGATGTCAGCACAGCGAACGAGCTGACTGAAAGACAGAACATGGACTTACATTCAAATACGTCGGATTGGGATTCCTCTTCATCGTCTCCAAGAACGCCCACGACATGGCTCCGACACTGGAACCTTGAATACTCGCATCTGCGCTCGTCTGATCATCCCGGCATCCGGAGAACATCGTCACGAACTTATGCTCCGACTTCCAATCTTCCACAAAGTTTTCTTCGCCCACACCTTCCTCCTGCTGCTCGCCACTATGCTGCAATTGCTTGAAGAATGTGTTCGCACCAGCAAACAGTTCTTTCGCCTTTACGACCTTGGCCATCGTAAAGCCACCCTGGATGAGACTACTTGCCTCCTGCAATAGTCCTATCCCGGTCTTGACATTGTCGATCATGCTGACATTGCCGTCAGCATCGCTGTGATAGATGAACGGGAGCTCGATCGCAGAGCCGCTGTGGCAGCAGTCGAAGATGACGAAGAGCGTGCTGTTGTTGGGCAGTGCCGAGACCAAAGTGCGGTGCAGCTTATCGCTGTCAAGCTGGCCATTCTGCTCAAAATCAACCGGCACAATGGTGTCGTCGAAGCCCGATTCGCGGTCGCCGTCCGGATCCTTCACTTGGCTCCCGTGTCCAGAGTAATGCAGAAAGTTGCAAGTGTTGGGCTCGGAGATCAGCCAGTGCATTGCCGCAAGCATGTTCTTGCCCGTTGGGAAGAAGGGGCTGCGCGGGTCCGTGTTTGGGTCGTCGCGCATAATTACCTGGGACCGCTGGTCGCTAGAGTAGCCCTTTTGGCTCAGGAATTGCTTCATATTCGTGACATCTTGGTGGCAGCCTCGAAGTGCGTTCTTGCTTCCCACGTAGTTGATGCCTATCAGGAGAGACTTTCGGCGAAGTGGTTGCGGTGATTGCGCGTACGGATGGTGAGCTGTCGGGGGCGGGCCGCCCTGGTAGTGGGTTTGTCCTTGGTACTGAGGATCACCTTGATACTCAGGCTGTGGACCTCCTTGGTAGCCTTGCGGCGGGCCGCCCTGATAGCTTTGTTGCGGTCGATTCTGGTACTGAGATTGAGGGGGGCCTCCTTGGTAGCCTTGAGGAGGGCCTCCCTGGTAGCCTTGAGGGGGCCCTCCCTGGTAGCCCTGGGGAGGACCTTCTTGATATCCTCCTTGGTAGCCTTGTTGCGGTCGGCTCTGGTACTGAGATTGAGGGGGGCGTCCCTGGTAGCTTTGAGGGGGACCTTCCTGGTAGCCCTGAGGAGGGCCTCCATGATGTCCTTGTTGATATCCCTGAGACTGGTAACCACCTTGGCGTTCTTGGCCAGGATAGTTTGATGGCCCACGTCCGCTCTCTTCTGCCTGCAGTCGGGCAGCTAGCGCTTCATCATTATCGATCTGTTCCTGCTCATATCGATCGGTATGATGGTGATGGTGCGACATGTTTGCAATCTTCAGACGTCGATTGTCCCAACAGTTCACAAGAGTTAAGGTTTGAAGATAAACTTCATTAGGTTGAGTTGATCAAGGCTTGTTCTTGTTCTAGCCGAGCTTGAGCCGAAAGTTACAGAACGATGACGAGGCCTCTGCGAGTCACGTGATCGCTTAGGCCGGATATATATAGCCCGTGGCTAAGCATCACGATTCCTCGAGGATACACGAATTTCATCGATTATATCTGCAAGCATTGATGTTGGGGCTTCAGCTAGCAGGGGAAAACTCTCCGCTTGTTATGCATGCCCATCTGATACCGTCTAGGGTCTCATATACTTGCAAGGCTGAAATGTAACACGCTAACTGCGGGGTGTCGGGGCCAAAACACTGCCTCGATATAACCATTGCCGTCTGGCGTGTTTTAGACTGTGAGAACTTGACATTGTAACTAGCCGCGGACCAACCCAAGCGCTTAAGCTCTGATACCGGCTTTGACTGGCCAGAGAGTGCACACATCTATCCTAGCACGGTACGTTCTAAGAGCTACAAGAAGGGTGTTATTCGTAGAATTCGTATTGTCTATCCTCCCATACACTTGGATACCATATATGTGTCTTCCATCATGCCAAATGTTTCTTTATGCGAGCGCTGCCTGAATATCAACTTCGGAGCTCTTCGCTACCCGACTATATCAGACATCAAGAGCATCCAAGCAAGCCAAAGAGCACCCGACAAGTTCCCCTTCAAAGTAGATGGCACTGAACGTCCCAAGAAAGTCGATCTTGGACTTTTAAGTGACATCAAGAACCGAAAGCACTGCAAGCTCTGCACAATCATCTGGCGGCAACTGCATAATCTCGAGGTGGCCTTCGAATCCGGCTCCGTCAAAGTCTACTCTGACTCCGGGCATGCTGCGCTTGGCCAGGAGGTCACGTGCCATGCGACCATTGCGTTGCATTGGGGGCTCTTCAGGTACGACGACTCATCGGATAGCCACCCGGCATTGTATCGACTGTCCATTCATACATATATATCACCAACCCATGAGCACAATATGCAGCCGCACATGTACATAGACCATTATTTCCAATCCTGTGATATTGGTGCTGGGTCTATCTACGTCGACAATAAATTTCAAGACCCGCGAGAGGGAACTGATATGACGGTTTTTGGGGGTCGAAGGCGTCCGTTGCAGATTAATCTTGATTGGCTTAGACGATGGCTTTGGATTTGTGAGTACGAACATGGCGACGTCTGCGGCTCGACTTTGCCATTGGGAGAAGCATTTAAGTAAGTTCCGTATTTTCCCTTCAGCCGCAAATCTATCTGCATAAAAACCATAGAAGCACAAACTTACCATCGCCTCAAGGATGGAAACTGTCCGATTCGTTGACGTTCGGAGTAAATCGATAAAGACATTCCACAATGAGAGCCTCGAGGACATTCGATACATTGCCTTATCATACGTGTGGGGCAAACCTGTACCAAACAGCCCACCCGTTCTTGAGCTTACTGCCTCTTCCTCTGAAGACCTCGAAGCTGATGGAGCGCTGGACCGGATGGGAACTCCGAAAACGATTCAAGATGTCATTGACCTCGCGATTGCTCTAGGTATCCAGTACGTCTGGATTGACCGACTCTGCATCCGTCAGGACAGTAACGAAGACAAAGGGAAGCAGATCGGGAAGATGCATGCCATCTACAACGCCTCTTATATCACCGTCGTAGCTGCTGCAGGAATCGACGTCCATCATGGTCTACCCGGCTTCAGGCCAGACACGCGCCATGTCGAGCAGGAAGAAGTCCTCGTCGTCCCTCCATGCGAGACGGACTGCCGCAAAGATCATGCTCATGACACGAAGGGGATGTCTCTTCTCACATCGGCGAAGAGCTTTCTACGAGAAGAACATTACCTGGAGGACACTACATGGAATCGCCGTGGCTGGACGATGCAAGAGCGAGTGCTGGCCCGCCGATCACTAATTTTCACAGACGAGCAGGTTTATTGGGCGTGTTCCGATGCGACTTTCTTCGAAGACAGCTTTTGCGAGCTGGCGTTCCCGCGCTTCCAATTCTTCTCTCGGCGGAGTGCTGAACTCAATCTCAAAAGCTCCGCGCGCACTTACTCGGAACACCGCGACCCCAAAGAGAGATCCTGGGCGACATATACCCTCCTTGTACGGCGATACTCAAAGCGCTTGCTTTCATTCGAAGGCGACGGACATGACGCTTTTGCTGCTATTCTACAAGCTCTTGAGGCAGGGTCTGGGGAAACGTTTATATGGGGACTTCCAGCCTCCCACTTCGAACTCGGCCTGTCTTGGACTACATTTGAAGGCCAGCAACGCCGGACAGAAGCGTCGACGCTACCGATGACCTCTCTGAAGCGCAGAGTCCACTTCCCAAGCTGGTCTTGGTTGGGATGGGTTGGCGAAACCCACATCAACGTCAGCAACGACCGACTTGACACAGAGCAGCCGACGATCAAGTGCTATGTGCACGAGCTCTCTCCTGAAACCATCAAGATCGTTCCAGTATGGAGCATGGCCCACACAGCCACCACCTCTATAACCCACGACCTCGAGTATGCCGACGATCAGCCACGAGAGGTAACACTGGCAGCGCTACAAGAACATCTCCCATCCCTCACCCCAGCGTACCTCCGCGACGTGCCCGCCCACCACCTCCTCTTCTTTTGGGCGGCAACCGCCAGATTCCGCATCGCTCTCCGCCGCGAAGGCAACCCCGTCTCCCTCATCACCGAAGCCGCGCTCGGCTTCACCTGCATCTTCTGCCACACCGTCGAGCAGCACATCAGCGGCAGCCCCGCGCCGCCGGCGACCGCAACGCCCTTCCACCACCTAACGCCCCAAATCCTAAACGCCAAAGGCGATGTCGTGGGGACGCTTTGCCGCATGCGCGAAAAGCACTGGGCGGGCGGGAGGTATGAGACCGAGCTGCAGGAATTCATTGTCGTGGGGCGACGGCATATCGCGGAGCTGGGAGATGAGTTTCCGGCGACGCTGCTGGTCATGCAGGTGGAGCGGAAGGGGGAGGTTTGGGAGAGGGTTAACATGGGGGAGATTGAGGAAGGGGCGTGGAAGGAGGCGGGAGGGGAGTGGAAGTTGGTTGTGCTTGGGTAAGTATGTAAGGTCTGAGGATACCCGCGGCATCGAGAAGCTGCGACAGGTTTAATAAGTTGTTTACCACAGGACTAAGACATATGTTTGGGCACATTTTGGAATTGCTTGGGACACCACGGCGGGCTTTAAAAACTCTGAATGAGATGTGAAGACTAACGCAGTGGAGATTAGGCTTCCTTTTGACGCAGCCAATACCTGATAGCTGGGGTGCTCTTGGCAGTGGTGTCGAGCGAGCAAAAGTGGAATCGGAGTAGTGATATATCCGCGTGCCCAAACTTATGACCCAGCACGGTACGAAGATAGCTTCAATTTCGAACATTTGTCTGAAAGCGCCCATGTTGCGTTTTAAATAAACAGAAACACACGGTACTGTTATACTTGATCGAATCGAATTGAAGCAAAAGAGTGCTCTACAAAATCGCTGACCTCAGTCGAAGCCGCCCATTTTCACCGGCGCTCGTATGCAGAACCCCTAACCTATGCCCCAAATCCCAATGAAGCAAACTATCCCACCAAATGCAATTTGCAGCAGTCCAACCATGCAAGCCGAATCAGAACGCCGACATACACATTCCCTCCTCGCTCCCTTATCTCAAAGCAGGTCCGCCCTGGAGATCTGCTTCTCAAGTATCCCTCCCCCTCCTCCCCGCATCATGTACCCTCGTCCGAATATCAAATAGCACATCATCAAACTCCCTCTCCTCCTGGCTCCCCAACACCATCTGGCTGCAATCAGCTACGATCTTCCTCAGCTTGGCCAGTATACTACTTGGCGTGGCCATGATCCTCCCGAGCGGTGTTCGGGCGTGGGATGGTGTAGCAGGCGCGTCTGTCGCCATGGCATCTGCAGTACGCTTGAGCGGGGTGGAGATTCTAGAGAGGAAGCGCGAAGCTTGGGACGACGCCTCTGCGTTGATTGCTGGCGCGGCCACGATGGATGGCCTTCGTATTGGCTGTTGCACTGCCTCCTGGTTCGGACTCGGCTCGTCGTGCTGCTCCCTAATCGGCGAGCTTGGAGGGTGGAACGCTGCATCCTTCAGCGCCCGGGGTGTAGGGCCAATCGCCACATGGTCGAGTTTCCTGGTAATGCTAATATGCGAACTGGTTTCCGACGGTGCGAGGGACGTCGCACGACTGATGCCCTGGCTTGCTGTTCGCTTTACCCTCTTTGGCGCCCGTGTCTCGTCGACGAGGTCGTGCGTACTGTCAGATACTGATCTACCCAGCTCTGGTACAGAAAGGCGGACGCTGCGTTTGGTGGAGCGAGTCGGCTTTTCCGCATCTGTAGCGTCCTTCCTTGGGCGACCTGGTTTCCGTTTGGCAGGTGCTGATGAGATGGGTGGTGGCATCATTTTGTTGGATGTTGCGCTACCTTCTGTCTTGTTGTTGGGAGCAGGAGATGAGGCTGGTGTGACAACTACGCGCGGTTGCTTTTCGGCAGATGTTGATCCTAATCTGCGCGTGAGAGGCGAGTTCATGTCTACTACGATACAGTCTAGCATCTCTTCGTCATCCGCCGGGTTCACAAATGATGGCGTGCGGCGAATACTGGGAACAGGTGTCTGTCTGGGTGTTGATTGCTTCCGGACTCGTTTCGCAGCGATATCGGCCACGGCTAGTGACTCCTTGCGTTTTTGAGAAGATTTGACCGTCGCCTGTGAGCTCGATGGGGTGTTCCGCGTAGACCTAGACGACTGTGCTGGGCTGGATGGGGTATTCCTAAACGATCTCTGTATGTTGGTGGTAGAAGTCCTGCGAGGCATATCAACTGCAGTGTGAAAGCTGCTGTCTGTGGCAAGGAAGGAGTCTCCGACGCGGCTCATGTCCTCGGATGTTGCGCTTTGGTTGTCTTGCGGTACGGGTATGCTCTGATCAGGGGATGATTGTACCGCTACGTGGACTGGCTCGGGTAGAGGAGAGGAGTCATCGAGATGTTCTAAAGTGCTCTTGTCAAGTTGCTGTTCAGCGTGTCCACGTAATATAACGGATGGAGTACCATTAACCTCGGGGATCCGCCGCAGGTTTCCAGACGACTTTGCGGTAATGACTTCGACAGACCGCTTTTCCAAAGCTTCCATGTCCGTGGTAATTTGAGCAGCCAGCTGAGACTCAGGGTTGGGACTTGGAAGATCCTCGTCTTCTTCAGGGGTAAGGTCGTCCACCTCATTGTTGATTTCATTATCATCCTCAACAGAGCCAGCCTGCTGAGGAGAACTAAAGGGAACCCTCGAGTCAAACTCAGTGGTTTCATGCACTTCGATCTCATCGCTAAGATCATGGGCGACGTCCTTCTCCACTTGGCGATATTCGAAACTATCCTCTACTATACCCGCAGCATCAGAAGCAGTCTCTAGAATATAGGAGCCGAGGCTCTCTTGTGTGGTTTCCATGTCAGGAGGTGACGAAGGCGGATCATCTTCAGACGGCGCTGTGACTTGGATCTTCCTAACCGCATCAGGAGTTGCCACACTGGTGTCGCTCATGATCTGTTTGGTCCTAGAGCGGTTCCTCGGAGTTGGGGAAGACCCAACGTAATAATCCATAGGGCCAAGGGACTTGCGACCCTTCAGAGGCGTGTGTAAAGCGTCATCCGAGTCAATATTAGGTAAATCCGAGGTGAGGTTTAATCGTGTTACCCCCACTGAGGAACGTGGCAACTCTGCGACTGGGCTTGACCGAATATCCGGCAACATGGCGGCAGTAGCACGCTGCTTTTCCAATACCTCCAATTGCCGGTCCGTCAGAACTTGAGACTGTTGTACCATTGAATCGTTCGGCTCAGACGTAATCTCTTCGAAGTAGATCTGAGAGTCGTCATGTCGAAGACGGGCTCGTGGGAGCTGACCGAGAGGGGTTCTGCCCCTTGAAACTGATGTAGAAGCAGGAGACTTCAGCGGGGCGGTAGTAGTGATGGTAGGTAGTGTTGGTGATGTCTCTCGGACCAGGTCGGTGCTCTTCTCAACTTCGGGTTGGCTCTGTTCGACTTCTGAGTCATAGAAGGAAGCGACGGAGTCTTGATCCTCGTCATGGGGAAATGCAGGAAGTTGAAGCTCTACCATTGGAGTCAAGCGGTTTAGGGCTCGTTTGACGTTTGGAGGATATTCCAAAGTCTCTTCATTCCCAAATGTGCTGTTCCATGTCCCAACAGAGTCATTGGTCAGTTCTCTGCGACGACTGAGAAACCCAGAAGCAACCAATGGGCTGAGAGCGCTAAGCGTCGAAGAGTCCTTTTTTGGAAGCTTCTTGAGAGCTTCGTTGATCGTTTGCCACATAGAAACAATCGATCGATAAGTATCTGCCGTACGGTTATTCCTCGTCTGTAGCTTCCGCCCAGCATCTTGAATCCAAACAATGACGCCAGCTTGAATTCTGCGGAGATAAAGGCCTAGCAAAGAGATAGGACATTTTTGTATCGATGCAGAGAAGGCCATGATAAAGTCCTTGAAGGTCAAGACATCAACAAGATCCAGATTATCGTAGGCTGAAGAGAGTAGCACGACAACGGTTTTGTAGAATCGTTTGTATGGATCAAAGTCAGAAGTTCTGGGAGGCATTGGAGAAGCGCCCCAAAGAGATTTTCGCCCTTCTTCTACTGTACGTCTGTTGATGGACTCCGGTAGCTGTCTGAAAAGTGTAGCACCGTAGATCAGACCGTTGTTGATCCGCTCGCCTTTAGCTTGTCCAGAAATATCCTCTGAAAGACGCTCGACAAGTGCAAGGACAACCGCACCAGTGCCTGCTTCGGCTTTGATCTTTTCAGAAAGGCAGACGAGTAAGTCTTTAGCGACGGAACTTGCTTGCGGCGTGGAATACCGCAAGCCATTGGTAAGAATCTTGATCACGACCTCGTACTCTTCCCCAAGATGCCTGGATTGCTTTTCGGCTGTATCCAAAGGGTAATCCTCAAGCGTCGCGTTTGCGTACTTGGCGACAGTTTGCCAGATATTAGCTGCCATGCATGTTTCGTTAGATCCCCGGACAAGATCAGCGTACTCCATAAGGAGCTCAAGCTTCAGCGATCGGGTATTCTTCGAGGCTAAGCATGGCTCAATGACCCATTTAACTAGATCAAGACGATGATTGTCTGACAGCTTGCCTTCCGACTGATTTGCTAGCAAATCGACTATGTGAAGGAGAGGCGATTGGTAGGCTCCTTGGATTCGGGATCGATGTGATGGAGTAGGCGCGGCTTCGAGATCTTCGTTATTGTTTCGGGTAAGGAATTTGTCGGCAAAATGAACCGCTCCGAGTTTTTCCATCGAGGTTTCAACAAGGAAGCGGAACTGGCTGACCCAATCTTCCTCCTCTTCGGATTTCATCGCTGGGGTCGAGGTGTGTTTGGCCCAGAGACGGCGAAACATATTGACGATGCGTGCAATGGCATCTTTAAGTTCCATAGATGCCTTGACCTCTTTACTACCAGCCTCAGCCAACGAGTTCATCAAACATGACCACATTCTCATAAGGCTGTTCTCCTCCAGGGTTGAGTTCTTTGAGTAAGTGGCTTTGTACAGGCATGCTCCCACAAAGTCCAGCACGAGTGACATGTTCGCCCGTATCCATTTTGGGTCTAGCCGAGGAAGCTCCTCGACTGTAATGAGACGGCTTTTCTCGACTCTGCGACTGTTCCAAATTTTCGTTGGCCCAAACCCAAATAGGTAGGAAAGCATTCGACACGCGAGATCGGCATATCTGGGTAAGAGCACAAGCTGAATCCAACCGCCATGTACAAATTCTTTCCAGTATCTCGAGAGTTCTTGCGCAGACGCTGAAGGACGGAGCGAGTAGTACAGAAGGGCCCAGGAGCCAGCAATAGACACTTCCTTCGACTGCTTTCCGTTTGAAGACTTCCCTTTTCGATCCAGTTGGAAGTGGGGAATGGCGGCTAGCATTTTGGAAACGACGCTTCGAGTATTTTGATCCGGGTTAGTCACGAAGACTAGATAACCAAACGCGAGGGTAGTTTGAAAATTGACTTGGTAGTCTGTGCAGCTGGCAATGATGTCTTCCAATACCTTCAACCAGATGCTGAGCTGTGACCAGGTGTTGCCCTCAAGAGCGGGTCGGAGGAGAAGGGTAATTGCACCCCAGATCTCTGGAACAAAATGTGCCTCGGATTTTTTGCTGAGCATATCTGTGAACCGACCGATCAGATACTCCACTTTAATAGAGCTTCCGTTCGCCTGGGTGGTATTCAAGTAGTCGGTGACTGCTTTAGACACCTGGCGTCTGTCAACAAATTCAATACCGGCCAGTTTTGCAACTTCGAGGGCACTGGTCCGGACATCGTTTTGTCCGCTTAGCATAGACTTTACGACCACTTTGAACCAAGTCAGCGTCCTGGCCGCCATGACCTCTGGAGCTTGTCGCACGAGTTTCCGATAAACACGTAGTCGATAGGCCTGAACACCGTAGCCACTGACACGGTCTGTAATGTTCTCCAGAACGGCAAGAATTTTCTCGGCCCTGGTTGAGGTCATCGATCTTGTACTGAAATTCTGGAGGGTCAGGAGGCCGAGGTGGTGATTGACGGAGGATTTTGAGGATTCTGGGTCTTCCACGACTTGGATGACTCGGTCTATTGTAAAGGAGCAGAAGTCATCCGTCATGGCGGCCCCAGCTGCGGGTATCCGGACTAACGCCATGAGAAGCTTCAGTGCCTGATTGCTCAAGGTTGTATCCGGAGCTCCTGTGGCTGCAACAGCTACCATATCTCTTTGTATGAATTGGGACAGTAATCCCATCTTGTTTTCTAGAGACTTTTCATCTGGTTTATCCTCCAGGGCTTTCAGTGTGTTCGAAAGGCAGATATACGCGTCAAGACGTGGAGCCCTGAGGTCCTGCGCTAGCTGTTTCACTACCGACTCGAGCATCTCGGCGAACGAATGGAACGTGTGGGCGGATATTGGTTCTGAATCGGTGGAATTGAGATTGATCGACCGGCGGAAGGTTGTGTTCGGATCGTAGGGTTTGAGAATGGATTTCAAGGGTGCGGTAACTCGTGTTTGGGGTAGAGGCCTCAGAGGGGTTTGAGCGGGACTCCATTGGTGAGGTGGTGGTACCACTTCGTTGAAGTTGACCTGTTTCCTTCCCGCGACTCGAGACTGATCACTGTCCGCCGAAGACGATGGGGATTGCTCGGGCGGGGTGTCGACGAAGAGTTTCCGCTGAACTGGCTTCGACTCTATGGATTTCGATCGCGTGGGCTTCTCGTCGTCCTCAATGCTGAAGGGTGTGTCGAAGGCGGCTAGGATGTCGTCAATGTCCTGGTCGAGCTTTTTGTCTCTCGGGGGAGTCGGTGGTTGGCGGGCAAAGGAGAACACCATGGCTATGCGAGAAGAAACAAAGAGGCAAAGAAACGCGAAATGGACATAAGAGACACGGCGGGCATTGCACAGGATCGCGGGTGTAGTGGGAATACGACTTGATGAAAGTGGAAGGCTGGCAGGGTCCGCTTTCATGGAAATAGTAGAGTCGCGTCGAGGCGTCGCGCTCGTGAATTGTCCGTGCGCTAGTTCTACTCGGAATCTGGGGAAACGTCTGCACCGAGGGCAAATCACATTCATTCGCCAGGGAATGGTGAGAGTGTCGTGAGTGTCTCATTGAATCTTTGCTTTCACTCGATACCCCCTGGATTGTTCTGCATCTCCTCGGAGCGTTGTGATGCTCTTTCCCAAGCTGCCTGCCCGAGGTCTACACCTGCATATGCCCCTAAGCCACTCCTTCAGCTACAATTCATATGCACGAAACCGCGGGGTACGTTCTGGCATAAAGCTTGACGACACGACGTGTCCATCTTCTCCAATATCTTTGCTATATAGAGCCACCTCAATACTAATGCTAAACTGCAAACATATGGCACGATCCACCGTTGCCAGATATTCCCTCATAGCCATCTCCAGCATGACTATCACTATACATAGATCCATGTTTACAAGCAAGCTGTCGTCGCCGAATCACAAGTACTCCTAGGCATCGTATCACGCGCATCGCCAGGTGATGGTGGATATCGGACTGCAGACATGTCTCGAGGCATGAACCCTCATCACGAGCCGTTGCCCGCGCGCCTACTACCGTCTGAATTAATGCGCCAGCTGTCCTGATGATGATTTCCACAATGCACATGTGCTCGGAGCCCTGGTCGGTCACCGTTCTGCTGCCATGGCTTTGACGCATCCTTCAATAAAGGTGCGGGGACAGCCTGAAGCCGTTGCCGTCTCGCGTCTCGAGCTCCTTCATCAGCATCTATATGCTGCCTACCGCCACCCACGATCAACCACCTCCTACACGTCCATGCCAACATGGCTCCTGCCACCAAGAGCTCCGCCATGACGCCCTCCAGTGGCAAAGGTACGTCGTCAGCAATTCTCCAAGCTATACACAGCGCTGACATCGTCTAGCGAAGCTGGAACAAGTCACTTCAATCCTCGCGACACTGAAGACCGACCTCGAGCAGACGAACCTACTCCCTCACCGTAAGGCCGATACATTCCTAGACGCGGAGGCCGGACACGGGCAGTCGAACATGCGGCCAACTGAACTTATGCATATTCACAGAGCGGAACACCTTGCTAGAAGAACTCAAAGTCCATGGACGCGCTGCCGAGAACGCCGACCCCATATTTGCCCGGAACGTATGTACACGGAGGCTTGCTGTAGGAGGAGCGAGACTGACTCTGGAGTCGTGATAGGGAATTGAGATACTAGCACGCTATGGCTTCGAAAGCTCAAACTCGGCGACATCGCGAGAAGCACTCCGGTGTCTTGCAAACGCATTGTTACTACAGCCCAAGACCCGGCAAATGTTCGTGGACCTGGGTTTCGGAGACAAGGCTGCTGAGAAGGCGAAGGTAAGTTGTAAGGCCATACATCGGGAGAATATAGCTAATTCCCCTCTAGAGCGACAACACGGACGACGAGTTCCTCATCTCCCGAATCCTCTTTCTCCTGACCTACGATTCCGACCTCGACTTCGACTCCCTAGTGAGGTCGCATCAACTTGCTGAAAGCATCAACGCCGCCATCGCGCGGCATGCAAGGCGATACTCCAAGTCCTCCCGGCACCTCTCCTACGATAACCCCATGTCCATGAACACCATGGCCCTCTCCGAAACTCTCAAACTCCTGTTCAACATAACCCACCACTACCCCGACCTGCAACCCATGTTCACAAAGTCAATCCCGCACATCTTCAAAATCCTCGTCCGCCACAAAATCCCCTCTCCCCCCCTCGAGCAACCCGTCAACTACCTCATCAACGCCCTCCTCAACCTCGACCTCGAAGAAGGCGACAAAACCGCCAAATCCTTCTCCCACTCCGCCGTCTTCCCCAAATTCGATGCCAAATGCAACGCCGAGCACCTCATCAACATCCTCGACCAGGCCATCTCCGTGTATCCCGAAGCCCAGCTCGACCGCGTCGCCCCCCCCGTCCTGACCCTCATCCGCCGCGTCTACGAAATCGCCCCCGACGCCGTGCAGACGTACATGCAGTGGCTGCTGCTGCCCACCGACGACGAGCGCACGCGGCCCCTGGGCAAGAGCGACACCCTCTCCGCGCGCCTGCTGCGCCTCTCCACCTCCGCCATGTTGCCCACCCTGCGCGGCAACATCAGCAGCATGCTGTTCGAGCTGTCCGGGAAAGACGCCGCCAAGTTCGTGCACAACGTCGGGTACGGCTTCGCGTCGGGGTTTTTGCTGAGCCACAATATCGCCATGCCGGAGAGCGCGATGGACGCCTATGCGAATGGGACCGAGGGCGCGGAGAAGGGGGGCGTGCCGGTGAATCCGATTACCGGGCAGCGGCTGGATGCGGAGGAGGAGGAGCAGGGGCCGCCGATGACGCGCGAGGAGAAGGAGAGGGAGGCGGAGCGGTTGTTTGTGCTTTTTGAACGGTATGTTGGTTCCATGTTTGCGATTGTTATGCGATACTGACGATACGTTAGGCTCAAAGCTACAGGCGTTATGAACGTGGAGAATCCAGTTGCGCGAGCGGTGCAGGAGGGTCGATTCGAGGAGCTGGATGACGATGCTGATGAATGAACGATGGTCACGTGGTCAGGGTGTCATACGCGGACGCACGACGTGCAATCTTGCATTTAATCAGGGATGCATTGGTAGGTCCTCTCATTCAGGGCATCATGCCATTATGGTTGTATAGGGAGTACACATACCACGGAGTTGAATCCAATTCATTTTCGGTCATTCTTGAAACACGCCTACGCGCGATTGTGATGCTGCCAAAATGATCATTTTTGTCTACCGGAGTGGCTGATCTACAAGGAGCTACCACCAAAAGAGCATCCTCGGAAGGCTTCCAACATAGAGGAAGTGCCAGTCACCACCCTTTCATCCATCGTGCATGCATGAATCATGAGGTCCGTTCCAGTCTAAAAATGCAAACGCCATCATGCAACGTCATCAACAGTCGTGATGTGTCTCCCCCGAAAGCCGCCTACGCAGCCAATCCCATCAAAGAAAGAAAGGACAGAAAGGAAGAGTATCTCGCCAGATCTCGTCGATTGTGGTCGAGGCGATCATTGCAGGAGCGGATCCTAGGTCCCAGTTAGCACAGTCCCACCTCATTCTGATGATTCGAAGACTTACCCTGAAATGTTTCTGGAAGTTATGCTGCTTCTCGTTTCCAGCCTGGTACTTATTCCGCGCCCGCTGCTCCCTCCGCCTCTCCCGTTTTTCTGTCACATTGACAGCCTTCTTCGTAGCGTCGCTCACGCCAATCATGCCCAGGCCGCCATTCGCGCGTGTGATGAGCTCACCACCCTGCCGACCGCGACCGCGACGCTGCCCATCCATGCCGGTATCGCCATCGGAGTCTTCCTCGCCGCTTGAATCAGCTTCGATGCGGCGCTGGTACTGCTCCATGCGCTCCGAGGCACTGGGATGATTGCGCAGGTTCTGGCGGTAGTAGCGGTTGAGAGAGCGGTGGCCGGCGGTGCGGCCGGAGGGGAGGTGCAGCTCGAACTCGTCGTGGTAGACTGCGTGCGGAGTCGGATGAGCATGAGAATGCCAGCCATCACTGGCACGATGGGGCCGCGGGTCGCTGTGGGAGTGGTGGCGGGACTTGTTGAGGAGGGCGTAGCGGTGGGAATGATCATCGATAGGGACAGAGGTGATTTCGTCGGTGGGGACGTCGGAGAGGGTGCTATCGGTTTCCCAGCCCTCGTCTTCGACGCCGCCCATAGTCTCGTCACCGTTATGCGTTGTCTTGGTGGTGCGGGCTGCGCCAAGCTTGATACCGCCGCCGCTGGTGGTCGAGTCGGAGTCCTCGAAGTCTTCTTCGTCCGAGTAGGTGCTCCGGAAGTCGTAGAATTGGCCAATTTCGATAAGCTCGGTTTCGCCTTCGAAAGCGATCATGCAGTGGCCGCGATCTCGCATGTGCGTTTGGATTCCTACAGCGGTGTGGACTGCCTTGCCGCAGTAAAGGCACTCGTGAAAGTCGTTGATCTTGGTGTGGAGGTACTTGATCAGACCTTCGCTATCCGTGAGATAGTCCTTTTCTGGGATAAACATGCCGTGGATGCGGCCCATGTGCTCGATGTTCAGCGAGAAGTTCGGGGAACGATAGTTGCAGAACAAGCAGTTGACGAGGGGGTCCGTCTTGATTTTGTTGGCGGAGGCTGTCGACGTCGCATCATCTTTCTCCATGGCTGAAGAGCCGGTGTTATCCCTAGACAAGGGGTGCTCTGGTCGGTCGCCTGCAGCAGAGTGGTGTGGGCGCGTTGGCCGACGAGAAAGCGGCACCTCGCTCAGTGTCGTATTCTTGATCTTGTCCACCACCTTTGTAAATTCCTCCTCGACCTCGTCGTCCGCTGATTCGTCTATGGTAGGCTCGCCCAGAGAGAAAGCTGAGGACGTTACTGACGCCGTCTCATCGTCCCGTCCCACGGAGGCTCTAGATTTGTGTCCCCTCGCAACATTCGCTTTATGTTTCTGGCTGTTCAGGTGGTTGGCATAGGCGTTCTCGCTGAAGTACGACTTCTGGCATATCGAGCACGGCTTCTCGAAAGCGGCTTTGGCTGCGGTCGCGGCTGCAGAAGCCTTGTTGGCCAGCACCTTCTCGGCGAATATCTCTGCGGAGAGGGGGGGAAGGTTCGCGACTCTGCGCTTGAGATTGTACCGACTAGAGGAGGCGTGTTAATTGGAGCCTGGGTAGGTCTCGAAGAGAGTAGTAGAGAACATACTGCCAGTCGGCCTGCATATGAGCCCTCTGAAGCTCACTCGACCTGAATGCGACCTGGCAGGTGTTGCAGGTGAATGGATGGGTAGATTCGCGGCCTTGCTGTGACGGCTGGCTCGCCGTCAGCGGCTTCGGAGAGGCCAACATGGTATCGTTTCGGTAAAATGAGCAGCAGGTTAAGAGTATAGTGGAGGCTAAGGGGAGTTGTGAAGAGTGTGGTGAAAATGCAGGGACGACAGTGGGTTGGAGGGACCGCCGCTACCAGTGACGAGGAGGGGCAAAAAGGCCTTTCGGGGCGTCGGCAGGGCACTGTCTGGACAGCTTGAGATATAATAATCTACCAGAATGGTGCTCGGAAATCAAAGAGCATGACAGAGCACGAGCGAGGGGCAAACTCGGCGTTGCAGAGTGGCGAGATGGGATGAGCTCAAATTGGGCGTGTGCGGGATTATGGATGTGCTGGCTGGTGACGTCCCTTGGTCTTCAGCCTTGCGGACCCAGCCTTACGCACGTGACGCAGCACCAAGACCACCGAATCGCGTATCCCCATCGCCAGCCTCCTCCGCACTTCCTCTCATTCACCCCACGTCCCTTGGCGCCTGCTTCCCCAGCCTACGAGGAAGCCGAGGACAGCGGATGAAGCTTCCTACCATGTGTCTTCAGAGCCCCGTCATTCCGCCTGATCCCTCTTCGCCCTCAACTGCGACACGACTGCCTCTCCAGCAACAACCTCAGTCGCTTCGCCCAATAAGCCAGCAGTTACCCGAGCACGAATACCCAACATCTATGATATGACGTCCAAGTCGAGGAGAACCCGGAAACCTTCGAGCCATGAGATCCCTTCAATGACTGCTGCGTCCCTGGGCATAGGGGTCAGCAATAGAACCCGTCCACTTCTTTCAGAATCTTTGGCCGGCCGTATTGTTTCGGTGGAGGACCCAAGCAGGTTGTTAGACTCTGCGCATGCTTTGCGCCAATTGCGATTTCAGAATCTTGTTAGACGGTTCGTGCTGATGCTATTTCGTCTTGCAACTCTAGTAACCCACCTCCAGATACATCTCCCAGATTCAGTACGGATGCGAAGAGCCCTCATGCACCACTCCTACCTGCCTTAGCTGTAGAAAACGAGACACCAGCAAACCATTTAAAACGCCTACGCAGGTGACGGCTCGAGCGCTTGCTCATTATCTCGCCAGTCAGGACAACCCGCATGCTGGATTATGTCCCAATAAGCTCAACATCTTACCGTCGACCCTTGAAATTAGCGGCAAGCAAACTCGTGCAGCCACAGGAGATTGGGCGGATATACCTTACGGGAGCACGGTGTTTGGGAATGGTCGTTCACGCTCTCATGAGCGTATCATGCTTCAAAATGATTTAGCTGCTCCTCCCGCCAATGGGCGTCTTGATGTCCGATCTTCGAAGCCTTATGATTCCTCTGAGCGCCCGGAAAATACGTATTGGCAAGATGTCAACCGCCAGCATCAGGCAAAAAAAGACAACAAGTCATTAGGGCAGAACTTGTACGACACGGTTGCTGTGATCTGCTCGTTTTCAAAACATATACCAAGCCCCCCTGAGTCTCTTCACTCCCTGTCAAAGTATCGTGAGGATCCTCCATTGATCCATAGAAATCACACGTCACCGGCCAGTATCAACGCAAAAGCCGACAACTCAGACAGCGTGATGGACCATAATACTTCATCGCAATCCAAGAGCAGCTCTTCGATTGACTCACAGCCATCATGCAACGGTCACATGGCCAACGGGGTCAACGGACACGACAGCGGGCCGGCCAAGACCGGCTCGCACACTTTACCTATACTCAGTCGTCACCCTTCGAAGAAATCCCCCGGACGCTCCAACTCCCACATAACAACTGAGTATCACCCTGACGGACAAATAATCCGCAAGTTTACCCAACGTATACCCCACTATTCGAACGGCCAGGCCAGAACCACCGATCATCCCGGCCTTGACGGAGCTGGCGGTACCGATTTTGCCAAGTCTAGCACCATGGGTACGGCCAAACTCTCAAATGGCATTTCCATCAAGGGCGGGGAAACGAAAGATATCTCAAGGGCTGCGACTGCAGTGATACCAGACCATCAACGCTCGGAGCGAGACCAGCATTTGGAGCGAGCCTCAGATCGCCGCAAACAAGACAGAGTGGCTGTGCCAGTCACTTCACACCTCACGTGTGCTGTCATGGACGAACTTGCTAGCCACACTCGTGATTACCGGAGCGACGACGGAGAACCATCGGCCTTCTCATTTGTCGTCGATTACGACAAGAGAGCAAGACTTCGACCTAGTATGCCTTTCGTCAATCGATCCTTATACTATAGCCTAAGTGATCCCGCCACATTGTTGCGATCTTTTCGCGACGAAGAATGGAAAGAAGGAGCTCAATCACCTTTACCTCACCTCAATCCCAATCGCCTGAGCCACGCTTTTCGGTCTTGGAATCAGCGTAATGGATCACTTATTTTTGACAGCCTGTGGATTGCTACCGAGGCATTGTTTAATCCTCCCCCAGAGATCGTAGCCCAGAAAAGCCCAAGGATCCGAGCAGCGCGTAAGGCCCCTAACGTGGACGGGTTCGCCGATCTGCTCGTCTCCCCAAACTCGGACACGACCAAAGTCTACCTCAGCGATCTTGATGCAGCGCACATAGCCATGATTTGCATTCATGCTCTAACCTCCCTGGTTCCTGTTGGGTGGCCACACACTTGGGCAGAAGTCCGCAACCTACGATCGTGGGGGATCATTCTTCCACGGGCTCCCCATGACGTGCACAATCACATAGAGTACCAGTTCAAGCACCCTTGGCTCGGCATCATCGACGGGCTAGAATACGAACCAGCACTGAGACTGGCAGACCGACTGGTCCGGGGCATTGCTGCCCGCCGGTGCTTCTCGGAGATTTTGAAGACCATGTCCCGCCAGGCAGGCGAGCAACAAGACTCCAAGCAGTCCACTTTCGGGTTAATGGATGCTGTCGTCCAACATCTTGCGGTCGTAGAACAGCAAGCGAGTAAAAGCCGGTTCAACCTCGATACAGATCGCGATCCCGGCTGGACAGTAACTTCTGTTTTCCTAGAATGGTTAAGAACTATGATCATCAAACAATGGGACTGCAAATCCGAAGTTCACCGGTGGAGTTCCGTTGGAGGTGCCATTGAAATCATGGGTGATTTTTGTAGGTCTGGTCTTTTTCTCAACTCAATCTGGTTCTAATTGTTGCAGATGAGCATCGCGATTCTTTAAATCTATACAGCAACATGTTTCGGATCCATTATCTTCATGAACGCATGGATCAAGTCAACGCACCAACGGAATGGTTGAAGCGTTCACCTAATCCTAATACGCTCCACCTTTTATCGTACCCGTTCCTGTTCCATCCTCAGAGGGTAGTGTCCTTCTTCCGCACAGTTAATTATAGATCCATGTACAAAGAGTACGAGCGAACCGAGCGAACGCAACACCTCCGCCGACAACTGCATTTGTTCTATGACGACAGATTTTGGTTTGTGTTTGAGGACAAGCTTCAGGTTCTTTTCTCGCGATATCTGGTTCTAGATGTCACCAGAGCGGATCCATTAAAGGACACATTCGATCAGCTATGGGGATTGCAGAAGAGGCATTTTATGAAGCCTTTGAAGGTCAAACTAGGACACCACGAAGGTGAACAAGGACTAGATCAAGGCGGTGTCTCCCTTGAGTTTTTCCAAGTCATCCTAGCCGAGGTCTTTGATCCCAACAAAGGTTTGTTTTGTCATATCTGCTTGAGATGCGAAAATAAAGCTAAGCATATCAGGAATGTTCACCGTTGATCCGACTACTCGAATGACCTGGTTCCGACCGGGCTCTCTTGAACCTTTGTACCGCTACGAGCTCATCGGACTTCTCTTTTCATTGGCAATCTACAATGGAATCACTCTCCCAGTCACATTTCCAACTGCCTTCTATCGCCGCCTACTCGACAAACCTGTTACAGCCATATCTCATATCCGAGATGGGTGGCCTGAGCTTGCTAAGGGATTCGAGCAACTCCTCTCTTGGTCTGATGGTGACGTCGGCGACGTGTTCACTCGGACCTACTCCTTTAGTTTCGAGGCCAACGGGAAGCGAATCGATGTCGATATGAGAGCATCTCAGTCTGACCGTGAACCCTGTTCGAAAGAAGACAACAACGAAAACCTCACCAGCAAACCCTTCCCAACCTCCTTCTCCCATGACGGCCCTTGGCAAGACGAGTCTGAAGCACGGTTATTGAGAGGAAACGTGCCTCCTATTTCAGACAGCTCCCTACCCAAACTCATCGACGAGCTCGACGGATTGCTACCTGACGAGCAAAACGAAGCCGAACTCGTCACCAACGCCAACCGCAAGCAGTACGTCGACGACTACATTCACTACCTCACAGATTACAGCATCCGAACCCGCTTCAACGCCTTTGCCAAAGGCTTCTACACCTGCCTCGACTGGAAAGCTGTCAACATCTTCAACGAAGACGCGCTCAAGTTTCTTGTGGAAGGCCACCACGACATCGACATCGCCGCGCTCCGGGCTGCTACGAAGTACGAGGACGGCTACACGGCGTCGCACCCCACGGTCCTCGCTTTCTGGGATCTGGTCGAGACGTTCGACCTAGATGACAAGAGGCGGCTGCTGGAGTTTGTCACGGCGAGCGATAGAGTGCCTGTTGGCGGCGCGGCGAAGATGCAGTTCGCGATTGTGAGGAGTACAGCGCCGACGGAACAGCTGCCGACGAGTAGTACGTGCTTTGGACGGCTGAATCTGCCGGAGTACGAGACGAGGGAGAAGCTGGAGAAAAAGCTTCGGCTGGCGCTGGAGAACTCCAAGGGGTTCGGGGCCGTGTAGGGGGTTCCTCGTCACCGTACGATATGTGGGCGTGTGGGCATGTCGATAGGTCGACTTGTGGGCGTCCACGACCAGGTATCATTCTGCAGAAGCGGAGACGTTTGGTTTGGATTTCTTCTGGCGTTTTGGTACGGGCTAGAGTAGATGGGACTCGCCCGTTGTAGTATATTAGGTCTTTGGAAGAGCCTTTCATCAGTATTCAGTGTCATTTCTAAGGTACACTACTTCCCCTCATTTCTATCCACTACTGGTGCCTAGGTGTTCCCACAACAATTTGCTCTATAGGGTCGACTTAGCTGCGAAGTACCTGTCCAAACCTTCCATGACCTTCCATGCCCTTCCACGCCGCAGAATCTGCGCTGTTGGCTAGATGAGCGTCCCGCGCAGAGCGGCGCTTCTGATTGACCGACAAGCTGACTAATCCCTGACTTATCCTTGGCAGACTCTGGTCTCCTCGAGTATAAAAGGACCAGGTCGCCCACTCCACCAAGTTTTTTTTTCCTTCATCGATTCTCGACTCGATCAAGAGTGATGGCTGGAATAAGCCCCTCGGCATTTCGGAGCTGAGGTGGGCCCAAACCAATGCCACGGCATGCGCACAGACTGCTATGCAGAGTACTTGCTGCGTATGATCACTCTCCCTTCCGCAACAACTTTCGACCCGGGGGCATTGGTTTTCTGGCCTTGTGCTGGAGGCTGAAGCCCTTTTGAGAAACTTTTTTGATGTTCTTTGCTTTGGGGGTTTTGGCGGGATGAAGGTGGAGGCGGTTGATGATGAATGGTGGTGATGCCCTGCGCGGGTTGTAATGCTGATGATTGTTGTCTTCGCTTGATAATGCTGAGCACGCACTAAAAATAGTAATGGCCAGCAGAGAGTGCACCCAAAGCGACAAGCTGATGCCGCGCAGCTGGAGTTTACGTATACTATCACGTGTATTAGCACTGGTATTAGCCGCATTGAGACAAGGCCGTGTGGCCGTACATTTTAAGACCACCTCCTCCCGACCTGACGCAATACCTTCACTTCACCTTTACAAAACTACATATGCTCCCAACGACTTATCCTAAATGTGCTTACGCGTTTTATGACAGCACCGAGACATAGGTTTGGGCACTTCTTGCCATTGGCTGGGATACCCCGACAGGCTTTAGAAACTCCGAATACGATGTAAAGGAGAACGCAGTGCAAATTAGACTATGTTTTTACTAACTGAAGACAAGTTACCTAGAGCGCTCCTTACAGTGGTATGAAGAGAGCAAGAGCGAAGCCATAGCAGTGGTATAGCCGTGTGCCCAGGCTTATGACCTAGTGCTGCACATTCTACGCTAGCCATACAAATTCTTGCCTCTGTTCATCGCAAGACCGCGAGGTACTCCGTTACAAATGGATTGGCGCCAACTCCCAACTGCTTGCTCAATTGAAGGCGACCCAAATTACCAAGACTGCCGGCTGCCTCGCGATGAAGCGATAGGATTGGGTTTAATTCAAGAACCTGCGTCTGATGAAGCAATCAGCTTATCAGATCTTCCCGAGTTTCAATACTTACCTCTACTCGACCCTCGTCGCTCCATTCGCGTTCTATGTCTCGAAGGACCTCGACGGGTGCAGGGTCATCATCAGGAAACGGTACCGTCTGCATCTTTCCATCATTTCCCACTAGTTGCAAAATTGCCGTTCATTGCTCTTTCGTATGCTTGGGGAAATCCTGAAAAGAAATGTCCGATCCTGCTGAACGATTGCCTTTTCTGGGTGACCGAAAGTCTCGCCAGTGCTTTGGAACGCTTTCAAGAGCAAGACCGCATGCTGCCACTATGGGCTGATGCTATTTGTATAAACCAAGAGGACCTCAAGGAAAAGGGACCGCACGACTAGTACTCGGCTGGATCGGCCCTGTTGCCGATGACAGCGACGTGGCGCTGAAGTCACTCGCGCACATTGGCCGTGAGCTGCCAGGTGGATTAGCATCATCGTATGAGGAAAGGTACCGATGGTTTACGGACCTAGTCCCTGAAGATGAAACGAACCCCGAGTATGCCTTTCCAGTGGCAGCTATTGTGGCACTTGTCAACCGACCGTGGTGGCGACGAATCTAGGTAGCTCAAGAGGTGGCGTTATCAAAGATCTTCCACGTAATATCCGGCGAATCTTCCGTTCACTTCGAACTTGCTATCATTGCCTTCCGCCTTCTAGCTCAGCTTCCGGTCCTCAGTATCAACTATGGCCGTTCTCTGAGCAACCATATCAAGCAGTTCATCCCTATTTCGAAATGCAGACCAAGACTCCTAGAAGCAGTCTCACCTAGGCAAGGCCATCGCCCACAGCCACTCAACTCGAGAATCCTCGACACATGGGACATGGACGCGACAGATGCTAGAGACCGTATATTCGGACTTCTAGGAATGGCGAGTGACGTGGAGGAACTTGGTATACGAGCGGACTATACAAAGCCTTGCTCTGACATATACACGACCGTCGCCGCGGCCTTTCTAGAGCGCCAGAAGAACATACAGATTCTATCGAGATGCCGCTTCCCCAAGAAACAGCTCAACTTGCCGACGTGGGTCCCGGACTGGTCCGATTTTCCTCTGTCGTATCTCTGGAATGCATATTTCAGTCTCTTCTCTGCCGGGAAATGCGCCCGTAAGCAAACGCTCCGCGTGTCAGGCAACTCGCTCATTATTCTCGGGGCCAGTGTCGACGTCGTGGGTATAGTGGGTTGGTCATGGGACTCAGCGATCGTAAAAGAAGCGAACGACACAACTATCACAGCACAAAAGGGCCTAGGCGAAATCACTACCCTCGTTAGCACAAACTGCGCCGCGTATCCAACGGCCGAAGCCAGAGAAGATGCCGTCTGGCGGACATCCATCTTGGATCAGGATATCGCAATGCTCGGTAAGGCAGATAGATGGAGTCGGCGAGCTACGCCACTTATGCATAGCGGATTCAAAGCATTCTATGGATCTGGGCTATGGCCCAACGCTGAGCAACACCACGCAGTAGCTACTTTCGTCGGGGCTATGGTAGCCGCCAATGAGGACCGCCGGTATTTTACGACGAGGGGAGGCTATCTCGGTATTGGTCCTGTGGGCATTCGTAGCGGCGATCTAGTTTGTATCATCCTTGATGCCGATGTGCCGTTTGTACTCCGAAAAAGTGCAGCCAATGGTGCCGGAAATGCTCAATTCGAGCTCGTCGGAGAATGCTACGTTCACGGAATCATGGATGGGGAGTTCCTGAGGAGTAATCCTGAGATTCTAGAATTTACTTTAGTGTAGTCTCCCTTGTTGAGGGATCCAAACTTGAATGATTTGAAGCAGAGTATACTGGAAGATGGACGTAGGGATTTTGAGGGAAACGAGAAGTCTTTGCGAGTGCTGGGTAGGGATGAATGGACATAGTGAATGGGGTCACGTGCGACGCAGAAGTACTGTCTGTCTCGGGTGTTCTACTACTATGACGGCCCATCTATTCACTGGGTAGTACAGTACTAGATCATAGTTTTGGGCACACGGATCTATCACTGCTCCGGCTCTACTCTTGCTCGCTCGACACCAATGTAAGGCGTAGTTTCCATAACGTTGGATTTACTTCGAATTTGGATAAAAGCCTATCGGGGCGCACCAAGCAGTTACAAGGAGTGCCCAAACCTATGTATTGGTACTGTAAGCTGCCCACCTCGTTAAAGGTGAATATCCCAGACAGTCCTTCTGCCATGGGCCCTCGTTTGACCTAGACACATCAAAAGAGTGATATGGCGTCGCCTGGGCTTTATGATCTACAGCGGAGCTACCTTTCCCGTCATCAGCTGAAAAGCAAGCATCTTGGCTTGTGTGTGCCAGCTTCAGCCTCGCCGCAAGGCTGAAGTGGGCCTTGACATTCCGCCTATACAAAAGTCGAGCCGAGGAGTTCGGATTGGCTGTTCGCTAATGATCATTGGATACTACACGGCTTGCCCTGCTCATGTGCGCATTTAATCAAATTGCGCCCAGTATTGTGGCTGTTGAAATGAGTTGCCAAGGAACTGTGGCGCCCCTGATCAGGAAATACGCACCCTTTGAATGGTGCCCTCGCGCTTATGCCTGGTCTTCCAATATATCTCAGATACCGCTTGATATCTGCTGAGGGTGTCATAAAGTCACCAGAGCTTTCTATGTATTCTTAAGCTCGCCCAGCATCATTCTTCGTTTTCGTCTACGATGATCATTATGACTTCTACAAAACTGCTTTTACTAGTAACCTGCTGCTCCATCTTAGTCTCACTCCCGCAACCAGCCCTCGCAGCCACTGTCCAAAGCCCGAACTGTCATATCCATGGCGACCCAGACGTCTATGGCCCTGGCATCCGCTACGGCTTCTACCTGCAATGGGCCGCGATCCTCATCTTCCAATTCTTCGTGCCCTCACACGCAGACACCATACGCCCCGCCTCTGCCATCACGGTCCTAGCCGTCTACATCAACACCTTCCGCAACTTCTTCCACGACTCCCTCGTCGCGATTGACTGGCCAATGCTCTGGTACCTAACAGCCATCCTCGTCGTCTGGAACCTCCCATCCTCGATGAACGCACTGGCACGCACAGGCGGCTCTCTTTTCGTCGTCATGATAATCCTGTCGGTCTACTACCTAGCATCTCCCTGGGTCATCTTCCGCGCGTGGGACTTCGGCATACAGCACCACTGCGTCGTCAAATCCTTCTTCTTCGTCCCCATCAGCAGCACCGCCCATGGCTGGGGTCACATTCCTCAAAGTTGGCTGGAGCTTGGGCGTCGTCATCGGCGTGGTGTTGGTCTTGGTCGGCATCTCGGCGCTGTCGATGTGGGCGACGTCGTGGGACAAGGACTTTGCTAGCGAGAAGAAAGGACCGAACCCGGTTTCGGTTTCTGGGGCTTTCTGACGCTTGGGACTGGTGCGGTTGCGATTGCGTTTGCGGAGATGACGATCAAGGTTAATGGTATCACTTTTCCTGGCACTGAATAATCTAAGGCTTTAATGTTAGCCAATGGTATAGTACTAGGACATAGTTTTGGGCGCGCCGCATGTCTTATTTCTTGCCGATTTATAGTAAGGTGCTGAAGCACCACAAACAGCGGCGAGTAGGCCGAACACCAGCGCGTGAATGTTCTCTGATAAAAGCTTTCAGGAACTTCACATCTTATCAAAACTTTTAAAACGCGCCGAAACACCGTCAACGGTGGTGAGAAAGTATACCCAGACTCTTGGCAAGTTACTGTATCACTGCTCACTCATTCACTGGGTAGTGCTCTCAGGAGGCAGTCGGATCTTGGTGGCACACTAAGCTTGCCAACTCGGTAAGGATGAATGTAGCAAACAGTCCTCCTACCATGGGCCTTGGTTTGGCCTAGACGCGTCAGAAAGAGTGAAATGCTGTTGCCTAGGCTTTATAACCTGCAGCGGAACTAACTACCTCCCCTGTCATCAGCTGAAGAGCAAGCATGTGTGCCAACTTCAGCCTTGCGACAAAACTGAAGTGGTCCGTCTTCTGCTTTATCAGGTTTCACACCTTCGCTTGACCGGTCACAGCATTTGAAAGTGTGCCTCGCTCTCTGCTGAGTTTCTCTTCTCGAACAATTAACTTCTTCTCATATACTACACTTGGACTGCTCGAGCTCCGTTCTGCTCGCCTCGAATCAACATCTGCGCCAACCTCAATAGTACAGTACCAAGACATAAGTTTGGACAGTCCTTACAATTGTTTTGGGGTTCCCTAGTAGGCTATTAAAAGGCCAAATACAATGTAAAGTCAACGCAGTGGAAGGAAGACTATCTTTTAACAAAGCTAACACCTGCTAGCTTGGGCAATCCTTACAGTGGTGTCGAGCGAGCAAGAGTGGGGCTAGAAAGTGATATATCTATCCGTGTGCCCAGACTTATAACCTAGCACTGTACGCCATTTGGGCACGATGGCGTCGGACGCCTGAAAGAAGAACAGTCTCAGCCCGCTGCTGTAACCTACCTGCGCGTCGAAGAAGAGCCTTTTCAGTACCCTCCCCTCCCGAATGGGCACTCAATACGAGTACTTCTTCTTCACCACGATAAGGATAACGACCCGATCCACTGCACCATCGAAACTATGTCTCTTCGGACACCGGTCACATACCTTGCCCTATCGTATGTCTGGGGTGACGCCACTCAGCAAATCCCAATTCGGCTGGAAGGAGAGAACCACTGCCGAGATCCGAATTCTCGCCCAGTCACTATCAGAAAGAACCTGGGCGCTTTTCTGCACTTCCTCCGATGCAACTACGACATGATCCTTCGGCACATCGGCAAAGGCATGGAACTCCGACTGTGGGCCGACGCCATCTGTATTAACCAGGAAGATCTGGATGAGCGCACCTCGCAAGTACGTATGATGAAGAACATTTTCGAATCCGCGGAACATGTCCTTGCGTGGCTGGGACCCGACGACGCCGACATCGAGCCTGGCGTGCTGAAGATGTTAGAGGTACACAAGATCCGGCCTGGAGCCCGTGTATGGGATGCAGCTGATATGTCAAGCGAATTAACGCAATTCTTCCGGCATGAACTGAACACAGACTTCGCCGGCGGGTGGAAATCTCTACGGGCATTCTACGACTTGGAGCATTGGGCAAGAATTTGGGTGCATCAAGAATGTTGTTTGGACGTGCCAACAACCTTCATTTGTGCGACGCACTTGCTCCCGCGAGAGATGCTTTTAGATTTGTATCATATACTTGAGGAAGCAGACGCTCTCGGAGTCGCTCCAAACATTCTTCCGTCAAATACAAGTCTCCTCTCAATCTTCAATGCAATTGAAGAAAGGCACATCTTCGCGCGAGACTCGCCCGAGTATAGCCTCGTTCGAACAGCATTCACCAAGCAGCACTGCGCTGCTACGGATCCCAGGGATAAGGTGTACGCCATCGTGGGTCTGGCCAACGATTGCGAGAACTCCGCGTTTCTTCAGATCGACTATAACCGGCCAGTTGCTGAAGTATATCGAGACGTAGTGCTTCACGACTTCTATACAAACATGTCGTTTGGCTGGCTGGCATTTGCGGGGCCACCCGAATCCTCCAACTTGTCCTTGCCCTCTTGGGTTCCGGATTGGAGCTACAGGCATTCCGGAAATTTGCCCTTTCCGATGGTGAAATCGCTTGAAGAAGATGATGGAGCACCTAAAGACCTGTCATATCGAGCAAGCTCGAATATGGACACCGTTGATGCTCCAAAGCGTTGGCCTCCAAGAGGCTCTGAGTTCAAGAAACAATTTTTGCGACTTCGTGCGCATTGCGTCGGACGTCTAGTGGAACAACGTCCGTTGCCCGTTGCAGAAGCCGGTCGATGTGCTCTTGATGAGCTGCCGTACAGGAACGGCAGTGGAGCTTATACTCCCTCATCCGAAAGCTTTTGCGAAGCGTTTCTGCGAACAATCACAGCCGATGTCTTGATTGAGAATGGCGTTCCGACTTTGCGCAAGCACTCGGGTTGCAGCACTACAACCTAGGGTCAGCAACTCATATGCAGTAACGTATCAGGATAGCATGCTGATACAGGAGGAAGTAACAGGTAGTGCAACAGCAGTGCTGCAGCACGGTATCAGTACTGTATCAGGAAACAGGATGAATCAAGTAACGCGTCAGGAAGAGATACCACGTTATGCCCCCGGGGCTGGCCCCCCTCCTTCCCCTAGTATATAAACAACGAGCTAGACACCCATAGAAATCAGAGTTCACATCAATTTCAACCTGAGTCAAGCCGCAGTATCTCGAAGAGCATTTGTCTCATCTCGAGCCTGGAGCTGATCTGGTAGGGATAGTACAGTCCGCTTCCCCCACGGAAAGTGAGCGTCGCCGCAGGGATGCATACGAGAGCCTGTATTCTGCAACTTACAAGCGGTCTCTCGTCTTTACCGACACCGGCTACATGGGATTGGCCCCCGAATACGCCCAAACGGAGGACACGATCTGGATGTTTCTCGGTGCTCCAGTGTTCTACGTCCTCCGGGAGACGGGGACGCGGACGAATCCTTGGGAGGAACCTGAATATACCTTCATCGGGGAAGCGTATATCCACGGCCTCATGGATGGAGAAGCACTGGCGGTAGTAGAAGTTGACCGCGCACAGCTTCAACAGATCGTGGTGAGGTGAAGGCAGTGGCGAATTGGGTTCAAAAAGCGCGGGGGATGCTGTCGACTGGGTGGGAAAGGAAATGAACGTCATAGCACCTGTTTTGAGCCAGATTGGGAGAGCAAGACGGGGCTGAACCTATCCCCATCGTAAAGTCCTAGAAGAGGTACGCGGCGGCGTTAATATGGGCTGGCTCCTGGACACCTTGCTTGTAGAGACGGTGGTCGGCTTAGGGATCTATGCTGCGTCATTGTGTGTTAATATCGACGAAGGTTACATCGTGGTCTTAGCAGAGTGAAACTCGTGTGTAGGATCAGCGACCCTTTCGAAAGAATGCAAAACGGAAATGTCCAAGCAGGTTTTAAACCCAGGACTTTCAAGGAGCAAAACCTGGGGCTCACGACGGTGAGCCCACTACCTTTCGATAGCCGTAGGAGAAAAGTGCGGAAAACAACTTCTTTCAGCAATTAACCTGCAAGCGCTGAAGAGAACTTAATAAATAATTAACCACTAGATTGATCAAATCTGAGAGGTGCAGAAAACAATGTGAATATATACCTAGTGATTACTCGCCTTTCCACATGTTCGGGCCGTAGTATCTCCGGGTTTTCGCACTTTCCACCGCTCCTAGAAGGAGAGCAGGGACGGGGGTGGCAGTGAAGGTGGATCCGGGGTCGTGTGGTTAGGTGGACCTAGGGATCGTGAAATGGAGGAGGGAGAGGAGGGAAAGTTGTTTAATGCATCAAGCACAGTGTCGGCGCTCGGTGATGCCCCATCTCTGGATGTGTCGATACCGGGGTCGTCTTTGGATTTTTCGGATGTACAGTAAATATGTCGTGTCTGAATCTCTTGGTAATTTGAATACTGGACAATGACGCTCACATGTTTTACAGAATATAGTATTAAATACAGTTTTGCTTATACCACATCTCGTGGCACCATAAAACTAGAGCAGTAGGGGTAAGGAGGTTGGAGTGATACCACGTGATCAAATCTAGATGAATTATTCTTGACAATTTTGAAAGTTCGAGGGCTCCAAACTTATCTAGCTCTATCAATCTCTATATTATTGGCAATTGAAACGTAATGCCACTTTCGAACCACGTGTGACTTACGAAGTTAAAGCAGAAAACCACCTGGCCGTAGATCTATCTTGCGGTTGGTTGAAGCCCGAGCTCCGAAATGTATCAATGGAGAGAGTGCAGAAGCCTGAAACATGCTCACACCTGTCCACCAACATCTTAGCCTAATTGTTTTTCCCGTTCCTTATTCTTAGACCCTTGAGGGACGGAACTAGATCCACCGGCTTAGAACCGGCACCGGAGCCGGTCAGTCCGGCCGACTGACTTCAAAACCAGATTACAGCCCCAAATCGCAGTTCGCACTAATATGTGTGCCGTATCTCTACAAACCGAGCACATCATATTTTATCAAAATATTGCGGCATCATAATGCTTCTATAAAGCGGCGTTAAAGTGACATAGACCACGTCTTGCTATTCATCTTTCCGTTGGCTCCACGGCCTAAGCTTCCATACCTTCCTCCAGCCCCTCTTCGCTTTCGAGGCCGTCACTTCTTCCCATTCCATCTCGCAAGTCTCCCGCTCACCACCGATTTCCTCCGCAAAGTGCGGGGGTCTAACGGTTCTGAGCGTCGTAAAAGAGCACCGAGCTGGAGTCTGGCCGCCTGGTGTGATAACGCCCCACTGGACGGGCAAGAGACTCGCGTCTATATCCTCGGTTGGGCGATGGCAGGTGGCGCTAATGACAATGCTGCATGTAGACGCTAGCGGAATCCCGCTCGAGACCTTTTTGCAAGATATAAAAAGGATAATGAGGACCATAGCTGTGCCGAATGATATTGCTATGCTTCCGTATTAGATCTACGAAGGGTGACTGGTGAGAAGGGATTACGAACAAATAACTGCAGCGCTAGTACTGTACCCAGTAACCGCCGTATAAGAGTTGGATATATCCTCGACGAGGTTTGGAAGATATGCGATCGTGCTGACAACGAAGATGCTCTGTGATACCAGCCAGTGCAGCGTTGTGTTGGCGGCCATAAGAGGGATGCCGTATTTGTAAGGCATTGAAACGAAGTACGAGGACCTTTGGATTCCGCGTGGATGCGTGACTCGTAGGGTCTTCCGGTCAGTGGCATAGCCGCTCCATTCGTCGCTTACAAGCATGCAGGTCAAGAGAGCATTGTAGGCGAGATATAGAAACGAAATGATGACCTGCCACATATTTGCCCAGATGACGTTTGCGATGAAGCCTTGCGTTCCCTGATACGCGGTTGGATTGCGGAATTCGGTTGAGTAGTATGGGGGCACGTACGTATTTCGGCATGAAGTAAGCTGTGAAAGAGTCGGGAGCCGGGCGCCCGATGCTTTGTTTCATTTGCCACGAGAAAGTCTTCTCACGACTCGGTTTTTGTGTACCATGGCTGCCAGGGATTGCTGAAGCCAATGCTACAGCTATTGCAAGTGTACACCTGTGCAATCTTAGAAATGGGTTGATCTATACATTATTTCTGAACGCATCATGCGAACAAGGTGATAGTTACAGAGATGAAAGTCGGAGGAAAGGCATCAAAGTAAAGCATGCAGCTAATCATAGTTTCGAATGAAGATGAGAATGAAAGTGATAACTTACACAGTCATCGTAAAAATCCATCGCCTCGCACTTGGGCCTGAATACCAGCGCTGTGTCTTCGGCGGAAGCCACATAATCTCACTACGCTCTGTCCAGACACGGGACTGGTGGCTTCTAAACATAGACTTAGTGACAGGACCCATATGAGCAGACGCATCGTCGGGATCATCAAGAAAGGACGCTATAGCGTCGCCGACGGTACTTAGTGTTGGCTGCTTATGCAACAAGGCTGTCATCAGGATGCACACACATTTGAGAGTGCTAAAGCAAACAATTGCTTTTCTTGTTAGTGAATAGCTTCTACTGGGGTTGGGTGATTACCTATGAAAATACCAGGTGAGTAGTTAATCCTGCAATGGCCGCTATCTAGTCGCTCACTCAAGCAGTACAAGACTGTTCGATTGAACCTCTTCCAATTATCGTATTGCGATTGTGAATTTCTCGATAAATCGATGCAAGTTGGGTTCATGGGAGCGTTGTTTCCTTGGAACTCACTGTTGCACGGATAGTACCGACTCCATCCGCCATATTGTGCTTGCCAGTAGATATACTAATGTACTGAAGAGTTTTGATCCCCTGGAAAATCTTCTGTGACGACGACTAGACTCGTTCGAGCTGCGAAAACATTCGAGTATTTTTCGATACAGCCTCTGTTAGAAAGCTTCTCATATACAGAGCTGTTGGGCGCATTCGCTTGGATTCTCAGGAACGCTTGCGTGCTGTTCCATATAGCTGTTGAAGGCCAGTTGTTAAAACGTGGGTCTACCCCAACAGTCGAAATTTCTGTCCAATTCCCAATTTGAGCGCCATGAAGAAAGCTTTCGCTTGCAACGATAGTAGCGTATCCATATTGCGCGATGGAGGTAGATATTGCAGAGTTGTATCTGGTCCCAACACGTCAGCTGTCTCTGCAACGGTAGGTCTATTGAAAATCTTTCCGGAAGGGCCTCACATGAAATGGAGCGGTATCGAGCTCAGCCCCAAGCAGAACCACAGTCGCCTCCGACTACTTCCGATATATCTCAAGTTCCTCCAGCTCGGGACTCCAACATCGAGCCAAATCTTTTTCCGGTGCGCTTTATTGACTTCATCCCTCGTCGGCGCAACTAATAATTGCGTACACAAGTTGGAGGCACCGAGCAACAGAGTAGAAAGAATGTTGATGCAAAGATGTGAAACTATGCCGGTAATTCTGACCCGTGTACAGTCGCCTTCGTACAGAGACACGACACCTCTATACGATGTACTACCGTATTTGGCGCTGAAAACTATGAGACAGGCTACGTTGACGGCTAGGACGATAGTGGACGTTATAAAACCCGTCCAGAGAACCACTTCACGTTTCGAATGCCACGTTCTCCAGCCGCGAGCTCTTTTGTGAGAAGGGTCGACATCCGGAAACCAGGGGGCTAATAGCTCGACTTGGCCGAAACGTACGTCCCGGAGAACGGATTTGTTAGAGGCTGACGTAGAATTAAGAGAGGATAGACGGCCTTCTCGCTCATCTGAAGCCCCACGAGATGTTGATATATCTCTCAAGTTCTCAGAGCCCGGTCCTAGGCCCGGCGGCTGGGTAGTCATTTGTGCATCGGCGTCTCTAGGATCATTTGGATTGAGGTCCTTTCCGCTCTGATGGATGTCGGCTGTTGCTGCGTGCGATTGTTCTTCATCTTGACCAAGCAGTAATTGAGCAGAGTCGGAGACGACGGATATTGAGTCTTGCCTAACGTCTGCGCTATTAGTTGTGTTGGTCATACCGGTTGTGCGAGGAGGGAAGAACAATATTCAAATGATCTCGTCGTGGAATGTTCCTTAGATTCTTCGACAACGCGGGATAAATAAAGTTCTAGCATCTTCGCAAGGTTGTGCGATAGCCTTCTGGCCCCCGGCGCTTAGTTCAGCGAGGTGAAGTCAGGTGCAAGCAAAGAGAGGCATCACCGCAAGGCTGAAACGATGGCTTTTTCAGCTTCAGCGCGTATGCATCTCATCGAACCTGCATCGTATTGAATGCTGACGGCTTTGGAGGCGAACATGCTCCTGAATGGGGCGACTTCGTTTGGGAACTGTACTCGGCGAACAGTTGATTGATGGCTTTGTAGTTGATGGATGAGGTTTTTGATCGCTGAACGCTGTACGGAAGCACGTGATCAAGTAGAGTTAGAAGGCAGCCGATCACTAGCACTCGTGGTAGAAAGAATGACAGCTAAAGATATGTAAGTGTGAGAAAAAAGATCTAATTTAGCATTGGAATCATCTATTTTTCGTTAAAGGGAGTTCAATATGTACGCACTAAACACCAGCCGCTCACTCAACACGCTCTAATACACCTCCAACACATATCTCTGCGCCTCCTTCAGCGTCTCAATCTCACGCCTGCTATCCACCTTCTTGCCACCCTTGCCATGCTGAGATGCATGCTGTACCTCGATCGCCTCCTGCAGCACCTCCGTGACATCAGGTACCGGCCACGTAGGACCGCAAAGGTAGAAGCTTCCTTCGTTCTTGAGATAGGCAGTGCGAATATCGCCGAGAGTTTGTCGCATGCGGTCCTGGATGTAGATCTTCTGCGGCTGGTCTCTGCTGAAGGCGCGTCCAAGGAGAGTGATGATGCCGGCGTCTTGGTACGCCTCCCATTCTTCGCCGTAGAGATATTCTTCGCGTTGGTGCCGGGAGCCCATGTACAGCAGGAGATCGCCAATTTCGTGGCCTTGCTGCTTCTGGTACGCGCGTTCCTGAACGAAAGCACGGAAAGGTGCCAGACCCGTACCGAGACCGGCCATGATGATTGGTGCAGTGGTCTTGGAAGGTAATTTCATGACGGAAGGCTTGACGGAAACCGTGACGGGCGAGCCAACGGCCAAACCGTTGAGGTAGCGAGTAGCCTGGCCAAAGCGATCACGGCCCTTAGGGTCAACCCAGTTGACGGTGACGATGAGAAGCGAGACCGAGTTAGGCGTAACATTTTGAGACGAGGCAATGGAGTATTCACGTCGCTTCATAGGAGTGACAATGCGCACAATGTCGTGGAAGGCAGGGTGCGCCGAGGAGAATTCGAGAAGAATATCAGCGTACGTGACAGTGTCAACCTCCGCACGGCGCTTGAACTCGCCAGCACCTTCAGGACCACCGAGAGTGAGAAGAGTCTTCCGTTCGTTTTCATCGTCCGCGAACTCGGATAGCGCTTCGTAAAAGCGCTTTGGAGGCTTGCCAAATATGTCGATGTTCTGAATGAGGGATTGATACACAGTGCGATTCTCCAGGACGTTCGGGTCTTCGCGGGACGGAACTTCAACGATCTCATCCGCGTTAAGGCCATACCATTTGATGAACTCCTCGACCTCGGCCTTGTCGTTCTCAGCATGAATGCCCAGGGCTTCACCGATCGCGTATTTGAGTCCGGATGTGCCCAGGTCGAATTCAATATGGAAGATGTTGCGATCGTACGACTCCGGAGTGAGGCGGCGGTGCTCCTTCACAGTTGCAACAGCAGTTTTGATTCCTAGATCTGGTCGGAGAGCAGGAGTAGTGCCGAAGGCCTCCTTGAAGGCCAAACCCTTGGCGACAACCTGCCACGACTTGAGGAGGCTGGGTGGCTCAGGCTCAATGCGGTCGAAAGAAACGAAGCTGTTCACGTTGATATCTGCGGGTATATCAAGGCTTTCGGCCTCCGACTCAATGGTAGCCCAAGACTCCGGCACTTCGATCTCTCGAAGGCAAATCTGAAGATCACCAACAAGAGCATTGATGGTTTCGAAACCGCCGTTGAGAGTGGCAAGCTTTTCTACGTCCGTAGAGAACGTGTTCTCCCGAGCCACCTTCAAGAAGGCTAGCTGGGCGAGATAGTTCTCAAGACTTGGGTCTGCGGACACGGCCTCTGAAAGTGTGGGATCGAGTACGAAGAGTTCCACGTCTCTCGAGAAAAGACCTTTTCGGAGTGTGGGTGAGAGTCTCTTTTCAATGTCTTCGTCTCTGAGTCCAGCTAGTTTGACAATGATAGAACTGTCCGTTTTGAGACTGGCCAAAACATCAAATTCTTTCAACAAGGTCTCATCTCCTACGAAGCTGACGTCGGCCTGTTCGACCGAATATGAGGCTTCGATTGCATAACTTGAGTTTCGCAGGTCTGTGCGAATAGTACCGCCGTGGACAAGGTTGTCGTGTCCCGTACGAACCAGAACGTTAGTAGATGAGTCCAAGGAGAAGAGTTTTCCAACCACGACCGGTGCGTTGACAGCAGGAGACTCGTCCAAGTCCCAGAAGCTATACTGACGCACGGTTGAGCTGTCAACGATGTCAACATATGAGGGAAGCTGGTCAGCCTCTTCCACTGGAAGATACGTGGCCCGGAAAGCATCTAAAATGCCGCTCGGAGTCCACACCTCCTCCCTGGAGTACTTGATTTCGCTGACTCGAGTAGTTGCATCTATAGCAGAGAATTGCACGGCGGCCAAGACATCGGAATACAGTCGAGAGTGCTGTGCTCTGTCCAGAGTACTGGAAGCATCCTCGACCTGGCCGAGAACAGAGATGTACTTTGTCGATTTGGGGAGAGCCTCCAAGAAGGCTTCCTCGACAAAAGGTCGGTATACGCGGACGTTGATGGCGCCGACTTTGCAACCTTGCTTCACCAGGGCTGCAGCTACTTGAGCAGCCAATGAGGCTTCGACAGTGCCAAAGACAACCAAGACGGTGTCCGGAGTCTCGTGGCCGTAGTATTCGAAGAGCTCATAATCGGTTCCAAATTCGTCATTGAAAACCTTCAGTAGACGAACTGCTTGGCCCTCGTGATCAGAGTGTTTCTTCTCCAGGCCAGACGTAGCCTCCAAAATAGCTTTATAGTTGTTGTAAAGGCCAGCTTGGTCTAGAACATCAACGACCCTTGTAGTCTCCCTTCCAACACTGATCCCATCGTAGGTGTGAATTGTAGGAATGATGGTAGAGAGCAAAGTGGCGAACAGAGCCATATGCTGGATCTCGAACGCCGAGGTGCTCGAGACAAGACCCAATCCCAGATCATCCGCCAGGGTCAACGAAGAGACATAGTCGGTGATGAGCCCAGTAGCAGAGCTACCAGCATAGTCTGCAGCCGAAACATGTGCAACCAATGGATTTGCGACCGAGTATAGCAGCGACAGCTGGTCGAGAGCGGGTCGGAGGTGGTTCAGCGTGAAAGGAGAGGCAATCACAGCCTGAGGAATGTGGCGCTTCTTCAAGTCGAAGTCCTTGGAGAACATGTATCCCAGAGCGATTGAGCCAGCCCCAGTGCGAGTTTCCAAATATGAAACGCCCGTCTCATAGCCAAATGCATTCTTCTCCTTCTGCGCCTGCCAGTATTTCACAGCGGTGTCTAGGTCAAAGGTCTCTGGAGAGTAGGAGAAGATCTTGTCGGAGAGGGTATAGGCGACTTGTTGGACGAGAGTCTGGGCAGTCACGTAGGTGGGGCCACTAATTGAAGACAACGAGATGTCCTGGCCAAAAGGGAGCGCTGAGGACTTCTGGCGGAAAGTCTTCGTCTTGGTGTCCTCGGGGGTGACTCCAGGGCCAGCGGATTCCGATTGCTGGAGATGCATGATGACTGTTTAAGACGCGCTCGCCACTAGGATGTAGAGACGCGTAGAGTCTAGCTCCAGAGGACCACAATGAAAGAGTTAGGGAGGACTCTTCTGTGGGAGGGTTTGGAGAGCGAAAAGTAGTGTTGAGGGGGGAGAGGGAAATTCTGGAGAGAAACGGCGACGTCGGCTCAACAGGCGGGACCATGAAGCCGAGGAGAAGCCATGCCTGGCCATTTCGGGCGTTTGGGCGGCGGCAATTGGCTGTCCCATGGTTCTTTCACTACGTTTCAAAGCGCCCTAAGAAAATATGTCGTCTTGGGTCGAGCACGCCATCGATCCGCTGCAGGGACCACGGCCGGCGCAAACGGTGCAAACATCGGCCCCGCGCCATCGTTTATCCGCAATCATGTGACCTTGACCTGCGGCGATCTGTTCGGAGGTGAGCTTGCACCAATAAGCTCCCCTCCGCTCAGCACAACACCGTGTTCAAAGCAAGCGCTCCAGGCCGTCGTCAATCGAAAGCCCCACAATTGCGCTCTTCATGCGCAGGGCTTCCTTCTAGAATCCTTACTTACCTCAAGCTCTTTCCCGTTCTGCTTTCCCCCCTCATTCTTGGGTACGGACTCGGTCAGAAACCGCCATCATGGGCTGTAAGTCATTGCTATCCTGACCAAAGGAACTTAATGGAAACTAACTGTTTTGCTCCTATAGTCCGATTCCTCAATACCGTCATTGAGCGTGAGCAATATACCTACAATTCCACCTTCCTAATAGCTCACTGAACTCCACTCCAGCCTTCGTGCCCTTCATTCCTGAGGTATTACGAACCACAATCGCACGCACAATGTAGGAAGTCTGACAATGGGATAGGTGGCCGCGCCAGAGTCTAAGAAGATAGTGTTTAATCAACGGCTGATGTGGACGGCCTTAACCCTTCTCATTTTCTTGGTTATGAGCCAGATGCCCTTGTTCGGCATTGTCTCCTCAGGCAAGAACCTACTTCCCACCAGAGGGGAGGCAGATTCTAACAGGGCATGAACAGACTCTTCGGACCCGCTATACTGGCTCAGGCAAGAGAAATTGGACTCGCAGAAAAATCCATAGGCTGACTTAGTCGTGCAGAATGATGATGGCTAGTAATAGAGGAACGTTGATGGAGCTCGGAATCACACCAATCATATCGTCAGGAATGGTGTTCCAGGTATATTCCGTCTCTTTGCAAGCTTCAGGAGCATTCTACTAACACATGTATAGCTCTTACATGGAACTCAGATGATTGAGGTTGATATGGATGTGAGCTATCTCGACAGTACTGATATATTCATATTTCTGACCTCTGTCAAAGAGCAAAGCGGACCGCGAACTGTACCAAATAGCCCAAAAGGTGCGCAGCCCTGATATTTTTCGACGTCATCCTGCTGGCGTTACTGACTTTAAATTCTAGCTCTTGGCTATCATCCTCACTTTCGGCCAAGCATGTGTGTACGTGGCTTCGGGCCTCTACGGATCACCCTCCGACCTCGGTGCTGGCGTCTGCGTTCTTCTTGTCATCCAACTGATTGTTGCCGGATTGATCGTCATACTCCTCGATGAACTGTAAGATCCACGGGTATTGATCACGGCATTCAGATTGCTAATATAAGTGTCTCCCAGACTCCAAAAAGGCTACGGTCTAGGGAGCGGTATTTCTCTCTTCAGTAAGCCAGCTGCAACCTATATTTTCTACGATAAACAACCACTAACGATAGTAGTTGCGACCAACATCTGCGAACAAATCGTCTGGAAAGCTTTCAGCCCAACGACTGTCAACACCGGACGTGGACCAGGTATGTAGGCTTCAGAGCACTCTCCATTATAGCGATGTTCATTATCATTATAGAATTCGAGGGCGCGATTATTGCGCTTGTCCATCTCCTGATCACTTGGCCTGACAAGCAAATGGCACTCCGCGAAGCCTTCTACAGACAGAATCTACCAAACATCGTGCAGCTTTTAAGCACTGTGTTGGTATTTGCTGTTGTTATCTACCTCCAAGGCTTCCGAGTGGAGATGTAAGAACCAGCACGTCAGCCTTAAGAACCAATCTAACACGTAGCAGTCCAGTCAAATCTGAGAAGCAGCGTGGAATGCGTGGATCCTATCCCGTCCGCCTCTTCTACACCTCCAACATGTACGGTTCCGTGAACCACCACTCTCCCGCCCTTCAAGCTAACAAGCCCCAGGCCCATTATGCTCCAAAGCGCCCTCTCCTCCAACGTCTTCATGGTCTCTCAAATGCTCTTCCAGCGCTTCGACGACAATCTCTTTGTCCGCCTCATGGGCGTCTGGGAGGCCCGCGAAGGGTCCGGCCAGCTCTTCGCCACCTCGGGCCTCGCCTACTACATGTCCCCACCCCTATCCTTCACTGATGCCTTGCTTACCCCATTGCACACTTCGATCTACATACTCTACATGTTGGTTGCTTGTGCCGTGTTCTCAAAGACCTGGATCGAAGTGTCCGGCTCCGCACCGCGCGATGTGGCTAAGCAGCTCAAGGAGCAAGGGCTCATGATGGCTGGTCATCGTGACCAGAGCATGTATAGGGAGCTCAAGAGGGTGATCCCCACGGCTGCAGCGTTTGGCGGAGCCTGCATCGGGGCCCTTTCGATCATGAGCGATTTGCTGGGTGCGCTGGGGAGTGGGACGGGGATTCTGCTAGCTGTGACGTGAGTACTACTAGGTGGCCTAAGCTGTTTTGATCGAAGGTTGAGGTTCTAACAAACACGTTAGGATTATTTACGGATACTACGAGACTGCTGCTAAAGAAGGCGACCTTGCTGGCCTCCAGGGACTGGTTATGGGCAGTTAAAAGGTATAAGTCGTCGAAGAATAACGATTAGGAGTGTACCAAGTTTAGCAGTCGTTTGCTGCATAGCATGGGCATTTAAGCATGTTCGAAATGTGGGTTTGGAAAAGCTTTTGTGTCTTGAACGAATCGTGATATTGGCTTTTGGGATACTTCGAGAAAAGTAGACATTGTTGTCCTGATCCAAGTACACGTGATATCGCTAGATGGGTTGAAGGGGATACTTGAACAAGCAGCGAGAATCAGGCAGAAACCAAAAACGAAACAACGCGTAGAGACCCGTTTTCAATCCAGTAATCCAATTAAGGATTGAAAGACCTCTGGATTGATTAGATTGGATTAATTGGGTGTGGATTGACCGGCCGCCCGATGGACGGATTGAGAATTGGACGGATTGCTGTCCATGCTGTTCGCCTTCTACCTCGCCGCTAATATCCGGCTCGCGACGCAGCGCTCCTACGCTGAGGTGCTAGTGTTGCGCTTCCTCCAGAGCACCAGCTGCAGTGAGACTATCGTACTGGGGTTTAGTGTAGTTTACAACGTCGCGACACCCGCTGTTGGCCGACGACTAGAGGGCTGTTGGCACAAGTATCTAGGGTAGAGCAAAGTAAGCATAGATCCCAAAAAAAGGAATAAAAAAGCCACCCTCTTCCGAGGGCGTAGCTGTCCCCACGAGGGTTTCCTTCCGTACTTCTTTCCCATCATCTTCACCGGCAATTGACTCTCGCTCCAAGGGCCTGCATCTCTTTACCAAGCATCACAAAAGATTAAGAAAGCGTAGCCTCTCACCTCCGCAAAAGCAGGACAAGCAAGCAGAAAACAAAAAAGAACATCTAAGGAGCAAAACACCACCCTCTTTCGAGGGTGTAGCCACCCCGGAGGGGTTTCTCTATGTCCGCCCGCCCGCGGTAATTTTCAATCCGTCATCTTAACCGGCGTTCGCAGACGCCTCACGTACCAACTGCATACATCCTCTTCACCAGGCTTCCAAGCCTCTCTACTAACCAGGCCGCCCGAGTTGGTTCACGAAGGAATGCTGCCAACTTTTAACACCGAAGGTCGAGTCGAGAATCGAACCCGAGAGTCGAGCTCGAGACCAACTACAAGACCCAGGTGAGGTTTGTCGACGGCAGTTATAAACTACCTCGCGAGGTAAATGCCTGGATCCGGCCGCGGGCTTACACTCGGTGTGGCCGATTTCCAACTGAGTTGCTGGGCAAATTAGTGACATGGGTCGGAAAATTTGGAAATATATAGACCGACTGAGGAGAAGGTCACACGCTTGGGGATATCACATGCGGGAGCGCTTCACTTCACGTCACTCTTGCTCATCTCACCCGTGCGGTTCTTTCCCATCTGCCCCGGGTTCACTTCACCGAACGCTTCTCACCTGAAGTTTTTCGGCGCCCACAACAACGCGCATCACCACGCGACGGCTAGTTTCCCAGCCAACAAAAAGGGAAGATGTAAACAACCCACCTCCGTTCAACGGCGAGGAAAACGCCACGCAGCCACTACGTCACCTTCACCACCGATAACCTTACAGAAATAGGGATCAGCCCACCCCTTTCAACGTCGAGAGAGACGCGTCGCACCCACCACCTTCATCACCGGTAACCCCGCAGGAATAGGAATCACTGTTTTCTATGGCGATGGCCATAGCACCACCTACATAAAGCGATAGAAAGACGAAGGTAGCAGCTCCAACGCGGACCTGCGGAGGAGTCTCCGACATCTATCGCACGAGAGCCGACCATCCGATGATACCGCAGTTTGGAGGGAGTGTTCAGACTGTTCTTTCGTTGGCAATTTTCTGGCCCCTGGCTATCACAGTGGGGAATACTTGGTGGAGTATGCGCTCTTCATGCCCAAGGCGTCGAGGAAGGTTATAGGGGAATGGGAGTGTTCCGCCGTCGAATTGGCGGGTGTTGACTCAAGCTCTAAACAAAACAATGTTCGAAGAAGTACCTACACCATTCAAGCCATCCAGCTCATACTCGACCCAGCCTCATACCAATTGTCACTCAGACCTAGGTCTAGATCTCCCCAAAGCTCATCATTTAGCAAGAACTCTGGCGCTGCAGACAGGTTAGACAGAGCGCCACCAGGGTCCAAATTTGGACTAAGCGTAGCGTCGAGTCCAACAGTCGTGCTTGAGGGTGCAACGGTCCCTAATCCACCGTTAGCCGATACATACTTGATAGCAAGCCGAAAATGGTGGGCAAAGAGTGTACCAATATCAATAGCAGGGGTAGGATGCGTGCACTCGGCATCAAAGAATTCTTCCTTCCAGCATCCAATAGCATCAAGCAATGGGCCACCCGAAAGACGGTTCCTCACACGGAGAGAAATATTAATCGATCCATCGGGGTTGCGAAACACTTTATCGCTCTTCCACATCCTCTCCGCAAATGCCGCGTTTCTCTCTGCATAGTCCCCTTTCTGGACGGAACAAGACCGCGTAAAAACAACACCGGCGCGAAAGAGATTGAACCCGCGATTTTGGTCGAGATATCCTGCAAATGGGCCTCTGAGGATGCGAACCATGCTGGCCAAGCTCAACATTGTGGTTGCTACAAGGAACCTTGTGCACTGGCGGTGGAGGCCGTGCTCTCTGTCAAGGTCGCCGATCTGTTCGAGGACACTTGATATGGCGTTGAAGATTGAGATGCAAGATTGCATATCTAGGGTTGTTGCAGACTTGTAGAAGTGCATTACGACAAGTTCTTGACGAGCAGTGGCTATGTAGAGGCGGTCCCAGACTGAGCGAAAATCAGCGTATGCAATCGCATCGTGTACTTAGTCCTTACTCGATGGCGTTAGATTCTCTAAGCTATCTAACTCTGTATTGAATCCCTTCAAAAGCGCGTCCATTGTACGCTCCTGCTGCAGGGTCATTGTTAGAAGCCCAAGATCTAGTAAGGCTTTATGGGCGCAGGTGATGATGTTACTGATTTGGTTTTGTATTCTTAATGTTGCCGGTAGCTTCTCAAGTAAGGTTTTGAAGTGACTTTGCTCGTTATATATTTCGTATGAAACCAAGTTTGCTTGCGCACTACCAAAGCAGGTCCTGATGTTACGATTAGCAATAGTAGCTACAGTCAGGGTTGGTTCCAGGATGGTATACCGTTGGTATGTAATGACAACATAAACCCACATCTCTGCTTTTCGCACAGGCTCCTGTTCAGGTGACTTGAGATATGTTTTTGAGAACTCTTGACTAAAAGTAGGTGCATGCAGACCACACTGCATCGCCATATGCATCAGAGTACCGCTAAGAAGAAAAGATGGATCACGATAGAATGGACCGGAAGGGAATGGCCAGTTGAGAAGAAGTATCAGGCCTTTAATACGCTCGATTGGTTTGCATCGAAGGATTATCGACTGAGCAGCTAGTTGAGTCACGGGTAGAGCTAAGGCTTGAGTAAGGGTAGGTTGCCGCGTGTATCTTCGAGATCCGATGGAGACAACGACCCAGAACAGAAATGGGGCATGCTGGTAGAACGTGTTTGGGGGGAGACTACGATCGAGGATTGGGAGCATGGAGTGATAGTCTTTGAAATATCTGCATTGTATTAACGCATAGTCTACCGAGAAGCGAGAAAGCTTACAATTCAAAGCAGTCATCAATGATGCCAGAGGCAAGCTCTATTCCATCAATAGTTCTCGAAAACGTCGGATCATTGTTAGCAGGTGGCTCATTACGACTTATTATCTTGGCTACAGGGTTCTGCGAGACGTCGGTATTCTCTTCCTGTCGTGGAGGCTGATGTGGAGGCAGAGCGTTTCCACTAGGGAGAGGATCTGCAGGTGCTGTTGGAGAAACAGACAATAGCTGGCGTTTCAAAGCAGTAGTCTCTTCCTCAAGCTCCTGTAGCCGTCTATACAATACATACAATCAGCTTTGTGATAAAAGCGGGAGTGGTTCGATAGATAGGCATACTTCCGCTTATGCGTCCTCTTGAACGGTGCCGAAAAGACGCATGGGATCTTCAACCGGCAGCAGCGTGAGCAAGCTGGCGGGTCTAAGGTGCTTGCATCGCTTTCGCATCGCATCTGTTTTGGTACTGTCAGTTCACATGAAGTTAGTGATGGCGAAAAGCCGGATGCTTTCTGTCAGACCTTTTGCTGTCTGCATTCTGCGCATGCTGGTTTCTTTCGGACTGATGCGGATGGAGTCTGTTGAGGCTGACTAGCTTCCATTCTGCCATAGTGGAAGCCAATTCAATGTAAACTTGATGAAAGGAGAGAGAAGAAGAGTCGCAAGTTTCACTGGACCGAGATACGGTGTTAGAGATATGTGGCCACGGACCGATCACAGTTGAGTTGGGGAACCCTACCACGTCTGATTATCCCCGACGAAGCTGAGCGAGAGTCGGCCTTCTTTCGGACTGACTTTTTTGTGGACATCTTCTGATGCACAGTTACGTTATCAAAAATGGAGACATATGCCTAAAGCATAATAATTATAGCTACGGAGAACCGCTATGTGCGGAAGGATACATCCCCAGCTAAGCATGCGTCAACCTAAAATGGAAGAAAATTTCCAAATCGGAAATCGGTCGATAGCCTATGTAGCGTTCCTTTTTAGTATACTCCGGTTCCGGAGCATAGCTTACTTGTACCATATATAGATATATTCATCGCATTCTTTCTCACCTACTCCTATTCACCACTTGTCGCGACATCAACAACGCCAGATACTAAATCCACACTTTTTACCCGTACCAGAAGTACCCACCACCATGGCCGCCACCGCCGATAAATCCAAGCCCTACATCCCTCTAGCTGGGGCCGCCGACGACGGCTGGTCGAAAGAAGACTCAGCGACAGCAACCTGCTTTTGCGGCGCCGTGCAGCTCGCTTTCCCCACCCAAGGCCCCGGCCTCGTCAGCACCTTTGTCTGCCACTGTACCGACTGCCGCAAGATCACAGCGTCGATGTTCGCCTCCAACTTTACCATCGCCGACACACATCTCACCCATGTCCGCGGCCGCGACAACCTGAAAACTTACGCCCAATCGCGTACCATCGCCTCGGGGAATCTGATGACCAACTACTTTTGCTCCACGTGTGGCACGCTCATGTATCGTGTTGGTGAGGGTTCCCCAGGATATAGCATCCTACGCATTGGTACCGTGGACGACTTCAATCTGCACGAGACGAAGCTGAAGCCGGAGCGTGAGATATATGTTAAGGACCGTTGCGGTTGGGTGAGCGCCGTAGAGGGCGCCCAGCAGTTTGAGGCACAGCGTACAAGGCAGAAGATTTAGTAGATAAAGCGCGCCGAATCGTACTATAAAGTACTATTCTAAATGATACTAATTCGGCATTGCAGCATTCCAGATAGTTTCCGTAGTCCCTTCTCTAACAGTTGATTTCATATCCAAATCCATCCGCAACACAAGCATGATTGATGTTCGAGCTCTGTATGATGGAAAATATTGATGGTGAAGGTGTTGGAGACAGAAATTGATCGCGGACCTAGAGTCACGTGACGCGCATGAACCTCAACCTAGAGTCTCTGATCAATAGATGCCCACAAAGAGCTTTGGCGAACGACGTAAGGGTCTAGGACTACCCCGTACCATCCCACCATCTCTTAGCGTACCAATGATCGCTCAACGCAGTGCTGTGGTGCTTCCGCAAAACCTGGAATCCGAGCAGTGACATCATCAACACCATAACTGGTACAAAACCTCCAAGCAATACACCCTGTCTGCAACCAAAAGACTCACCAAACATAAAACCACACACCCTTAAAAGCCAAACAAAAACCCAATTGCAAGTTCTCGGTACCCAACATGCCCGCAACCACCCGCTCCGTCGCCAAAAAGGACGCCTCCGCCTCCCAACTCCAGCAAACGCGGCAAGTAGAAAGCGAGGAGCAACATGCAAGTGCGAGTGCTCAGGTAAGACTAAGTCTACTAGAATTCACTGCCCTGAGTTCCCCTTGAAGCGTTACCAACTCACTAGAGAGAATAACATCACGTGACTATATTCAACATTCCCTTCGCTTCGCATCCTTCTGATCCCCTTAATACCTACATGACCGCCATCTCCACGCCCTCCCTCCAAGCCTCTAACACCTCCAGGCCGGACTCAACCTCAACCTCCTCGGCGCCGTCTCCGGCATCTTCAGTGCCAAATCCAAGAAAACCACCAACAACAACCCGGACGGCTCATCCGTGAGCACAGAAGAGCGAGCCGAGCGCGGCCAAGCCTCCAGAAGAGCAGCCGGAAACGCGACTGCGATCGGCGCGGCGAATGCGAACAGCGGGCGGCGGAAGATGAAGGAGGTGCAGGCGGTCGATCATTTGGGGATTGAGGGGTGAAATAGTAATATGCAAAGAATGTACTTGTTAGACTAAAAATGGTGATGCTTTCCTGAATGCGAGCTTATGGGAAATGGTGGTATACAGTACTGAAACACCAAAGCCCTCTACATAGCCAAGAAATAACTAAGACGCTGTGTGAAAAACGAGGGATATGAGTGTGATCAATCCACACACCTTCCCACCCCCTCTACTCCCCTCCTGGCTACCGCAACATGCCACGGCACAACACCGTGTCTACATCCCCTGACGCCCCTCAATCGTGCCAACAACCCCAATCCCCGGAACTGGCTCAGCACTTCCTTCAGCAGATTTTCCGCTGTGCTGCGGCTCTGTGCCGTACTCGTCCAACTCATACTACTTGAACTCCTTTCCGTCCCCGCCCCTAGGTTAACACCATCACCAGCACCAGGAGTCGCTGGAAACGGAGATGTAGCAGCGCGCGTGCCGCCGACTGCGCCGACCCAGAGGATGTTGACGTTTATGATGAGGGGACTACGGGAGGTGGGAGAGGTAGAGGGTGAGGTGGAGCCGGACCCGCGTTTGACGAGTAGCCCGCTGATGAGAGCGGGCCGGTAGTCGATGGTGGAGTGGGAGTTGTGGAGGCGGTGCGAGAGGATGAGACCCCAGGTTTCATCGGTGACGTCGACGAGGCGGGCGTCTGGGTCTGCGCTAGGGTCTACGGCGTCGGAAGGGGTCGCCGCGGGCGTGAGACCGTGTTGGTCGGGGGAGACGCCGGGCTGGGGCGTGGACACTGGTGTGGAGGCGTTTGGATCTCTAGAGGGAGCGGCGGTGGGCATGCTAGGGAGAGTTGGAGTAAACGAGAGTGGCGGGTTGGCATCGACGGTCAGAAGGGTGATGAACAGGTTGAGCTGGGTGGGCGAGGAGGCGAGGAGGATCCATGCTAGCGGTGGATGTTAGCTTTGTTGATGGTAAGATAGGGGAATAGCATACCTTCGATCTCTTCACGCTCCATCACGCCCGCCTTGGCGATGCATATGCGCCAGGTTACTCTCCTGCTGTGTAGGATTTCGATAGTTGTCTGCCAGATCTCCCGTGCGATTTCGTTGAAAGGCCGTCCTTTCGAGTTGTACGACACCACCGCCTGTGATTTTCCACAGCTGTCTGTCCATGCCGCTGTTATCCATGCACCGTCCAAGCTGATCGCATATCCGAGATGCATATAAGAGTTTTCCCGCAGAAGGTCAGCGGGAGGATCCGAAGCAAGCTTGAACTGAATGCTCCTCGGTAAGGCCTCCTCCAACTGGATGGACGGAGCAGAGAAGATGCTCAAAGGTGTCTTGTCGGAGTTGACCGCATTTGGAGGACATCTGTCGTATACCTCGCGAGCGAGATTCATGAGAGTGGCAGGCTCTAGTACTACTGGTGCGTTGAAAGAGGCAATGTACTTCATCGGTATGATTTGAAGTACTAGATCAGGTCTCGGGGTATTAGCTTGAGTTCCTTGCCCATACGATCCGAATAATGACCAGAATGCAGAGCAGAGCTCCCAAAGTGCAACCGGCTCTGCAAACGGGTCGATCATATATATGACGAAAGCATCAATCTTCGAGGTGTCATCTTTTTCACGCATATCCAGATACGACTGCGAGAGCTCGTCTCCAAGTCGACGGCATGTCTCCCGTAATTCTTGGAAGACGCTGCGTTTTGTAGCTGGGCCTGTGACTTGCGTTGGGACTAGGCCTCCCTTGAACTCTTCGATGGCATCGCTTCGAACGTGGGTTCCCAGTTTGCAACCTTCGTACACTATCCCAAGGTTGTTCAAAAACGTCTCTACTCGAGCTGTAAGTGACTCGCTGTATGGGTACACGCAATACGTTATGATGTTCTTAGGCCCGCTGGTCGGAGCTAGACCCAACGGTTCCCAAAACGATAGGGCAGTCGGAAGAAGGTCCCACAGGGCATCTGAACGTCGAACGCGGATATGAGGAGAAGCGACGGGGTAGATCAGATGTCCCGGGGAGCCGGTGCCGTCCCCTTGTCCATATGTATTCATTCTCCGGGGGACCGCCTTCGGTTGATGTCCTTTTCCAGCCTGGGGAATATCAGGAAAGACGTCCTGGACGCACACGAATTTTGTAACGTCGCAATCAACTGCCTTCTCGAAAAGCTGCTTGGCGGTATCCTGGACAGTTTTCGTAGGGTCAAGGGCATCTCCTGCTTCCAGTAGGCGACCAAAACTAGGACCGTTACCAAAGCTAACCTCCTCATTAAGAATGTCGAGCGTCGATGAAACAATTTGATCAGTTAGAATCTGAGCGACCGCTATCATGTCCTTGCCACTCAACGGGACCTTCTCGTCAGAAGGAGAGATTTCAATTTGGGAAAGTGTAGTGGGCATTGGGGATAGGCCTGGCGAAGGAAAGGCCAAGTCTGCTCGAGCAGTCGAGACCTGTCCTTCTATCGGAGAAGGCATGTTGGCTAGCGACCAGTCCCATGGACTAGGTTCAAAGCCTCCAAGACAGGCTTGATCGGTTTGGAGCAGAGGTCGGCCAAGAATATGCTCGGTATTATCCCCACCAAGCCTAGAGTCTGCAAATGACGTAGCGGACATAGGAGTAGCAGTCTCGTCAGCAATCCACTTCCTTTTTGTCGGCCATGAGAGGGCTATTGGCAAAGGATCGAGCTTAGGAGATCGGGCTTCGGGCTCGGAGTCCAAGTCGCCACTCGAAGTGTCGCTGATGTCGCCTTCATCCAGAGGGAGTTTTTCCTCCATGATGGTCTCAGTCCGGCCTAAGGACCCGCGTAGGTCCAACAAGACCGAGAAACGTTGGGAAGTGGGCTTCTGGTGTTTCAAGAGGGGTGTCTTGGACTTGCTAGGTGTTGAGGATGAAGCATCTCCTCCATCCGATTCAGGAAAATGAAATCGACCGTCGCTGTATTTGGAGTCTGCGAGACTCATACTCTGGTTGAAAGCCAAGGGATCAAAAATGCTCCCCTTACGTTTCGCAGGAGTTTGGTGCCGACCTTGAGAAGTAGCTTGATCGGGCATACCATCATGCCGCGGAAGAAGCTTTTTTATGATCATTTTTGGACTCAGAGGTGGACTGGGGACATGCTCTTCCTGCTCTGGACTCTGAATTATTGGCTCGTCCACAGCCAGAACGCGAGTGATTTCCTCTCCAATTTTCTCTTCGGCGTTTCCCTGCTGATGGGGATCTGACTGCAATCGTTTTCCAGGCCTGAGATCCAGATGTCGGTCGGTGGCATTGCCGGCGAGAACCGCAGATTCAGGGGCAGGGTCCACTTTTGCGTCTTCCTTCTGGTCATGAGACTCTTCGGTTTGGTTTTGTGGCAAATCCTCGGGTTGCGCGTCGTCGTTCGTTTCCTCCACACCATCCATATCGCCAAAGTCGTCACCATCTGGCTCGTCAAAGAAATTGAAATCAGCGTCCGTAACTCCATTCCCATCATACGTGTCTTCGTCCATATCTTCAAATAAATCGTCATTTCCTCCATGTAGGGAAGAACTGAAGTTTATATCTGGCTGTGAATCGAAAGGATGTGAGAGTTTGGGCGACGGTTCAGGCATACCCAGAAGTCCTGTGCCGTCAGTGTCAACTGTTCCTGGAAGATCGGATGAACGCGGGTTCGAGTCTTGAGACAGCATTCCATCCATACTACCGATTGGACCTGAAATGTGAGGAATATCACCCCCAGAGGAGGCGACAGGGCCTTGGGGAGCCACTCCATCCGGTGGGGTTGGATAAACACCGCTCACCGCCTGCAGATCGCCCCACGCTCCAGACCTGGAATATAGTGGGGATGAAGGATATAGCGCATTAGAATCATCCTTGGTCTGGGCCTCCTCTTCAGCTTGTTGAGCCTTTCTACGAGCTTCTTGCGCTTTGTCCCTTTCTGGTTTATCACAAAACCATTGCTGCGCCACGTCCAACGGATCTTGATATCCTATCGACTCAGGCGTCTGAAACCAATCCAAGCCCTGGTCCACGGAATTTGGTGAAGTGAAATAGTCTTCAAGTCCTGAAGGAGAACGGACTGAAGTAGTTGGGTCCCATCTCTGCATGGAAGCGTCGTAAGAAAAACATAGGCCGGATGGCCAAAGCAGTTCGCAAGCTTGGTTGGCGAGGGATGGACTATCCAACACAGACGGTATGGTGTCGGACGTAATTTGAATCCTAGCCCAAGGCTTAGTGTTATAGTCATGTACAAATGAACCTAGGCCCTTTCTCGCTAGCCAACTATTGGTGTAGATTTTCCATTTCTGGATGTCGTCTACTTCATTCCTGATTCTTGGCCGTTTTCGTTGCTCTCTGACGTTCTCGTCGTCACCGTCAGTTAGTCCTGAGCGCTCAAACCCAAGGAAAACAGCTAGTATACCATTCGGTGCAATTCGGAGAACACTGCCTGGCTTAAGTTTTGATATTGGCGGTCCCACAGAGCCGCTACCAATAGGGCTGCTCAATTGGTGCATATCAGGTCGCCACTTCGAGATGGTGGATATCACAAGGGACCCGGCACTGGTCCAATGTACATCCAGAGAAGTCAACCATGATGGCTTGTCTGCGAAGTCTGACTCAAAGCTGTTTGCGGGAGGCTCAGCGATCGAAAATGATGCGAAAGTCCGATAGTTCAAAGGGATCATTCCATGGTCTCGAGCTAGACTGTACGATATAGATGCAACAACTGATGACATGAGTAGCTCATATATAGCATAAATATCGTACTGCTGTGGCTCGCCACCTCCGCTGAACGCAAGGCTAATTTGAGAATTTGCCTGTGTGGCACGCAGATTTCCTGCCTGATTGGCGCGAAGAGCGCTTGGAGGAGGATTTGTCGAGGTCGCAGAGTTTGGGGGATTAGAAGGTCGTGCGGGTGCTCGTGCGAGTTCAGCAGCCCTCGCCAATCCTGATATTTCCGCTGAATCTCGTTAGTGATGCTCACTGTGCTTAACCTGAGACTTACCATGAAATTCATACCCTTCGAGGACAGGAGATGCTGCAGAGGTCTGCGTGGCCTTGTCTGGCGTCGTAGGCCGGAATAGCCAGAGCCATGAGCGCGCAGTGTCATGGAAAACTAAATGGCGGGCTTGCCTAAGAGTGCTTTCGACAGTGCTCAGATCCTCAGATGGGCCTCTTTTCTCATCTAACGGATTCGGAGAGGTAGTTGTTATTCTTTTGAGTGAGAATGCCTGGTATGCGACAGCTTCAAATTCGCCCTAGTAAGCAGATGTTAGTACCGCTATCGATCACTTTACAAAGGTACGCGCTATGAGATACTTACGACAGCTTGCACGTTAGTCTTGCAAGTCTTGAGGAATTCCATTACAAGAGCGTTACCCTCGCTATGGAATGCTCAGATGATACTGTCGAGAAAGATGCAAGCCGTATATTGCTATATGAAGCTTCATCAACTCCGCTTACAGATGCCCAGCGCAGCGAAATGTAAACCCAGAGAGTATTATAGGCTCCTCAACTCCATGGCATTCGTGCCAGATGTAATCTTTTGTTCCGTCGGGTGTGTTGACTGCGCAACTTGAGCATGTCGACTCAAACTGGTGAAGGGAAATGGGCCGGGAAGCGTTCCGCCGGGTGCGCCAGCACGTGTCGTCGGGGCGTATCGCGGTCGGGCGCCCAGTGCGCGCTGAGAATACCGACAAAAGGGTACAGAGGAATATCGATGAGGATTTACAGATGGTCGAGGGAGGCTGGGGGCGCCTGGAGTCGCGATCTTTGGGCTGGTGGTGGGCGGGCAGCACAGACAACAGTCCGGAGGTGCCTCTAAGCTGCGTCTTGGCTCTGTCATGGTCTAGCATTCGCGAAAAGTTGCCTCTCGAAAATTTACAAACTTCACCACCATCCCTTCGCATTCCCTCTACAGCTTCTAAGATACCCCCACCATGAAGCTTTCCAATCAGTCTGCCGTGCCAGTATATACTATCGCCGGCTCAAACACATCTCGACCACTTCCAGACTGGCTTGTTCGCAAAAGGAAACGCAGCTTGAAAAATGATCCCGAGTTCGCAAACCGCGTTGAGCTCCTTCAAGACTTCGAGTTTGAAGAAGCCAGCTCCTGTGTCCGAGTGAGCGAAGATGGCGACTGGGTGATGAGCACAGGTATGTGCTGTAGTCCTTACTATCACACAATATACTCACTATTGTCCAGGAACTTACAAACCTCAAATACACACGCATTACCTCCCACATCTATCCCTCTCATTCGCGCGGCACACCGACACACTAAACGACACCTTCGTCCTCCTAGGCTCCGACTACACGAAATCTCTCCACCTCCAAACAAATCGCTACCTTGAATTCCACAACCCCGGAGGCTGCCACTATGCGACTCGGATACCACGCTACGGGAGAGGCCTGGTATATGATCGACAGTCGGCAGAAGCTCTAGTTCCGGCTGTAGGGGTGAATGCAGAAGGGAATGGCGAAGTCTTTCGACTCAACCTCGAAGTGGGGCAATTCATGAAGGGCTACGAAGTGGATGTAGGTGGCGATGATTTCACATCTTCCGGCGGAGGTGCCCTACAAGGCGGAATCAACGCCGGAAGCGTGAACGCAGCCGCAATCGCCGAGGAGAGTCACAACCTGCTAGCATTCGGCACATCATTAGGCACAGTTGAATTCTGGGATTCGCGATCGAAGAGCAGGGTTGGGATTCTATCCGCACCACCTGGGAATGCATTCGAAGGCAGACCGGAGATTACTGCACTGCAATTTCATCGCTCCGGCCTCGAACTCGCTGCAGGCTACTCGACGGGCCAGATTCAATTATACGACCTCCGATCCCCCGTACCCCTACAGAAGCGCGACCAAGGTTACGGCTACCCGATACAAAATCTCATATACCTAAATCCCGGCATTGCAACCCGCGCACAATCCTCCGGACCAAAACTGCTCTCAGCCGACAAACGCGTCATCAAAATCTGGGAACCTAACGAAAAGCTCCCCTGGACCTCCGTCGAACCAGCTGTCGGCGTGGACCTGCACCACGTAGAATGGTGTCGCGACAGCGGCATGCTCCTAACCGCCAACGAAGGAAAGCAACAACACGCATTCCTCATCCCCCAGCTCGGCCCCGCTCCAAAATGGTGTACGTTCCTCGACAACATCGTCGAAGAGATGGCCGAGGATCCCGACGACCCGAACGCCTTCAGCAAAAACCATACCGGCGAGGTCTACGACAACCTCAAGTTCCTCACGCTCCCGCAACTTTGCGCACTAAAGATCGATCATCTGCTAGAAACGCACCCGGGAACTCTAAAACCATACATGCACGGCTACTTCATCAAGCAACAACTCTACGAAGAAGCGCGCCTCGTCGCCAACCCCGAAGTGTGGCAAGAACAGCGCCAGAAATCGATCCAAGAGAAAATCACCAAAGAGCGCGAAAGCCGGATCCGGGGCCACAAGAAAGTCGCCGTCAAAGTCAACCGCAAACTCGCCGAGCGCATCCTCGAGCGCCAAGAAAAGTCCGAACGGCGCAGCGCGAAGAAGCTCCTCGAAAGGCGCGGTGGCGGCGACACCGACGACCTCCCGCCTCCAAACGGCACCGCAGCAGAATCGACAGCAGCCATACCAAAGGGCCTCCTCGGCGACGCCCGCTTCGCCAGGCTCTTCGAGGACGAGGACTTCGAGGTCGACGAGAGCTCCCGCGAGTTCCAGTCCATCAACCCCAGCACCACCGTCGCCGCCGCGCCGGCGAAACCAAAGGGCCTCACGGCCGTCGAGGAGGAGGAGCTCGCGGACCGCCGCGGCTCGAGCTCAGACGACTCGGATGACGACAGCGAGGGCGAGCAACAGCCGCTGCCGAAGGAGAAGGACGACTGGCGCATCTCGTCGGTGTCGTATAAGCGGCAGCCGGCACGCCCGCAGCGGCCGAAAATGGTGGTGTCGAGCTCGAAGCGGAAGCCGGCGCAGACGAGGGATCGCTCGTTTGGGGAGCGCGCCGCGGGGTTTAAGGAGAAGAAGGTGAGTTATAGTGGAGATAGTAGAGGGGTTGTTGGGGAGCGGGAGATTACGTTTGCGCCCGTCAAGGAGAAGAAGGAGAGGCCGAAGGGGAGGGAGGAGAGGAGTGAGAGAAGTGGGGGGCAGAGGCATGATCGGAAGGATAGGAGGAGCGCGAGTGGGAATGTGTTTAGGGGGATGTGAGGGGTTTTTTGGGGCGGCGATGATATACGTATGAATATGAATATACCCGGTTCACATTGGCGCTGCACTTGCTATTTATTTTGGAGAAGCTGCATGTGTGTGTGCGTGTGTGTGATGTGTGCAGAAGACAAAACTCTCATTGGTAAATGCCGAAAGGGGTGACACCGTTTCTACGCCAAAGCTGCGCGAAAGCCAGCCGGCGATAGATTCTAAATACTATGCTCGCGCAAAGGCCATGAGCGAGCTGCCACATGCGGCACCAAATCTGCGATCCAGAAAAAGGAGGGGAACAGGGGATTTGTTGAAAAGAAGATGTATAGAAAACCGAAAGGTGGACTTTAAGTTTGAGAATCGTGAGGGCTGCCTCTAACTACCGACACCGTCGCCTGCTCGCCCGATGATGCGAAAAACCAAGTCAAGCAAGCAAACAGCGTTGCCCGTTCGTTTGGCGGCCGGCGACCCGCCCCTCTATCTATCTCGAGCGTTATATGACAGCTACCCCCACCTCCCACCTCCGTGCTTCACCACTCCATATTAGTACGTTGCTCTGGGTTGAATGTCGGAGGGGTGGGTTTAGGTCGACTCCTGCTTCGTCTGCAGGTATTGGTAGGCGCCGAAGGCGAGCACGCCGCCGATCAGGATCAGGGCATATAGACCGACGCCCAGGCCGCCAGCATCGGAGGAGGAGACGCTGCCGGGTTCGTAGGACTTGGGCTTTGGGTCGCCCTCCTGATAAGACAAACATGTCAATATAGGTTCTATAAGGTGGAGCTCTACTCAGGGACAGTGATTCGGCCGAGGTAACTTCTCGGGTGTGTACGGGGAAGGGCGGTGTGGGGTATGCAATTGGTACGGGGTATGGAGATGTGGAGAGGGAGAGAGGAGGGACTGTACCTGTCGCTTCAGTGTCCCTACCAGCAGGCCTTCGAGGATCTCGCGGGCTTCGTCGCTGTGGCCGACGTCTTCGAAGGCTTCTGTTGCGTCTTGGCCGCCGACGTCTAGGAGGACTTCTTCTCCACCGCTATACACAGATACGCATTAGCATTCATGCAATCCACATCCACTCATTCCAATTCATTAATGTCGTTGTGATTGGCCGGGCTCGGGATATTTGTTTAATAGCCGGACCTGGCCTCGCTACGAAGGTGTGCGAAGGCGGAGGGAATTGGAAGAGACGTACGGATGCTCATCAACGAAGCTCGAGGCGTTGTAGACCTTATCGTGGATAACGAGGAAGAGGTCCTTCTTGGTCGCGTGCGCCGAGATGTCGGAATACGTGAACTCCTTGTCTGCCATTGCTGCCAGCTGTTCCCAACGGAATTTCTGGACGTGTTCGAGTGTAAGATCGAGGTGTTCGGGGGACGGGCGGGGAGTGCTAGCGGGCTGCTATTCGAGCTGGCGGTGCGTGAGATGGTGAATGGGTAGCGTCAAGTGCTGCGTTGCTGGCGGTGGACAGATATCGTGGGGTAGGCGGACGGGTGAGGTTCTCGGTGGTGGTCAGGTTTGCGGACAACTACCGTGCTCACACTCCGCCGAGCGAGCCCTGGGTGCGAATTGGTTCGGGAGATGCGCGATTGGCTGGTCCGCTATCCCACCGGCCGGCACGACTTGAGGGGGCCGATTTTGTTCCGATGGATGAAAAGAGCAATTTGATCCGCCGTGAACTGCTGAAAGGAACAATGCTGTACGGGGTCACGCTGAGTCTCTCGCCGCCAATCTACTGTCGTTCAAACACCGTCAATTTACGCGTTTCGAGGACAGCTTAGTCAAAGAAAGCATCTGCTGGTATCGACTCCTCCACCACGTGTGTGTATCGAGGGCGCCGGAACACCATCCCTCATTCGGATATCATGTTCCCTCAGCAGAGCAAACATTTCTCAACGCACCCGTATTGATCGTGCGGGAATCTAGATACCCGGGTGTCTGTCAGACAGGAGCATGGTCGACCTATTGCTCTGGGCGTTACGGCTCCGGAGGTTGCGGTTCTTTTTGTTTCGGAAGTAGAGGGCATTCGTCTCCGGGAACTGCTGCTGTCTGATCATCTCGCCGAGCCTAGGCACTGGCTACAGGGTTGCTAATGGACCCCACAGATTCACTGGTTGAGCTTCTCACGAAGATGGTTGTGAAACTCCATCCTCATCTTGCACAGAAACAGTAACGTTCATGACTGAATCGAAACTCGTTGATCATTTTACACTATCGAGATGAGATAATCAGGCGCCATGCTCTGCCTTCATGCTTTCTCGTCTCCAATCCCACATGGTAACGAGGCCAACGCCATGCTACCAAACCAGTTCCTCCGGCCTCCCCCTTTTCCCTTCTCGGTCAAGAATTTACAAATTACGACCTCAAGATGATCGATAATCAAGCACTACGCTTAACCCCTAAGAATCCACGAAGAGCCTCGTTTTCCAAATAATTGCCAGTACTTCACCTGTAGAACCCCTCATCTCCGCCGTCTCCCTGCCCTGCTCCTGCACCTGCTTCCTGCCCTCTTGGCGCCCATCCCGCCGCATACGGGCCTGTTCGTCCAGGTGGCTGATACGCTTGATAGCCCGCGCCTGGTGGTGGGGGCGAGCTAGGTACTCCCGGCGGCGCATGCGATGGCGGCTGTGGGTGTCCATAGGGGTCTGAGGGAGGCTGCTGGGGGGAGTATAGAGCATCGTAAGGGGCTCCTGTGGCAGGAGGCTGCTGTTGAGGAGGATAGCCCGGTGGTGGCTGGTTCGCAGGATGTTGGCTTTGAGCGATATTTGAGGGCGCGTAGCCTTCGTAGCCGGGCGCGGAGGCTTGTGGAGCCTGGCCGGGGATGAAACTGGCGCGGTTGTCGATGGGGGAGTCGTAATGGCCTGTGGCGAGTTCTTGGGGTCCAAAGGTTGATTGGGGTCGGCCTTGGCCCACTCGCAATGGCTGCGCGTAGGGATCTGCTTGGGGCTTTGGGCTGGTTCGTTGTGGTTGTGGCTGTGGTTGTTGTCCTGGAGGGACCATGAAGAAGGCAGGGCCTGTGGGCTGGCTAGCCGGGTATTGTGAGGGGGGCTCTGATGAAGCGCCTGGAGGTCCCCCGCCATAGAAACGACCTGGATCTTGAGGAGGGGGGCTCTGCGGAGGATAACCTGGTGCTCCTTGCGGTGCGCCATACGCGGCCTGTGGGGGCGGGGCTCCGTATCCGTATGCGGGCCGGCCATACGAAGGTTGTGGTGGTTGTGACATTGATGCTTCGAGGAGCGACTCGTAGTCGCGGCGAGCCTTGATGAACTTTTCGTTGAGCTGTGTGAAGTCGTCTGAGATGATCTTAGCATAATCGTCTTCCAATACGTCAGATTATCCTACCCTTCTTCTGTGAGTATTTCCCGATGAGTTCAATCAGCTTCGGTCGTATTGCCAGTGTCGAATGGTACAAACTCTAGACTTCGGTCAGTAACAATGCCCCAGCAATAATTTCCATAAGGTCTCGTACCGTGATCTCCTCGTTGTCTCTCGCGTCACCGTCGCCTGCTCTTGAACTTGTGCTCAGTAATGCCAGCAACTTTTCCACATTCCTGATTTGCGCGAATACCTCAGCCTCCATCTGTGCCTCCCTCTCTAGCTCTTCTTTGGTGGGGTCCTGCAGCTTCTCCACATAGTTCAGTGGGAAAATGCCCGTTTGCCCCCTCAGAGATCCCTTCCACCAATCCTTGTATACCGATTCAAGAACAGCAATGATGTCTCCTTTACGAAATTGTAATTCGCCAGGCTCGGACGGTTGGAAGTCGAACAGACCTCGTACGCGTGAAACGGTTGCGGCTGTGGTTCCAGATGGTAGTGGCGTTGAGCTTTGTTGAGTAGGCTGGGAGCTTGAATTGCCCCCCGTTGGGGCATTTGACTTGGCAGCTGATGGCGCTGAAGATGCCTTGTCCTTTATCGAGAGTGCTAGGGCCATTTGAAGCTCCTCTTCCTCCTTTTGCCGGTCGGTGTCCGTGATTTGAGTTTTCTGGGGTTTGGAGGGCGCTCTCAGGTTAGGATCTAAAACAGAAGTCAGCCTTTGCGCGATATGGAAGACAGCCACTGTAGGAATCCGATTCCCGAGAATCAGGTCACGTACTCTGTGATTTTAGCTTCATGTAAGCTCCCTGCATGATGCCCAGATCCGGATCTTTGGAGAACATCTCACTCCACTCAGCCATTCGCTCCAAGATCTTAGCCTTGACCTGCTGGTGGGTGTTCTGTCCAAGTTGTTAGCCCATTATCACCACGACTATCATTATGCCCGCAAGACGCCCGGGTAAAGATGTGTTCAAACGCCCCAACAAGGTATGGACATACCCTATCCGCAGCCAACCTCAGAAGCGCTTCCGTGAAGCTCCTACTAGCTAGTTCTTTGTGCATATTGACTCCGCAGTTCTGACTCAACGCATTTGCCAGTTCCAGTGTATAAAGTTGCACGTTGGCATTGCGATGCGCCAACCGCTTGATCATGGCTGCGACGGCATCTTTGGCGCCCGACTCTTGTGAGCCGACTTTGTCACAGACATCCTAGAGACCTCACATGTCAGCCGTTCTGTCCCATATCATTCCACCGTATGACCCTATATTCTTCCTAGCCTGGTGAACAAGCGACGTGTACGGAATCGAAAGGACCGAAACGCGTGGCGCGGAGTGTTACGTTGGGATAGGAGCCGGTGCATACCAGTATGTATTCCCAGTTCTCGCTGGTCAGATTCTCGTCGGTGGCCTTAACTACAGAAACGGCACATTAGCTGCGGTTCATAAGACTCGAATGACCACATTGATGTCCAACGCTCCAAGCTGATAGCTCCGCAAGGAACCGCAGTCTGATTGCGCAGCTCCGTCCTCTTCACTACTAGAAGCACTCACCCACGACATCATCAAAGACGTTCTGCTGAGCTCGAAACATGGCTTCCAGGTTTCCACGACTTCAGTCGACCTGTTCGCCCCACGAAGCGCTCTTCTCCGGGTATGTGCAGTCGAAACGTGGCGGTAGGTTGCGTCAGTAAGGGCAGGAATATTCGTGAGGTTCGAGAGCAAAAATAATGCAGAGGATAGCAGGACTAAGGAAGGAAAGAGTGAAGCAGTTGCTACCTAGAGGTTGAAGCTGCGGTATTGCGCCTCGAATCCGCACCTGAGCGCGGGCCCCGCCCCGCCTTGGCGAATAAATCGTCACCGGGCGGCGTCAGCAGTGCGCCTCCTGTGCATCTTCATCGCCACAGGTGAGACCGCGAATATTACCGCTTACGACGGACAGGAACCCCTATACGACATCATAGCTGTTGCACTAGGACTGCAAGAAAGAGCAGAATGACTCCGCCAAGATGTTCTTCATGCAATCCTGTGTTCGAAGGCTCGAAACGACGCGTGCCGTTTTTGATATTACGGGCCTATCTCCCATCGCGGCGTCAAGGGCATTACTCCAGCATACTAGATGAACTCCTAAAGAGAACCATCTGCCCTCCTAACATCATGGACATATCTTACCCTTCTTCCTCATCAATTTCCCTACATTACATGCCCTAAACTACCTTCTTCTAGCTCTGTCCAGGCCTACCCAATTTTGTCTTCCTCTTTTTTAATCGTGGGTTCATCTCATCCTCCCTCTTCCTCTTACGAGGGGCTTGTTCGCTAAGTTTGGCCTGCGCAATTGCTTTCTCCAACATCTTCAGTCGCATCGATTTTAGGTCATTCAAGTACCCGTCCAGGATCATGGTGGAAGGCCTGTTGACGAGCTTCCACCACTTTGCGTTTTCCCCGTGAACCATTGCTTCGGCCTGACTTTCTGGCATCTTCCCAATCACCTTGAATTCTATCTCCTGACCATCAACGGTTATGTACTTGCGTCCCCTGGACCCTTCCTCTTTCCACCCATGATGGGACTTCATGAAGGCGTAGACTTTTTCTACTCCGCTAGCGACATTCTGCCACCAAAATCGCTGCTGTAACTCATATATGGGCGGGCCCTGCAATCGCGACCCTCCTGGCCAATAGTCCTCGAGGTACTTCACTATCGCTGGAGGCATATCAAGGTCTAACTGGAAGGTCTGCACACTGGTAGGCAAGCCGTGAGCACGAAACGTCCCAAGGTCGACGACTTTAAGCAACACCAATGGAGACTTTGTGCGGGAAGATCTCTGCGGTGGAATGATATTGCTCCAGTATCGGAGTCGAACGTGTAGGATACCCGGCCAGGAGCGGCCCGACGACCGTGCCAGCTGGTTGTAATGGATGCTGAGGCAGCTGAGGGCGTTTGTGGTCTTCGTGTACGATAGCAAAATCGACGTGTCAGTTGTCGCGCTCGGAAGCCAACTGTTGCGCATCTCATCGATGTCTGCTTCGAGTTGCTTGCAGACGCCGCACAGCGGTGTTGTGACTCTGAACTGCGTCCTCCCAATCCTGATATACATAGTCTCAGAGGCAATTTGCTGACGGAGCTCGGCAGGGAGGTCGAGAAAATTAGGCCGAGCCATGACTGAGAGAAGAGCTGCTGAGAACGTGGAGATGTGGCCTTAGTGGGCTGTTTGAGCGGTGGCAGTTTGATCGAGTAAGAGGCGATGAGACGAGATGAAAAGGCGAGAGCACGCTTCGACGTGCTGGCCTTATACGAGAGCTGAAGGTTGAATAAGGTCTTTCTATCACCGTGGATGGTCTGATGTCCTCGCGCGAACGACTTCACAAGATGTTCAAATAATTTGGCGCCGTTACAAAATTCCCAAACGCCATCAGTTCGATGATTCTTGGATGATTAAGGTAGTCTTGGTAATGTGTGTGGAGCGAGCTTCGAACCACGGATGAGTATCTAGAACACCAAACCCCATCACCTGGTACTACCACACAATCATTTCTCTTGGCCTGCCACAGTATGTGCTAGGCGCTTAAGGCCTCTCACATTACCTCCGCCCGTCTAGTCCATACTTCTTGGACGTATCCATCCCAGAGTTCAGTACTAGACGAACTGATCAAACCCTACCACTCCTTCAGGTTTGTACAAGCCATTGCATCTACCTGACTCTTTGGTAGCTTTCCATTTGTCTCGAGCCGCACCATCCTGTCTGTGACCTTTGTAAAGATCCATCCCTCGTTCTCTAAGGTATTACTAGGCTCCCTTCTGCTGTATGCGCTGATGTAGACGAATATGTGCTTTAAAGTGGCGAGCCAGAATTTCTCTTGGCGCCCATCGATGGAGCACCTCCCTTCCGGCCAAGCCTCTTCGATGGCTTTTAGCTGCTTTGGTGGCATCGTGGTGTCGATTACTACCTTCTCGACAGTCTCCGGGAGCATGCTGATGTCGTAATGGTCGAGATTGTTCTGGTACATCACATTGCGAAAGATGCTCAAGGTTGGCATGGGCGCTGGCGGAGCATTGTCGAGGTAACATTGTAGTCGGACCTCCTGGACGCCTAACCATTTGCGACCCGAACAAGTTGCCCGCAGTTCGAAGTCTCTCTGCAGTGGGACGAAGCCATACATTCCATAGGTATCTTTGACTGAAACGTCGATTGTTCCCTCAGGAAGCCAGCTAGAGCGCACTTCTTCGATGTCTGACTCCAGTCGCTTGCAGATCCCGCGCAGTGGAGACTGCACACGGTAGGTGCTATCCATGAGCTCGACGTGGAAGGTCTCACAGATGATTTGCTGACGGATCTCGGCGGGCAGGGCGAGAAGAGGTGAAGCCATAGTGTCGAAGTGTCCTCTCAAAGGATACTTATAGAGACAATGGTGGCTAAAAACTTGGTGATGAGAGGATTGTCGGTTTTGGTAGGTTGTGTGATGTGAAGTAAACAAACCGAAGAAAGCTTTGATGGACAGGCTTTATAGAGGCGCCAAGGCCTCTCACAGCGGTGAATGGCCTGCGAGCTTAAGGCATGGTTTACGGCTGTGCGCCGGTCGACCAGTGATCAAGAAATGGTATACTCGACATTCACCTCCGGGCCTCAACAGCTCTGGTATAAATGGCAGCTCATCACCCCTTCTCTCCCTCTCACTGTCCACAACATCTCCATCATACCCACACAGCCCACCAACACCGCTCCACCTCTTCGACAATTTCAAGGCTTTCAATACTTTCAGCACAGTGTCACTTGCACCCACGTACAACCACCACCCAGCAATGGCTCCCTCAATTCTTCTCGCGCTCCCTGCTGAGGTGCGACAACAGATTCTTTCCGAGGCCCTGAACATTTCCAGTCCCATTCTCGTATTCGACGAGGATATCAAGATTATCACTCCGCTAAATGGCATCTGCAACCTCCTCCTAGCAGACATCGACGAGCTACTGAACAGCTGGATTCCCGAGCCTGCGAGCACGAAAGTCGTAGTCAAGTCTCGCGAAGGCCTACAAAAGCTCGCAGAACTCCATCGCCGCTGCACCAAGCGCGCCGCCGCCCAAGGCCTTCCGTGGCCCGGTCTCGGAAAGATCCAAATCCCTTGCATCCACAACGAGTTTTCGCGGCAAGGTTCACTGAAGACCGTCTCCGCCATCCATCGCGTAAAGCTCACCGAGCTCGAGAAATTCGACATGACACTCCTCCCGAAGACCGTCAAGAAAATTCTCATTGACCTCACGATGCCCTCGGAACCGCTCAAGGCCCTCGAAGAATTGTTCCCCCTCAACACCGTGCAGTTCGCAGCTCCGCCACCTAGGGCGCTAGAGGATTTCTGGGTTAAGCTTATCATGAAGCTGAGAGAACGCATCGAGACACTAGCCCGCAATCTCATCACAGCTGGTAGAGGGGAAAAGCGGGTCCACCAGGCCATAACAGTGGGCACTACGGAGGTGGCGCTGAAATCTATGGGATTCTTTCCGCAGAGTCAGGTTAAGGCGATGCTCCATTCCACTCAGCCCATCTGGCGTACATATTGCTTGCAGTGGCATAGCGCCGCCTCCATGTCGTTCTTCGAGAGCTATTTCCCAGGGCTTCGGTCTTCGCGTGATCATTGGAGAGGGATGTTGGCAAAGATGCAGAGAGATAGAGAGAGGTCTCTGCGGGTGTTGCACCGAGAGGTGAAGAAGGAGCAGCAGGCTAAGGAGTATGAGAAGAAGAAAGCTAAGGAGTATGAGGAGAAGAAAGCTAAGGAGTATGAGGAGAAGAAGGCTGGTCGGAAATAATGATGCAGCTGCGAGATATGCTGAATACATGCGCTAGGACATACGGGCCCGATTTCTTCTTCTCATTCAACGATGGGTCAAGCTGGAATCACTAATTGGTTACCTTGATTTTGGTGAGAGGTGGTCCTCGACGCTCAACCTCTCGTCTCAGCTTTTATACATTTCTTGACTTTCATAGCTTTTCTGTACTTTTAATCAAAGTGAACTTCTACATCAGCTCGTTCCGTTTGCGCGAAGAACTTTAGCCGTGGTTGAATCTTTAGTCCTCTCTTCTGCTTACTACCCTGGACATGGGTTGCCTAGTCGTGCGTGAGAGGTATACTATTTCGAGAGAATCGAAGATACTCTACATATGATCTAGAGATGGCTTTTGCTCCTGCTTGTTTTTCGGATGGCCTTTGTGTATTCTGTCCGATAGCTTTGTTGTCTAGGACCTCTACAATGAAATGGATGAGCACTTAGTGTCTGAATGTTTGATAGCTCAGGAAATGTGTGTCCTTCTCTTCGTTAATCGCAAACGTGGGAAACTATTTGTTGCAATGAGTTTGCGGAATTGAGTTGTATCGTATAGAGACGACGCACGTGGGCATCTCTTCAGCAAAGTCTGACACGCATGTTTTCTTCTCGGCGGTGCTCGTATGGAAATTTAGCTTGTGATTGCGTCGTCTCAGTGACATGCAACCCTAAACTGTTTTTATAGAAACACGTCAGATTGTAGAACGACAGTTGTTGAATATAAGAGGCGTAGTTCGCTTACTTGAGGCCATTAGATCAATAATAAGACCGTGTCCGTCCGTGATACGAAGTAGAAGCTAGACTTCATCCTTCACGATCCCCCAAACCCAGTCTAGGCAGCGCCACCCGACCCACTTCCAAGATCTCTCCCGCTGTCCGCGTTATTCCCACGAACTGGAATCTGGTACTGGATGCAGGAGTGTAGGCGATACCAGCGTCCCATCTACAATGATAGCGGCAAGATATCGCAGCTCCACGCGTCCCCTGCACCAACACCAAAAACCCCTCCAAACAGCCGTCCCGCCGTATCAACGTGCGTCCACATATCTCGGCGTCCGCGACAGATCCTGGAATCCTGGGGACGCCACGACCTAAGCGGACGCCGCTGACGCCGCGGACAGCGACACAAGCTCTGCCCAGGTGTTAGGCTTGCCGGAAGCCGGCCGCCAGCCTTGCAAAGACGGGAGCAACACAACGGCACGGAGACGACTCCTCTGGACATCTACGGCCGCCTCCGCGAGGGGAGAGTTGACGGCACGTGGGCAACGGCCCGCGAGCAACTGGTGAAGTACGTAAAGGCGGATAGTTCAGGGCCTAGCAGCGAAAAAGTTTTGCTCTTTCTGATTTGCGGGCGGCCGTGAGACGGTGTCCGGGCGTCAGAACTGCTGGTTGGAGCCGCCCGAAGCAGCAGGTGGGAAGCGGGAACAGCGACACTCAAGCACTGCGCTACAAGCCCTACGCAGTCTTGGAAGGCCGTTATTGGGCGAAGAGGTGCGCGGTGATCATGGGATGCACACTATGCTCGCTTTGGGCTGGCACGCTTGGGGCTGCGGCTGTGGAGTGGGTGGGCTGCTGCGATACGACCACCCCCGGGTAGGTGAATGACGCGGGTGGGCTGCCGTGTTTATAGCATGCCGGGACCCTGAACTTTTTTTGGTGTTTCGAGACAGAGACACCATTTGCGATTTTGCAGATATTCCAGGACACTGCACACATCTAGGCCAGAGCTACTCCACGGCAGCTGTACTACGTGATACAGCTCTAAGAGTCTTGTGGGTGCTACCCCAGATCCCTGGCTCTCCAATCGAAGCCCGGTCGTCTATCGCATCGCGCAGCTAACAGCTTCACCCCTCCGCAGACCTCACGTTTGAAAGCTTCGCCATGTCTGAGAAAATCGAAACGCAGCAAGCCCGCGACGAGTCGGACCGGTCGCTATCCCCGCCGCGTCGTGGGAGCTTGACCCAGACGGACAAGGGAACATGGGACCGCCTCTGGCCCGTCATTGCTTGCGGCGCCGGCCTGTTCTCTGATGGCTATCTGAACGGTGTCATCGGCTCCGTCAACACCATGTTGAGCACCATCTATGCGGATGAGTACACAAAGTCGTCGGCCCAGCAGAACGTGTCGTCTATCACTTTCGCTGGAACAGTGGTGGGGATGCTGTTCTTTGGATATACATCTGATCACTATTCCCGCAAGTGGTCCCTATTCACGTGAGCTGCATGCTGCCGGTTACTGGTCTCGAAACTGACAAACGCAGATCTACCATCATTATCCTTCTATTTGCTGCGCTAGGCGCTGGATCCTATGGTGCTGGAGGCAGTGTAGGCGGATTGCTTGCAGCCTTGACAGCTTATCGTTTCTTCCTTGGAATCGGTATTGGAGGTTGGTTATAGTAGCAAACTCCTTACTGCCTGATAAGATGCTAATCCCATTTTAGGGGAGTACCCAGCTGGTAGTGTCGGTTGTGCTGAGAGCACCGGCGAATTGAAATCCGGAACTAGGAACATGTGGTTCATCCTGTTCACGAATGTTCAAATTGATCTCGGTTTCGTGGTCGCTGCCATTGTGCCGATGATAACGGTAAGATTCACATTTCCGACGTTTAAACATCTTCCATGCAATACTAAGACTCGCAGGTCCTTGCGACGACTGAAAAGCATCTTCGAGCAGCATGGCGCATATGCCTTGGCATCGGTGTCCTCCCTCCTCTTTCTCTGCTGTACCTCCGGATCAAGCTCCAGGAACCCGAGGCCTTCAAGCGTGAGACTATGGCCAACACTAAGACTCCCTGGCTTCTCTGCATCAAATTCTACTGGAAGCGTCTTGCCGTCGTGTGCACTATCTGGTTCATCTACGACTTCTCGGTATACGCTTTCGGTATCTACTCGTCGTCCATTTTAGCCAATCTTCTAGGCACAAGCTACCCACTATGGAAGAGCTTCGGCTGGAACGTTTTGCTCAACTTCTTCTACATGCCTGGTTGCATCGCTGGTGCGTTCGTATCAGACAAGTTTGGACCGAGGAAGACTCTAGCAGCAGGAGTTATTGCCCAGGGAATTGTTGGATTTATCATGGCCGGATGTTACGCTTCCCTTAGCAAAAAAGAAAACATTGCAGCCTTCGTCGTTGTCTACGGCATCTTTCTCGCTCTGGGCGAGCTGGGCCCTGGCAACAACATTGGGCTAGTTGCTAGCAAGACCAGTGCGACAAGCATCAGGTATGTAAAATGTCACATACCTTGCTATCGCCCCTTCATTCGTTCATGTCATATACCCTACCCTCTGTCATACTCTGCACCCTTGGGTTCCGATTCCGTCTTTCCCCCGGTCGGGTGTCGAAGCTTAAAATCCACCACGCGTACACAATCGTAGGGAGGCTAACAAATGATGTGCTACAGAGGCCAGTATTACGGCATCGCTGCCGCTATGGGCAAAGTCGGCGCCTTCGTTGGTGGTTACGTCTTCCCCGTCATCCAGAACAATGCGCCCAACCCCACACGCAGAGGCCAGGACCCGTTCTTTGTCGCCAGCGCTCTGGCTATTTTCTCCGGCTGTGTTGCCGTTTTTCTGCTCCCGCATATCGGCCAGGATACGATCGAAGAGGAGGACATCAAGTTCCGGGCGTACCTCGAGTCCAATGGCTACGACGTCACTCAGATGGGTATGCACGCCCTGCTTGCGCCGCCGAGCAATGAACCGGAGCGGGAGAAGGTTTGAGTGCTCGCGAGATGGGCCCAGGGGTTCGTGTGGGATGAGATGAGATGCATGCAGCGAAGCGGATGCTCCTGCGATGCGGGATGAGATCCCGAGAGGGCTGCAACGTAAGCGTCTAGCTTTTTATGCAGCTGTACTCCACGGCTGCTAAATGTGATATGGATATTTTTTTTCCACAGCCGCGTGGCTAGCGTCCAGGTACGGTGCGTGACGAGTGAAATACCCAGCGCTGGCAGACGCCGCGATTGACGAGCCTTGTCCTGATCACGAAGCTTGTCGTGAGCATTATGCGTATAATGGTATCTATTCACATAAATGCGACGCTATCCGCGGCTGAAATGCTTACGATGATCTTGCAAGGCTACCTAAGTCTAGGCCCATCCCTCGTGCTGTGAAATACAGCATGTAAGCGCATCCGGTGAACTAGCGCGGAAAGCAAGCCACGAATCAGCCGCAGAAGTGGGATAATCCGGAAAGTAACGCCTCACGGTACCTTGCTTTTAACAGTTATAGCTCAGCTTTGGTAAGAATCAGTCCAGAAAAGGGCTTCCTCCGTTCTAATCCTAGCTATTACACCTGTGGCTTCAAATCTGCGCTAGTTCACCGGATGCGCCTTGACGCTGTACACTATCAAACCGCGCCCGGAAAATGGGCTCCTTTCACCCTCGCGTGCACTGCGGCGCGCCGCCACACCGTTAAGCCCCAGGTCCTTGCATTTTCCAAGGGCTCCTCCAACCAATAGCGAGGCTGGAGTTGCATTCATGCGGTTTGCGTTTCAGGCCCGTCTGCATGGTGGCGGTTCGATCGACTGCCCTGCGGTGACCTGCACCAGCATGACCCCCAGGCCCCTTCGCTACCGCTATCTCGACAATCACGACAATTGCCGCGATTTTCTTTTTCCAGAGTTCTCGTCTTCGTGCTGGGTATTCAGCTAGGTTTCGCCGACGACAGTGGCAGGATGGAACATGGGGCCTGACTACCGCGGGAGCTATCCCTTAGCCTCTTCTGCTTTTGCCCCTGCTCCCACGCCCCCGAAACACTCCCTGACGATCGTCTATCGAACCTGCGAGGGAAGAAGGCAGGTGAGAGATGTGTTTGCTGCCTGTGGCGTTCCTCGTTGTCACCTTCATTGTTATCCCTACAGATGCGCGCTGATCCATCGGGATGCTCAATCTCGCGTACCTGCAATCGAATCCTTCGAATCTTTCTAGATATGCCACTTCACTCAGACCGCCCTCCTTGCCGCGTATACGCATCTACGGCCAAAGAGAGGCCGCAGGCACGGCGTGTCGTTTAAGCCATGTCCAACGGGCCGGTTTGGCAACCGTTGACTTGGGACCATGCATCCTAGCATTTTCCGTCTCTGCCGGCGTCGAACCTCAAACAGTGCAGCGCGGACGAAAGCAGGAGCCAGACGAGCCGATCTGCCCCCCTCTGCTCTGCTGGGACGACCCGCATTACTCGAGCGACGCCACACGTGCCGCAATCTGCCAATTGAACTGTTGGAGCGGTGGCCCAAAGCAAGTCCACCCATCCCCAGAGCGGCCCTCCAGGTTTCAACGACGCTGGTCGAGCTCGTGCTCCAGCAACCATCCCAACTGCATTCGAACGTCAACTAGCGGAGAATAGCGTATTCTAGTAGCCTTGCGCATCCTGGCATGTTCCACGCTGGATTTCGACCCCAGTAATCCCACGGTTTACACCTTGTCGCTCCCAAGCCACCAGCACCATTGGATTGGCTTCCAAGGTAAATCGCCGCTCAAAATGTCCCCCAGGCCCCGATGGCTCCCACACCTCTCCCTTTGTGTGACCATCGTGGCACTTCCCCCATACTTTACCCCCTCTTTTTTCTTTTCAGACGTCGTCTCAGCAGGCTATCTAGCATATTCTATACCCCAGACCTGTTTCTCGCCGGTACTTCCCATTCACGAATTGGACCACTACAAGCTGGGGTAGATCACGCGCGGCGTACCCAGGCCATGTCGAGCTAGAAATAAAGCTTGGTTCTAACCCGCTGTCCCGACTTTGTTCGTCGGCTGAAAATCAGTCGTGCCCATTTTCTTCATATCAGCCACTTTATCCTCGCCACTGATCCACCACGGTCTTGACTTCTCTCACGATCCCTATGAGGGCTCTCCCTCACGCCCAAATACTACCTTCGCCATGTCAACGTCAGAGTATATCCCTGTGTTTAATCGGTCGGAGACCATCTTGTCTACTACGCTTGTCTTTCTTGTAAGGCTAAACTCTTGATCCCGTGTATATGTTCGGTTATTTAACAACACTAGGTTATTGCGTGGATCGCTGTATTCCTTAGGCTATTCGTAAGACTAAGGATCCCGAACAGTCTGGGTTGGGATGACCTCTTCGTTTGCTTTGCCATTGTATGCACCTTTGAATCTTTGGGAGTAACGCTACTAACTAGTGTCAGTCTTCGTGTACTGCTGGCTCAGTAATTGTGTGTCTCCGTAAGTTTGAAGATGAGCAGAAGTCTGCTTCCGTCTGGACTGACGGTTCTCTCCAGAGCCGGGCGCTGGTATGGGCAAGCACATGAAAACATTACCACTCGACAAGCTGGAGCAATACTTCTCCGTATGCCACTTCTTCCCCTATGCCTACCTCTACAAAAAGCATAGCCCACTGACCTCTGCAGTACGTCTTCGCTGCAAACGTAACCTACTGCTCCTCGACAACATTGATCAAGATCGCCATCCTCCAACAATACCTCCGCCTCTTTGAAGGGGCTTCCAACCTCGTTCGACGCATCTGCTATGTTCTCATCGCTGTCACCGGCGCCTGGGGCATCTCATTCTCTCTCGTCGCACTCCTCGGCTGCCACCCCATCCGTGCTAACTGGGAAGCCAAGTACTTCTTAGACCCGAAGCTCAACGCCAAACACTGCATCGCATTCGGCTCCAAGGATGCCGGAACCATATTTCGCACATTCGCCGGGCACGCCTCCTCAAACATGTTCCTCGATGTCCTCGTCCTCCTGACTCCCATGCCCTTTCTTAAAACGCTTAAAATGCAAGGCAAAACACGATGGGGCATCATCGCCCTCTTCGCCATCGGCGCAATGTGCGTGCCCCCCTTCACACCTTTCAAAGTCCGTCCATACTAACACCCTTCCCAGCGTCACTCTCTTCAGCATCGCCCGCCTCGCCGCCCTCGCCACCACCCGGGCAGGCACCTGGCCCGTCTTCGACGTGACCTGGTACGCGCCCCCGATCTTCATCTTCTCCTCCCTCGAGGTCGAAGTCGCCATCCTGTGCGCCTCCATCCCCATCTTCTGGCCCCTCGTTGCCAGCCTCTCCTTCGGCAAGATCCTCGTCGTCAACGAGATCTCGGTGCACTCCGCGCCGCGGGACTCGATCTTGCTCGAGCTGGGGCGCCGCGGCGGCTCTGTGCGCAGCAGCGATGGAGACGTGAAGTCGGAGGGTTTCCATCTGGGTCGGGGGAGGAGATTGAGCGATGGGAGCGAGGGGAAGGGGGAGCTGTTGGAGAGCACGGAGAGCCAGAGTCAGGGGGAGCGGGAGAGGTATTATGCGGATCGGTATGTGGCGGGGTTGGTGGCGCCGGACTGGGGGAATGGAGAAGATGTGAGGAAGAAAGGGGCGCATACGACGACGGTAGAGAGGGCGGAGATGCCGTTTGATCATATTAATGCGATGCAGGATAAATGAGCCTGATGTTGCGGATGGAATAGGAATACAAGCAAAGTTTCTTGGACTTGAGTGTTGAATCGAGGGAGTGGTTTTATGTGAGTGAGTGAGTGAGTAAGGGAGGGAAAGATATGCATCGAATTGATATCGGTAAGCTGGAGAGCTTGCTCATCCTCTTTACGATACATACCCAGTTTCCCTTTTCTTTTCATCTCTCCCTCAACCCCTCATCACATTCCCACTCGCTCCCTCTCGCCAAAAATCACGTGAATATCACGTGTTCTAACACCCATGACCACCTCCGTAACTTCTTTACCACCGCCATCCTCCTTTTTCCCGCCCAAATGCCTTCCACCCCAAACTCAACTTCCCATACAAAGTATATCACCACACCGCTTCAGCCCTTCTAGCCCAACACCAATTCCATCGCCTCGCACCCTAGCACCCAAGACTCAACATCCCTGCACCGCATTTTAGGCCTAATCCCTCCCGCAGCAGGGATGCTCAGTCCCCACCCGCGCTCGGCAGATGAACAGGCTTCCGGGACTTAGACCGGGACGGGATGGGGAGTCACTTGTGGAGGAATCAGGCCACTTGGGTGTGGGGGGTATGATTCGTGTGAGGGAGTGGCGTTTTGGGGGGCGATGGGATGGGCGCATGGGGTTGCTTGCGCAGATGCTTGGTTATATTATGCAGCGACTGCCTTGGTTGAGGGATCGGTCGGACTGTATCATCTAATTTAGTCCACGACTACTGTTGTGCGGTCATGCACTTGTGCTTTATTATGAACATATCTGCGTTCATGCGGTTCTGGGGGAAGGGAATAATGTATCAGTATGTAATGCAGGTTAATGAGATGATGGAGTTTTTTCTGACGGGGGAGATAGGATGGCGAGGCGATACGAAGTAGTGGAAGATAGTCAAGCGGCCGCATGAGGGACGGAGCGGGGAAATACTCCTATCGGTCCGACATGTAGCCACATTGAAGTTCTAGAATCTATCCAATCTTCTGAAAGGGGCTTCTAGAACAACGTGCTGTTCCATGTCGAAACTTGTGTCTCTCTACAAAAGGGGAGGATTTCACGGATTCAATGGATGCTGCATCTGATGGATTCGTAGGCTCGTAGGACTCGCGTCGTTACTGATACCACTCTTTCACATCCATTGTCGAGACGGCTTCTCCGTCTTTCTGTTTCTGCAGCGCTTCTGGCGGCTACTAAATAGATTTGAGGGTTCGGGCCTCTCAAAACCAACACTTTCAAGGTTTCCAGTGGGACGGAGAAGGTGTGGGTGTGATATAATGGGACGATAGGTGATGAGAGACAATAGGTGCATCGGTGAGATGATGTAGTGTTTGTGACGGACGGGCATAGAACGATGTGGGATTGCTTCAGTGAGAGAAAACTCGACGGACATACAAAGGTAGGGTAGAAAGACAAGCTAAACAGCAAGAAAAGAAACGAATAGAACACCTTGTCGAGCTTCTAAATTGGAGTTGAATGAGCTGTTATTTCTTGCTATTCGATATACAAAGTTCCTTTTCTCTCAGGTCTAGAACCACGAGGCTTTTGTATACATACTCATGAGGGTCTCTAGTATACGCACTAAGACGAAGCCAGAGAAACGGGCAAATGTGGGGGACGACTGTGAGCGTCTGCACGATATCGACTAGTACCCAGCGGAGTTTTAGGCCCACGATTGAAAGAATAATGATCCAGGCTCAAAGTTCTGCATTGAGAGTCGACTTTATCGAAGTACATACAAGACAACTCTGCAAAAGACACATCTATTTCGTGGATGGGCCTGTCGCGGCTACTAGCTATGAAGGAGACTTGTAAGCTCAGCGAGTTGTGTTGACTGGTATATAGCGGATCATTCACCATCATGGAGATGGTATCTTCGACGTCCATCTTCCGACTTCGACATCCAACTTCCGACCTCGACAGGCTTCTCTATAATGGTCAGCACAGCAGCACACTTCTCTTCATCGTCCCCATTCCCTATGCCACCTTTTCCGCCTTGGAGAATATGGCATGGAGATCCTTTCCGACCCTCAAGAAGCTGCGATCGTAGAGTGAGTAGAATTTATCATAGGAGGTCCGGCAGCTAAGGGATCTTTGCCAGTATCGTCTTCGTGCATGGGTTGACCGGCAGTCGCCGAAGTACATGGACGTATCATCCCGGCGTTCCAGACGAGGAGTGCTTTTGGCCCAGGGACATTCTCCCGCACTCCCAAGACGTCCAGCGCATCAACCATATATCTGCCTCTACGTGTGGCATCTTGTTCATGGGAACGCCGCATCAAGGCGCGCCTTCAGCTGATATGGCAAGCATCTTCGTACGATTCGTCAACATTGCCAAGGTGGTCAACACCAGGATCGTAGGGTGATCTTGGGAGGAAGGGAACACACCTGGAGGACATCCGAAAAAGATTCGACCTGTACTTGGCTGAGCGTGAGCAAGCCTCGAGTTCCATCCACGTCGCGTGTTGTTTCGAGCAGAATGCCGACGTGGCCCTGCGAGACAAAGTAAGAGTGTATTGAGAATCATGAGATATCGGTCTGACACAGAGCCAGGTTGTTCCCGACGAGTCGGCGATCTTAGACAGATACACGCAAATTGCAATTCATGCCGATCACAAAGGCATGACGAAGTTTGGACATCGGAACGACAACGATTATCAAAGAGTTCTGCAAGAACTCAAGGAATGGGTCAAAGACACCACCGTGAAGTCTGGTGCCGAAAGTCCTAAGGCAAGTCCAATTCATTGGTCTTGAGGAGCAACCAGGCTAAAATCCGACGCAGTTTGCAACGACATCGAATGGCAGCTCCGTGACCCATCAAGGACACAACAAGGAAGGATCCACCGTACTTTACGGTAGCCAGAGCTTCTCCGGCACGACCAGCATAGGTAACCGTGTTCAGCCTCCACGATAGGAAGAGACACTCACATATTCAGGTGGTTAATATTCTCGCGGTTCGAGTTGATCGCCTCCGATCATCCGTCTGGCTGTCGCGCACTAAGATTCTTGCACACGGACTAGGGACCGGACCAGGGGCTTGACTAGGGAGGAAAGCGGAGTTGAATGGCGCACCAGCAATTGAATATGCAGACTAGGAACATCATGTAGCGCATTGAGGGTCTGAAACTTAGTTATCAGTAAATGTATGTGGTATCTAAGCGAAAAGAGTCGAACGAGTATGACCAAACGCCGGATATGTTGCCTTGTTCACATGTACCCGTATCCCATATAGTTCATTCTTCATCGCGTGCTCTTGTTGCTCTTATATTCGTGATCCCATTGCTGCCTCCGCTGCCTCTCGATGGCCCAAGCCTTCTCAGCCGCAACTTGGTCCATCTTCTTGGTCTGTCGTTCAAAGTCAAGACGGCGTTGCAGTTCGTCGCCCGTGTTGTGAGGTTTCAGCATAGGAACAGGGCCTTCGAAATGTAAGTCAGCCTATGTTTCGAAGACGATTTGGGGTAGAAAGTCAGGTACCTCCTTTCCGCGTGGTGGTCTTTGGCTTCCGGAATAGTATGCCCCGCCTGTGGAAATGACGCCGGCGAACCATACTTTCCTCCTCCGTCTCGACCTCCACTTCCACCGGAGGAACACTCTGGAGAGACTCATCAAGAATACCGCTTTCAATATGTTTCTCCGACATGTACGTGTCCGAGACAACCTCGTCGTCTTCGTGCAGGAGCGTTGCCGTCTCTGCTGCTGAAACATAAGCCTCTAGCCATTCCTCTGCCTCGATCAAGCACTTACGCTGCCCCATCTCCTCCTTCAACCCCATCTTCTCATCGACCAGCGACACAGAACTTCTCCCAAAGCTCCCCCTTTGCGCAAACAGGCCCTGCTTCTCCGCCGACTGGCGCACCAGCACCCGTCGCGGTCTCACATCCTCGTTGTCGATATGCGAGCCCCCATTGCGACTACTAACGGCGTTGTTCCTCCCAGTAAAGCAAGAGCTGAAGAGGCACGACATGATGCTGCAGAGTAACAGCGGAATGCAAGCAGATAGGTAGTTGAGGAGGGACAAGAACAAGATGGCTCTATCGGAGAATAGCGAGGCAGATGGCCCGATAAGCAGCATATGGCAGGCGGGCAGTGCATTGATCGGCCGCATCCTTCGCGCACAGCGTCCCTGTCTGGCGGGGTTTGGGAAACGCGATTCAGGGGCTGTCGACGCTGTTATTGGCCGTGTATTTGCGCTGTGCATTGTCCGACGACCCATGCGGGGGGCTTAGCTTCTGCGCCTTGCTGGATATTTGCCATCGTGAGCATGCATGGCTATTCTATGTCTGCCAGTTCAACGTCTTTACCGACTTCATGGTTTGAGACACATCTACTTACCGATTGTATGCTTAGAAGGATATCTTACACGCTTCTAAGTTCTACAGCACAGTCTAGAGATCAAGGATACATCGCGATGGACGGATAACCCAGTTCCTGAACGACACCACACATATTACAGGTCTAGGAGCGGGCCCTCCGTACCATGGCCACCATGTACAAACCACGAATATTCCGCAACTTCTCAAGCGCCTTCACACTCACTTCCAAGAGCTCCGAGCCAGCCGACGTCGAAAGCACCCCAAAGACGAGCAAGCCGAAACAACACCTTCAAGGCTTCCCTAGCCTCAGCGCACTCCTGGCCTCCGATCACGACCTCCAGGTCTTCCGCCGCTTCGACCGCCTTGCTTCTAGAAATCTGCTATACCTGCAAGCTGAGATACTTGATCTTGAAACACGGTTGGACGAGTTGGATGCGGCGGACCTGGAGGTTGCGAATGCAGAAGAGTCGGAATGGATGGAGGTGAAACTGTCAGCCAGATGCTGGGAAGCTTTCGCAGAAAAAGCAGAGAATGGAGAAGAAAGAGAGGTTGAAAGAATGAAATTGGTCATGCTGATTCGTGAGAGGATGGCTGAATATCGTGCGTAGCCCTTTGTATCCTGGATGCATGCAAGGGATGCTAACCAAACTCCAAGAGGACGCTCTTATCCGACAAAGCACACTTCTGAACCTCGACAACCCTAACCCAAGAGTTAAGAGCGGTATCATCGGCTGGTTCGAGCAGAATCGACCCCTCGTGGGGCACGGCAGGAACCTCTTCGACGGCAAATCTAAAAACGATATCGTTGCGTTACGGACATCACCTGATCAAGATCGATTGACCATGTTCTTACAAAACCGTCTGGGGTACTTCTTGCGCAACAGAAAGAAAGCAAAAGATAGTCCTGCCGATTGGGATGGCATGCATTACTTCCATGAGACTATCATTGGGCGCATTGTTTCCTTCTTCAGCGTATTCCTCGCAGCATTACTTCTCGTCGGTGCTATTACGAGCTTGTATTTTGTTTCGAGCGCGTCTTCCAGAATGATGCTTCTTGCAGTATTTACGACGATTTTTGCGGCCAGTGTAGGTGTGTTGACGAATTCGAGGAAGGTGGACATTTATGCGGCAACAGCAGCGTAAGTGGGTTGGGAACGCCTGCAACGAGTTATTACTGACCTGGATTTTCTAGGTATGCTGCAGTCTTGGTAGTGTTCATCGGCAACGTGGCGCCTGGGGCAGGTGTACAACCAAACACCTGAACAATCAACTATGAAATGACTCCAAGCCAGACCAAGTGTTACACATCCGGAGGTGGACCGATGTGATACTCCATCATGCAGCTTCCATGGAGCAACGGGGTGATTTCGACGCCATACGCCACAGTCCTTGGGCAGCCTCCCAGATCAGACCCGGAAGAGCTTATGAAGAGATGGTCGATGTGAATCAGACTGCGGGCGAAAGCCTTTTTCGATCCTGACAGCGCGACCGAGGTGAATTCAGAGGTCTAGGTCAAACGTCCTCAGGCAACGGTGTTGTTCCTAATATCTGTGCTGGCTCCTCCCATCACTTCACCACGCCCGATTTCAACCCACACGACGCCACTATTCCGCTCCCACCTGCAAATCACAACCTTGATCCGGGCATAGCTATCCTTATTCACAGCTGCGGAAAGCCGACAATCCCCTATCCAAGCCTCCAGCCACCTCGGTCAACATGTGCCGATACAGAGCCCTCATCTGGTCCTGCGGCCACTCGCGCACTTTCCGTCTCTCCACCTGCAGAGGCACGAAGCAGACCTGGCGCCGATTCGGCCACGAACTTCGACGCCGAGTTGACTGCCGCGAGGAGGCGGCCGAAATCAGCCTCCGCCTGTCAAAGCCTTGCAAAGACTGCCGCCGAGCCGAGCTCCTCGCCGACATCGAGGCCCAGTGGGCGCAAAGTAGGCTCTTCGCCGACGAGCTCTACCTCAGGTACGTGAATTACTTTACTTTCCTTCTCAAATTGCCTTCCTCTTATATCAGTGTGGCTGACCTCAATGTGATTTTATATAGATGCATGGAAGCGGATGCCCTTAACGTGGTTGACGACGCTGACATGGACTGGTTCAAATTGTGTGGCAGTGAAAGGGAAAAGTACCGACACCGCTGCGTCCGCGTCCGAAATTGGATCACTGCCCGTGAGCATCGTTTGCCTGGCCTGAGGTCCTCCCCTGCCTGGACGAAGTGTGCAATAGCATCGCCACTCGCGCGTGATTTGGAGGGAAATCCGGCGTGGGACGAGAAGATTCCGATTAAAAGGCGTGTGCGGGCGCATCTGGTGGAATAGGGTAGGGTGCTTCGTGGACTAGAAAGGGTGGGAATTTCCGTGCTGTGGGTGGTGCAATTTGGCGTGTTGTTTGGAAAGGGAAGGTCGAGACTTTGATTCAAGACGTACTCGCGGTGTAGATTGGTTGGGCATTACTATCGGAGGGCGTAAGAGTAAAATTTGGTAGAGGTTTGGCGCTTTGTGGAGTACGACAAGACATCGACGGCTATATTATTAAAAGGTTCACGTCGGGCGCTTGATATTGAGCCTGCGTTGTATTACATTCATAGATCCCTTAGATTTCAGGCTCTATTATGTGACTGAGATTATGTACTGCAAATCAGAAGCTAATGTTCAGGTAAGTTCCATCCCCTTCACATAGTTAAAGCGCTTTAATATATCTAGACCACCAGCAAAGTCATCCCTCTGATTCAGCCTCACGCAGACTTTACATCCTCCTTCCCCTTGATATCGCCCCCCGATTCCTTCTCCAACCTCTCTGCCCTGTCTTCCCGACCCTCGCTTGCCGGATCATAATATGCTAAACACAATGTCAGTAGTGGCTCGAATCACTATCAGCCTCCGCAAAACCACTTACGTTTCTCCCCAAACACCGTCGTCCTAATCCCCCTCCTCGTCCCAGGCGCATATTTCCCCGGAATCACACGATGAATCGTACACCTATTATCCCACATAGCCACCGACCCAACCTCCCACTTCCAGCGCACAAGATGATCGTCCGCAGAGTGAATATGATGGAGCGCGAAGTCAAGAAGTTTATCTGCCACCCCACAAATCAGCATAAACCCAGTTGCAGCCCGCTCAACCCCCCCCCCCCCCAAAACTTACCAGACTCCAGCTTCTTCAGCTCCGCAAACCCCGTCACAAACCCCTCATTCACGTTCCACGCCTTCAGCCCCGTGACCGGATGCGTCCGCACGCTCGGATGATGGCTATCCCGCGGCGCCCTCCGCGGCCCGTTCCCCCACAGATCGAGGATGGTGTCGTACTGCAGCCGGCTCGTGTGCACGGCGTGCAGGCCCTCGAAAAGCCGCTTGTAGACCGGCGACAGCGCGTCGTAGAGCCCGTACTGCGACACCCACGCTGTGTCGCCGCCGACGGGCGGGTGCTCTTCCATGCGCAGCATGCTGTAGGAAGGTGGGTTGAGCTCGAAAGAGGTGTCGGCGTGCCAGCCGGCGGACGGCCAGGGCGTGTGGTTCAGCAGGTCGCGGTGGTCGGTAGAGCTGCCGCGGATGACGAGGTGTTTGGTCTCTTTTTGGGCGGGGTGGACGTCGAGGATGCCTGTTTCGAGAGGGTGGGTGTCAGTTCTGGGGATTCTGGGCTGTGGCTGATGGGGAAGAGGGTGTGAGAGGGGGGAGTACCATAATGGCCGAATAGCTCTTCTTGCTTTGCGGTTGTTAGGTCTTGGTCGCGGAAGAAGACGACGCCGCGTTCGTTTACGAGGAGGGCGAGTTCGTCGAGTTGAGATGGGGTGAGCTGGGAGAGCTGGACGCCTTCCAGTACGCTGCCGATGCTCTCGGTAAGATCGATTTGTTTGGCTACGGAAAGGAGGTTTGGTTTCAAGGGGTCGGCGAAGTGGGCGCGGTCTTTTGGGGGGTCGAATTCCTTGTGTGGTGGGTCGGGGGGATGCCAGTCTTTGATTTTGGGGTTGAAGTTCTAAGACTAATCAGTGTTCTACGTATTGAAGAAGGGGACTTGCTGCGTACTGGATGCAGCACTGTAGGACGACCAGAATCTGGATCAATGTGTTTGAAAGCTTCGAGGGTGGCCATAGCGAAGACAGCGAGTAGGCTCACAATTATCAAAACGAATGCCAGCTGCTTCGGGAAGTGAGGGATCTATATGCACTACACCAACCACCCCACCGGTTCTCTGCCGAGTTCCGGCACCGTGGATAGGGTGTGGGTGTTTGATTCGCGCTATATGCATGATGTGATAGGACTCCGCCATTACATCTTGCAACCCCACTCTGGACCCTCCAGATAGAAAGCATTAATAGCATCATAACGGAACCTTGATAGGAAGACATAGCTCGCGTTTCGCATACCCCGCTATACTGCGGAAGGGACATGTGGTAAGCGAGAGCTTGATCCGACGTCGTCATATGTATGGGGATGGCGACATCATGACCCTTGTTACTTCGCTATGTTGAACTACCCGTTTTGCGGTAGTGATTGCGATGAGGTGGAATTTCTTGTACACTTGTATTTTGATTAGGTATAAAAACATGTGTAAATTGAAGTAATGGAGGTGCTGATCTGAGGGATGTGTAAACTTGTTCGGAGTATATTGGAGATGGTTACTGGGGGTGTCTGAGCACGAAACCGCCAAACGCGTCGAGCATCGATGAAAGTTAATGATATGACATATTGCAACAACATGAAAAAACCAGCATTAATAAGGACGACTCACTGTTAAGGGATTGCCGTCTGCAAAGTTGCTGTTGCGAAGCACCTAGTGGAAAGATCTTGATTAGAAGGTGATTTTGACATGTTGTGAAAGAGAAACCTGACTATCTGCACCTCCCTGGAGTTCTATTTTTGAGACTTACGAAGACTTTCCCTAGCAGCCGCGATAACTTTATAAATATTTAATTGTCAGCTAACATTAAAGTGTCTTAGTGAGAGTGAGCAACTTATCATCTTGCATATTAGGAGAACTAAGTTATTTAAATTCATTTAAGAGAGTCAAAACTTTGACCCAGTCCTTTTGGTACTCCGTTACTCGTGAACACATTTACGAGCCCATGAAAGCGTTTGGTATCTCATCATATCTCTCCTCCCTGAGACGCCTACAAGATCATCATGCCCGCCCCGAGCACGGCAGCCGCAACTACACCACCAGCACTCGAGTAAGCCAGATTGGCCGCAGCACCCGTGCTTGTCGCAGCAGCACCACCTGTGGCAGTCCCCGAGGGGCTCTGAGCAGCCGTAGCATCCGCATTGAGAATACCGACACCGCCGACAGCAGTCGAATTTGTGCATTGGTCATCCGCGAGCAGAGCAGCCGTCGCGCTGAACTTGATATCCGCGCACTGTTGCACCGCATTAGCCATGCTCGAGCAACCAAAGCTCGTCCAATAAAAGCAACTTCGTTCCGTTTCTCAGGTTGACGTAATAGTTGAATTCTCCAAAATGCAACTCACATTATAAAGGGCCGCCCCTGTCGTGCTGATCTGGATAATTTGCAGAGACGCCTCCAATCCCTCCGCACTGCTCGCATCCAGACCCGCCGCCGCTAGACCGGCAGCTAGGTTTGCCTTGCCAGTCTCCTTTAGGCAGAACGTGCCATTGCCGGTCTGGTTGAAGTGGTCGACGAGGCTGATGTTGAAGGCGGAAACGTTGGTTCCGATTCCCAGGTTCACGTAGGTAAGCGCCCAGTGGTGGCCGGCATGGAGACGCAGCGAGCCGCCTTCGTGGGACCAGGCGGTGCGGTTGTTGATATCAGTGGTTTCAGAGACGTTGGCGCCTACATTGATCAGTACAGAGTCTCCCAGATTTTGGGGAATCTTACACGGAAATATCCATTGAGAAGCCGTTGGTGCGAAAGAGGAGCCGCGCCAGTATGGGTACTCGACCGTGAAGTGAGCCGAGGCAAGTTGAATGACTGTAGAGAAGAGGGGGAGAAAGGTACAGGTAGAGAAATGCATCTTGGCACAGTCGTTCGCTGAAGCTTTCGATGAAAGGATAGTAGATCTGCGAGCTGAGGCTTAGGCAAAGAAGCTTCAGCGAGATCGGGACGTCAATTGCTCTTTATAAGTCGAATGTAGGGGAGCTTAGAGGGGAGCTCGGAGCTTGGACTGCAAAAATTCAGGTAGGAAACAGATCGGTAGCCTGCAGGTCCCGCCACAGACAGCGGAATAGCTTGGCAACTTCGGAGGACCTTGAAGAGGGCCACCTAAATCACACACGCCTTATTATGAGCCAATAGTATTGCGACGAAGTGTGTAAAATAGATATGGTTCCGCACATTACCAGCGCAAATGTGCTCATATCGACTTGGCGCCAAGAGAGCGGAATAGAAGGCTGGAAACGAGACCGGAAAGGCATGAGGGAAGCGAATCAAAGAGAACAAAGTGAAGTAAACCTTACAAAATGTAGATGTCTTTATGTCTGGTGATCAGAATCTATTGGCTAGAGAAAGGTCTAGTAAGAAAGGTACAGTACTCTATACGGACTCTAGTTGGCGGATAGACCCTATTTGATACCACTTGCATGTGATACCAGTAGTCTAGTACTCATCTTTAAATACCATGCATTGTTGTTCACCGGCATCGTCGACCCAAGCTCTAAACATACCTCCACAATTAAAGTCGGCAACGATACTTCCGTGCGTCCCCACCAATTCGATGCCTATTATACCTCCTTCACCTTCTCCTGTCTTACCCCAGCGGTCTCCGGCAGACTTCTGCAACTCACCTCCAGACCCAGCTACTTGGCTGACAGCTTTCGAAAGAGCAGTGTTTGGACTTGAGAATCGAGATATTGCTGCTGCTGTTCGGACAGCATTGACCCGAAGGAAGGAATCGCCATTTCCCGTCCCAGACATAGCAACAGCATGACGTTGGGATGAATGTTGTTGCTCGGTAGACTTATTGTCGGAAGTTGATGCTTGCACTTGGGGTTGCCTCAGAGCTGTGGACGGGAGGCAGTCCGATATCAGAGCTGGAGTATCACCTCGCGAAAGTTTATCGAAAGATGACGTGGACGAAGATGGTGTAGGTAATGACTGGTAGAGCATTTGAGATTTCGAAACCTCTTCAAACCATTCTTCAGCCCAGTAGCCAGCACCAAGGGTCGGTGTGTCACCGATACGTCCGGGTAACTTGTTAGTTAGACCGCCAGTAGAGGTCGCTACGCAGAGGGTCCCGAAACTATCGAGAACGACCGCACCAACAGTTCCTTGAGGCAGGTATTCCTTTCCATCCCACGAAGGGTCGCCTGTAGCCCCCAACCCTGCGGTTGGCGCTTCGCTTCCATTGTTAGAAAGCGGAAATGGATCCTGGAATTGAGCAATTGCTGAACCGAGCTCCCGTTCAGCCTCCAATCCCCTTCGGTGTTCATCCCATCTCTTCTGCGTAAAGAAGTAGTCAGGCGTGACTATATCAAGTCCCCATTCTTCAGCCAATCCCTCCAGGTACTCTCCGGAAAGCTGGCAATGCCCCTGCGCACCGCCGCCACCTCCAGTATCGCCTTGCACTAGAAACTCGCGTGCAAGCTTGATTGGGTTCTTGACATGCTTGAGAAGCATACACCCGACCCCGCGCTTCCGCTTCCCGTCCGAAACCATGATACTGGATTCCAGCTCATTGGTTCCGGCCCGCGTGAAGACAGCCCCTTTACCGGAATTGAAGAGAGGGTCATTTTCTAACAACGAGACTGCAAAAGTAGCCACGTCGAGGGCAGTAGCTCCTGGTTTCTGGAGGGACTCTGAAGCCGATGAAAGGGTAGACAGGAGAGATTTACGATAGGCTTCGTAGGCAGCCGATGTGAGGTTATCACGTGAGATATTTCCAGCGCCGCCATGGATGATTATGCGAGGTTGGATGCTTAACAATCTGGTCGACGACATTTTCCGGTACGGTATGAAGAGAGATCTTCTGAAAGTGACGATGCAGGGAGTATGAAAGACGAATTACCTGAAGATAACGAGATCTTGGGAGGTGTAAAATCAAGCAATAGCTGCGGTGACAGTGCGATGATGAACGATGTATGAGTCCAATTGCTGTGCCACAGCAGCCTCTATTTCTATGATGGCGGTGCTGTCACGAGTGGTGAACGTGATGGTGGTTTTAAGAGGAACGGGATACCTGGGACCTCCGAGTGATTAGATCTAGATGCCAAGACCGAGCTCTTCGGATCAAAAGGCTCCGGTCTCCGGAAGTATTGGCCCAAGGTACACTCCAATAGAATACACACACACAAGGAAGACACTTTGAAGACTATAGTAAGTTTGGACGTAGCTATTTATCAGTATACCCATAAGATTTCAGCATAGGCCCAAACATTGCAGCGAGGAAAGGAGCCGGTCAAGTCAAGCAACCAGGTACCGCCGGCAGCAATCAGCCGCTCGTGCTTCCCCACGAAATCTGTCTGGGGAAAAGAGGCCGCTGCTAGCCGCGCTCTTGCCGACGAGGCCCAAGGTGTGGAATAACTTCGCTCGCTCCCCTCGACTCCTCTCTGATGCTTGTCCGTTCAGAACTCCAAGAATCTCACATATATATGCTTATTAGATTGCACTTGTAGCTATGGCCGCAAAACCGCAGTCACTGCGACCCCTCGCCAGTCTCCTCCGTCCACGCTCCGCCTACCGCTGTCAACAACACCAACAGCAACCACAATTTAGGTCATATTCGGCAGCTCCTCCGGGAGCACGTCTAAATGGTACCGTTAACTACGACACCACCTCCATCCTCAATCACACCTCGAAAACTGCCCTCTCGAATCCTGAACTCCCCGAAAATGTCCGAACCGGCCCTACCAAGAGCATAAACCTTTACACAGCGGTGAATGAAGCTATGCGGCATGCCCTCCAGACAGACGAGCGCGTGTTGGTGTTTGGGGAGGATATACAGTTTGGAGGCGTTTTCCGGTGTACAATGAACTTGAACGAGGACTTTGGCACAGAGAGGGTGTTTAATACACCACTCTCGGAACAAGGGCTGATAGGGTTTGCAATTGGAGCTGCCTCGGAGGGCATGCGGCCAATTGCGGAGATACAGTTTGCGGACTACGTGTATCCGGCGTTTGACCAGCTGATAAACGAGTGTGCAAAGATGCGGTACCGGGCTGGCAAGACGGATATGCACTGTGGTGGTTTGGTCGTGAGGATGCCGGCTGGAGTTGTCGGACATGGGGCTCTGTACGTGTTGTTTACTATCGTACGTTTAGATTCAAAGGCTGACCTCATGCGATCTCTATAGCTACCACTCTCAATCTCCAGAAGTACTCTTCACGCACGTACCCGGCTTACGCGTGATTATTCCACGGTCTCCCATACAAGCAAAAGGCCTTCTTCTAGCCGCGATCGCATGCAATGACCCCTGCATCTTCTTGGAACCCAAAATTCTCTATCGCGCGGCAAAAGAACACGTTCCGGTCGGCGGCTACACCCTACCACTTGACAAGGCCGAGATCCTGAAAACAGGGTCAGATGTGACAGTCGTGTCATACGGCACACCTCTATATACCTGCGAAGCTGCGATTCAAAAAGCAGAGAAAGATCTCGGATGCAGTGTCGAGCTGATTGATCTGCGGACTATCTACCCATGGGATCGGGAGACGATTTTAAACAGTGTACGAAAGACAGGCCGTGCTATTGTTGTACACGAGAGCATGCAAAACGCAGGCGTTGGCGCGGAAGTTGCCGCGACAATCCAAGAGGGTGCATTCACGAGGCTTGAAGCACCAGTGAAGAGGGTAGCGGGCTGGGCGACGTTCACCGGGCTGGCTTACGAGCAGTTCGTCATCCCGGATGTCGCAAGTAAGTTCATACTTCTCTAACTTCTAGACCACTTGCTAATGCAATCAGGGGTGTACGATGCTATTAAAAAGATAATCGAGTATTAAGCATTAGAAGTCAATTACAGAGGGGGACTATAGGATAGTAACCATCTAATGATGCTCAATGCATTCCATTTCAAACAATTTTGCATTTTCTCTCCTATCATATTGCACGTAGGCGTTATTCTATCCTTCGTATCTGCACTTTCAACTACGTTTCCATTTTGAGGACATTGGCCATTTCAGTACCCAATTCCTCCTGCAGGATGTTCTCGGATACACTTTCAAAATTAAAATCCTGAAGCTACTTGACTATATCATCTGAACCAATTACTTACCTACCAGAGGGATAGGGCCAAGTTTACAGAATTCACATACCAAGGTACTGTATACCTTGAGCAATGCCTACTTTGAGTGCTAGTTTAGGTAGAACGCCGACCCTTAAATAAGCCTAGGGTCTTGTTAGCTCCGATGACTACTTTGTCTACTGCTACTTTGAGCGCTGTATGCTTTTGATCTATTAGTGTGTGGGCATCAATAAACACGTGACGTGTGTTGTCTCTTACGTGATCTATCACGGACGAATACCGGCCGGGATCTTTCGGCTATATCCCCCATGTAACTAAACCCTCACACCCTAAAACCCAAGTTTATTTCCCATATAAGGTAATCACTTGCTAATAGCTTAGCACTAACTACCTTTTAGTTTCCAGCTAGTGCATCGGCTCTTTATAAAGCCTAAATACATACACGATATAGGCGTATTATAGATCGAGACAAGAAATATGGAGTTTTCAGTCTACCCGCCGGACGAAGGTTGCACCGCGTCGAGTCCTATTGTAGAAAAACGCTCTCCATTACAGCATTGTAGGCCTCAGCACAACAGCGTAAATCGGAGTTTGCAGATATGAGCGAACATATCAGAAGCATTTCCATCAATCGTCCGAAACATCTGAAAAAGATTTTCAACATTCCTTCATCATAACTCTACCCCAACCTTCTCTCCTCCATATGCTAGACTTCTCGAAACCAGACACTGCCTTCTTCACCTCCTACACCGCCTTCCCCTCCCAAACCATGCTCGCCCTCAAAATCATCTCCCGCGGCCACGCCGCCCCCCAACCCGTCCCTCTCCCCACCCTACGCCCCTCCTATATCCTCGTGAAAACCCACGCTATCGCTCTCAATCCCGCCGACGTTGGGGGCATTGACATGGTCGCGCCCGTTGGCGCAACCGTGGGCCTCGACTTCGCCGGCGTCGTTGTCGACATCGGGTCCGAGGTCCAGAAGAGCTTTAAGGTCGGAGACAGAGTGTTTGGTGCTGTGCATGGGTGTAATGAGAGTGAGCCGGAGGACGGCGCGTTCGGGGAGTATCTGATTGCGAAGGGGGATTTGACGGCGGTGATCCCGGAGAGTTTGGGGTTCGAGGCGGCGAGTACTATGGGGGCGGGGATTGCGTCGGTCGGGCAGGCGCTGGGGCAGAATCTGGGGTTGCCGTGGCCGGGGAAGCAGAGCGACGCGGGAGAGAAAGTACAGGTGTTGGTATACGGAGGGAGTTCGGCGACGGGGGCGTTGGCGATACAGTTTGCGAAGGCGTGAGTTTTGGTCTCTTGCTGTTAGTGGTGTTAAGATCGGTTGGATGTACTGATTATGTCTGCCAGCTCTGGATTGGAAGTCATAACGACTTGTTCCCCTCACAACAACGCCTACGTCAAATCTCTGGGCGCGTCTGCTGTCTTTGACTACCACAGCCCAGCTTGCGCCGCAGATATCCGTGCACATACGAATGACAGTCTCTACTACGCCTTCAACTGTCTCCCGGATGACTCTGCGGCCAAGATCTGCACGGAAGCGCTGTCCTCGCATCCAAGGCCGGGTGGGTCGAAACCGGCGTATACTGGAGTCTCTCCCATGGGAGTCGATGCAGCAATCATGCGGGATGATGTGCAATATTCGAGCATTCTAGGCTATACAGCGAAAGGCGAGGCATTTACTTTCGCAGGGAATCCAATACCTGCGATGCCGGATCACTTCGAGTTCATGAAGCGGTGGATAGAGTTCGGGACGTCTTTGGTTGCAAATGGAACGGTGAAGCCTCATACGTTTGAAGTAAGACCGGGCGGACTGGAGGATATTGTCAAGGGGTTGAACGAGTTGAGGGAGGGGAAGATTAGCGCGAAGAAGTTGGTTTATCGGATTGGGGAAGAGGTTTGATATCGATAGTACGACTCATCGTCCCACACTTCGCATAGACTGCAAAACTCTATTTCTGGCGATACTGGAACAACTCGAGTATAGCCTTCTTCTCGCAAGCTGCGGCGACGTCCAATGCGCTTCGCCCTGCATTATCTTCGTGAAGCGGATCCAATCCTTTTGCGACGAGGAACTCAAACAACTCGCGATCGCGTGCTTGGCTGCGGCTCAAGTCATGACTGTCATATTCACGACCTTCCTCCCGGCTCGCAACTATGTGGAGTGCAGTCTCTCCCTTATGATTCCGCACATGCACATTGGCGTTGGCAAAGAGCCCCTCAAAGTGATCGACATGAGGCGAGCCCTCTGCATAGGCATAGGACCGATACTCGGTGTCCAGCATAGGGTTTGATAGAAAGCTGAACAGCGGAGGGTTCCCGGCATTGTCACGCGCGTCGATGTTCCCGCCCAATTTCAGATACTGTTCCCAAAGCCGGTGACATCCATCCTTGTAATCTGATGGAAGGTCTCGGCGTCCTGTATAGCGGCGTATACTGACATACTTTTTTAAGAATTGGGGTGCAATATGATGCAGAGCAGTCATGCCCTCTGGGTTAGGTTCTAAAAGGTCGGCTCCTGAAGTAATCAGGGCTTCGCAGACTTTCGGACGGAGGCAATTTAAAGCACGATGAAGTGGCGAGTCGTTTTTGTTATCTTTCAATGTGATCAGTGGCTTGCAGTCGTCCCTCTCCAACATTTGAAGAATAGTGTCGTCCTCGGACTCCAGAGTGTCAAGCAGATGATGAAGGGCATGCCGACCTTCGTGGTCTACGACTGTAATGTCAGCTCCATTCTCCAGAACCTTCAAGGCAGGTGCCTTCTCCTTGGCAACCCGTCGTTTTTGCTGATAGCCAGGCAGAGCCCCAATCCAGTCGCAGGAAGCTAGGAATACGGTTCTTCCCCGGGGATCTCTTGCGTTGAGATCGATGCATTCGAGATGATCCAGGACTGCTATAAGGATTTCGTACTCGGAATGCTCGAAGACGTAATGAAGCAATATGTCCTTTTCGTTCAGCTGCGAGTACATATCCGCTCCGCGTTCGATGAGAAGATTGACCACGGGAACATAATCTTTAGCCGCTAGGGTGCAGAATTCTACAAGCGGACAGGTAGCGCAAAGAAGAGCATATCTTGCCTGGTCCTTGACGTCGTAGTTGACCACGCACTGCTTTGTGGCATCCATGCTATTTGGGCTTACCCCATGCTCGAGTAGGAGCGTTACAGCTGAGACATTGGCCGCTTCAATTGCCGTGAAGAGAGGGGAGACATTTCCAATAAAAGGATCGGCACCCCTCCGAAGCAACTCTTTCAACACATTTGTCTTAGTATTGGCTCTGTTTAGACAGGAAGCGCCGGAGGTGTCGGTAATATTTGGGTTAGCCCCAAGGTCTAGGAGTACCTTGACGCATTCAAATTTCCAAAAGTTCCGGCCCTCGCCCGGAACAATGGTGGAGGCAATGTGTAACGCAGTCTCCCCATTCTGGTTCAGAGCGTTTACGTCTGCTCCTTTATTGACAAGATACTTGATAGCGTCCATCTGCCACCAGTAGCGCCCGTGCGCAAGGCAGTGTAATACGGATGGTCCAAACTGATAATTATGAAAGTCGTCCGACAAGTGTACAAGAGCACGTTCGTTGACATCCACACTAAAGCGTTCGACTAGAAGCTCCATCATCATCATGTTGGAGGTGGGCCTTTCGCAACATACGTGAAGTGGCGGTGCAAAATAAGAGGGTTGACGGACTGTGTCAACGCACGCTCTTCGTGTCCACTCCATTGTCCATTCCAGGTCGTCGAACTTTTTTGCATGGTGTCCTATTTTCTCCATTCTGTCGACTAAACCCTCATGAGCAATGAAGCTGATAATGGACGGAAATGCTAGGTCGTTTACAGGCCGAAGCATATCAATGCCCTTCTTATCCAAGTGTTCAAGGTCGTCTGCGTCCAGGTATTTGATGAATCTTCGGGGACAGCTGAGCAACTCTGTAATGATTGAGGCATCATGGCTGCCGAGAGATGTTGAGCGAGCAAGAAGCGACGCTTCAACGAGGCGCATCGAGCTTTGTGAACCAGCCTCAGCAATGCCGTCATACATCTTTGAGTTTACCAGGCTCCGAATCATGCTTTTGCAACCGTACCGAAGAGCAAGATCCAAGGGGTCATGTTTTTCATTGTCGACGGCAGTAGTATCTGCACCAGCAGCAATCAGCATCGTTACAATGCCTGCTGTAGAAGGCGTATCATATTCATCCTCGAAATTAGGCTCCATCTTCCATTTACACGAATACCACGGTCCCTGATAATGTGATCTTTCGACGAGAGGTCGAAGTGCATCCTCACGAGACAGGCCAGGCTGTGATCTCCCATCTTTGAGGACCGTCCAATGCATCTGTTCGACCTCGAACTCAGCACAGGAATGAAGGGCAGTTCGCCCCTGCAAATCTTTGAGGTTGATGGAAGCGCCAGCTTTGAGGAGGTAATGTACGCTCTCTTGTCTCCCGGAGGTACATGCGTCGTGAAGCGGCGTTCTGAGGAATGAGTCTGGCTTGTCAATCACCTCCTTGTCGACCTCTTGCAAGAGTAGCCCTACAATATTGCTTTTCCTGGCTCGGCAGGCGAGGTGAAGTACACTTCTACCATCTTTAGTCACTATCGCAGAATTCGCTCCGTCGTTCAGAAGTTCTGACACGAGTTCTTCAGAACGGAGACATGCCATGTGCAATGCTGTCATGCCGTCCTTATCTCGAATATCCACATCCAAATTCTGCCCACTCTCGCGAAAGAGAGAAAGCAAGGGAACATAGGATTTCGAGAATCCAGAAGATCGTAAGCGTGTCTGTTGAACACTCAAATGAAGTGGCGTTTCACCAGTGATACTCTGGGCGTTTACAGATAACCCCAACTCCAAAAGCTTTCGCACTACGTCGACATACATGTCGCCGTCGTCGTACCGTTTGGAGATCTCGTGTAACAGGCTGTTGTTTTGTTTGTCGAGGATATGAGGATCGAGTCCGATTTCGAGGAAGTGTTGTAGGAGATCATATTTGTTGCAAACCATATGCATGATTCCTCGGCCAGAATTGTCCGTTGCGTCTAGTCGAGCACCGCTCTCCTTAAGAGCATCGAAGTATTTCGAACCGATATTCGCTAGTAAAGGTGTCCTCCCAGCGATGTTTCGAGTTTCAAGGTTAACACCCGCCGATTTGAGCAGTTCAATGTATTCCATCATCTCGGGGTAAGTCCAGCGCGAGTTGTAATAGAAAAGGCAGTGCTCTCGCGTGGCACTATCGGCGCAGTCTCCTAGAAGTGCTTTGAAGACTTCTAGTGAGCAGCTCGATGCTGCTAGCTCTAACGTGGTCAGTCCCTTATCGTTCTTCGTCTCACATCTAGCACCCTTTTGGAGGAGGAAGCGAACCACATCATCGATCGTGGAACCCACACCTCTGTTGAATAAGCTCTTCGGGCCTGGATTTCGTCAGTATGACACGGCTACTTCTATCAGGAAAATCTCAACGGGAGATTAGACCAATAGCCACGTTCCAGTCCTTGCAAGTTGCAAGTGCCAGGGGTGATCACGCAGGAAGAAGAGTTGAACGCTCGCTAATACGACAAATGGAAATATCTATGGACTCACATGATAAAGCAGCGTGGAGCAAAGAGTCCCCAGAATGTCCGCGTGAGCAGATGTCCGCGCCAAAATCGAATAACTCTTGTAGCAAGGTCAGATTCTGGGAGTGCCTTAAAAACTCATGTATTGGGGTGTCGCCTTCATCACCCTGAACGCTCAAATGCGTATGGCCTCCGGCTTGTAGTAGAGATCTGCATTCTGCATAACGACTGATGTGCGAGAAAGGAAACAAGAGAAGGTGCATCAGAGTCCGGCCTCTCTCATCTTTTTCGTTCAAATCCGCGCCAGCATTCAAAAGCCTCTGTAATATGGGCTCGAAGGATGACTGATCTCCTTTAGAATTGGACGATACGAGGCCTTGTAAGGCAGTCATGGGTGTAGCTGCTGTTCCCATAATTCGATCACCACGGTGCGGTTGATATCTCCTGCCGATTTGACTTCGTGATTTAACATGAACATCGGCACCTCTAGCGAGAAGTAGTTTCACGCAGTCGAGATTACGAGCGGTTGCAGCGAGATACAAAGCGGTTTCTCCCAGTATCGTAGCGTTAGCAGAGACGTCAGTAGTTTCGAGGATCGCACGCACAGCTTCCGTTCTGCTATATGCGCACGTCAAACACAGAGCGTTGCCGATTTCGTCACGTCCTAGATAGGGGATCATGGTAGTCAAGGTTTCAGTGTGTCCAAGCTTGCACACGTAATCTAGGGCAGTTTCCCCCTTCGTACTCCTTTGGCTACTAAGTAACCTGCCGGAGTGGTTCTCACGTGTTTTCGGGGTCAAGGGATCAACTCCAGCCCCGAGAAGCTTTTCAACTGTAGATGCATGGTTCTTCCTTGCAGCTTCATGTAGAGGCGTATTTCCACGAATATCATCCGGGTTCGGATTGGCCCCGTTCTCGAGCAACATAACGACCATCGCTGTGTTCCCATTTCGAGCTGCCCAATGCAATGGAGTTCTCTCATCAGCGTCCAGTGAATGAACGCTTTCGCCTCGGTCCAATAGCTTAGAAGCATATCTTGTCAAACCCGCAAATGAGGCGATATGGAGCGGAGTGACAATATCATCGTTTTTCTCATCAAATGGAGTGACTACCCATCCCCATACTAGCTTCGTCCAAGCTTGGAAATCGTGGTTGGCAGGGTCAAGAAAGTCGTCAAGAATAGAGAAAAAAGTTTCGTCCTCTCCATCATAGCGGCTTGCATGATAAACCCATGAATCCACCGAGTATTGCAAGAATGGATGCTGCAGGCGAGCAGCTTGGTAACAGGATTGCTGACCTTGTCCGTCATCAGATTCTTCATCGCAAGATGTTTTGTTCCCCGTGGCTTCTAAAGAATGCAGAACACCGGACTGTAGATAACGAACGCATCGGGTAGCTATTCTTCTATGGGCAATGGACGTTTGAATGACCGCAAATTGCTCCATGTCTCCCGAGCGAGACAGTCGTCCGATGTCTAGCAGAAATTCGGTAAAAGAGTGGTGGATTACTTGAACAGTTTCGTCTTCAAGTATTTCGATCAAGGGACCGCATGCAGACCTAGCGATCACCTTCGGAGTATCGGGGAGATCGGATGTGGGAAATGCGCACGCGAGAAGACTGGAGATTTCGTTTAAACGAAGCGGCCTTGATGAGTGCGTGACGGCCTCGAGGAGAGTGACTTGGACTTCACTGCTGATGCCAGATTTGGATTGTTGGTTGAGTAAGATGCTATTATACATGTCTTCTAAGCCAATTGGAAGAGTGTTGGCCAGATTATGGATGTCAATATCCTGCTCCAAGTGAAGAGGTGGGATGAGTTGATCAAGCATCAGCCGGGCGTACAAGAAGAGGCCACCGGCTCTTTCACATATTATGTCTCGTAGAGAAAGCGCGCATTCGTCCAGGATTACTCCTTTCAACCGGTGAGCTACAAAGCAACTTATGTCTTTTCCGACAAGATCTTGCTCCAGACTGATGTGAACAATTGAGGAATTTCGTAAGCCGCTCTGTAAATACTGGTAGGGTCGACTAGTCATGAAAACTTTGATTGACTCGGGTCGGTATGCTCCCAAATTATCAAGTTGTTTCAAAAAGAATGACCTGCCGCTCGCATCCATCTCATCCATTGCATCGACTATGCAGTATACGCGGGGAACAGAGGAGAGGCCGACCAAAAGCCATTCCCAGAATTGATCATTTGAGACATCGGCTAACTCTCCGCCCAGATGGGGTTGGATGAGTGCTTGCAAGGCGGTGCTAGAAGGTAGCAACTGCGCGAGCCAATCTTGACACAAGGATCGGTGGCTACGGTTTGTTGTAACAATCTGGCGAAAGAAGAAGGATAAGACGGGAAAGTTGCCCTCTCTCTTTAGGTGCTCCGCAACGGAAGCAGCCAGGACGGATTTCCCAGACCCAGGTACTCCTTTGATCCAGAGGCTTCCATGCTGAGGCGATTCGAACCATTGGCGGTATTGATCCGTATCACAAATCCATAGTCCAGTATCTGGGGCTTGTGACGACAAGTGTCGATGGTATTCGGACGATTCCGCGTTGTAATCCGTTGGTTGCAGCCAGGACTGGATCTTGGCGATATCTTCGGGTTCAAGGTTGGCTTCTTGGGAGTCGATGATTTCGAAATCCTCCGAATGATTACTTGAGGCATCCATGATGAATGGAAAACCGAGTCGATGCACAAATGGGAATGGAATGGAGAAGGGAGAACGTTGGCAGAACAGGTACTGATACCTAGGTACGTATCTAGGCAACAGCACAGCCTTTTCACGCTTCAAAGAAGTCAATCCTAGTCATTGGTAGGCGCAGCCTCCCTTGCTACCTGCAAGTTATTTAGACCTACGACGTTCTTCGGTATGGTAGACCTGGTGCCCAGACTTTGCTGTTCGGCGCGATGAGGTAATGAAGGAAGGAGATCGAGAACCAAAAGGTTTCATCGTAATTAAGATAGCTACACGTGACGAATGTGGCTCTACCGGACTTTCGACACTCTACACGTGTCCATGTTGCGAAATCTATATTATTAACTAAATAATATGGTATAGTTATAGCCAGACCTTACTCATACATAGGCTTCATCTCAATTTGCTACGGTATCACGTGACTCCAGACATCCTCTCTCGTTTTCATCCTTCCAACCATTCTGTTCTTGCCCCCATGTGTCTCTTCCACAAAGAAACTGCGTTTGTTTCCTTTCCTGTAAACCTGCACTGTTGCAAAAGCATTTTCTTTCCAACATCATTGACACGAATCTCATTGGTGTGCCTTGGCTAGCTGAAAACACCACTAGACACGCTGCATGGTCTCAGCTGGCGGCGGCAGTACCTCCTAGCAGCAGCTGAGAAGTACAGAATCTCCATGCAGCCAATTGATCGAGGCTAGGATAATGGCCATTCCCTCTTGAGTATAAGTAATGGGCGTTCAGACGTGGGGCACTTCCTTTTTCTCGTCCGCTTTTCTTCACTCCCCGCACTCCTCCGCTTCATAGCCGTGGCCTGACTCTAGAACTGCTATCACTCTTACTCGGCCCTTCTATGTGATCAAATCAACACAATCAATCGACTCCTTACAAGCCCTTCTTAAGACCCATTACCATGCCTAGCAAAGGTATTCAATGTTACGCCTACATAGGCGCACCAGGCTGCCAAGTCGAATTCTCCGTCCCTAAGACGACAATCAACAAGCATGATTTAAACAATTGGACGCAAGACCACCTTGAAGTCGACCAAAAAAACCTAGGCTCACTATTTCACTACACCGGCCGCTTTTCCTTCAGGGTGTCCCGCGATGGCCGCGAGCTCACCAATCAATGGGTCGAGGTCAATTCTCTCACCGGCGACCTGGAAGATGGCACAATGAAAGACATGCAGCAAACACCATCTATTCTCACAGAAGACGTGATCATAACGTATAGCTTCTACGACGCTGGACCTGGAGTCGCTGGCCTACCAAAGCAGCACCAATGCGCCGTGTCCGTCACCCCCAACCACTCTGACTGGATTCGGGATGTTGCCCCCATCGATTCTCCGCAAGCCGACAAGCCCTTCCACCGTATGGTGCTTCCTAGCTCGCATGACATCGGCATGAACAGCATGACGACCTCCAAAGCCATGCTGCACAACGCGGGCACCAACATCATCAAAATGGCACTCGGTACCCTCCCCGGAGCCTTTCGCGTTTTAGACAAAGTGTCCGACTCTGCAATCAACGCTATCGCACCCAATATCATCTACGGGCTCGCCATCACGCAGAAAGACTCTCTATCCACGATTCTAGCAATTGGCGCTCGATACTTTGAGTTCCGTCCGGCACATTGCCACCGCGAGATGCAGAAGGTCTCGCCGCTGCCAGACACACTGTACTTCCAGCACGGTGCGATACCTGGAATGCCATACGCCGAATTCCTTCACGACATTGTGCAGTTCCTCAACAACCACCGCGAGGAGATTGTCGTGGCGCAACTACGATGGGATGGTGTTCCAGGCGACTGTCCCCGCCCCTCGGACCAAGAACTCAGTGAACACCTTGACAAAGCGCGAGAAGGAACCGATATCCAAGTCGGGAACCTCGACGACATGAGGAATAAGACAATCAAGCAGCTCCGCCAGGACCGCCAGCGTTTGATTCTTATCCGCGAAGTTGATCAAGCATCCAATTACGATGACAAAGCTAACGCGACTCTCGACGGCGCGACCATCGTTACAGCACTAGACAATATGTCTGGGAATCCACCACGTGGGAAGCCGCTGATCTTGCTGCAATGCCAGGCTACTGCGACGAATATTCCGGACGTAATTGCCTATAGTGTGCTGAGCTCGGATGTGTCGACGAGTCCACTACTAGCCACGAAGCCGATTTGCGATATTAAGACTCTGCCGACGCTGAGGGGAGACGTGGGTAAGAGCTTGACGCGGGAGGACGGAGCGGTGGCAATTATGAATGACTTTTTTGAAGGCGGTACTGCGGAAGTAGCGATTGGACTGAGTCGGGATAGGTTGCGCTGAGCCTTGATGGTAGGCGTATGCAATGACTTGAAGCCAGAAGCCAGGGGTTTAATGTAACCTTCATGAAAGGAAGCTGGCAAAATTCAAAGCTATATCCTCAAGAGTGACATGAATCAACGACGAAGTCTCAAAAGCCGGGTTCCTATTCTGCTGGTTCAAACGTCTAATTCCCGTTTCCATTACTATCCGAGGACACCTGTTAATTCTCGCCTTTCTACTATGAAGGCGCTTTCTGGACGAGGTCCACTCCTACTCCGCCGCAGTTGTATCCACATGAAAATTTCAAAAGAATGGACACAATGATGTCGTTGTCCTCTGACGAGAGCTGCTTACGTAGAAACCACGGCTTTGAGGGCGTTCGGAAGTCACCTGTCACTCGTGACAGCTATAGGATGAGGAGTATAAAATCTTTTCCGCTCGCAGTCTTCTGAAAAGCAAGTCTCAACTTACTCCATGACTGGAGTACCATCAAAGTGTCAAATTTGAGACTCCCTATGGGTTGGTCAGATAGGTGGTGGAGTTGTGTACTCAACTTCAATATGTGCGACGATGTATGGAGAGGAGGCGGACTAGTCGCCCATAATGCTGACGGTTAGCGATGTCATCCGTGGATGAACTCCATCAGGTCCTTTTCTAAACACACGCCATCGGCTCTTCTCGCCGGCGGCCGTGAGTATCTTCTTTGAAGACGATGCTCATCAGCGTCCATTGCCATTTAGAAAACTCCTCCGATCCACTAAACTTCGTTGTGCGTGGTTGAATGCGATATTGATACCCAGACAACCCACTTCCCAGCATCGATCAAAAGTCTCGTGGTAGTTGAACAAAAATGTCCAGTACCAACCATCGAGGTTCTTCTTGCCTCAGTTGATATGCAACTCCGGCGACATACTCTCTCTTGCTCGTCCAAAGCCCTGGCTCCTCCCGTTCATATACTTTCAACGAAATCCTGGGATTATTGTCGAGCCGGAGCTGGAAGGCATGTGACTGCCGCGACCTACCATCTTCCCTTGCGAATTCCCTCCTACGTCTCACCCGAAGCGACACTGGCCCCAGCTTGCAGCTACTGACCAGTCACATGAGTACCCCGTGACTGCTTACGTGTCGCCTTCTTCGTCCGGGTATAAAACTTCCCACTCCCACTCTTCTCGAAGAAGCAGTGGAGTTCCAGGTCCTAGCGAGGACCGGGATAAACATCGACAATCCAGTCCCACGATGTTGCGGTTGGGCTGGTGGAGGAAGAATCAAAAGCATAGAGTACGAGGTACCATGTGGTGTCGTGGACTGGCGGTGGAAAAGAGTCAACACAACTGAGGAAGAACCCGCCCATGGTGCTGTGGACTGGTGGAGGGCAGAGTCAACCCGGCTACTAAGACCTCTATGTGGCGCTGTGGGAGTCGGAGCCGTCAAAGCAGACTCAGTCACCAACTCATGGGAGTCTCTTGGGTGGTTCTGTTTCTCCATTGCCTGCGTGCTGGTGCTCATCTTAATTCACCGCAGCTCTTCTCTACCACTTCTTCACTTTTCCTAGCTCTTATCAAACTCCGGCAACGGTGAACTTCGGCATATCAACTCTATGCTCCCCACCACCATCAATTCAAAATTGGCTCCCGACACACCACCACACCATTTGGCCCATTGCAATTCTTTTTTCAACTCCCCACATGACTCGTGGCGAGGTCGGTAGTTGAATTACCACTCCATATTCACAGAGCATTGTCCTTGTTGAACAAATCCGGCCTCAATCCACCATCATAAGAAGTTCTCTCTGTGGCGTATCGATCCACACCCCTCCCTGACTCCTCCATAGCAGATTCTGATGCAGGGAGTCCAGCACCAGCCATGAGCAGTTCTCGCTCATCGTTTTGATCCCCAAGTCCGAAGACTCTCTTCTACTTGATTTCTTGAAGAGACGAGGAGAGCAAGTTTACATACCTGCTGAGCAAGAAATTCCGGGAAGAGGTCGGGCCGGCGCACGTGAGGCATGTGAGGAAGATGACGTCGTTTGATGCTCAAATCGCCCTATTATGAGTAGATAGGTGGATTGATAAACTGAAGAAGTTCAAAAATCAATGAGACGAATAGTATTCCATGACTCGCAACCCATCTTCACACCCACCCCAATACGTCCTAGCGCCTCGTCAAAGCGGATATCGTTCACCCGACGGGATCTCGGCAAAATGGACGCGATCCCGCGAAACCTTCCTCATCTAAACGTGACCCCTCTGCCCTAAGCCCGACATCACAGCATCACTGACATTTCAGACAAATTTTGAGATTGATACCTTAGTAAAATATCTCTGCGCTCTCACAGCTACATCAGAGGCCATACCCGGTATCCCATCATACGAACAAGAAGACAAGAAAAAAGCGGGGCGACACATTTGTGTCTCGCTCAGAGAGTTAAAACGCCAGAAAAAGCCCATAAAGATATTGACATAAGAAACATGAGATACAAAAACTACTCCCCCCACGTCGCGTGGCTAGAAATACTCATGAACGCGTTGTAGAATATTTTTCTCCTTGCGCGCTGCAAGCGAACGCATTCCTCATCCACCTTCAGACAGCGAGAGGGGCACTCTCACTTCGTGATCACACCCAGGTAGTCCGCTACGATGAGCGTCACCATGCTAACGGTCGATTAGTCTCAGTTCATTAGATGAGAAAGAGGAGGAAGAAAGAAAGTACTTACGCATGCGGCGCAATCCTAACGTAATATGTCCCAAACCCGCGATAGAATCTCAGCAGCCCCTCCTCCTTCGCCACCTTCTTGAAGCAATCTACCATGCCCCGATACGGTAACGACCCATCCGGCCCCCGCGTCTGCTTCTGCAGCCTCGTCTTCACAAAGTCAAACGGCAAGCTGAAGAAAGACGCAAAGAACCCCGCCACCGCGCTCGCCGACAGCGTCTGCTGCGTCGCGCTCAGCGGCGTCCCCTTCAACCGCGTCTTCGCTTCCGAGAAGAATGCCAGCTGCCCGAAGTTCAGCGCCATCGCCCGCGCGACCGTGGGATATGCCCCCGCCCATAGCCGCGTTATGCCCTCCTGCTTCGTTATCCGTACGAGCGCGTCGACGACGGAGGTGTAGTTGGCGCGGGCGGCGGCGGGCTTGAGGCCGTCGGATTGCATGCGGATGAGAGCGAGATCGGCGGGGTTGCCGACCATGGCTGCGAGACCGCCGGCTGCGAGGCCTGCGCCTGCTCGCTCCTTGAAGCCGATCTTGTTGCCTTTTGCCTCTGCCGAGGCGGTCATGGATTTCATGAAGGTGTCGAAAAAGCCGATGCGGGCGGTGGTGTAGACGGCTTGACGCAGGAGGCCGGCCGAGAGGCCGGTGTAGAGGTCCATTGCTTTGCCGGATCGGACGATGTCCCTGACGACGGAGATCGGGGTGGGTTTGGGACCGGTCTTGACGCCCTCGCCGGCGAGTTGGAGGCGGACTTTGACCATGTCGATGGGCTGGATTGCCGTGGTGGCGGTCATGCCCGCGAGACCGCCATTGATGAAGGGGAGGGCGGCCCGCATAAAGGGCGTGTGGAGGAGATCGGTGGTGGCTTTCTTTGGATTTTCGGTGGCCGATGTCATGATGCTTTCCGCGTCGCTGAGAGGGCTCTTGGTGGCGGGCATAGTGAGGTATGGAGGTATGGAGGGGTGAGGGATGAGGGTCGAGGTCGACGAAGGGGAAATTGAGTCCGGTCAATTGAGACAGAGCAGGAGTATAAGAAGGGACTGAGGGGATTGAAGCTGGAGATGTTGGACGAAGTGGCTTCGAGATCACTAGCAGTCAGTCAGTCCAGAATCAGCAACGGCACAGCCAACTGGGAAGCAGCGATGAGCAAAAGATAACCGCGACGACGCCCCGGGTGCCGGCGTGCTATAAGGTCGGGCGCAGTGGCAGCAGCCATCTCTGCTGGCTGGACTCGGAGCATCTTGGGATCTCAGGGCTGCTGCCACAGAGGCCCCATTCCTCCAGGACGACATCCGACGGCCGTCCGAGGGTAATGTTTGGGTTGGGATGAGACGAGCCCTACCTGACAAGCAGCACGGCCGGCTTGGCCCCGACGCTGCTGCAGAGCGCGGCCGTGGGCGATGTCGGTTACCGCGAGTGGGTCTGTGGCGTGCGGGAGGCTATGCTGAGTGCAGTGCCCAAAGCAGACAGATGTTGAGACGACGCCTGCCAGCGGCTCGTGAGGTGAGGTTCAGACGACAGGACGGCAAGAGAGGCACGACTGAGGGCTCTCCCCGCCTCTGGGCCGCCAGCAGCCTGTCTCGTTCTTTGTACCTTTGTACACATGCGGGGAAGGCCTCCTCGTTGGCTGGCCACCACCTCCTCCCCTCTGCCATCTGCCGTCTGCTCGGAGAGTTTGTGATGCAGCCCAATGAGATTGCGCCTTTTGCAATAGGATTCAGTCACCCTTTGTCACACAGCCGCATATTGGGCCATGCAACGGAGCGCACCCTCGGCCCGCTGTTCCTGAGGCTGTCTAGAGCAGCGAACTGCAAACAGTCACTCTTGCGTGGTGGTTTCGTTGGGCGCAATCGATCTAGCGCATGTCGCAATGAGAGTTGCAGCTGTTCAAGTCCCAAACTGCGTGAAGATATCGCCAGCAGCATGCCGCCGTGGAATGTATCTCAACCAACAGAGCAAACAGCATTCACCGTTCAGCGGGGTCCATCCGAACAGCTCCAACTGGCGGGGTGTCTTATCGCCCTTATCGCCACGGCTAAACCTTCCTCCCAACGCCACAGGCACACATGTAAGATCACCACCTCAACACCACGGAGTTCTACCCGCTCAACAACATCCAGATGCATCCAGCACCATCACAGCTCTTTTGCCTCTTCCGCCCGGCTCTCCCACCCCCGAGCATCTCACCACCTCACTGGCATACATTAGCCTCGGGTACTCCCCAGCACGTGCGCCCTGCTCACCACCACCGCTTTCCCACGGTCCAACCTCAGGCTCATGCCAGCTCGGCATAGCACACCGCTCTAACCAAGGCCCGAGCGCTCCTCATCTCAACGCTGCGCAGTGGCTGATGGGATCCCCAAAGCCGAAGCTTGCTCTGTACCTGCGGCCGGCGTGTGGCTTGACGATCCACCCGAAGGATGGGTACGGAGGTACATGTCTCGGATGTCCGTTTTCATTCGCTCAACGAAAGAAAAACATCTGTTTCTTTTTCGGACGCCCTGCTTCAAACCAATTATGCCGCCAATGGCTAGAGTAGATTGATCTGTGCGCGTATCTCTTGTAGATACCCGGCACCGCGTCCGCGGCCGGGAAGTAGTAACGGTGAGTTCGGGAGAGGGCTTCGGGGGAATGGTCTTCGGGAGAGGCTCGGGTGTTGTTGAGGCTCGGGTAAGCAGGATGGTAGGAAGTTGCTTCTTTGAGGGTGGATACATAAGATAAGAGGTGAGTCGTTGGCTGCGAGAGGGATATATGATGTTGAGGTTTGATATCCGAAAGGGGCGAATGATGATAGAAAAGCATAAACCCTCGGGATTCTCGGTTCTTCTCAACGTGCTATAGAGGCTCATAGATTCGACAAATGCTGCTTAGTGGTTACTTCATATGTCATACTTCAACTACCGTGCATCCCAAACGTGTTCGGAGTGATCCATTAACGCCTCCATAATTTTCTTTGGCAATCACGTGACTCTTGATCATATCAGGTACTTGAATACTAAACTTTTCCCCGACCCGCCTCTCCCACTTTCCAAGGGTATATAAACACACCTCCTCATTCGAAATTTCTTCAAGAGAGTTGCGGCGGTGGCTTCATCAAAATAGTAGAAAACGTCCTCCATGGCCTGTGTCAGGCGAGCTGCAAAAAGTACGGCTACCCAACCGTATGGTGCGCAGCGGGCTAGTCTCTCAACTTGACGAAAGCCGACACTCTGCAGCAGCCCCTAATGGTGCGGTGGTGTCGTCGAAATTGTTGGGACCTGGCACCAGCATTTCACGATGATGCTCTTCGCCCTATCTCCCCTCATATAGCAAGGAAGACTGTCTTCCCTCAGCTCTAGCGTCAACCTGGTTACCAAGATACTGCTCAATGTCATTAAGGCGTAAAGGCGAGCATCATCGCATCGCACCACACCACCGTGCTTGTCCCGCTGTACGCTTCTCCTCCAACTCCATTACACGTGAGAGGTGCGATTTTGACACAGGCAGGACTTCTCATCAGACGGGAGGTTTTCAATGTTTGAACACCATGTTCCACCAAATCTCGGTGGTTGAACAACAACCATCCTCCTCCATGAAGAAGAGAAGAGAACAGAGGGAGGAGGTATTTGTATGAGATAGCAGAGCTACGCACGGGCATGGCATGTGATATTCGTCTTGCTAGTCATCGACATGCTGCATTCTCAGCAAGAGAACGCTGCTTAGAGGTCTTTAGGGGGGGGGGGGTGCGGAAAGGGGGAAATAGCATAACACATCGCACATCACACATCACACACTCACTCAAAGCATCTCAAAGACAATTTCGTGCCCTCAATCTGCCATTAATCACCCTACCAAACCGCACCTAACAGGTGCCATAATACAGCGGAGTTCCACAATCTAGCCGCATAGCAGCCAGACACTCGCTCCAGAAAGAAAAGAAGCCCCAACGCCACAGTATTCAGTCCGTGCAAGTCCCGCAACCAGCCGTCAGCTAGCCAGATACTTCGCTCCAGAACCCAAGAACCCAAAATCCACAAGTTGCCGTGGTATCACCATGCTCCGTGCTCCGCCCAACCTCAGAAGTGACAACAGAAAGCCCACATTGCCGTCGCCAAAGAGAGAAAGCGCAAGAAAAAGAAAGATCCAGTGACGGATGGACATGCCGTTGTGAACACGTACCTCGTTACCCAAGTCCCTTTCTCACACTGCATTCCATTGCAACACACCAAGACTCTACTCCAAGCCATATCAGACATGGCCCAAAGCCAGCCATCCTATCCTGATCCTCCTCCATTCGTCTTCGCCAAATGCTGCTGCAACATGGCCATATCCGTCCTCGCAGCCGGCTCTGCATCCATAATCGCCTTCAGACTCCGCATCTGTCCCTCGTTGATATCGGGCTGCTGCAGCATCATAATCGTGACCGGCGCATCGATGTACGGTCCGAAAATATCCACAGCGAGACGGTTCGCGTGGTGAGGTGGTGGACCGTTAGGGCCATTGAACTGGGGTGGCTGTCCATACGGCTGCATGGGAGGCGGATAGGGGCTGCCGTAGTTGCCACCGGGGGGGTAGTTGGCATTGGGGTTGGGCGGGAATTGAGGGTGGGCACCTGGCATCGGGGACATCTGTGGAGGAGCGGTCGTGGGCGTGCCTGAGGGGTGAGGGTAGGCGCCGTCGGCGATTGGGTGGCCGCCTGGTGTCGCGTTGGGCGACTGGGTGCGCGCGATGAGGGCGAGGAGAAGGAGGTTCTCGGAGCGTGGGGTCTCGATAGTGCAGTACTCGAGCATGTCGAGGAACGGGGGAAGAGAGCTGCCACCGGCGGGAACGGGCACGACGTAGAGGTCGCGCGCGGACTCATGGCCAAGCTTGTCGGACGGAACTACGCCCCATCGACCTCGGGTGTAGAAGTACTCAAAGAGGCGATCCAGGCGAGCGCGGCCGTCGGTGTTAACCGGGCTGACGGATAGTACAGCGACATCGCTAGTTGAGCTTCCTCGCATGCCTGACACGTATTCGTCTCCCTTTGAGAAGTCGATGCGGCCGGTGATAGGGATGACAGTAGGGAGCATTTGGGTCCAGGGGATTTTTTGGCCGACATCAGCGCCAGCAACCAGGCGGGCGACGGCTTGGAAGGGCCCGGCGGCGGGCATGTCGATAGTGCCCTGCCAGCAGATGCTGGTATCGCCACCATAACCAAAAGACTTGAAGGGAGAATCTTCGTCGTCCTCATCTTTCAGAAGTCGATCAATATCGGCGTCATCTCCAGGGCCTTGTGGTTCTTGTACTTGCGCGATCGAGCTCTGGCGGCGGTGGAAAGTCTGTGTTGCCTCATCGGGAGAGCGAGCGTGTTCCCAGATCTTCTTGACGTCGAATGCGGATGGCGGTTGCCGTGCAGCTGTACCTGTCGGAGGGGCTGTGGTATCGACGGCGAGTGGCATCGATCTACCAATGTCCTCAGGTAGCTCCACTTGCATTGGGCTTCCTCCCTCCTTAGGAGATTCATCACCTCCTGCGGTGTGGTCGGTCTGGATGCTATCCCGGTGGCGCCTCTCCGGAACTGAAAAAGACTCGTCACCTCCATGGGGACGCTCGTCATCCTCAATCAACTCCTCTCCTTTGTGCGTCTTCCGCATCCGAGGGCCCTTCTCTTCCGTGAGCACCACTTGTTTGTCGTTTTCCTCTCGCAAAGCAGCATATTCCCGCTGTTTGTCCTCGCTTGCCATCTCTTCGGACGACATTACTGTGAGTTCGTTGGCGGCAAGCGATCCCGACAGCAAGCGGTCCAGCAGCAGCAAGTTCTTGTCCATATTAAACATGATCGATCGGGTCTTTAGTGTGTATGCAGAGTCGTTGCCTTTCGGGGGACCATGATTCGCCACCATAGCATGATCAATCTCCATAGCCAGCCTACTGCCCAAGGTAATTGCCGTGTCGCCATCAGGGATTCGATATTTGCGTGCTTTGACGGCGTCCCTAATCTTCGGCGCAAGGTATTTCGTCACGACTTCAACCATCTGTCGCCTATTTTGTGGAAGTGCTGCTGGGTCGGTTGCTGCTGATGCAGCCGAGTCCGCAGCCTTGCCCTGCTTTGAGCCTGACTTGCGCCGCTTGGTGTCCATTCCTTCCTTCTCTGACACTGTTTCCCTCCTACGTTTCTCCCCGACTGGTGATTTAGGCTGAGCGGATTGTGTGTCGGGCTTAGACGGCTGCTAGGGTATCGCGTTAGTAACTGTTGTATTGAAGATGTGGGGAGATATGCCTTTGCTTCTGCTTTCACTGCCTTTGTTGGTAGGTCATGGCCGTTGGAGCTCTCCTTCGGCGGTTCAGCACTCGAAGTAGGGGGAGCAGCGGTGACTGTGGGCGCTTGCTGAGAGACTGGGCTGCTGGTATCGGCCTTGGAATCCATTTCCGACCACACGTCGCTGGGTCGCAGCTTGCCCTTGGCGCCTTTCTTGCGGTTCCAGGGCTTCTCGCCGCGAGCCATGGCCTTGAGAAGCTCATCATGAAGCTCGGGCTTGCATTGCTCGCAATAGTAGGTCCGTGACTCCCACTCAGGGCCTTCGTTGAGTCCCAGGCACTTGACGTGCTGCCAGACATCGCACATCTCGCACGCGATCATCTGTCTGCCCTTGATGTCCCTCTGCACTCCACAGACGCACCGAATGACGGCATCGTCTTCTTCCTCTTGCTCCGGAGTTTGTACGGACACGGAGCGCGCGGGCGTTGATTTGGCTCCAGTCGACTTGGCCTTGGGAGCAGCAGTAGCGGGCTTTGACGTTTTCGCAGTTGGTGACGCCTCGTCGAAATCATCTAGGTTTTTGGTGTGATGGCCCTTGTTGGCTCGGCCAGACCGACGTGGTTCGAGATCTATGCAATAGCATGTTAGCATGAGTTGTAGCTATGCGGCAGCGTCCGTGGGGTGTCGAGACCCCGCTATGGCGCGCTCCCGTGGTTGAGGTCGTTCTGCTTACCAGCCATAGTGATCGGACGGAGGAAGGGTCTCAACGGGCGACGGGTGGCGACAGTTCAATATTCAGATGGTGCAGGGCTTCACGACTCTATCACAGGTTCTGAATCGCAAGCGATATTGCAGTACAGAACGGTATGCGGGCCTCAGCAGAAGATAACTAGACAAGCTTCCGAGCTGCAATCAACCTCCACCGTCTCCGCCTGTTGCCGGCTCAAGTGGAAAGCTCAGATGGAACCAGGCCGAACGTCCTTGCCGTCACTACAATTCCTCCGAAGTCGCGCGTTACCTCGGTGAGCGCGAGGGGCGCGAAGACGAGCGGAAGGGTCGCAGAAGAGCGCAGAAGAGCCGCGCGCTGTGGTGAAAGTTAGGTGGTGATGGGACTGTTGCGCGACGTGCTGTGTTGATGAGGAGGTGAGTAGAAGAATGCAGGTGCGGAGCGAGGGTGAGTTTTATAGTGGCTTGGCACTGGATCACGTGGCATACATCGCTTCTAGCGCAACCTTGGAAGGCAGGGGTGAAGAAGTACGCGCCGCCAGAAAGTGCACTGCGCTTTGTCGGGTCGAGCATCATCACCTCACTTGCTACGCTTCACATCACATACGACGTCTCAAGTACTCTCGAACCTTCACACCACTTCTCTTGCAAACTACATCTCTCGGATACCATGGCAGACGTCCGCTCTCTCCTCCGCCAGGAGCGCGCAGCCCGCCAGCAAGCCACCAAACCTGCGCGCTCAACACGAACCTCAGCAGCCCCAGCTACGGCGCCTGTGGGAAAGAAGCGGAAGGCCGTCGACGACGAACCCGAGACACGCAAACGGACAAAGGCAGAAGAGGCGACTGGGCTACCATCTGGCTTCTTCGACGGAGGCGCAACAGAGGAGGCACGAGCTGCTTCGCCAACTGAAGAGCAAGACACATTAAAAATAGACGCTGGAAAGAAGACACTCGAAACAATCGAACCTCTAGTGGTGCCTGTTGCAGACGAGCCAGCCCCAGTTGCGGATGAGGTGGACGAGGAGCTATGGGCCGCTTTCGAGCGAGACGTCGCCACGCCACCACCAGAGAAACACTTCGTACCGGCGCTTGCTGCCGCAGCGACCATTCAGGCAGCGCCTGTGAGTGCGGCAGAATTGGCGGCACAAGCGAGGGAGGACATGAGTGCGCAGCGAGGCAGGAGGGATGCCGAGATTGAGGCAGAGAAAGAAGATGCTGCTCGACAACTGGAGGACGAATTCGAGGAGCTGGAAGGCTGGGAGGAGAGAGCTAGGAAGCTAAGGGAGAAGAGGGAGGCGTTACGGAAGGCCCGCGATCTGTCTGCCCCCCCGGTACAGGAAATTGTCGCTCCGCCGGTGGAGGCCAGCGAGGATGAGGATAGCGAGGATGATTTCGAGGAGGATGGGTGGGGTGATTGGGGGGTTAGAGCTGCGTAGGTTAGGTGATGGAGGGCTTGAGGCGCAGCTGGTATGTCACCCATTGAGGACGTCGTTAGGGTCCGCTTGTATAATACCCCAGAATACCTAATTTGTGCATACGTTGCATATCAAACCAGTTTTCGTTTTGCTTGTTTGTTTGCATATAACGAACTGGCAGGAATCTGTACGTTCTGTGACTAAAAATGTGCACTTCGTACATCGAAAAGGTTGTCACTTGCCTACAGTCATATTCTGAGGCTCGACAAGTCGAAAAGCTGTGAAGAAAGTCTTTCATTTATCTTGGTTCGGTCCTTCCCAAACTCCCATTCAATTCAAGCCAAGCACTTATCTTAAAGACATATGTCGTGACTAGATGCTACAAATTTGTTCAAACTGAAGGTGTTCAAAGCGAGTGATTCCTAGAGCGGTTCGAGTGTGGTCGTGAGGATACAGCTGTTGACTCTGACGTAAAGCAGCCAGTGCTCGCTACTAGAACGGAACGCCTATATCCTCAGCGACTGGATGTGTCTTTGGGTTTCGATCTGCAGGACCAACATATGGAGAATCCGGAAGAATCCTTGCAAAATGCTTATTCCAAATCCAGCCAACTGTATGCAATGGATCGTCTTGATTTGTGGCTAGCCAAAGCTCCCCTTTTATGGCGACAACATCGAAAATCTATCAACGTGAGTCAGTTATAAGAAGAAATATACGTACAGATTTCTAGAACTCACCTCTCCTGCTGCATAAGTCAAATACGCGAAGCCAGCTTCACGCTTCGAGCGGTCGATATAGAACTCGTAGACGCTGGCGGCCATGAACAAGACTTCATGTTCTCGCCGTTCAGATTGCCTAGACTCGGGCGAGACAGATCGAGGAGGATGGTCCACGGGTAGTGCCGAATGGAAGATCCCTGAAAATCGCTCATCCGAAGAGGCTGGAACCGAGACTGATCGATCGTCGGTAAGTTTCCGTTTTACATTGGTACTGCTAGACACTGGCCTTGGGCGGCTGAAATTATTCGATGTTTTCGGGGCCATCTCTCCCTCTGCGACCATTTTGGGTACATGAACTTGAGCGGGACGTGTTTCTTCACGATGAACCACTGGTTTGATGCTGTCCAGGGTGGTTTGGTCTTCAAAAGCGGACGACACAAACGGTACCTCTGAAGGCCTAACAGGTCGGCTAGGTTGAATATCATATGGCTGCTCCTGAAGAATAGGTTCCGAAATGACTGGTTTGCGTCGTTGACGAAAGCGAATGCCAATCTTAGCTCGGCTTACCAAGCTTGAGAGAGCATCAGGCGCGAGGGCTTTCTTATAGGCCACAGCGGACGGATTAGCTGCAGTTTGAGGGCGGTTCATGTTTCTTTGAATAGTTTCCAGATCTGCAACCGAGACTTCTAATCCAGCCTGTCCAAAAAGGTAATGTCTGCTGTTCGCCAAATCCACACTCCAGATCGGCAGGGAGAGGACAGATATTTTCGATACGCTACCGAGACTCAGCTCTGAGAAACTGGATAGCGCCATAGACCCTCGTTGTGAGTTCGATAGTTCGTATAGTGAGTGTCGGTTGTTGACTCGGCCGTACACTCGGGAGTCCTGGAGGTCTTTCTCAAAAGACCGCATTTCGCCGGCTTCATTCTCAAAATTTCTTTGAACTTGGGATAGCGCAGCGGTTTGTCCATACCCATGATCTGCTTCAATGGATAACATGCGAATCCTGAGATCATTGCTATCTTGTAAGGATGCCTCCACTAAGCCAACAAGCCGCCGCACAGAGTCGTTGACCTCTTGTTGTGTATGTCTGATACTGGATTAGATGAAGTACTACGGCAAAAGTAGAAAGCTTACGCTTGTAAGATCTGCAACATCATTATCATAGATGTCTTATGTCTCTGTAGACGTTGGAGAATGCCGTTAATCTCACCCTCGTGGAATGCCCACTTGACACGATCGAAAGCCCCCATTGAAGATGGCGAACAACACTTTTCGGTGATAGTCTCGAGCTCAGAATATGATGTTACACATCCCGTCAACGTCACTACGATATTCTCCAATGACACAAGCGCTGCCCGGGAATTGGTGGTAGCAGCCGCACCCATCAAATATGCTTGCAATGAACTCAGAGCCGCTCCTATGTCGGTTACTTCCTGTATCGCCGCGGTTGCAGATTTGGGAGCATTAACGACTGTGTTCGTGACTGTTTGAAGAAGTTTTATGATCTTGCATCCACCGAGGACGAGGCCAACCACTGCACTACCGATGGATAAGGGATCCATGGTTCGTGGAAGTACCAAAGGTATGTACGTGTTTGTGAGGCTGAAGGTATTGATGAAGCTGATCTAACGAGAAACACATTCGGACAACGATGAACGTGTGATGGTTCACAGAAAGAGACGAGAGAGAGGAGAATTGGCGGCCTCGCAGCCTTGCTCACTTGCCCACCTGCATGTAGTTCTGAGTGCTAGCTCCATTTCTTTTGGGGCGCGAAACAGCGGCTGCGAAACCTGGTCAACGAGGCTAGGAACGCAGCGACTTTGAAGCCCGAGGATGATAAGTTGTTTCTCACGAAGTGTTTGGAGTGCGATTTACCAAAAGAATACATGCATGATAGAGACGATTGAAGCAAGGGAGAGGTACTGTGCCTAGGTTGGTGGCCGCTAACCCGGCGCCCCAGCCTCCAAATTCCAGTCCATGTTTTGTCTTCCACACCCACAACCTTAATTCTGAAACAGGATGCCCAACCTTCTAGATCTACCACAAGAGATTCGAGATGATATATGGGTCCGAGCTATCCACCAATCACAACCAGTTTGCACGGCGCGGAACTACCGCCGCTGTTCGCGAACTATCTTACCTCGCGCTAAGATTACTCTTGTCAACGTCGTCGACTGTGGACCTCTACGCTCAACTTCGTTGAACCTTCTTCTTGTGAACCGACAGATATACGACGAGGTCACGAAAAACATCGACTTCCTCCGGCGTAACAACCGGCTTTGCTATACCGTTTCCTCTACACACAGAGAGGGAAACCTCGTGCTCTTTTGGGCGAATCTACCTGTGCTATCTCATCACGTCGACGTTTTACAACTGGAAGTACCGGTCTCAAGTACGGATGGGGAGACGATCAGTACGATTCGCGGATATGTCAGAGAAGCCCTCGAGACGATATGGTATTCCGGTCTTTCAGCCCCGAAATCACCGGAAGGCCTCCGTCGCCCAGTGGGCAAGGCCTGCGTCACGGCAGACGTCGTTCTCATTAAGCTTATGCAAACTTGGGCGGACGCAGGCTCAGTTGCTGGAAGCGCTCTGAAAGACGATTCTGCCACAGGATTCCAAGGACAGGGCACACAGCATTCAGTAATTTCCTTATTTACATCTCACCTTATCGAAGCACTTGAAACCGAGGTGTGCGATTGGCGGCATAGTTCTACTAATGTCTTCCGGTATTTCAAGGTGTTTTTTTGCAGGATGTAGAATAATGGGCAAAGCGTGATCTGAACAGCGGCATAGGATCTTGGTAGACTTTGTTCAGGCGGCAATGCAATCCTATCAGATGCCAGGGATGCCTCGTAGTAACCAGTGCACAAGCTTTAATCCTGATACACTGACTTGGATTTATATGTGATGCTCTCAACCAATCACAGAAGTACTCTGACGATGCCAAGAACCATTTCGGCTTACCCTTGTATTGCTTGAAGGACCGCCCACGTCGCTCTCCCACTTGCCTCAACTCTCCTCTATAAACTCCGGAAAGGCTTCCCTCTCGCGCTTCCATAACCACCACATAGTCTTCGCCGTATAACCTTCTCAGTGATTCTAGGACACCACCCAGCATGTCAAGGCGACCGAACCCGGCGGCGGATCGTGCTGCCCAAAATACACAAACCCTCAAGAGTCTGGTCAAGTTGGAAGGCAACAAGAGTTGCGCCGACTGCAAGAGGAACAAACGTAGGGATTTATCTACCTATACACCACTTCATTGAATCCATACTGATCCGTCTCTTTGTATAGATCCTCGATGGGCAAGCTGGAATTTAGGCATCTTCGTTTGTATCCGGTACGCGTACCCTTATCGCCGAACACCATATCCAAAAGCGAGAATGAGAGATTGACGATGGGAAACAGATGCTCGGGTATTCACCGCGGAATGGGAACACACATCAGCCGGGTCAAATCTGTGGACCTAGACTCCTGGACGGATGAACAACTCCAGAGTATGCTTCGGTGGGGCAATTCGCGGGCGAACAAGTCAGTTTGGGCACTTAGCACGCCTGCATAACAACGTCTAACAGGAGTAGATACTGGGAAGCGAAGCTTGCTCCCGGCCACGTGCCATCCGAATCGTAGGCCAATACTATACCCGCCACAGACATTCAGCGACTGACAGTCTCTCAGGAAGATCGAGAACTTCATTCGCACAAAGTACGAGTCTAAGAGATGGGTAATGGACGGACCTATGCCAGATCCAGCGACATTGGAAACTGAGGGCGATGATGACGTGGTAAATACTTCATATATCCCGATTAGAAGCAATTAGACGCTAAACTCCTCGAAGCCGTTAAACGTAGTCCAAGAAAAGGCGAAGCTGGAGAGGTCATCGTCACAGCGAGCTGCTTCTGCTGGAAACCAATCTCAATCCATCCAACCACCGGCTCGACGACCTCAAAACGTGGATCTATTCGGAGACGATCCCACCCCTCCTCGGCCCAACACTGGCCCCCCAATCAGTAGAGCTGCACCCCCCAAAGCTGCGCCAGCGCCACCTAAGCAGACTAGGCCTGCGGACTCGTTACTGGGACTTGATTTTTTCGGTGGCAGTCAGAGTGCACCTCCCGCGAGACCATCTAGCACAACCCAGGCAACTTCGTCAGTACCATCACGGCCAGATCTCAAGCAGTCGATTCTCTCGCTGTATGCGTCAGCACCAAAACCACCTCCGCAGCCACAAGTACATCATGGACACTCAGACTCTTTCGGCGGTCTAGGTGGCATAGGCGGTATGCAATCGCCACCAGTACAGCAGCAATCCTCACAACAGTCCCAATTCGGCGGAATGAACGATGCTTTCAGCAACCTAAACTTCAACCCTCCACCCGCTCAGCAACAGCCGAAGCCATCCGCATTCTCCGACCTTGCCAGTTTCTCAAGCCACCGCACAACTCCTCAGAGCACCACTTCATCCGCATTCGGCGGGGGTGGAAGTTTCTTCGACACCATACCGAAGTCACCCCCAGCTACCACCTCCATCCAGAAACAGCGAACCTTCAGCTCCGACGGCGGCTTCGGCGACTTCAGCTCCATGACCAAGACCACTCCCGCCGCAGCCCCCAAACCAGCCGCTAGCTCAGGCATGGGCGACCTTTTCGACCTCTCCATGCCCTCATCCACCCCGGCTGCCGCCCAGAAAACCACCGTCGTCTCCCCAAGCACGAACATGCACTCCGCTTTCAACCTATCCGCCCCTGCTCAACCCAAACCCGCACCCGCACCCGCCGCTGCTCCAAGCTACTCCGGCTTCTCTAACATGGACGCATGGGGTAGCACAGATGCGTGGGCGACGTCAAACACCACTACCACCGCCCCTGCGCACACAGTGCCGAAGTCACCAGCCTGGGGCGCGCCTGCGAACCCCGTGTCGCCAAAGATCAGCCAGGATGAGGATTTTGGGGGATGGAGTAGTGCGGCGCCTGCGCCGGCGCCGGCGAGGAGTGGAGGATCGAAGCCGTTAGGTGGGATAGGGGGTGATGATTTGTTTTCGAATGTTTGGGAGTAAGGGGAGGATGTTGGATAGGAGGGTTGCGGTTGGCTTGATTAGTTTGGATTAGAGGAGTGGAGCGGGCATGGGAGGCTAGCGTGGTGTTGGTGTATACATATATATATATGAGAAAATGAGTAGATGATACCATGGCTGAGGGTCTGAGTGTTGTGAGCTGCGGGTACGGTCTTGTGCCAGTCTCCGGGTTGGGTCACTGCTTGCTTTGACTGTAGGGCCCATTGTTTGTGCTTTCTGGACTCTAGGTTGTCGTCTTATTCTCGACACCTGTGATGCGGATTTTTAGCTCAAATCGCACCCCTTTTGCAACCGACCCAGAATCAGATCTCTGGTTCGCCTCACGGTCGAGTTTCCAGGCTTGAGGTGGTTCAGAATCAACACTCCAAGGGTATCCTCTCATGTCTACCATCTCGAAGTGCTGAAGTATGCCAGCAGCCCTTCCAGATTCCCAAGTGTGTATACCATCACAAGGTCATTCCTAGGTGTAGATAGAAGTAGTGCAATATACACGGAAGATAATATATATACCGATAAAAAGGGGTCTCACGCTACACTGAACGCCATACTAACGTCCCACGCCGGAGAAAAACGCCTATCCCATGCCCCCCACCGGCTATGCCGTGCTAACCCTGACACTGCAATTATACAAGTCCCCTTTCCTGACACCCCCGCCTCATTTCCGCTTCTCTCGTCCTCCTGCCTCTCACGCCCCTTCCCCTCTATCCCTCGGAAATCGTTCAGAACACCAAGCTCCAGATCCAGTACAACACCACCACAGCCACGATTATAATCCCGGCCAGCTTCAGTACCGCAACTTTATTCCCGCTCTGCGCCATGCGTCCCAGGCGCGTCGCCGAGCCCTTCAGCGTCGTGGAGAAGGACGAGAAGGTTTCGTTCTGCGGCACCGCTCTTATTAGCTTATATTCTATCCGAATTCACCACTCCCCGCCCCGAGTCTCTTCGCTCTCTCAGCGTCCGCAAACTCGGGGGGTGTGCGGAGTCGGGAGTAGGGGGGGGGTCCCGGACACGTTGTGGGGAAGGGGGGGTTGAGGGAGGGTAGAGGGGGCAGGGTAGAGGAGGGGGAGACGTACCGCATTATCAATAACGGCCTGGTCCCGCGCGTTGTCGTAGATGTCGATGGTCACGCCGCGGAGGGCGGAGACTTTCGACGCGAGCTCGTCGAGGCGGGAGTTGTTTTGCCTGTCCACACCTCCCTCAGTAACCTTGTAGCATAGGATTCAAGCTTTAGTGGCAGGGTCTGTACCGCTCGCGCTCGTAGGCGTCCGACATCGCGCTGTGGCTCGAGAGTTGGCTTGGGGAGGTGGAGTGGTGTGGTTCGTATAGCTAAGGTGGAGAGAGGGTGTGCGCTGCTCTGTTTGAGATGTGAAGTATCTTCTGGGCGGAAGGCAGGTGGTATACGGAGGATTCGTGGATGAGGTCGTGGTTCGTATAGCGGTTTGAGGTGACGCGGAAGTTGTCTTTGGGATGATGTCGCGCTGCCAAGACAGAGCGTTTCTTTATTGGACGGCCACGTAAGGCTGAGGATCCATCCAAGGGGCCTTTCCCGAGGTCTGGGGAACGGCGCCCCCTCATTTCTTATTCTGCATCGTAGCTTATTTTGATGGGATCATGCTTGTTCTGGGTACTCAGATGTTCCGTGGGCTTTTGCCGCCTTCGGCTGGTGTTGACGTGGGTGACGAGATGGGATTTAGTGAGGATTGTCATGTACTCCGCACAGAAGTAGGTATTGAGGTAGGTATCAAGGTAGGATTTGGTAGTTGCTCTCTATTCAAACCTATATCCAATAGTACAAGTTTTAGTTCGCCTTCCTATGTCAATCTTTTATCACGTCACGATCTTCAAGTCGTTGACCAGATGGGATTCTATAATAGGGCATGTCAGGTAGGCCTTGTGGCAGTTTGCAAGGGGATATCTTAGTGTTGGTTCTATAGTAGATCCCAGATTTCAAAATGGTTGGAGTTCTCATTCATTCAAGTCACTTCATTCACAAATCGCAAAGTCCAACAATTTTGAAGGTCTGTGAAGGAATCAATCTATATTATCACGACAATCCTGTCGCGCCGTGGCCGTAGACCTCTAAGGGTATTCTCGCTCGCCGGAACTCCATAACCCAGATCTCTGATGAAGGTACCCGCTTGTCCAAGCGTCCACCGTACCAAGCATCAGTCGAGAAAGTATCCGCCGAACCCAGCATCCACCGAAAGAAAAGTATTCCCCGGTCTAAACCATCCTTTGAACCAACCAGTGTTCGAGCAAAGATCCGCCAAAACTCCGTTCCATCTTTGTTGCCAACGCCTCGCCGAGTGTAGCCCAAGTTGCTTGTTCCGTCCCAATGTCGAACCGGTGTCTTCCCATAGCCAACAATCCACGCGCAAAATGCAAGAACCGCCAAAATCGCTCGTGTGTGCAAGGTGTAGAAAAGTGCAGGGTTGAAACAAGCGCTTCAGTTCACTTACCCGAGCTAGTAGAGGCAGTAGCCGCCGTCGATGATGCAGTTGGCGCCTGAAAAGAGCAAATTGTCAGAATGTGTTCTGGGAAAATAGAGAGAAGCAGGGTTAGGAGGGCTTACCAGTCATGTAGGAAGAGGCGTCCGAAGCGAGGAACACAGCAAGATTGTTGAGCTCGTCAACATTTCCGAGACGTCGCTGAGGAGTTTGGTCGATCCAAATCTTCTTCTGGGCGTCCAAAGCCGGAACGCGGTTCAGAGCGGTGTCCATGTATCCCGGAGAAATGGAGTTCACACGGATGTTGTACTTAGCCCACTCGGCAGCCAGAGAGTGGACAAGATGGACAACGCCGGCCTTGGAGGCATTGTAGCACGATTGTTCCTGCGGGTAGTTGACGATGGAGCCAGACATCGAGGCAACGTAGACGAAAGAGCCGGGGTTCTTGTTGTTGATCATGGAGCGGGCGACCTCGCGGCCGATCTTGAAGGCACCGTTCAGATTGATGTCGATTGTCTTCTCCCACATATCGTCTTCGTAGGTCTCGGCGGGGATGTTGGAGCTATACTTTCAGTATTGACCTTTCACAGATTATGAGTTTGAATAAATCAGAGCAAGGACTTACTCGGCAATACCGGCGGAGTTGATGAGCACATCGATTTGTCCATAGTGGTCCTTGATGTCCTTGACGGCACCAGCAATCTGGGCTGAATCACGGATATCGACCTCGTAGAAGCGCACATCCACGCCAGTCTGAGCGGAAAGCTCCTCAGCAGCCGGGACACCGATGTCGCGCTTCTGGTCGATGATGGCAATGCCCTTGGCACCGACTTCGGCCATGGCCTGTGCCATGTTGAAACCGAGTCCGCGAGCGCCACTGATTTCTTGTAAGTCGGAACACAAACAAGTGAAGAGCGAGGAAAAGTGCCGTCGCTCGCATCTCGGAACTTACCCAGTGACCACGACGGTCTTGCCAACGAGGAGGAACTTGCGCATGGTAGGAGTCAGGCGCTCGACCAAGGTCTTGTCAAGTGGCATTGCGACCTTCTTAGCATCTCCGAGCGTAGCAGGGACGACGGCCGGCTGGGCCGAGATCGCTTTCTCGACACGCTTTCCATCTTCGAAGCTCACGACTGGGACTTTGGTGTCAGCAGCGGCTGTCTTCTCAAGCTTGGAGTTAGCACCTTGTGACTTGGTGTCGTTGTTGTCGGAGCCCTTGGTGAAGCGGCGGATGCTGGTGCCCATGGCTGGAGTCATCACACGGCGAGTCACGACGCGAGGAAGCGTACGGGACAACATGGTCGTTCTGGTGTGTGTGGTTATGAGGAGTAGGAAGATGTTGGTGTAGAATGAGAGGAAAAGACTGCTGTCTGTCGTGGAATGAGGAGGAAGATGGGTGAGGTGGTGAAGTGAGGAAGGGCCAGAAAAGATTTTAAACCCCAACGGCGGTGGATTGCGCTAGCAAGCGAAACCGAGGGCAGTGAGGTCGAGGTAGGGCAGGTGAAAGTCTTTGCAGGATCGAGGGGGCCGTCTAGTCAGGCGGGATGGGGGTGAGTTAAAAGGTGGGAAGAGTGGGCTTGGAGAAATACAGCTCCGGAGCTTCGGACTTTAGCTCAGGTTGAGTAATTGAAGAGAGCTAACGAGGCGGGATATGGGCTCTGAGAGGAATTGATACTTGAGGTGTGCGGCAGGAGAGAGTTTATAAGCTGTTGTTGTGTGTTGAAGATCTTGAGAGCAGAGGAACCTCCACGTCCAGACACGGCGGCTTTAAATTGGGGGACGGGGCCCCTCAGTCGCGGGCAGCGCTTGGGGCTCTCGTGGTTTCCTGGGCAGGAGACCGATGTCCTCCACGGCCTGTCATGAATTATGGAGCTTCCGCCCGCCGCGATTAGAAACACCATGGCTTCTGGGACCTGCTGGACCCTCTCGGCGCCCGAGCGCACACGCCCTGTTGGAGATCTGCACTTATGCATGCAGGCACGCGCCTGTGCGCAAGCCACTCTATCTGGCGATGCACCCACGGGCGCGCCGCCGCTGTTGTGCTGATCAGTGTATCAAGCGCCATGAGACGGACTGTTGCATTGGAATCGCCGTCGACGGCCGTTGTGGCATCCCTCTGCACAAGTGTCGGCAAGGCAGGATATTAATATCTCGCAGTGGGCGCCACGATGGCAGCAGGCTTGCGGCTGACCGAGACTGGGGAGGCAAATGGCTCAGGAAAAAAGAGCAGTGCGTCGTCATCTGATGCCTTCACGTCCCCACGGCACAACCAACAGGTGCTCCCGGCGAGCTCCCGCGCGCAACGCTGTCATCCACGTCCACAACCGGATCCTGCTCTCCAACGGCCGTTATCACTCTGGCTATCTCACTGTGCATGCTGCATTGCCTGCGATCCCAGGCTCTGACTGATAGGCGTGATAATGGCTTGCCGCATCGGGGCAATCCAGCGCCATGCCAACATGTCGGCTGCTTCTGGAATGTGCATGCCGCAGCGTTATGCAAGGTGCAGGGCTCAAGCACGACAGAGATCCACCGTGAGATGCGCCATGCCGCGCACCAAGCCCGCGAGTCCGTAGCGGGAGCCACAAATATCTTCCCGCCGCGTCTCGCGACTCGCTTCGGCGCCCTCGGTCGCGAGCCATGCTGTTCCGCCGGGGTCTGGGACGCTGTGAGACGTCAGAACTGCCACACCACAATCCTTAATCCAACATCTCCACAAAACCCAGCCTGCTCAACACCACAAACCCTCTGCCACCTCGCCGCCAGCATCCATATTTGACGCGGCAAAAGAAAGCGGCGGCCTCCGCTGCGTCGTTGCTGCAAGAATCTCGCGCACTCGAATTGCTCCCACCGCCGCCGCCCACGTGTGGGTCACGCTACGCAGCGAGCTCATCACGCCGCCGCGCCGCCGATAGCTGGTGTGCTCGTCGCCATATCGCTCCGGCGTGCGGGCGTGGTGGTGAAGGCCCTTCACCGCCCCTTCGCAAGCCGCCGCCGCAACCTTCCCTGCACAGAAGCATCCGCCGTCTTCCCACCTGCAGCTCCGGCTGCTACACGTGGGCCGCTGCCGCTGATAGTCCGTGCAGCGAGCCTCCAGCCACGTCTGCGCGGTGGAAAGGGCCGCTTCTGCACGGCCGTGCGGTAGTGTTTTGTGCAAGTCATCGAGACTGATGGAGGCTTGGGGTTTGATTAAGCCAATACTTTGGCAACCACACTGACCCTCAGTACGGGGCTTTTGAAAATTTCGAACGGAACACACCCCACTTTGGTGCGTCGAGATGACAGCCGCAAAACTAGGGAGCCGGGGCAAGGGAATAGGGCCCTCATCCACTTATCGCGGCATGTGGAGACGTTGTGGTGCAATGCTGGTTTGAGACGGGGAAGCGTAAACCACATCCTGAGTAGCGGGCGGCAATTTTCTGCTTTCTATTTTTAAGGTCGGGAAGGTGAGTCTAGAGGTGAGTGAAAAGGACTACTTTTGATGTCCCTTCCAAAAAATGCCTCTTCTCACAGCGATTTCGTTTCTTCTCGTCTTAAGAAAGTACGGAAAATCTCTTCCTTACCTTCAGGAGAACAGTTACAAGTCAAGACTTGAAAATTTCACACTTTCCAAGTCTATGCTCCTAGAAGCATGTCTCAAGAAAATATAACAGTCTTAGGCAGATCTGGACTCTGAATCTATCGCCTACATCCCGCAAAAACATTAAATACCCCCAAAGTCACAACTAATAGCTAATAACTAACAACTAACAGCTACAACTAAAGACCTCCGATCCCTAGCTCCCCCACCAATACTAACCTCAAACAGCCTCACGCTCTCCAGATTACTAGTCAGAAGCCAGGCACCCCCTTATACCGAATCGTATCAAACCCGCTCCCCTCACTCTGACCACCACGCCAATTCCCTTGGCACACCCCGTCCCGAGTCCCCGGGGCCAGACCTCCACTCCACGATCACCAGCTGGCCCACGCTAATCCTCGGGATGATCCGCCGAGTTTTCCAGGGCCAGGGTCGCCTCCGGGTTTCTTCCCGCCCAGGGGCGGTGCAGGAACGGCCACGAGATGGGACGTGTGGAGGTCACCTGAGCTCAAGAAAATGAGTGCACGTGGGGTGATGACTAACGGCCTGGGCTTTCGAATGGTCTGGGGGTATAAGAAGGGTTGAAGATGCGAGGAGGGTGAGCATGGAGTGGATTCGGGGTGGTTGATTGAAACCTGAAGGATCATCATATGATGAGTGGTTCTTGGGATTGGGTGTGGGATCAATAGTACACTTAGCCCAATTCCACAGGTTGGATCTGTCGTCGTTGGAGTATCAAACCTGGAGGCAAGCACGACAGAGTGTGCGGCGTGTGCAATACTGCAATTTAGTGGTACTTAGCACCATTACTGCTTGCCTCTTACTTCTATCCTTCCTCAACACGACGATGAACAAGTATATCGAGCATTGCTAACCACTTCTTCCTTCAATCACAGATGTTGGCCATCACCACTCTTCAACTGTCACACCCGCTCCACCCCTTCCATACGCTGAGCTGTCGTAAGTTTTTGATCTCCACCGCCCACCACCCAAATCCATGATCTTCACGAGATGGAATATCCCACCCCATGTGCAGGAGCCAAGTTGAATTCCAACATGTATTCACTAAGGTATACCTTTGTAGGAAAGGCAGCCACTCTACGCGGCAGTGTCAGTCCTATTCTTGATCGACAGCCACAGGAAAGGCAGCCACTCATGCTGCAGTCCAGTGTTGTTTTTGATCCCCTTTCTCCTCTCCTCCTCTCCTCCTTCCTTGCACGTTCAAGGAGGCAGGGAGGCGGGCGAGGGGCTTTATAGTCGAGAGAGAGGGTGCAGTTGAGGGGCACGTGGTTTGGGGGTCCCCGTGTGGAAGTGCAGGTGATTCACGTAATGTTCCGGATCTACCGTAGCGCGTGGAGGTCCAGTGATGTGCGGGGCGGGCTCCACCACTGTTGAAGAAGGGGATTGCACGTAGCATCCACCTGACCGCTTCTTACTTCTCGTGTTTGCATCGCGTCCTGCGCTCAATCGACCTCAGCATCCAACGTGAGAATGAAACGAGCTCGTGACATCCACCTGACTGCTCCAGTCTCGTCCGCCGCTGGGGTCTAAACCACCAACTCGCGCTTCTCAGAATCTCCAGAGCTTTGCTTATGGATAGGGATTGGAAACCGATATTCACCTCAAGCATGGAGAGAGACATAGTGGATCAACGGGGAACTATTGACACCGATGGAGGAGTTGGGTGGAGTTGCAAAAGTGCTGCGACTTCTTGAATCATGGAGTGTGGAGGAGGATCGGAGAGGTGATGGTGGTGAGCGTCGATATCCGAGAAAGAGTCGCGGGAGTATCATGACTTGCGATGCTCTCCGTAGTCGAATATGGATGGGGAGGTCCGGCGTCATGGTGAGGAAGCGCCGCTGTTATAGGAATAGCTTAGCATCGTGGAGGAATCAAGGTAACCATCACCGATTTGCGCCGTGGAGAGGCCGTCCCGACCTCTTCACCACCAACACCATTATGGCAACTCTGTGGATATTGATGCACCGCCCCGACTCCATTCGGATGGTGTAGTGAGAGTGTTAAACTTGGCACTCCCAGACATCAAGTTCGACAGCGAGGTTGTTGATTCCCCAAGCCTCCAGACACCTTTCCATTTCCCGAGCAAAGGGGACGCCATCAGTAGAGTAGAAGAATATATATTTCCAATCCAGCTTACCTACTCCTCTCACGTGATTTCACGACACCACACGTGCATCTTATCATTGTCAGAACCTCTTCATGAACAAGTTTTGATATAAATATCCTATGACTATCACTATACTAACCGTATCTACCAGGGGGTACTCGAAATCTCAAATCCAATGACAAAGCTGCACGCAGAGCATCAAAGAAAAAAACAAGCTCATCAAGGGAGCAGATTTCCTCCGAAAACGCCTTGCTATGCCCAATTTGAGACGTTCCGAACGCGCTTTGCTATTCAAAAGTGGCCGTCGGGGGCCGCGTGTATCCAATTGGGTTGTAGGGATATATATTCGATAGGTATGGGTGGAGTAGAGACAGTGGGAGTTCGGTGATCAGACAGTTTCGACATAATTGCTAGGAGAGGCGTTAGTTGGGAGTAATTGGGGTGAATGAGGGGTTTGGAGTGGCTCACCTAGGGAAGATCCCTTCACGATCTCCTATCCTTCCAGTCCACCAATCTGTCTCGTTGTCCGTCCGCTTCAGAATTGTAATGACCTCGCCCTTTTTGAATCCTAGGTCGCCTGCTTGATCAGGCTCGAATGTGAATTTTGCAATTGCTTGATCTGGTCCCATTGACGCCTTCTTCACGCCAAAGACTGGCTTCGGCGCTGTCGGTCTGGCGGGCTTTGGTTTGTCGTTGAATGTATAGTTATCGCTGAACCCAGAACCGCTACGATTGCGGGTTTCGCGGCTATCAAGCCTATCGAAAGTCTCGTTGGGATTGGCACGTGTCGTGAAAGAACGGTTGACGCCTTGCGAAGGCGGGGATCGGTCGTAGATATCATCTGCCCATGTGCTGGCGCGCGATGGCCTATCGCGGTAGACATACTCATCGTCCTGGCCTACGGAACCTGTGCGATTCGAGCGGACGCCCTCGCCGTACGCGGAGCCTCTTCTTCCTTGCCACACCACGTCCTCGTGTGCTTCGTCGTAAACAGGGATGTCGTTGTACATGGAGTCCGCGTTTTGTGCGCCCGCCACACCCGCGAAGACTCTCGAATTGAGCACTCGCATGAGAGGCTCCGATGCTGGCGGCGGGGGAACCTGTCCGCTGAGCAGCTCGCGCGCGGTCCATCGTCTCCCGTATAGCTTCTCGTTCGCGTCTCGCCGTTCGATGATGGCAGAGCCCTCAAGTGACACACCCGCGAACAGTCCCTTCGTCTTCGAGTATGCGAATATGCCAGCGACGCTCTTCAAGCTGGCCGCGCCCGCAGCTTCGGCATTGCGGCCCACCGGGCCTGCGGCAATGGAGACATTCCCGCCCAGCGTCAGAGACCCAGCCTGCGCGAATGTCTTGACGGCCGAGGCATCGTTGAGGATGAAAACAAAATCTGTTAACTCGAACCCGATCTGACCTCCGAATCCACCGCCTACAGTGCCGATGGCGGTGGGAGCGGACCAGGTCCCGTCAGAAAGACGGGCAACGACGACACCAGATCCGAATCGTGCAGTGCCGAGGAAGCCTGCTTTGAATACGGTGAGGATTGCGAGGCCCTACGAGGAGTCGACGCGTTAGAGATTGCTCGCGTTGGTGGGGGTTGGGATGGGATGGTAGTGGAAAGTTTTCAAAACCTAGTAAATATGCAACATACCTTAGCATTGGCGAGAATCTGCGGTGGTATAATTTTGTCAGGGCCAAAGGCTTGTCGCGGGTCGACAAAGGAGGCGAGGATCTTTCCAGTCTTCCTGCATTCGCCTGGCAGCTGTCAGTCAGCGTCATACAAAGATAGTTGATGGGAAAGATGAGTACGCACTTCGCATGGAAGACGGAAGCGGGTTGTTGAGTCCCAGAGGCATGGTGGAGGTTGTGAGAGCGGATATGTGGATGTAGATGGCCGCGAGCGGTGGTGTCTGGAAGAATATGGGGGAGGGGTGTGCTGGAGAAGGCTGGTGAAGTTCGATTCGGATGACGCGGGTGTGGCTGAGTCTTGCTGTCCACGACGGACTTGCGTAGGTAGCTCCTACACCATCGTCCACGCGAGATAGATTACTGTGCATGCAAGATATGTTCACCCTTCTTAGGAAGTGTTTCAGTTAGATCCTAATTGCTTTGATGGGGGGGTGGAACAATGATTCTTCAAGCATAACCGGACGATGAGTCCCATTAAATCTTTTCTTCTACCTCCGCAAATTGATATCACAACCATATGGTGCTATTCTGTTTCAAGAAAGCTGCGGAATACTCGGTACACTACGGCTGACCCTCGAAGCTGTGGCGATACGTACGCGTGGAGCAACTTCAGCCGCCTCTCATCACGCTCACGTTTCAGCCGCAAGTGTGCTTCTCTGTACAATGGTACATCTAAACCGCTTTCCTGAGAGTTTGAGATTACACTTAGACTAGGCATATCGCCAAGTAGGGGATGATATTGCAAGGTTGCTTTCCAAACCCATATTCCATCTCTCCAACTTCATAAAAAAAAGCTCTCTTTTCATTCACCGGGTCATCAGTGCAGAGCCTGCTCTGAGATTCTCCCACGTCTTATGTTCAAGTGGAAGGAAACAGGAAAGTAGTCAACAGGTAAGAGTTACTCTTAAGGAATAGGAATGAAATGTCACGCAGGAGGTACATTTTCTAACGCCACTGCTGATACAGCCGCCTATACATTGCCCCCAGCAGTATCATTACCATTGCCCTCACTAGTCTAAGATCAATGCCGGAGAATGTTGGGCGAAGAACATACCAGGACTACAATCGGGCTAAAAACATCCTTGATTTCTTCGGACCAACACTACTCGAAGAGATACAGTACTAGGTCAAAAGTGTGGACACACGGATATACCACTGCTCTGACTTCACTCTTGCGCTCTCGACGCCATTGTAGGGAGTGCTATAGGCAACATGTCTTCAAATAGTCAAGATGCAGTCTAATTTCCACTGCGTTATCCTTTACATCCCATTTAGGGTTCTAAACCCTGTCAGGGTATCCCAGCCAGTTGCAAGGAGTGCCCAAACCTGTGTCTGGGTACTGTACATACAATCTACACACAGTCACAGCACGGTTCTTGCAACCTTTTCCACAACTCATGCGCTACATGCTGTGTCGGTTGCCACCTACCTTACAGCGTCTCCTGGTTCACGAAAGACGCGCCTCCAAATTCATACCCAGCCACTGGAACATATGAGAAATTGGGATACAATCATCAAATTGGAATACAATCATCAAATTGGATGGAACTCGTCATCTCTTCGACTATTAGACTTTATGGACCACCCCTGGCCTTAAACCTGACCCACACACCATACCATTTCACAACGAAGAAACACTCCTCTCGAAAGTCGGCCCCACACTTGCTTTTCGCCTCCGCCTCCTCCAACACCTCAATCTCAAAATGCAAGAATATTGCCGCCACTGTCTTCGTAAGCGTAACCCACGCTAGATAGCGGCCAGGACAGCTCCTGCTGGGTCCACCAAAAGCCAGACTGTGCGCATCCATTTCATATCGGCGCTCCTTACTCGCCTCGAGATACCGCTCTGGGCGGAACTCCTCAGCATCTTCCCCATAAATCCCCTTATCGCGGTGCACAACCCAAGGATTCGCACCTATGACGGTCCCAGCTGGGAGTTCGTGGCCTTCGACCACAGCGCCGGAACCTGGCACAACGCGAGGGAGGCTCACGCCGATGACGGTGGTGAGGCGCATTGCTTCTGTCAGGCAGGAATGCAGGTATGGCAGGTTGGCTACCTGTTCGTAGCTTGGAGCGTCGTCTAACTGGCCTTCTTTCAGGGCGTTGTCGAGCTCGGCGTGCAGTTTTGCCTGGCTTGTTGGGCTACGGCCGATATGCCCGAAACAGGCGGACAGCGTCATTCCAAGTGTGTCAAAACCGGCGGCGATGATATGAACGATTGTTGTTGCGGCCCATTGGGGCTTGAAGTTGGGGTGTGAGGCAGCGAAGCGGGCGATGTCGCTTGCGATGTCTGCGTGGGTTGCGGAGGTAGTGGTGGCGGATTTGGCGCGGGATGTGAGTTGGGCGATGTAGAACTGGGAATGGTCAGTGACTCTAAAGGGAAGAAGTGGGTAGGATCCTCACCTTGATGATGTTCAAGTTGTGCGTAGTAGGTTCTGATAGTAAAGGCAACCCAATATTTCGCAACTTCTCTGCGGCCCACGTGTATCCCCGCCACATGTCGGGAACCAAGCCAACCCACTGAACCTTCTGCCAGAATATATCGATATCTTTCGCGTTATCCCGATCATCCCCAGTACTGATATAATCCATCGACTCCGCAAACGTGATCTCAGTCAACAGGTCAAGAGCGAGGATATTCATCCACTTCACCAAATCCACCGGCCTTCCACCTCCCTCCTTCATCTTCGCGACAAACTTCCCCATAGGCTTATCCAGCAGGAATTCCCGCCTCTTAACAGACTCGGTCGTGAATGCTGGCCCAATCAATCTCCGCTGCGCGTGATACTTCTTCATATCAGACTCGCCGAGCAGATTCATCCCCTCAGGGTCCTTGGACGCGATCGTCTCATACCAGCGGGACTTCACAAAGGGGGAGCTGGCGCCGTAGACCAGCTTGATGTTCTTGGGATCCGAGAGAGAAACTTCGTTAGGCGAGAGGCGCACGATAGGGCCGTAGGTTTTGTGGAGATCAATTTCGAGGCGATGGCGGTGAAGGGCACGGGAGTGATAGACGAGCCATAGGGGTGTGATGCTCGCGAGGAAGGGACCGGGAACTTTTGAGAGAGGGTGGAGGAAACGTTGGTAGTAGATGTAAGAGAAGAGTGTGAAGAATGGAGCGCAGTATATGAAAGTAAGAAGGTGAGACATCTTCGAGGTCCTTTAGAGATAGAAGGAAGCGCAATCTATTATTTGATTTTGGAAGAGTACGAAGGTAGGTGCACCAGCTTATGAAGACGACAGAGAGTGTACTTACTGGCTATAAAGGCGACGACTACATGACGAAAGGCACAGGATCGCCATGTCCGCGTCAGCATCGGCACGATTTAGTTGCTATATCGAAGGTAGTAGCTTTAACAAAATCAGTAACACACATAATGAGTAATGAGGCAGTGCTGCAGCTTTTCGTTATTTCCAATGGTGCGGGACGAATTGGTCACCGTAAGAGGTTAGAACGGTCTCGCAAGCTGTGGTGATCTCTGATGTATTTTAAACGCCCGGCTATCATTCTCGGTGCTATTATCTCTCTCATATCGGTTTACCCACCCCATTACCTCCTACATATAGAGAGGGGTATTGACAGCATATTCTTTACCTCAAGGTCCAAGGGTCCTACTCTGAGGAGTAGCTTCAATCGTATTACTAGAAGAATCAGGTCTCAAAACATGCTGAGAAGGACCTCAAAAGGAAAATGAACGTACGCTCCTGTGAGAAATCGTCATGGGAAACATTTCCAATTGACAAGAAATAAAATATGCTTGGAGTGAAGAAGTGAAGGTCGGGAAAAGGTATTGCCGATCGCCGCTGATAGCCCGTGCATAGACCCACCATGTCATAGTTCCCCAGCATTTCACCTGCGCTCTGATGATCGAACCTTTGCATACATTTCTTACGATTTACGACTGACGAATCTCTTCTACTTCTTCTCAAACACCACGGCGCACTCCCTTTTCCTAGCTTCTGAACGCGCGCAACAAGCTGCAACTTACTTTGGAACCACCCCACCATGCCTCCTCGAGCAGGTCACTCGAGAGTGAAAGCACTCGACTACGACGACGATGATGTGTATAGCGACGACGATTATCTGGACGAAGGCGACGGAGATGGTATGCCCTATGCAGAGCTTAAACCCCACATGAGAACCTCTGCTAATGAGTTATTTCCAGGAATGACCGACGAAGACAAAGGTACGAGGCCTGACTTTCGAGACACTCCATACATGACATACGAAATATGTTCTGACACGGATCTGATGGTAGAACAATTGCGACTGGGTACGATAAACGTGAAGTCAGCGTTAGGCCCGAGCATCTCAATACCAGACACGGAAATCCAAGAAGCACTATGGCATTACTATTTCGACGTGGCCAAGGCGGCGTCATACTTGAAAAGTAAGGGAACCAGCAAGTCCAATTCACTCAAGCACAATGCTCACAATATACCAGACAAGCTTGCCCCAAAACCCGTGGCGCAGACGAAAAAGCAGAAGCCGATCTCCCGGTTTGACCTAGCAGCTGCAAGCACATCCGGTGAGTCTAAACCATTTTTGCCTTCGTGTCAAGACGTACCTATTGCCCTCTGCCGAACGGACCTGGAATTTACCCCTACCCCAATGTCGATACACAACCTAGAGGCTGCGCGCGAGCTTGACTGGTCTGACATCGGTTCAGGCGCAGCGTCTATCCACCCGCCTGTACTGTCGCCCCACACCGAAGAACATTATCCCATGTCTGCTGCCGATTTCTTCAAAGACACACCGTGGCTGAATGTTCCAAATCATCGCCGTGGAGACATACTCATCGAACCATTATCTCCTCGAGGTGGACTCCTTGGTGGTTCCTCCAAGTTAGCGGCTCTCGCTGCTGCGCGAAAGAAGAAACAAGAAGAAGCGAAGGCCGCTTCTACTCTCCAGGTTGCTGGTTCTGCAGATAGTAAAGAAACGGATCGGGCTGTGTCTCTTCTAGATCGCCTCAATGCCAAAGGAAAGCCCAGGGATGGGCTTCTTGCTAGGCCTCCACCAACCGAAGCATCGAGTGCTGGAAAGTCTGCTCAGACGAGATATCCTGCAAAGAGGAAGAAATCACCAAGCCCACCTCCCATCCAAAAAGAAGAAGAGGCCACCCTATTCGAGGCGACACCCGATTTTATTGTACCGGATATCCGAGCTCCTCCGTCGACATTTGCAGCAACCATGATTGGATGTTTTAGCCCAGGGATCCAGGCCCGGTTTCCGGAGGGCAACTTGTTTTCATTGCCGTTCATCCGCACAAGGCAAGCCGCTGACTTAGACCCATTTGCAGGCCCAAGTCCAGACGATATCGTGCTGAATGCACAGGCAAAGGGAACCAAGCCAAAGAAGGGCACATCGAAACATGCGACTGGAGATAAGGCAACTAACGACGTCACAAATTCCGTATCTGCTCTATCGGTAGAGGAAGCACCGAGAGTCAAGAGTAAGAACTTGGACGTCTTGAAAGAGTTTGAGAAATCTGATATGAAGAGAATGGCGAACTTCGTCGTCATTGGTCATGTTGATCATGGCAAGAGTACACTAATGGGCCGCCTACTATACGATCTCAAAGTCATCGACCAGAGGTCCGTCGACAAGCTACGAAAGGAAGCCGAGACCATTGGGAAGTCTTCTTTCGCCCTAGCATGGGTAATGGACCAGACATCCGAAGAACGAAGCCGAGGTGTGACTGTTGACATTGCCACGAATTACTTCGAGACGGAAAAGACAAAGTTCACAATACTCGACGCACCCGGCCACCGAGACTTCATCCCAAATATGATCGCAGGCGCCAGCCAGGCCGACTTCGCGGTCCTCGTCATCGACGCTGGTATAAACAGCTTCGAATCCGGGCTAAAAGGCCAAACAAAAGAGCACGCAATGCTCGTCCGAAGCATGGGCGTTCAGCGCCTGGTCGTTGCCGTTAACAAGATGGACACAGTTCAATGGAGCAAAGAGCGCTTCGACGAAATCTCCCAACAGATGACCGCCTTCCTCGTCTCGGCCTCCTTCGCCGCCAAAAACCTCACCTTTATCCCCTGCGCTGGCCTCACAGGCGACAACATCATCCGCCCACCCCCCGCCAACACATTCCCGGACGACTGGTACACCGGCCCAACCTTGATCGAAGCCCTCGACGCCTCCGAGCCCGCGAAACGCGCCCTCACCCTCCCTCTCCGCCTCACCGTTTCCGACGTCTTCCGCGGTGGCATCATGCACCCGCTCTCCATCTCAGGCCGCCTCGACGCCGGCTCCCTCCAAGTCGGCGACACCGTCCTCGCCATGCCCGCGGGCGAACCCGCAACAATCAAAGGCATTGAGTCCGAAAGCGAGTCCGTCGACTGGGCTGTCGCAGGCCAGATCGTCACCCTCCACCTTGCAGACATCGACCCCGTGCATCTCCGCCTCGGCGATATCATCTGCACCCCCGCTAACCCGATCCAAAACATCAAACGCTTCACGGCGAAGATCCTGGCGTTCGAGGACGTGTTCCCGATGTCAATAGACGTGTTCCGGGGCCGGATGAATGCGCCGGCGAAGGTGGTGCGGCTGCTCAGTACGCTGAATAAGGCGAGTGGGGCGGTGGAAAAGAAGAAGCCGCGGATCGTGGCGCCGGGGGCATTAGCGAAGGTGGTGGTGGAGTTGGAGAGGGAGATGCCGCTGGAGGTGGGGACGAGGGTGGTGTTGAGGGCGGGTGGGGATACGGTTGCGGCGGGGTTGTTGGAGAGTGTGGAGTAAGGCAGTGGGATGAGCTGCGACGTGATCTGTCTCAAAAAGTCTGGGAGTCTGGGACGCTAGCATGTGGGTAGGATATGGCATATAGATATGGATCGGGTACGGGCGGGATACTGGCAGGCGACATAGGGCATGTGGAAGATATCCATCGTCTGTCCGATGTTGATGTCTCGATCAGGCATATCAGATATAGGTACCGAGTCACTGTAGTCTCAATGAACTACAGACCCAATTTACTACAAGTTGAAGTCTCAAATGAAAATGCGTGGGTATTGAAATTAGTAACAGATATACTCCCCGGAGCCCATATACCATAGGCCCAAAATTAGTGCATAGCGTCCCAATATTATGAAAAGTAGCGTTCAAGCGTAACGATCGGTGACCAAACCGCCTTCTCCTCGACCCAATGGAAAACAGGGATATTCTCGATCCACTCCTCGGGCTGGTCGCCTCGCTCCAAGGCCCAATTGATGTACTCGCTTCGCATGTACATCGCTTGTTCGACGATTTCGGGGACGGTGTACTTGCGTAATAGGCCACCCGGTCCACAGTGCTTCCGGAAGACGTTTTGGTAGACTTGTGAGCCTGTGTAGAGGTTAATTGATTGATCATATCAAAAGGAGGCTGGTATTCGGGAAGCTTACCTGCGTAGCTCTCCAGCGCCCCATCAAGCGCCCTCCGCTCTTCCTTCGTCCATTCAGGCGCAACGCGTGCTACAGCAGCGGGCGGCCTGGACGTCCTCGGCGCGCCCAGCCCATCTACACGCTCGAAGGGATTGCCATCCGCGTCCTGCTCAATATTGGGCTCGTGGTCGATAGGGAGGACGATGCGAGTCTTCGCGCGCAGACGGCGAGCGAGGTAGATGTCGGGCTCGCAGGCCATGCGTGCGAGATGAAGATCAATCCACTTGCGTTTGAGCTTCGCGCGCTCCCTACTCTCTTCTGCGAGCCGAGTCTCGAGTTCTTCACGCTCTTCGCGGGCGGCTGAGATCGAGCGTTGGTTTTCGAGCTCGGCTTTGGCAAGCTGCCGGTTGCGTTTCTCTTTCTCTAGTAGACTCAAGACTTTTTTGAGGGGAGCGACAATTTGATGATTCACTGGTCGCACGATGGCCAGGCCTGGGTCGGGCTTTTCCTTCCAGGTTTTGATAACGCTGTGCAGACTGAGAATCATACGTATGTAGGGAATTGCTAAGCTGAGGCACTTTTCGGGGAGCGCTCCCTCGATTCCTTCGGGGATACAGCAGTCCCATATGTCTTCTAGTAGGAGAGCCAGCGAAGGTATGATCCGAGCGTATAGATCATGAACGAGTTCGTCCTTGGACCCGTTGAACTCGTCGCTTTCGACATCTATGAGTATATTGCGGAGATTGAGTAATGCCTCATCTCGTTCATCGAAGAGCAGACTAATATCGTCGCCATAATCAGTCTCAGGTGTTCGGAAGAGTGCTCGAGCGGTCAGATAGGCTTCGCGAATATCTCTTCCGGTCTCCGTTTGAAGGGAAATATTCCGACGCTCGATCGAAAACACCTTTTGCAGTTCAGCTGCCTCGCCGAGGAAATCAATGCGTTCGTCCTCTTCGTCGTCCGACTGTTCCGTCTGTCTCTCTTCTTCGACTTCATTCTCGCTGCGTTCTTCGTTTGGCTGGACTACATTCGGGCTTCGTACAGTACTATTAGACCGCGGTTCTGGATCCTTTTCAAGAGTCTTTCTTGGCTTGGGTTTAGATATCTCCTGGTGCCCACTGATGCTATCATCGAGCTGCAGCGGATCATCGTCCTCAACTTGTATGTTATCCTCGGGGTGTTCGACCTCCTCTGCCTGATTTCGAGATCCCGTGCGCCGTAATACCCGTTGTTGGGCTTTCAAACCAGCTTCTTGAGCCATGATAGCCTTATTGCTCGCCTTTGGCGCTTTATGAGCGTTCGTGACACCCTTCTCTTTCACAGCCTGTCCTGTTCTGGAGCTGGCCTCTTTCTCGGGCTGGACTTTTGGTGCATTTTTGGACCCCGGGGGTCTTCCGCGTTTAGCTACGACTCTCTTCTCTACCCCTTGTGCCAGAGATTTGAGATTTCCGGCTGGTTGACCTCTGGAGGAACCACGCCGTTTCGGAGGGGACTGCTCTTGATCTTCTTCATGGTCGAACGCAGTAGATCGTCTTTTTTTGACAATCCCCTGCCGCTTTCGGACGGCATGTTCAACAATCTCGCCTGGTGGTACAGGCTCCACAGAGGCGTCTTTCCCCGCAACCCTTTTACTCTTTCTCGAAGGCGGTGTGGCCTCAACAGGAGATTCGCTCGGTTCCGCCCTTTGCTGCCTCCCAGTCCTCTGTTTCGGTGGAGTGATTGGGGGTTGTATATCCTGAGCAGTGGTTTGTGGGGATGGAACCGAATGGGAGTCCGGTAGGTCGTACGGGTCTCCTCGACGTCGCCCCTGCGGCTTAGTGGAGCTAGTCGCAGCTGATGATGGCCGCTTCAGCTTCCCTGTCTTCGTGGGAGGGGCGGGTTCGGACTGTTTCGAGCTCCTTGTCCCCCGTATCGGCAACGCTTCGTGGGCGCGTTGGTTTCGTTTCGATGCTGGCTGTTGGCGAGCAGCACCGTTTAGGAAGTTGGCGGCCTCTTGCGCTGAGCTGCGATGGGTGCTTTTCACTATTGACTCAGGGAAGTTGTGCGATGTGTCGTGGTGCAATGCTGCAACTTGCCCTGTATCAGTAATGTCCTCTTTGGAGAGGGCAGCACCCATACTGTGCTCCGCAATCAGCTGGGCGTTCGCCGCGTCCTCGCTATATTGCGCCTGCGCATCATCGTCGCCTAAATTGTCAGAGCAAGGCAAGAGCGCTACTAGGGAAGGCCATACCGTCTTCTTCGGGGTCGGCATCGCCATTGCTGTCCTCATCGCTGTTTTCGCTATTTCTGTATGCTGATGCCCCCTTGTGCAAATCGTCCGCAACTTTAGTTGCACTCTGAGCAGGGGCAGACCTCTCTCTCACCATCTTCGCAAACTTTGAAGAAGGAGGGAGGGGAGAGAGTAGTGAATGGATGTTGGTGTTTCGGAGTGGGGACACAAGGCTGGCTATCGTTGGTTGGCGCGGCGACCGGGATGTCTCAACGCGATGTCACGCTTCCAGTGGGACTTGGAGCATTCATCCAACTGCCCCATCACCATGGCTGACACCAGAATACCGCACCAGCCGCTAAAGCTACTAGACAACAAGACTGAACACAAGTTTGCCCTCCCGGCGAAGTGTATTCATGACGGCGAAGATGTCTCGTTCTTTCTCACTACGAAGGCGTACAGCGATATCATGACTTTTTTATTTCAGTTGAATGCTTCTATGTTTCCAAGAAAGGCTACACAAGAAGATTCAGTGTCACAGACCGTAGAGGCCTGGAAGCTGAATGATCCCAGAGTCCCCTTGTCTCCAATAACACTTAAGCTGAGCCAGCTCTTGGAGAAACTGGCTAGCTTTATCGATGAAGTACCCCCAGATACTGGGCCGCGCAGATTCGGCAACGTCAGCTTCAGAAAATGGTATGAGTTGGTTAAAGAGAGGCTGCCGGCGTTGATGGATGAATATCTTCCTGCTGAGATCTTGGCTCTAGGTGGTGGCGATTCTGAAGGCACGTCTGCTAAAACCGAGCTAGAAGCCTATCTGTATGGCAGCTTTGGCAGCTCTCAGCGGCTAGACTATGGCACTGGGCATGAGCTCAGCTTTCTTGCCTTTCTTGGCTGCTTGTGGAAGCTCGGCGCGTTTCCTCGAACAGAATCTGGTGTGGAGGAGCGAGGCATTGTGCTCGGCGTTATTGAACCGTAAGTCACCTTTAGTGGTCGATTGACATTCCATTGACCTCGCCGCAGCTATTTACAACTGGTTCGGCGCCTAATTCTGACGTACACACTCGAACCGGCGGGGTCTCACGGCGTATGGGGCTTAGACGACCATTCATTTCTTCCTTACATCTTTGGCTCTGCACAGCTGTCTCCAGCAATACGTGCCCCGGCAGATATACCCGCCGAGGGCTCGTTGCCAAATGCTCCCAATCCTCCTGATGTGGCAAAGGCCGATGTTGTTGGACGCGAAAGGAAGACCAACATGTACTTCAACGCAATTGGCTTCATCTACGACGTCAAGAGAGGCCCGTTCTGGGAGCACAGCCCCATTCTGTTCGACATTTCGGGAGTCAAGGCAGGGTGGGCAAAGATCAATAAGGTTAGCCACATGTAGTGAGACGTCAGGAAAATCCTTCTAACACATCGTATAGGGTATGCTGAAAATGTATAATGCCGAAGTGCTGTCGAAGTTTCCAGTTGTGCAGCATTTCCCGTTCGGCTCGCTCTTCGCCTGGGAGAAGGACCCTGCAGCGTTGGCCATAAACGCTTCGGTGCATACGACAAGCCAGCCCACGAGGCAGACGACGGTGACGCAGTCGAGGAGTGCGCCGCTGCGAGATGCAATGCAAGAGGGCATGCGAGCTCCATGGGCTGGTGCGCCAACATGGTCCACAGCAGGAACGGCGGCGCCGTGGGCAACAACACGCGCTCAGTTGCCCGTTCCTGATGGCCCGAATCAGCCGACTAGAGCGCCATGGGTGTCTGCTACAGCAGTGCCGCCGCCCGCTTCAGGAAATGCAACGGCGGCACCGTGGGCAAGGTCGGGCAGGAAGCCTCCCAGGAAGCCTCCGGCGTAGAATATGGATTGTCCAGCGCTCAACGGCATGGGATGCATCATGGGGGATGCATCATGGAGGATTGCATTGCGGCGGAGTACTGCCATCAGGGGTCGGTATCAAGCAAGGGTGGGTCCAGGACGCGTCGTGCCGGGCCAAGCAACGGCGACAGGGCGTGTACACGATGGAACAGGGCGATTGTTTACACCGTATGTAGCACGGATCCTGCAGCAAATGGCAACGCCGCCAGGCACATGTCCGACGTCAATGAAGGCTGCGCGGTCCCCAGACAGCGGGCGCAGGCTGGGGCGCGGCGTCGTGAAACTGGTGGAGCAGCCCAATTTAGCGGCTATAAATAGGGCGAAACGGCGCTGCAGACCCTGGCGCCTGGATTATTGCGTGCGGAATCTGGGGCGGGTTGCGCTTGGACTCTCCTCGAACGAGCCTCGTCTTCCACCGCGAAACCCTCCACGCCCGGCTCCAGCTTCCGCGCCTCTCTCCACCTGGCTCAAAAGCCGCCCGCTGCCTCCAATCGCTGCCACTGCAACTCCTGAGAGCTTCGTGCGTCTGTATCATCTCTCTTTCCCTCCCTCGCAGCACCCCTTCCACACAGCCGTCCGGCCCAGCAACCTCGACCGCAATCAACATGCCAGGAGTCCGTAAGTGGCCGCTGCCTCCCCTCCAGCCTCATGCTGCAGCTTCCCGCACTCTCTGTTTATCGCATCGAGCTTCAAATCCCTCATGCGGCCCTCGCGACGCCATCCATTGCTTCCGCTCGTCTCCCGTCCATCCCCCGCTCCCCCATCGCAGAGGAACCCAGTTCTAACACACCATGCCCTGTCTAGCACCTGATACCGTCAACACGGCGAAGAAGTTCTTCAAGGGCCTCTTCGGCAAAAAGAAGAAGGAAAAGAAAGAAGACAAGCCCGCTGCTGAAGCCCCCAAGCCCACCGAGACCACCCCGCCAGCTCCCGCTCCCGAGGCCGCTCCGGCGCCGGTCGCGACAACTGTTGAGGAGCCGAAGCCTGCTGAGCCAAAGCCAGCGGAGGGCGCGGGTGCCCCGAACTCTCCAGAGGTCCAGGCACTCGCTGAGGTCAAGAAAGCTACAGACGGTAAGCCGCCTCGTGTTCCTTCTCCGGGCCCCGTCAACTACAGTTGGCCCACCAATCTCGGCCGTCGCGCCAACCCCCCTGCCGTGGAGTACGACGATGGATCGCGCTGGAGGTCAAGGTGCGGCGACGACTGAGCGCAAGCTCAAAAGCCCGCTCTAGAGACATTAGGAAGCTGGGAGCATCCAGCCTCCCTGCAGCATCCAAGACTCCTCACGACAGCATGATAAGACGGCCAGCAACCTACGACTCCAATGATTCCCACGACCTTTTCAAGATACCCATCCCTTTGGATTTCCCATTCCCTTTTCCTTTCTCATTTCCAATTCCCCTTCCACATTTCACACTTCACATTTCACTTTCCTCGGCCAGTGCATTGGCTAACAATTGAAATCAGCGGCTTCCCCGACGCCCGCTGCTGCTAGTCCTGTAGCCGCAGAGGCGGCTAAGCCTGCTGAACCTTTACCAGCTCCTGCCACAAGTTCTGAGACTCCCGCCGAGACGAAGGCTGCCGAACCCGCCCCGCCTGCTGTTCCAGCTGTCAACCCGGCCCCTGGGATGTCAGCGACCTCAGGCCCCTTGGACGACCATCCAGCTTGGGAGACGAAGCCAGAGGAGGCGAAATAAACACACAACTTGCTTGTCAACGCTACGCGTGCTGTCAACATGATCAGATCACGCGACGCCTTCGACCACATCTCTGGTTCATGGAAATCTCTCACCGTGGCGCTAATTCCCCGACACGCGAGCTAGAACTTCCCCAGCGTTCTGCATCCCCCTATCCCCTTGCCCCCGTTAATCGTCCCCCGCCTCACGGTCACTCGGCAACAACGACACATCTGCGCAACTCCCCGGAACCAGTCGTGGAGTCTAGCATCAATCAGCGAGTGAGCGAGCGATTTTCGGAACCCCCCACACCACCAACCCCCATTTCACCACCACCTTTTTTTTTCTTTTCTTCATACTTTGGGTCATACTTTGCAGCGGCCATGCTCTTTGAGCGAGCGAGCGTTGGAGATGGATCAGGCCTTTCTATACCCCCCGGTTTGCTGTGCTGGAGCGTCGTGAGCTGTAGTTAGGAGGGAAATTCATGGAGTGGAGTCTATGCTAGCGAGTTTAGAGAGGCGGATTCCCGATATGGGTTTTGCTTGACTTTCTTTTTCCTTGAGTGCGAGAGTGAGGTGCGTGTGATGCTGTGATGGTGATGATGGAGTGTGTTCTACGCTAATGGTGAGGCGGCCGCGCGATTTGGGGCATTTCGTTGTGTTACTCTTCCCTGCCACTGTCTGAGGTGCCTTGAGATGTTTTTGTGAAGCTGAAACGTCTTGTTTTGCGCAATCGGGTACCTGGCTGGGCCACCTCAGACGGCTGTAGAGAGGTGTACACTCTCGCCTAGTTTTGACGGTGTAAGACTAGAGGTAGGAGGCTTGATACACGATGCATAGAACTTTACATCACATGGTCCAGAGTCTCGTAACCTTTAGGCAGTCTTCGCGGCTATATCAACTGTGTCAAAACGCTCGAATAGCTGGTCCGATTTTGGAAGTGTATGAAACCTAGGCCAGGGACCTGATTTGCGGTGCGTATAACGTGACATTGTATCGCTTAGAGTTTAGTAACCTTCATTGAGTCTTTGGACCTGTGTTAGCGATGGGAAAAACGCTCGAATAGGTGGGCTAATTTAGGAGGTGCACGTAATCTAGATACTTTATCGAATTGTGAAGTTCATAGTCTAATCCATAGTGCGTGGAACGTTGCATTAGGCTTCTAAAATCTTGTATCTGCTAGTCCGGCTTCGAGGGTATATGGTATGTGTCAAAGCGCTTGAGCACCTGGTCTGACTCTGGAGGCGCAAGATATATAGATCACTGCTTGAGTGCAATACCACTTTGAAAAAGCGAAAAGAACACCGAGGGCCCACAGGACGATATATGAGCTTAGATAGTAAGATGTGATGTTCAATACGTTTCAAACCTGACTTTGTGCTTTAGAGAATTGGTAAGGGTGGTATATACGTGTGACTAGAGTTATGGCCTAGTACTGTATCCTAGACCTCTGCTCAATCTCAGCCATCGTAGGGCGGTGGAGGCGTGTATGTTCTCGGTCCGTCGTAAGTCTCAAGCTCATGCGCAGTTTCATCGTCTGGGAGACCCGTCGACCAGCCCACCCCCGAGCTCGCGGTGCCAGCCTCTGAAATAGGGCTACTGACGTATTCGCGCTTGGCGTCTGGATCTCTCGAGATGTCGGAGGAATGCTCGATGTTTATGCGAAGTGAGTCAGGGGCGTCGGGTTGCTGGCAGGTGTTAGATATGTTTCCCTCAAACCCTCCACCGCAAATAGCATTACAGTTCAAAGAAAGACGACCTACCAATCTCTTCTCATCTGGCAAAAACCCATCACGTAGAGCAAGCACTTCTGCAACATCTAATGGCGTCAACGGCTCCTGCACCCTCTGCGTCTCCGCACGCTCTCTCTTCTCCTCATCCCTCGCCTGCTCGATCCTCTCACATATAACCTCTCCCTCTCCCAACCTCCCTATCAGATTCCCCCTCTCCCACCGCCCATTTGCCAACCGCATCCCCGTGAATTTCGTCCGGTCAAGCCTACAGTTCACAACCTGGCAATCCTCCAAAGTACTTCTCCCCGCCGAACTCCTCTCAATGCTACAGTTCTTCAGCGTGCTCCGATCCAGCTTCGTCTCGTCCCTAACCCGCGAGGCGGTCACTCGAGAGCGCGAAAGACGGCTCTTGCCGCTGACCTCAGAGCCCTCCTTGACATCGCTGCGTTCGACGACACTGTCGCCGCTGATAAAGCTATCGGAGACCGTTGAACGGTCTAGCCGGCTGTTGCTGATGGCACATTGAGTCCCAGAGACAGTACTGCGGTCCGCGCGTGCGAGGTTCAGCGTGCTGTCTGTGATGGTGGAGCGGTCGAGGTGCGAGTCTGTCACGTGGGCGCGCTCGAGGACGCTGCGGTCGAAGCGCGATTTCCCCGGTTGCGCGTCGGATATGGACGCTGAGGGGGCTGCGGGAGCTGAAGAGGTGACTGTGGTGTCTGTGAGGCGGGAGCGGTCGAAGACGGTCTTTTCAGAGAGGCCGGCGAGGCGGCAGTTCGTGAGGGTTGATCTGTCGATTCGGGGGTGGGATGACCATGCTGGCGGTTCGACGGTGTGGTTGGTGATGGTGGAGTAGCGGGCATTGGGGATGCTAGAGCCTTGAGACATAGTTGACGTGCAATGCTTCTGAAAATCCAAGCAAGTAGAATTTGTGTATGAATCCTGTGGTATTTGGAGGAAAAAGTAAGAGCTTAGAGTTAGCAGATATCAAGCCTTTTTAAGCATCGACCGTCGCTGATGCCTGATGCCGGCCTTACGAAGCCTATCGTATTCCTCGTAAAGTGCTGCAGATTGCGCAGGTGGTTGGAGGATGGAAAGGCACCTGGTCCAGCTGAATGGTGGAATGATGTGGGACTCGTAAGTCGATACGTCACCTCTTTCCCATGCGGCGTGCCGAAGCGACGCCTTGGCCCAACTCTATCCCAACTCCTAGGTATGGCCTCGTTCACTCTCTTCAACTACCTGGAAACGCCATCTCCACGTTAGAGAATGCAGCTATTAGCTTTTCTATTCCAGAAGCATAGGTGAGTCTCAAGAACCCCCGATAACATAAGAGCTGTTGTAGATCGCTCAAATTTCTCTCCTAATGCCCGTTGCGCAAAATTTATAATCTTTAACAATATTATATATATCGAGACCCTTACACACCTAGAACATTAGGTTAAATAGAACATTAGGTTAAATTACAGCTAATATCAAGTTTTAATTCTATTAAGCAGAGTCTATAGTCTTATTATTAATACTAAAAAGTGTCCTAGGTCGCCTCCTATAGAGTTTGCGATCGGGTTACAAAATATACTTTAGCGTTATGCCTGGATTATATTAAGAGCAATAAATTTTGTTTAGCGATTCTTAGAAATCCGGTTAAATAGAGAGCATAACGTGTTGTTTTATGCGCTCGATACGCACCGCCGTTAGTCGTAAGTCCTAAGGCTTTCCCCTTCCTTCTAATCCTAGTTATGTACTGGTTCGTTAACAAGTCTAAATTGATCTCTAACTTAGCAAGAATAAAAAGGCTCTGGGTGGTATAGAATTGATAGCGGAGCCGACGGCTAAAAAGAGAAAAAATATGTAAAATAAGGAAAAAAGTAAGTTAGCACATGCGAGATTCGAACTCAAGCTAGTAGAAGGCAACAAAAAAAGGGTTACATCCACCCCGCTGATGGTACCAAGCCGCGAACGTCGCAAGGTAGGCAAAGGAGGCCCCGGTGAGATAGCCGATTCTTAGTTGGCTTCACTAGAGCACACACTGTACCACTGTAACTTGAGGATGTCAAGTAATTTTATGAACTATATACCCTTAAAAAGTGCGCGGGCCACCAGATCTCTGGATTACAGTCAACACATCCACTGTCACTGAGGGATCTCTCACCTGAGACTCTTCCCCGCCTTGCCGCCGTTCACAATCGATGCCTTCTCATCTCACCTGGGGACCGCCTTCACTCCTCACTTCTTTCATCTCAACTCTTCTCACTTCTAATATGAAAGCTTCCTATTAGTTGAGCTGCCAACCTGCCTATATAAACCCCCTACCCCCCACCCTACTTCTATTCTCCGTCCAACAGCCAATCTTTCCTCCCTCTTCCCTCCAACCTCCAACCTCCAACCTCCAACCTCCAACCACAACCTCCAGCACCACGCGCTTCCGTCACTACCCTCAACATGGCGGACAAAGCTCTGAAAGCTAAAGCCTCCACCGCTGTGGAGGACATCCTCTCCAACTGGGACTGTACCATCGAGCGCATTCTTCCCGAGGACCTCAAACCACGATCCCCCGCTGTCCAGGGCAACAAGCGCCTGCTCGGAGACGCCGCTCCCATGCTTCCGCCCTCGGATTCGTCCAAAAACTTTGTCCTCGCCCTCCGCGAGATCTCGAAGCTCACCATTGGCAAGATGCCAATCGGCCACCAGTACCTGAAAGCTGCTGTACTGGAGCGCCAGTCCGACAATTCCCACAACTATCAGAAGGTCGCTGAAGTCATGGCGTCAGACATCAAGCGAGCGGTGGAAATGGTGAAGGAAGAGCGCAAGGATCTGGATGAGCTGGCGACTACCTTTGGAGGCGCGGAGATCGAGAAAGACTCTCAAAAGGGAAAGGCTGTCAACATCTCCAGCAACACCCGTCTTCATTGCACTGTTGGCGCCACCACGGCACCCCGATACCTGCTTGAGATGGCAAAGAAGGAGGCGGAGCTTGAGGATGAGGAGGTCGAGCCACGAGACCTCGTCGCGTCCATCGAGAAGAACTGGGAAATCAACATGCACGACTGTCTCCCTCGTACCGCCATCGACCTCCGCCCCGTCATTCGCCCAAATCCGAAAGAAGCCCGATCAAACCGTCCCCTCCCACCACTGGCCGCCTACGACCCCAATTGGGAAGACGCATGGCGTGCCTCCGTGCCCGGCCGCGATGCCTCCAAGGACGAGATGAAGGCGTACATGAAGGCGCAGATGGTGATCATGGCAGGGAACCCGGAGTGGGACATCAAGAATCCGCTGGATTGGAGCCTCATGCTGCTGCACTTGCTCTCAATTCTGGCAAAAGCCACGAAGGGGCAGCACGAGGCGGTACAAAGGGTGCTTGTTGAGACGGTTCAGACTCGCCAAAAGACCCGGTATGCGAAGAAGACGGAGGAGCTCCAGCCCGGCGATGTTGTTTGTGTCCTCAATGCTGTATTTAGACAGGTCTTTACGTAGCCTAGGGGAGCTGGGACGAGTTCTAGGGGCAGTCAAAAGGGTTGGGTCCATGGTCTGATTTTGGGAGTCTGGCGTTTTGGATAGCCTCGACGGCTTGTTTTTGCCTTATACCCAGATACATGGCTGAATCAGCCCTACTTAGCTTACGAATTGCGAGCCTATACACCCTATCGAGTGCCCTCTACATTAACGTATAAGCGCTTTGACACATCCAATATACCCTCGAAGCCAGACAAACAGGTGCGAGATTTTAGAAGCCCGATGTAATGTTCCACGCACTGTGAATTAGGATACATACTTCATTGCATGAAAAAGCAGCCGAATGTCGTGCAATGCCTCGCACCCTCACATATAGACTAGTTATACAGTCGCTTTGGGGCAGCTAATGCAACACCGAGGGCCTACAAGAGGGTGGAAAAGTATGGACAGGAAGGTGTTAAGGATTACACACCGTAAATTGGACTCAGTTTTGGGTACTACTGATGAGGAGCTAAACGGCTTGCATAGGCATAATTGGACCAGGCGTACGGTTATTATAGGGCAGCAGACACAGCACCGAGGGCCCACATGAGGATGGGAAACCTTAGAGGTAAAATGTAATGTTCTATGCATTATCTTGTAGAGCACGAACGCCGATATGTAATAATGACCATACGGACTCCAGGTCAACCAGAATGCGTCTAGATCCGCAACAACCCTACTTCTTCACCAACTCCCTCAAGCTATCCAAGCCACCCTCATGATGCTCAATATCGTACTCCTCGGGATACGTCTCAAGAACACCAAGCAACTCCGTGACCTGGCTCTTTTGCTCTTCTGTGACGTTCTCCCACACGTCTGTGAAAGCATACTTCAGCGCAGGCTTCATCTCATTTTCAGCTTGTGCGAAAGCGCCCAGAACGTCCTTCCGTAACTTCCGGCGCAGCTCCCCCTCTTTCTGCTCGTTCCATAGCTCGCGGCCCTCTAGCCACTTCCGTAGCCGGGTGAGAGGATTATCACGGCGCTTCCAGTCCTCAACCTCGACTCGTTGACGGTACGCGAAGCTGTCGTCGGAAGTGCTATGATGGCCAACACGGTACGCCATCATCTCGACAAGGATAGGCTTGCCGCCATCCTCGAGAGTCTTCTTGCGCGCTTCTTTAATAGATTCACGAACAGCGAAGATGTCGTTGCCGTCGACACGGATAGTCTCTATGCCGTAGCCTGCGCCGCGGCTGGCGATACCGTCGCCTCGGTACTGGTCCCTGGTCGGGGTTGAGATCGCGAAGCCGTTATTTCGGCAGAGGAAGATTACGGGGCTGCCGCGGGTTGCGGCAATGTTCAAGGCGCCGTGGAAGTCACCCTCGCTAGCAGCGCCTTCACCAAAGAAAGTGCAAGCGATTCTGGGTGGCAGGTCTGGTCGTTGAGCATTTTGCATCTTGAGAGCGTACGCTGCGCCAGCGGCGTGAGGGATCTGAGTGGCGAGAGTGGAAGAGACGGTGTGCTGGAGATAATTGTTAGAGGGGAGAGTCGTTATAGGCTTTAGAGTTGCACTCACGATGTTCAATTCTCGGCTTCCGTAGTGGACAGGCATATTCCTGCCATGCCCTACGTCTTTATGATTCGAGAACATCTGGCTCATAAATTGTTCTAGAGTGAAGCCTCGTTGAAGATAAACGCCTGTCTCACGGTATTGGCAAAAGACGACGTCGCCAATGTCGAGGGCGCTGGATGCTCCAATGGTGATAGCTTCTTCACCAGCAGAAGCCTATCATCTCGTAAGCATTAGTTCGAAATAGATGTTCTAAAAGGTCTTACCATGTAGAAACTTAAGCGGCCTTGTCTCTGGGCTTCGAACATGATGGTATCCATAATGCTTACTGCTACGCGTTAGTTTCTGGTCTCTTGATATAATTCGCACAGGAGACTCACATAGCACCATTTGAGTGTATAATGTGACCGCCTCTTCATCTGTAGTACCAACGCCCCTCTCGTTGTTAATCACAACTCCATCCTGATCCATAACCCGGAACGTAGGGATGGCCTCCGCGGTCGACGGCGACGTGAATTCGAGATCATTGGTAAGCTTGCTATTCAGGGCTCCCGGGAATAGTATCCTATCGCAATGATCAGTCTGGAAGTCTTGTCAAAAAACATCTCCAAGAGATTTACCGTTCGGAAGCCGGAGAGACCGCTGCAGAGCTCCATCGTTGCCAGGAACGCGGTATTGAGGGTGTTATAGAGGGTTGAGTGTATGTAGAAGCTTGGAGTGCCCTCCCAACGGGTATTCTGCGTATTCCATGGCGGAGAGACATGGTGAATATGCTACATGGCGCGTTCAGACGGGAAGTGTGGGGATATAAGATCTGGGGAAACAGAGCGCAAAGCTCCCGAGGGGACCGGCAAGCGTCGGTTTAGACGTTTAGGCGCTGGTCACGTGGACTGCACTAATCCGCCGGGGGAAAAGGGCTTGGCTGGGAATTGCCGGAGCAAACTCTCCGGCGAAGAATGTGTTATAGCTTTGAAGAAATAGAGGCACGATTCTGCAGATTACTCCTGTGCAACTGCTGATTATGAGATTATGTGAGATTACTTAACCTTGGGAGTGTTGGGAGGGAGCTTTCTTGCCCGCTCTCCCCGCATTTGGAGCTTGCCGGGCGGTCTTTTCTAGCATCATAAAATTAATCACTTTACTTTCTTCCTTGACGATAGTTTCACCAAACTAAAGCACTGTCGGGCGTACTGCATTAGCTGCGTATTATTTCGGATTGTCTCATTGGGTGACGATGCCAAGACTAAATGCCAGTAGGTAAACTTCAAACATCGTGAACTTTGATCATCAACGGCATCATGAACGTCTCAACATCAAAACTCCTCGCAAGAAGACAATTACTGCTATCAGCACGAGCAGCTGCCAGGAGAGAACCATACCGGTGTTTCTCCTGCTCAATACGCCATGAACAGCAGACACCACCTCCACCAGGAGAGAATGGCAATCGAACCACCCATTTCGGATTCGAGACAGTGGCAGAGGCATTGAAAGAGAAAAAAGGTACCCAAACCCTCCCACCCCCCAATACTACCAACCCTCAAACTCACACGCCCCAGTCGCCACCGTCTTCTCCTCCGTCGCCTCCTCCTATGACACGATGAACGACCTCATGTCGCTCGGCATCCACCGCCTCTGGAAAGACCACTTCGTGCGCAACCTCAACCCAGGCTCCAACCCCCTCACCTCGCGCTCCCCCATCTCCCCCGGCTGGAATATTCTGGACATCGCCGGCGGCACCGGCGACATCGCCTTCCGCATGCTCGACCACGCCTCCACCCTCAACCACGACGCCCACACCCGCGTCACCGTCGCCGACATCAACCCAGACATGCTCGCCGAGGGCCGCAAGCGCGCGCTCAGCACCCCCTACGCGCGGACGCCGCGGCTGGATTTCGTCGAGGCGAACGCAGAGCATTTGGATATGATACCGGACGCTAGCATCGACTTATACACCGTGGCGTTCGGCATACGTAACTTCACGGACAAAGACGCGGCGCTGCGCGAGGCGTTCCGGGTGCTGAAGCCCGGTGGAGTGTTTGCGTGTCTAGAGTTCAGCAAAGTGAACAGCGCGCTGTTCGATGCGGTATATAAGCGGTGGAGCTTTGGGGCGATACCACTTATCGGGCAATTGGTAGCTGGGGATCGGGATAGTTACCAATATCTAGTAGAAAGCATTGAGAAGTTCCCGAGCCAGACGGAGTTCAGGGATATGATTGAAAGGGCGGGGTTTTTGGTGCCGGGGAAGGGGTGGGAGGATCTGACGGGGGGGATTGCGGCGATTCATAAGGGGGTGAAGCCGGTTGAGGGGATGATTTGAGGCGGGTTGAGGGAAGCTGTGTATGATTAGGTGGGTGGTGCTGTTGTAGTGATATAGACGGCGTATTTGTATGTACACTCCATCTACGTATTGTGGAAATTCAGTGTCTTGCCACAAGTGTGGGCAAACTCACTCATCACTGTTTGAGATGCTTCAGTGCATTATAAGATTTCCGATGCGATGTTAATTCCTAGAGATTTTGAATCATGAAAGTTTGACACGCATAGCGTTGGGCTTTGCGCCACGTGGCCACTGTTTGGGGTGCTTCAGCACATCGTCAAAATCCGAGAGTGTTACAAAAGACGGCGTGCCATACTCGCCCTCTAGTACTATACATTCCAAAAGCCTACCTGAGGTTCACATGTCGCTAGCACTAGATGGTCGGCATCACACGCAAAGTCATCACAGCGTCAATCTCATTAGGACAGGTTTCACGACAACCCCATCACAAGCAAAATCGCCACAGCAAAGCCGTCAATCATAGATCAGAATATCATATATTGTGAGGAAAACCCTTCTCGGGTCAAAAACCTCTAAAATATCCAACCAAATCCACAAGAATCTCATCCACCTGACGATCTCAGTTCCACCTAAGTATCTGTGAACACGCTGCCCCGAAGGAGTGACCAAAGGTGGGAATACATGGCCGGGGAAGGGTCGAGATAGCATAGTCTACAAGGGCCGGGTTTGTGGCCTACATATACAAATATATGTGATACATGGAGTGAGACCTTGATTTTAGGAAGTGGAAGGAGGGGATGCCCGAGGGCGAAGAAGAGAAGAGAGGTCGGGGGCAGAGGGGGATTTTGTAGGTGCAGCGGAGGTGGGCTGACTAAGCGTGGATTTGTGTGATAGGTTCATCGATGGAGGAAAACTAGGTCTCTTGTGGCCAGGCTTTGGAGCTTGAGAGGTGCAAACGTGGTTTGGGTGTCCGAAAAGAGTTGACTCTTAACAGGTAGTACAACATCCCAATGTGCAACCAAGCAATTTCCTTTCCCGTTTAGGAAACTGAGCTGCTCATGCTCCAGCCTGAGCTGTGGCTGTGCTGGGTGAGCGCATCCCTACTCAACCACACTTGGACTTCAACTGTCCCCAGACGACGCAATGCCGCCTCACATCTATTCCCTAGAAGACAGGATCAGTGAGTTCTTCCAGACTCAATCATCTGTTTCTCGTCAACAATGCGATGACATGGCTCTCTCCATTTCCGGGAGTCCAATCAGCCCGGCACCGATCCAGGGAGCGTTTAGTTATACTGTTATAGCTGGGGCTCTACAATCGAAGATAGTGCAATTCAGGACTCAGAGTTCTCTTCTTGATATGGAGACATTGATCGCCGCGCGGGATGTTCATCCAGACTTTGTTCCAGCAACCGCGTTCCACGGTATTCTCGGTGAGGGTCAAGCTTCGCCTCTTTCTATCTATGTTATGGACAGAATCTCTGGAACCACTTATATTGAGGCAAGATTCTATGATAAGTCTACTGCTGAAGCAAGGCTTGCGGGCGAATCACGCCGAATGACTACAGTAACGGATTTCGCAAGGTATATTCTCTAAAGAGAATTAAATCTAAATCTGACCTATAGTAATACTTGACAGATTCTTTTCACAGGCATGGAAAGGTCGCCAATCATTGTCAATGGAGAAAGTAGATGCACTCCGTCTTCAACACGGGGCAGATCTCGAACTACTATCCCAATCTTTACCCCAACGGTTTTCGATCGTCCTACAACAGCTTCGTACGCATCTCCCGCTTCTATACACACCGCCGTTCCCACTTGTCCTCACCCATGACGATCTCTGCGAGATGAACATACTCATGGATCCTGAAACGGGCAAAATTACTGGCTTCATCGACTGGGCAGAGGCAAAGATACTTCCATTTGGTTTCGCTCTATGGGGATTCTTGAATGTCATTGGCTGGATGGACTCGAAAGGATGGCATTACTATTCCAATCGTCAAGATCTCGAAGATCAATTCTGGAAGACCTTTGATGAGTCTATTGGAGGCGTGACAAAGGAAGTGAGAGACACGATCCGTGTTTCATCTATAGTGGGCTTTTTTTTGAGGTACGGCTTTGCGTGGGATGAAGGTGTTCGCAGAAGGCCAGTAACGGAGTTGGACTACTCTATCAAATATCTTGACGCCTTTTTCAGCAGTGAGAAGTCTGTTGGAAACTCGTTCATTTTGAGTGGACATTAGATATGACATCTAAACCAAAATCTATTGGTAGTGTCACAAATCAATTTCTATGAATTACCACAAGGGGCCGTACTTGCCTGTCTTTGGTAAAATGCTTATCCAGGTAAGTGGAGTGTGAATCATCCGAGCCGTTTTCAAAACAGCGACACTTCCCTCGTGGCCATCAAATGCGGCAGCTCCGCCAAAGGCCCAGGTCCCCGGACTGTTACTCTGCCACCTCCCAAATTATATACAACGTCTGCAGTCATGATTACCATGCGCGCTCCAACCTCCTAGCCGTACTTGAGGCTACCCTCATAGAGCCCATATCGGCTATTGAGGCTCAACACCAAGATGCTATCCCCACTACCTATGAAATAGGCCTAATTAGGACCCAGATTGTGATTGTGAACTCTGCTTGTATTGTAGAGGCCGTACGGGCCGAATACATACTGGTAGGAAAGGATACACCCCCTAAGTCCGTCAGTGCGGCTGAATGTGGAGCGTAATGAGAGGGTGAGGGATGAAGCTTTGTGGAAATGAATGGGTGAACTACCATTCGGAACTCGGAGTTCCGAGACAGCTGTTTCGATATAGCGACGCGCTTGAACTTTAAGATGGCCACATGCATTCCTTCACGGACCACCAGGGTCGATTGAAATATAGTGGTAATATACGCGCTTGGTGCAGCACAATGCATCAATTATCCAAGCCAATTCGTCCAATATGGCTTCGTTGTCCCAGTCCCATCATAGCGTGTAAAGTACCAAGCCATCGTGATACTAGTGGTGATAACTGCGAGGACAAAAACACGCAATGCCGATCGCCGTTCTACATCAGTACTAGATTGGGCACTTTCTTCAAGAAACAATACCTTCGTCCTCCCGAAATTGAAAAATACCAAACTAGAAGCCACCAGATAAATCGCCACAACCATGGCACCCAGGAACAAGATCTCGTTTGTAACTGGGACCGCCTTAAAGATCATTTTAATATACTTTTCGCCATTTTTGTGGCCCATCATAATATCCGCCATATTTATGGCTGAGAGTCCAAAGTACCAGAGAAGCATGAACCAGGAATAATATCCAGATAAGGCGTCAATACCACCTAAACATCCACCTATTGCTGCAATAACAAGAAACGGCGGAATGAATAGGATACACGCCATAAGTACAGCCAGTCCTGGGCTGAAGTTGTAGGACTCCGGTTGTTGGGAAAAGGTCGAGTAGAAAACTTGATGAGAAGTCCAGGCAATGAGGGCAGACTGCGCGAGAACAGCGATAATGGCGAGCAGCCAGTCAGCCTTGGTCAATTTCTTTCGAGTCTCGTCCGTCGTAACTTGCGCTGTGGAAGCCATGTCGTCCGTTGAATCCGAGTCGCCGGCGAGCAATTTAAGAACTTCGACAAGGGAAAAGGATGCGAGGTAGACGCCAACAACAGCCTGCGTCCACCTAACTCCACCACACGCAAAAATCTTAACACTTTGCGGCAAGAGGCCAGCCACGAAACCCAGAAGCCTTATCCAGGCCTGCTTCTCCAGCGCCTGCAACCCATCCAGCTCGGCATCATCCAGACGCCGAAACTTAAGAGCTAGGATAGCGCGTGCGGCCTGCCGTGGCGACATGTCGTAGAAAAGGTACACGCAGAAGCGGAGGGTGATGGCGAGGCTGTCGGCGAAGCAGATGAAGGGAGAGCTACGCATGTATGTTCGGAGGCGTGGGTGGAAGCCGCAGACGCTACCGCAAGGCTGGAGCATGACATTGAGCGCGAGGGCTGGGAGAACGCCAAAGGCGCTAGGGCCGGAGACTGGGGATGTGAGGTTGAGCATTGGGATTTTGAGTGATGGAAGAGTGGCGAAATGACCTGGAGCGAACGACAAAGTGAAGATGCAGATTTGCGGCATTGAAAAGACTTAAATGCCTGAGAAATGGGGGAATACGAAAGGGGTACCGGCTGTGGGCTGTGCACATTCGTCTACGCAGAGAAGCCACGGGCGCTAAGATGAGGTTATGGTGGCTGTACGTATCTGCACCTAGCTACCACAGTCTTTACTAGTATCCTGAGCCGACCTTAGCCACAGCGGCGCATGGTCACGTGAGCAGCTGGGGTTGGGCAGTGTGCACATTGGGGTGATATAACATACATTACATAATAGAAATTGAAGAGAGAAAGGCATCCCAGGTCGAGAAGGTGTGTCGTTCAGAGGGCAGTCAGACGATTGGGCAAGTAGGCACGGGTATCGTTTTGGAATACTGTGCCCTCAACCTCGAGAGCGCTTATTGGAGACTATGTGAGCCAAGCACTTGACCGCTTCGCAAAGAGCGCCAATAGGATCACCTGCCGTACAAAGTACAGTGGGAAAGTTCATGTCGACATTTGTCCATATCTGCTATGCAGGCCACGTATGACGGTATAAGTGGTTGCGTTTGTGGATGATTCGCTTTTCAACTCTAGATAGTGTTAGTAGTAATCTTCGGGCTAGGAAGAGTGGGTCGGAAGTTAAGCGAAACTAGACGCCCGAGTCCAGGGGGCAGCTGAGGCACAGAGGAGTGCAGAGTGGAGTAGGAAGCCTAGGAGATACAGGGGGAGCGTGTCAATTCGGTGGCGCTTGCTGCCTGTTGGGTTCAAGCACTGTTTCCAGCTCTGCCTGTATCAATGCAGCTCTTATGCAGCTGGCTATCATAGTACTTTCTTGGAAATTGAAGAGAGTTACAGTGCGGGCAAAGTAACATGAGCATCAGTGGTGACGTAGACTTGAAGATAAACAAGAAATTTGAAGAGTGATGCTGAAAACGGAGAACAAGGATACCGGGGCATCACACCGGAGCTGTTGAATATGCCAGAATGCGTTTTCCAGTGTCGCTGAGGCAGAAACCAAGAAACTCTCTGTGCCTCTCTATCACGAATAAGGATTGATGCTTGAATATTGCACTCCCGTCTCCAATCAAAGCACATCTCCACGCGCTGCGCCCTCTCCACGTGAAGTTGCGGGGCGAAGAAACAACTCCAATCGGAACATGCAGTGAAGCTCCCGTCAAACCGACGCAGGCTGCCAATAACTAATGATAACGATAAGAAATGCTCGTGGTGGTGCACAAAGAGGGTGTTGGCAAGGCAGCCGCGGGAGGGCAGCCGTGGCGCAATGTTGCCCAGTTGGCAGCCCAGCACCAGGCCAATGACGGTGGCGCGCCAGCCGAATGCTCTGGACGTTATGCAGTGCAACGACGCTCCGATCATCGAGGCCTGACCGGTCCGATGCGTTGAAACTTGTTGGGGACGGCGATGGCGACGACACCGGAAGGCAGAGGCTCGGCCTGATGGCGATGTGTGCAGGCTTTTGTCCCGCAGAGTCTCCTCAGCTTGTTGGCCGAGAGGCTGAGTTAGAGGAGCAGAAAGAAGAACGGTACCTGCGCAGCCCTGGAGCTTTCGAGCAAGATTCGTGGTGGATTGGGGTGGTCACGTGCCGAGGGTGTGGGCGGGGAAGGGCTTCCGGAGCCGCTATCGAGGAGAACCTTGGAAGTGAGAACGCTGGGGGCGAAAGAGAGATGCAGCACTGGTGGCAGCCTTCAGGTCACTCCATGCTGCTCCGCCCATTCGCGCCGTTTGCATGCTGAATGGTGCCTTCTGCGACTGCAGGGTGAACGGCATGGCACCATCAGGGTCCCTGTTGTTGCGTTCTCACTAGCCTAGAGTCGCCCCGGCTTCCCGACCACCGTGCGCCCCAGCTTTCGCCTTGAGCTGCACCCACAAGAGGACGAGCTCAAGCCTCACCCTCCAGCACCTTTTTCCCACCCACCGCCTCCCACACTGCTGCGGAAACACAAGTGACTCCTTCGCCATCATTATCCATTTTCTCCAGCCCTTCTTTTGCGTCTTCTCCGCTGCTCACGGCACCTGTTCGGGCCTGTCACTGGCTATCGGTCATACCGTCATTCGACAGAGTCACATGGGGCCTTCACCGTCGAACTGACCTCCGCCCTCAGTTCCCTTTGACTGTCCGTCAACACCAGAACCGCGCCGAGCCCTCTCTCCAGCACTGCCCGTCCCGGGGATCCCCTCAACTACCCTGACGACCACTCACCACCCTCTCCGGCCATCGCCAACCTTATCGCCGTGCTTGAGCCTCTCTCCAACCACAATCGAGTAGCTTTCTGCATACGTCCAACATGGCTGCCTGAGCTCTGGCTCATCAACGCGCTGTTCCCGTGTACCCGTCTGGTGAATCTTCTATCTGACGTTCCCGCTGTTCCTTATTGGACCCTCGCATGCGACCTCGAAGCTACCCTCGACCCACTGTGCTCGTGATGGAGACCATCAGTACCCGTCCACTTCACCCCCAGCAACCGTAACTGCCCATTAACACCTGATCTTGGTCACTATCAAGTCCTCTTCGGCGCTGCACGACTGCCTGAGATTCCTCAGCCTTCGCCCACTACAATGTACCAACACCCACGCCCGTCCCCAAGGATGGCCTCCGCAGCCAACTCCCTACAAACAAATCCCACACGAACCAACAACCCACGGGATCGAACTCAGTCCCCTTATTCAGATATAATACCATACAGCGAGAGAGGAGGTGACGAAGAAGGCGAAATGGTCGATCGCTCAGATCAGAGAACGGAGGTGGAGCAGAGGAACTACCAGAAGATAAACCAGATCATACAAGTACGTTCTCAAAACCGGATTCTTTATGTTTGTTCTAGATTCTGACGGCCTGTTGCAGCAATTTTTCATCAAGGCCACCCTCACTATCGTATCTGCGAGGACCGTGCTTCCACATGCTTTCAACAAAGCTGGCGAACTGAAGCAGAACAAATGGGTATGTCAATTCTAGTTTCCGTGTCATATACCTGATTGCTAATTTGATCCTAGTTCAACGTTGTGCTCGATGATACCGATGAGTTTGCCGAAGATATAATGGAATGGAGGACCATGGACGCAATTCAGGAAAAGCCGCCTCCACTGTGCATAGAAGTGTACCTGGACCTGAAAGATCTTACAAACAGCCAGACTCTGGTCATTATTGATACGGATGGGAAGAGATGGGATGTTGCCGAGGCGTTGAACCCCCCGGCCGAATCCACGGCGCGACCTCCGAGTCGTATGGGCATGTCTACTCAGGTTGTGCTCGAGCGGTGGAGAGTTGAGATTGGTGATAAGAACTCTGTTGCACCGTCTGAACTTAAGGATGCGCTGCCAAACGTCTACAAAAAGGCAGTCGTGCTATTTCGATCGCTGTTTACCTGCGTCCGGTTTACTCAAGCATGGAAGTACTATCGCCGTATGGCGAAACAGCCTGCGAACCACCCCTCGTTGAAGCTAAAGTACCGCATCTACAATGACGAGTTCAAAAGCCCCCGCCGAGACACACTGGCCGTACCATTATACCCTTCACCGGACGCTGTTTTGGAGAAAGAAGTTTTGCCTGCGTCGAATTCCCCAATCGGTCCTCTCTGCATTTCAACTGTGTGTCGATCGAACTGTGATTTCCGAGTAGACGATTCTGAATCTTTGCTGAGCTCTCACTTCATGGGCATGGACGACCACTACTTCCGGCCCTCACTCGGGCGACAGCAGGATACTCGACAGCACGAAGCTGGCCTAGTACCTGGATCTCTTCCTGTTGGCAAACTCCAGTCCCAGGACGTGCCCGACCGTGGCCAAGCATATGGAAGTCTGTCGACCTTTCACCAAGTCGGCCCGGCCACCGGAACGAGCCCAATATCGGCACTCCGAGCTGCCCGAGATATGCCTATGCAATCACCATCAGACTCACCTCCGCAGAAGCTCCCACCTAATCACCGGACTGCTATGGGTTCCAAATCATCACTGCGTTCAGCTGAGGGGCAGCCTTCTTATCAAAGGCGGACTTCGGTTTCGTTCCAGCCGTTCAAAGCAGGCTCCCTATCTTCGTCTCCTGCGCTAGGAAACCAGATCCCACAATCACCATCTGGCTCGCTGGGCAGGACTAGCAGCACCACCAATCCACTGCTACAAGCACGAAATAGGACATCTTTGAACGCCTTACCTCAGGCTGCCCTGAGAGCTCCCTCGCTACCGAATGAGACTGCGATTGCATCATCTGCTTCGAGCTCACCTAAACCTGCTCCAATAAGCCGCTATAGCAGTAGCTTTGGACATCGGCGGAGCAGATTCTCTTCTGGTGGGGGAAGTAAGACTGAGGACGATAACCTGAGCAGCGGCAAAGGGAGTCTCGCGTCCTCGGCTCAACCTGGTTCAGACATATTGAACGAAGGCGAAGGAACTAGTTCCGGATCGATCAAAACGGATGATGAGAATATCTCAGATTTCCTGAAACTTCTCGAGCAGAAAAAGGATCTGAAGAGTTTCAACCGGAGCGATAATGCGTCACGTGATGCAACAATGAGACGAACCACCGCTCAACTCACGAGATACCAACGCATGCGCGATTCCAACGCACAACTCTCCGACTCTCTGTCGTCATCTCTTTTGCTCCACAGATCCTCATCATCCTCTAGCCGCCAGCTGTCTAGTGTCCCTCCCATGATCGCCGGTACCTCTGCCTCAACGTCGTCATCTCCAGGAAAGCCCATCTCGCCACATACACCACATACTCCAGCGATTCCATCTCGGCTAAGTGCGAATAGTATCATAGAATACGAACCCCGTCGGAGCAGGAGCCGCCCGAGACATTCACCCCAACCTGAGCAGGACACAGCCCAGGCTCGTACAACGCTCCGATCTGCAAGTCGAAGGGAGCAAGGAACAACAGCGATTGATATTCCGACATCTCCGAGACCATGGAACTACCCTCGGAGGTCTAGTTCTGCGGCCCAGAACAGGACCATTGATGACGAGCCTGATCTGTTTGGGCTGCGAAGTGCAAGCTTACCAACGGAAGAGACTGATCGAGAGAATCCGGAACTCCAGCGTGAGGCCGTGGATGTTACCTCCAGTGGGCTCTTCCAGAATCGTGAGCTGCTCACAGGTGCACTTGACAACGAGCCCGTCGACCAGGAAGTAGACTCCATATCGAGTCGTCCGGACTCTCGCGAAGATGTTGGTCGTCCTTCGTCGGCATCGGAAGTCCCTACTTCTCGCAATCGGTTCAGTGTCCGAGGTCGAGGCCTCTCCTCCGCTCATGGATCATCGACCAGTCTCAATACGCATAATTCTCGCTTCAGCTTCAACTCTTCTCGCACAGCTGCTCTAGACGACGACGAGCCTCTGCTGTTCCAGATGAGTGAGCTGCATGTCAACCGACGCAGTATCGAAGAAGGTAGAGGCGGCTCAAGTGCCGGGAGTGGTGACCGAAGGCGTGGTGGCCCGCAATGGCAATAAGTGGCACAGCCTCGCCGCCGCGCATTGTATACGCAAGAGGTCTGCTGAATCGAGTTACCGATTCAAGATAACACCTGTTGGAGTACCGGATTTTGACTCTGATTTTGTTTTGATTCTTGTGACTGCGTGACCACCAACCCTGGATCCGAATGGCATGGCAACCGACTCTGGCGGTTGGCTCCCGTCTTCGACTACCTTCTGGACCGGACTACTATTCCAAGGCGACCCTAGATCGCATCACGATCATGAAGGTTGGCTACATGAACGCAACATTGACCACAAACGTATTCCTCCTTCATTTCATCACATACCAGTATATTAAAAACAACTTATTTCCTCGTTCTTTTGGCGTTTATATTCTCGGCATCTGGCGTGGCTGTTGTTTCCACTTCGTAATCCTTTCTATATTTCATTTTCGTCTGTGAGCGGTTCGCATCGCATCACATTTGTCAGTCATAGATCCGAGCAGGCGCGTATATGTGATTTCTCGCTTTCTGGTTGATCTACTCATCCATTCTTGCTTTGTTCTCTGCTTTTCGCTTTGGTATTTTATATCCTTTCCTGCGGGTGTGCTCTTTGGGCGACGGCGAAGACTGGGCCCGACTGAACTGGGCCGGAGCTTGGGTACTCGGAGTGTAGGGTAGGGCTTGGTCGCGGTTGCGCGGGATTCGGGCTGCGTATACGTATGCGGACTCTGGATGAGTGGGATCTCATTGTCATGGTTGTGAATAGATTGGAAATAGGAGCCTCAAGGCTTCGATGGGTGGGTAGGGGGTTTGAATATAGGTTCTTAGCTATTTTGAATGAATATCATCAACGTATCGTCAAGGTTTTCTGCTTTCGTCAATGTTACGGATTACACGTGGTGATGTTATCTTCTCAGAGGTCGTTTGCTCGCTGTGATGATACGTATCCTATAAACTAGGAACGACTTCCCCCAACAACCCCCCCCCCCCCCCCCCCACCTTTGCCTAATTCCTTCAAGTTCTTACTCCCTGCCATCGCTGACATTGCTTGCTCGGCACCTGCTCAGCTTCCTGAAGGCACGGCTAGGCGTATCCATCACGAGCGCTGCGCCAAGTGAAACGCATCCATCGCATTAAAACTTGAACCATCACAGACCAACTTGCCTTAGCCATCCATAAGAAGTATCCCAGCCCACGTAAGCTCAGGCTAGGCTGACATGACGTATCCACTCCCCACGGCAGGGCCCTGACCCGGCACCCAAATCCTGCCGACGTGCAGGGGGGGTTCGTGATGCACCGGAGGGTGGCTCTGTACGTACGAACGCTAGCGTACTCTGTAGCTGGTCATCCAAGCCCCCACCAACTACTGACTGCTAACTGCTAAATGCCAACTGTCTGTACTAACTTCGGTTCCCAACACCAAACGTGAAAGGAACCTTGAAAGGCTGAGGTACGCCTCACCGTCGCCCTACCAACTTGACCTAAGAGCGCCAGGCTACCTGCAGCCACACGACCCGTCCCATCCTATCTAACCACTGACAACAGCAAGTTAGGCGAAGGAAACTCTCAGCGCAAAGAGCACCAGGATCCCGTCAACACGCAACCCATGCACCGAAGCCCAACCGAAGCTTCTAGCGCGACCCACTCCAACTAGCTGATCCTGATCCTGCCGGGCCTCCGCATCTTCGTAGCCCGCTGACGAACGCGCAAGGGCGGTGCGCGTGCGGATGTACTGTCGATATTGAGGATAGTAGTCCGGTGTGTGACTTCTCCACAGCCACAATAGCTAACTCGAGTGGCCGATTCTTCTGCAGGAACTCTGACCAGCAAGGGCGGGCAGTGTGGGTTGAGATGTGCGGATTCTACCAGTACAGTACGTACTCACGAGACGAGGGAGAAGCGCTCCACAATGCTCCCCAATGAACTGCCAATTCCAAACCTTCAAAGCTGAGGTTGACAGGGAGGGAAAAAGGCATACCGACCGCACGTCCCGCTCCCCCTCCGTCAACCCCGTCCTGAACAGGCAGCTGCAGCGAACCTTCTAAACCTTCTACTCCGCTTCTAGCGCCTCGATCCTCCACCTTATCCACCCCCTCCATCCCTCCACTTCCCGCCACGACCCGCTCGCTACCATTGCAGGCGCCAGGGAAAAATTCGGGCGCTGTGGGGACCCTCAGACGTCAGGCGGATAGCGGATCTCAGCCTCGTCGCCGCGTTGCTAGAAAAGGAAGTTGGGCGTGTAGCTCACCCGCCGTAAAGGCTACACATGCTTACCGTGATCCTTTCAGCTGGTTTACTTAGCACGAGAATAGCGTGTTTGTGAGCTTCCCGAGGCTCGCTACAGACCGACTGCAGTGGAGTGGAGCCGCTTCGAACCCTCCTGCATGTTATCAACTCTTTCGGTCCGTGCTGGTGGATTCGTTGAACATCCTATGCTCCTAAGCATCACGATGCGTTTTCGATAGATGAGCCCAGCCTTCACGATGCCGCTAGAACAGCCCTTCCCGCTTCCATACAAGCGACCACGACAGCGGCTAGCTCTAGTCGCGAACGCGGCCCCAGGCACATAATCCTCTCGCACTCACAGCACCCCACACGTTCTGGAGGACACCTAGGATATATCCCGGCTCATACCAGCATGAATTCGTATTGGAGACTATGGGTACAACATGCGCCCTAGAGATCAACTAAAACCTGAAACGCAAGCCACCACGCCCAGCACCGAGCGCCCCAGCCACGATCTGGCTGCAAGGAAAGAGAACAATGGTCTGGTAAGGGTATAGAAGGAAAGACAGGGGAGAAGTGAGACAAAGACGGGCATGTAATACACCTCACCCCTCGATACTGTAAATAGTGTACAATGAAAAGTGGAACCACCTGTCTACCCTAATCGAGATATATCTGTGCCGATGGCTTGAGCAGCTAGCCGATGTATGACGCCGTCGTAATATGATAGCCTGATAGGCGTGCCCAGTTGACTAGAATAGCACTTTTGGAATTGTTTCATTCAGATCGTTGAGGTTCGCCGAACGACTAGGTGAGAGCGCTCATGAAGCCGTCCTTGAGCAACGCCCTCGGGTCGTAATCTTGGGTATTCGAGGTCTGCAGCTGTTGCTGCGCCGCAGCAGCTGTAGCCTGCGCGGCCGCTGCCTCGCTTGCCGCAGCAACGGCGGCCGCAATGTCGCCCTTGGTTTCAGTCGATGCAGCATTGCCACCACTGCTCACCGGACGAGCCCCTGTATCTGTACCCGCGCGCTCGCCCACGGCCGCGGCTGCCAGGTGTTGAAGACCTGCCATGTTTGGCTGCACGCTTGATCCGGATCTTGATCCTGGTTGCTCGTTGGGAAGCTTTGAGCGCAGCAGGTCCCGGATTGATGAGTCCCAGCCGGATCCCTCGATACTCCGGTGCACGATATGGCCGTTTGATATGGCTTCGTCCATCTCAGCGATTGCTGTAGTAGCTTCGCTCTGAGTCTCTGAGCGGACGGATATCTCAACTAGTGAGGTTGCCACCAGACTTGCGAATATGTGATTGAGCGGGGAGATTGGGCCATGAGTGAGGTTTGTAAGCAGCTCCCGCGTAAGTGCCAGGATATCGCCAGGAGGGGTAGACGAAGACATCCGGGCAACAATCAAGCGAAGATATTGAAATGCCAATAGCGGGGGGGAATTGATCGACAAATTTGTCGCATCTAGTGACTCCTCTAGTCTGTCTAGCTGGCCTTCGAGAAACAGGAGTTCAGGCGAGGTAGAAGTTAAGGTAGGGAATGCGTCAGGTGCTTCAAGGTCATCGTTTGGAATGCTGCTTGACCGGATGCTGTACGCGACCTGACCAATCACATTTGAGGTCCCTTTGTAGAGTTTAGCAATGAACATCCCTGTCAAATACGATTCAACTTACTGGCAAGGTGATATGCAACTTCTCCCAGAGCCTGATGGTCATTCTTGGAGATTTTTCCGCAGCGTAGCGGCATGAAGAGATCTGTTGACATGCTTGATGCGTGGAAACGGTCCAAGATGAAAGTAACCCAGAACAGCCGTCGAGCAGTATTGAAGGAATCAATATCCTGTTCCCGTATAGAGTGGAGGACCTTAGCATCGTTGAGGCCAATAGCTGAGACTCGACCAACAACTCGTGCGATTAGTTCAGCTGTGTTGCTCATCGAAGAGGGGCTGGACTTGTCAGACGCAAATGCGAGCAGCAACAGAGCCTGAATGTAGACAAGGTTGTTATAGAATTGGCGAACATGGTCGTCGTCACCTAGAGTCGCCTCGGCCTTTACAAGAAGTCCCTGAGCAGTGTGAATCAGTTGGGCGGCCCCTGCTTCATTCCGTGGAAGACTTGAAGGAGACAAGGCCTGAATGGCGCACTCCATAGCGAGGTAAAAGGCATTCCGTAGGCCGAGGGGACATGATGATATGCGTGTCAGGTGTGCGGGGTCTAGAGGGAGTATGGGAAGCGTGGGATGAACCAGTATATAGTATCTAGGTTTAGTTAGCAATAGGTCTAGAACAGAGCTGTACGCAGGGACCATACGCTTTAAGTACTGCCTCACTCGAGTCGTGTGGAAAGTTGATCCCCGCTGGAGCGCCGTTGGTCGGATACTGTTCACGCTGCGTGGTGTTTTCCTGGGCTGACCAGCCCATGTTAGGTCGATGCGTTGGACCGTAAGGGTCTTGTAAGCCCTCGGACATGGAGTGGGTGCGTTTCCGTCCATATTGCGTGGGAGTCTGCATGTCTGCTAAAGCGTTGATCTGCTCCCCCAAGCCGTAGGGTATATCATAGCTTGGCTGTGGAGTGCCTGAAGGATTTCCGCCAATCTGGCTCTCCAGAGTGTTTAGCCGATCAGCAAGCTCCTTTATATAGCTGTTTTTGTGAGCTGCAAAGAAACTGTGAGGGAATGGGTGCTCTTACCCTTTACTCGGGCCTCGCTTCATCGGCTGGCGACTGAATTGGCAGCGCGCACCGGTGCGCTTGCAGCTGGAGCAGGCCTCGGGGCCATTCTCGCCGGTCGCATCGCATCGGATCTATAGTGTGTCCGTCAGTAAGGTTTGATGTATTTCTTCGCCGGCTAAGTTACCTTTTTGCGCCGGCATTCGTCGCAAGCGCGAGACACCTTGGAACGCTTGCGCGAACCCGACCCGTCGTCGATGTAGTGCCCCTGGTCCTCGAGGCTCATGAGGCCGTTCTGCGCCATCTGCTGCGGGGAGTGTGTCGGCCGGATTGGGGTGTGAACCTGGTGATGGGGCGGATTCATGGAATGCTCCTGCGGCGGCGCGCTCGCGATGTGTCGACCAAGATGCTGCTGTAGGTTCTCCTGGAGCTGCAGCTCAGGATCAGTCGGGCCATGCTGCTGCTGCTGCTGTGGGTGCTGTGCGGGGGACATGGCACCATTCTGGTGGACGTAGAGGCCACTGCTATGGTTCATCTGGGTGTCGCTAGGATCCGGATAGGAACTGCTAGCAGCCATGGCGGAGAAATCGGCAAAGGATCGCGGGTGCCGCGCGACGACGAGATGGACCGCGCCGGGACTTGCGATTGCGGGGTTGATGGATGGTGGATGCCGGAGGAGAGTGGACGGAGGGTGAACAGACGATCGAGGTGCCTCCTGGTGATTTTCGGCCATGCGCGCTTACTCCATTGGTCCTAGCCCGCCAGTTGCAATAGCAGCGCCGTGAATGCACGGCGGGCACCGAAGAATCGCGCTGCAATTGCATCTTTTCACGGTTGAGATGCTCACATTCACGACGTGACGTTGGCCGCTGCTTTTTGTGAAGTTCTGGCGGCGTTTCAGCGGTCCGCTACGGAGTATCTTGAGTCCGAACCCCAAACCCAACCTTCAGCGAACTGGGTGACGACAGTCGAGCATCCGCCGAGCTCGCATCAAGAGGTAAACATGGAATATGCGCGGATCTCGCATGGCACACATTCCTGACTCTGTTTGCTTAGAATACAGTCACTCAAACCAACTGCGTTGAGGGAAGCCACCAAACTACTACAACACCAACATTTGACAGGACGCTAAGGCCCGATCTCACATGAAAATGTACACGAATTTCGGTAGACTTGCGGTAACTCGTCATATGTCTATTAGAATCTTACTTATGGTGCTCCACGATGTACTCAAGAGCCTAAAAGAGGTGCAAGTGCATCATTTGAACAGCCAGTGAGCTTGCTAGCGACCTCAGACAGTTGCAGTGGTGTAAAGAGATGGGACCCTATCAAATGGCTCCGGAATTCTGTCAACACACTGAAGCACCCCAGGCAGGGTAGAGAACTATATAGAGATCGATGACGAGGCAATGCATCTCCTATACTTAACACAATCCTTTCTATCTCCACAAAGTAAAGTTAACTAATCCAGTTTATCGTCCTTTTACTCCCACGATCTGCTCAAGCGGGTTGACGAAGCACAAGCGGAGTTAATTCCTTCGGCGCTCGAAACTGCATGTGCTCTGCCACCATTGTCCTCTCTACTCTCGGCGTTTTGTGATGCAGTCGATCCAAGAGGCGGGGCCAGCCTCGGCCTCTTTTTCTGTCCAACTCTACAGAGATACTCACGGGTAGCGTCGCCGCGCGGACTAACTGCCTATTTTCAGACGGTGGCACCGCCAGCTCTGCGCTGCATGGCGAGAAACCTCGCGGCAAGGCTCCGTCGTTTGGGTTCTCAGCGCTGCATGTAACCGAAGATCTCGCCAGGACAGGCTGCGGAGAGGCAGGCGGCATGCAGATTGACCGCAGATTGGCAGCAGATTGGCAGCTTCCTAAAGATACAAATCGACGTGTGCCCGACTGTTTCAGAAACTCAGCGCGGAGCAGCAGAGATCGTGGGTCCGGTGTCGGGTGGAGGAGCTGCAGCGCGGTGCCGCAGGCTGGCCGGATGTCCCTTGCGCACAGCCATTCTGGCTATACATGCACCAGCGTCTCACGGGCGCTGTTGGAGGTCTGCATGTGGCACTCGACGGGCATCCAAGGCATACAAGACCGTCACCAGGTTCCTGAAAGTAGTGGCACGGCCATATTCAGGGGAGCAGCCTTGGCCTGGCAGCGATTCGCTGGGGGTTGAAGACCCTGGATCCTCAGCTTGGCAACCGCCGTCGATCGATAGCGTCACCGGCGAGGGAATGTTCCATGGTCAGTCAGCGTGGGTGGCCGGCAGGGCTGTGAGAGGTGGCAGAGCGGCGTCAATCGGGAGCCATGCAGTCGACGACAACTCCATTCGGGGCGCGGTCGATTCGGGCGCGCTGCTGCGAGGCCGACGTCGCGTGATGCTCGCTGCCGGCACCTGTCGAGCGCGCACAAAGAGCAGCGTGGGGAGGTCTGAGCTGGGCGTCCGGCGTCACAGACTGGCGCGCGAGTTGGCACTGCAAGTCATCGACCAAGCGGCAGCACAGCAACGGCTGCCACACGGCGAGTGCGGTGAGCTGGGCCATCCGAGGACCCCAAGACCCCAGGCCCCCCAGGCACGGACGGCCGGCCTGGTGTTGCAGTGGGCAGTGGGCGCGCTCCAAGCCCCGGCCCGTGGAGCATTCATTCGTGCATCTGGGAGCGAGCTGTGCGGGTCGAGCGCAGCGTGGAAAAGAAAACTAAGTGCCCAGGTGCCCAGGCGTGCTGGGGCTTCGCTTCGCCGCTACAAGACCGCCGGGCTGCCTCACCTCTCTGATCTCTCATCCACCAACTACCACCACGACACCCACCCACAGCTTGTCGTTTTGGTCGCTCCAAAGCGTCAGAGGTCCCACGCGTTTCGGCCAGCGCCTTTAGGTGCACGGCTCGGCCAGTTCTTCTTCCTCTCCGCCTCTCCTCCGCCTCACCTCCTCATCCTCTACCGCCTCTTCACTCTCCACTCTCCACTCTGGACTCCATTGACGGTCGCGGCGTTTGACGGACTCGGCGTTTCTCCATTTGCAAAGATACCCTCCTGCTTCGTTTGCTTGCTTGTTTCGACACTTGTCGCCTTCCAATCCGTCGTCGACAGCCCCGTCGGCGTCGCCTTTCACCCTTAGCCTCACCGACCGCTTGCGCAGACCGCCTTGCGCTGTGCGTCGACCACCGGCCGTGACTCCGCCGCTACACAATGCCTACGTTTGAGGGCGAGAAATGGGCGTGTGCCTCCTGCATCAAGGGCCACCGCGTCAGCGGCTGCACGCATACTGGTATATCTCTCGGTCATCCTGCTCACCTCGCGCGTAGCTGTCCCATTAGAACCTAGGCTGAACTTGTACTTCTTAGATCGAGAGCTCCACCACATCAACCCCAAGGGTCGTCCAGTCAAGCAATGCGAGCATTGTCGTGGTGCTCGCAAGTCCAAGTCCCACCACGCCAAGTGCGACTGCGGTGACAAGAAGGACAAGGACAAGGCCAAAGACAAGGGCGACTTGAAGGGTGAGCTTCTCGCTGGTGTCAGCGTCGAGGGCATCTCTAACCTTTCTGCAGTCGGAGGTCACAACTGCGGCTGTCACAGCGGCGCAACGTGCACCTGCGGCCTCGTGAAGAAAGAGAGCCTCGACCTGAAGCTGGACACGGGCGCTCTCAAGCTTGCGCAGCACCCGCCCAAGCCAAAGCCCAGACTCACGGCAACACAGTCGGAAAGCACTTTGACCGTCTTCGCCAATGGCCATCACAAGCCATGCCACAGGTTGAACAACGCCGCCCACGTCTCCGGTGCCCCGTACAAGATCCCACGCCCTCACACCCTGCACGATCCCCTAGGGCACTACTCCCATGACAACATTAAGCGCATCTATGAACAGCCTAATAACCCAGCACAGCGGTCGCTCGATACGCTCTCTCTGTCGAACAGCAACTTTTACAGCGTCTTCAGCTCCCCAGCTCAGCGTTCTGTGGATAGTTTGCCATTAGCATCGTCAGACGGCATGTTCAACGGGACTTACGCACCTTTCGACCCTCAAAAGCCAATGTTCGCAAAGCATCCCGAGAACGGACTTCCTCATGACGGAAGCTCACCCGACAGTCAGCTCAGCGACACAATTCCGTCGCAGACACAGTGGGCGTGGACTCCAACAACGGCGTCTAGAAACGGGACATTTGGTCTGGACAGTCTATCAACTTCTCCGTCCCAGGAATACTTGCCAGCTCTGGAAAACGACTGGGCCATCCCTTCGGCTGGGATCAATCCTTCTTGGTCAGCCAAGGATCTTCCATTGGTACCCAATCGATCGGCAAACGCTTTCCCTATCTCTCAGAGTGGAGAATCAAATAAACAAAGCGTTCCGAACCTCACCCCGTCGTCTTCTGGAGCACAGTCCGAAATTGGCGAGCCTAATATGTTCGAGAACGTAGAATATACGGCTCCGCAATCAGTCATGGGCGAGTCCCTTCCCTGGGACGAAAGTGCCCAGTTCCGTGACGCACCATCCTACCGGATGCGCGCGGCCACTGGCGGATCCGAGTTTCGTCAAGCTCCAACATCTGCGCCAGGTAACGACGCTCGCCGTTCACTTGATCTAGACTTCACAAAGCGTTTCAACGAAAGCCTACTCGAACAGGGTGTAAATTCGAACTTCATGCCTTTCCAGTCCCCCAATATTGAAGCCTCGAAAGGCATGTCGGGCGCTCCTACATATGCGCCGACCAGTGTCCCGGTTGACGGGAACTCGCTTTACTCGACAGACGAGTACGCACCTCGCTCCATTATGATCCCGAACAACATCGAAGACATTCCAACGTCGAACCCATGGCTGGGGTTTGACGATGTCACCAACTTTGGGCTTACGTCTTTCGACCCACCTCTCGACTTAAGCGTCGACGTATCCAATTATCCTGCTGGCGGCCCTTGGATATGACAACTCAGCCAAGCAGCCCGTTCGGACTGCAAGCCAGCAGGGAGCCGTAGTTGATCACCAGCCCTATCACTCTATCTCTTTCACGAAACATGACTTATGACCCCGTTGGGCCAGATGCCGACATCACCATCCAACCATTCATCAATTCACATTTACCCCTTTTTTACCTTGCTCACTTGTACATTTTGAACCCGAGCTTCTTGGTCCTACACGTCTGTCGCTACATACCTCCTATCACTTCAGTCTGCGATATCTCTTCCTTTGCGTAAAATGCGAGCCAACCATTTAGATCGCGAGCATGCAGTTGGACTACAGAGAAATCGAGCGTATAACTGTTGTTTCTGCAAAGGTGGGCGGCACATGTGGGGGGCTGTTTTCTCCAAAATTCATAGACTAAGCGGGAGAGGATATGGGGGCGTTGTATCTATCAATCATGTGTTACATCACAATGAAAAACAATATTCACAATCTAAACCACCATCACAATAAATTTTAATGTATATTACTTGCTTTATCGAAGTGGCGAAAATTTCTCCGCGATGATGCTGCAGCTTGCAACCCTCACTCACCGATCATGCTGCGGGCGGTCGTGCAAGGCTGACCCCCACTGTTCCCCAACCAACTGAACCTCCAACCAACTGTCCTGAAGTTGAAAGAGTTTTTCCGAGGTGCATGCGCAACCGTCAGCTGGAACTACGCCGCCCGCGTCAAACTCCACACTCCGCAGTTTTCGTCTCGTCTCCCGCGCTGACAACGACGACTGGTGCTAGTTAGAAAGAACGGCTAGCTCGGCGTGTTGCCCGGTCGTTTGTTTTGAATTGACGATTGCGCAGATGCCGCGGTTGACCCGACTAACGGGCTCCAGCTCACCGACTTCTCACCGACTGTCTTTTTTTGGAGCTCGAGTTGGGATGGGATCCTTGCGTTTGTAGACGAGCGCCGCGGTCTGGAGTGGAACCGGGAGGTCGGGACGGTAGAGGCCGGGAGGATGTGAAGATGTTCGAGGGACGAGAGGACGAGAGGACGAGAGAGATGTGGAGTACGACTCCATACACTCCATCCACGCCTCTATTTCCACACAACTCACGGGAATAAACTCCGACATGTCAACAAATGCCCCCATCCCAGCCTCGCCAGATCCCCGCCCTCAGCTCGCCTTTTTCTTCGGATCTTCCCCGCTTTCCGCCCAACTCCCCCCCTGGCGATGCCTCGCGATGCGCTGAAGCTCAAGCGATGGCGAGCAGACCTCTCCCCGCATTAATTCATGCACTGCACGAGCCTCCTCGCCTTTCGCCTCTCTCCCTCGCGTCTAACTAAGCTAACGCACCCTCCTCCTTAACCCTAGCCCAGGCGTCGTTCCGTGGATTGGACTTTCTTCTTCTTCCCTTATCCGGAACGGATCTGTGGCTAGGGCGGGTGGTCATGTCATGTCATCACTTTTTCCGAGTCTACGGGATACCATCTTAGCATCACTAACGTCCCGAGTGTATGCATGTATGAGGTCGGCAGGGTAAGGTGTGGTGGATGCAAGATTTTTTGGGGCGTTGGTTGGTTGGACAAGGGGGGAAGGGGGGAGTGTGATTGGGCGGTTTTGAGACTATTAGTTGAGGTATGGGATGAGATCAGGCCATGGCGATTGGAGAGATGGGGCGCTTTTTGGGGTGCGTGGGCGGAGGGCGCCGGGCCAATGAGGGGAGGGGGGTTTTTAGGGTTTTGGCTGAGATGCTGAGATGCTGAGTTGGTGGGGGGGAAGGGCGGTTGGAGGCGGCTTATGGGGGTTTGGTGTTTTGGTATGGAGTTGCTATGTTTTGTGTACAGAGTTTGTGGTTTTGCTCTACTTGGAACCTGCTTCTTACTTCTGCCTTTGTCACTCACAGTTTCTTACTTGCACCTCCAGTCAATCCATCACAAACCGATATCCTCCCACCCTCCCCCATCCTCCTACATCTGGAACCTGATCGCCCGTCCCTTACTTACCAAACACACACCCGCCCTCGAGCCATCAACCATCTGGCGGTGTCTTCGTTGCCAGCGCAGCGCGTACCTGACCGCACGTAGCTAGCCGCGTTTCTTGAGATTGTGGAGACAAAAAGCCCGTGCGGCATGACGCGCTTCGCTAGCTGCATGAGCCTCGCAGGGTGGCTTTGCTCAGGTCGTTGAGTTGCAGGGGATTAGAGCGAGGAGTCGAGTTTTGCGACTACGGGTTTTTGAGTTGCTCGGGATGGGAATTGGGGATGGGGTAGTATGGGTTTAGGGATTGAACGTTTATTTTGTAGTGTTTGAGCTTGAATGGAGAGGGTGGTTGCGGAGAGTCACGATTTATAGATGAGGAAGTGCATACATAGGTAAAGGGCTGATTAAGGCTCGATGTTTGAGGAGCTTGTAATGATAGGTCTTGGTATTCACGCGTACACGCACAACTCCGCAGGGTACCACCATTTGGAAGGGCTCTGCAAGTCTAGCAGACTGTTCAAACCGTTTTATTCGAAGTTTCGAAAACTGGTCAGCCGGCGTTGACTCGGGGTACTTACACCAATACAATATCTACGAAGTAACGCGTGAGCTTTAATCAGACAGCGGTAAAAAAGCACTAGAGCACCAGCTACACGGGTAGCGCTATCAGTGTATGTTCTAATCCAGATTCATGTATGCCAAGCACTGTCAGTTTACAAAATTCCCTAGTTTCGAGCATTTACACCCGCGCGGAAAGCAACGGATGCTTCCAATCTTCAATTCAGCAACACCACGACCACTGATCATCCTCTGCGCCCCCAAGAGGTATGTCAAGCCGACGTAGCCCATCCGTCGATTCCGTACGTGATGCTAACCCGATCCCGTCAGGCCTGGACATCTTTCGTCCCGGGCGTACACCCATCATCCCTCCCAAGGCCCACAGCGCCACGAACAGGAGTCTTCTTCCATCATCAGAAACACAAGCGTCACTCAACCTGGAATAAGCACCCCTGTCTACACCCCGGGCGGCGCACCGGCCTCACCCGATACCCGATCCCGCCCCATCGCTCCGCTCCGACGAGGCGGCGCGTGCCGAGTCCACCACAAAGATCAACACCAGAAGCCATGTCCAATGATAGAATTGGTATTTTGGTGATGCAAGCTAATGTGTGAATGAGGGATAATCCTGAATCACACACAGCGAGTTTGTAGTGCCCCCTTCCTCGTGGAAACTAGCAGACGACATCGTCTGGGGTGGCCTAGCAAGACTACGCGTCGCTCAGGATGACTTGTTTAGACCTGGTCTAGAATTTTGGAAATGCATCAAGCGACTTTAGACGGCGTCACCCGAGAGTGCACCGACGTCCACTGAGCATTAGTCTTGAAAGGGTGAATTAGATATGAGAAGATAGCTGGGATGAAATCCATGCAAGGCAGCGTCCCTTTTGATATGCTTCTGCCGAACGCCGCGAAGAAGCCTGAAATAGGATGAAGAAATAAGAAGTACATAAAGATACAGGACGGAAAAGATGCGGAAATAACGTCGCTGATCTCAATCAGACGACTGTGCTTCGAAATTTGTCAAACGTTTCGCCATACATGTGACCTGCAGCCTACCTGAAATGTACTCCTATCCGGTGCCCTAGAGTCCGAGCCCAATTCGCCGCCAGCATCCCAACACATCCTCACACAAGGTCATGAAGCCGTCATCCTCGATATGTTGCATCATCCAGTCGCTGATCACCGTTTCTCGGTCGTCGACAGCTTGTGTTGCATAAGACGCTAGGTTATGAGTGCTACCTGAACTCGAGGTCACTTCAGCCGAAATCTGTGCAACAACTCGGTCAATGGAGGAAGCCGCAGAGGGAGGCGCTTGACGGGTATTGCCGCTTGCGGAAGCAGAGGCAGACGGTCGATCAGATGCTTGTTTAGGTACTTGAGACGGCTCTGTTGCATTTCTATTGCGCTCCGAGAAGCTTGGTCGGGGTAGAGGAGGCAGATCAATCGAAGATGATGGCCGACTCGAACCTGCCTGACTTCCGTCTCTCCGAAACGGTAGTTCACGTCGGGGAGGAATCATTTGCAAGAGCGAATCCATCTGCGATTCGGGAGCTGTGAATGGTCTTGAGGTCGAGGTTGGCGCTTCATGCTCAGCAATCGTATTCAGATGAGGGAAATGAGTTCGTACAGCTGATGCAATCTGATTGGTATCACGTGGGCCCGGTGACGAATAAGCCGGCGACGCCTGTATACTGACGTACCGCTGTCTGAGATCCTTCAGTACGTCCAGATTGTCAGAAGGTGGGACGCTCGCAAACGACGGAGTCCAATTTCGCTGAAGCAATTGAGAAGGGGATGCCAAGTAAGCACTCTCAGATATAGAATCTAGTCGTGCTGTCGGTGGTCGCTGGCAGCCTGCAGCGGCGTCTTGTTGAACCTGGGAATTCGAAGGCTGAAGAGAAGAGAAAGGCATCCCAGAGCTTCCGATGCCTCTAGAAGAAGTCGCTTCTGGCGCTGAAGTGAGGTGGGCCAATGACGATGGCCGGCCAGATGGTCCTATGCTTTCGGCGGATGTAATCGCTGTAGGAGGTGCAGTAGAGCTACCAGGAAGACTCTGGGTAATCTGGCATCCCATGCCGGTAAGAAAGTCGTACACTATCTTGAAATCGCTTTCTGAAGCAAACTTCAATTGAAGTCTTCGTATCTGCAACGGATTATGAGCTAATGAAAAGGCAGCATATCAGATAAAGTCACCTTGCTGTCGGCCAGAGTATATCTAAGCGCGAGTAATGGACAGCGGACAAGACCAGAGATAGGCAGCTGGTCATGGCGAATTTCAACGTTGAGCTGTCTAAACGTGTCAATGACATTATTTGCTTCTCGGATCTTCCCTTCAATGTCTACCGATTCCTAGGAAGGACGAAGTCAGAAAAGAACACATCAAGATGCCGCTAAGGAATGTGGAATGGGGCTTCTGGTATGCAAGGGGCCATACCAAGACTTTAGTCCCTTGAATCACCTTCATCATCTTCGTAGGGTGTCCAGCGTGGTTGAGCGGGTCATTTCGAAACGAGTCAAAGACGACGACAAGATCCTGGGTGGTATGCTTCCAGGAGAACTTTTCCGCCTCGCTGCTGGGATCAACTGCATTAGAAAACTTGACTAGACGGAGACTGATGAGAGAAGACGGGGTTAATGCGGTAGATGGATGGTGCATTGCCATGGCTACAGTTGTTAGTGTGGGAGGCGATTAGTGGTGAATCAATCCTTCGGATCAGTGACAGAGCACTGAGGGGCTGCACAAACAGATCAAGCGTTGGAGGACCCCAGCGGTGACGGGGGGTGAGGAAGTTGGGATGGAAGCTCGAGGGAGGTCCAGCGGCATGACTAAGCCGCTGGAGCCGATCCCGCGCAGGGCTGGCAGTTGCGACTGGGGACTTTGGAACCTCGCCGCGGTGAATGCTGTTCCTGGCGCTGTAGACCTCGTCCATCCCTCTGCCCTCAATCTGCCCAATTCCCATCCTCGCAGGCGGCTTGCCCGTAGCTTTTGCGCTCCTGTGATTGTGCCTGAAAGCCGTCTTGCGCGCCGTGACTGTCCTTCCTCATGGCTCCCACTCCCAAGGCGCGCGAGCGCGAGCGCGAACGCGAATCTTCGGTCGAACGCACCCCCGAATACGAAGAGTTCATGCAGAAGCTGGAGAAGTACCATAAGAAGCGAGGGTACGTGATATTCTGCGCGCTGTGGGGACGTAGATTGACTCTGGCAGCACCCACTTCGAACGTGAACCCAAGGTTGGTGCCCGGCACCTGGATCTGTTGAAACTATACAAACGAGTGGTCGAGGAGGGCGGCTATGATAAGATGTGCGATACACGGGGTAAGCCGTTAGCCTGGAGAAAGCTCACCGGCGAGTTTCTCCCAGGGAGCAGCACTTTAACGACCCAGGCGTTTATTGTGAAGAGCGCATACTACAAAAACCTCGCGTACGTTCTCTCATCTCTCACCTCTCACCTCTCACCTCTCACCTTCACCACCTGCACCATTCTGGCTAATATTTCTCACCAGCGCATACGAGATCTCCGACATCCACAAGCGCGAGCCTCCGCCCAAGGAAATACTAGAGGATGTTTCAGCAAAAGGCGGCGACCTGCTGAGCCGAACCGTCGAGAATTACTTTCGACCCGCGAGCAGGGAAGCAGACAAACTCCTAGGAAACAGTGAAGACAGGGACATCGAGGGCTCGGACGCAGAGTCACATAAGACGCCAAAAGAGGATAAAATGGAGGTAGATGAGCCCGGGAGCACAGGAGGAAGGGTCACTCGAGGTTGGTTGTCACTCTCATTATCTCCACGCGTCCAGTCGCAGCTCCACCAGATTCTTGTCACAATACCGTGTTTTACACTCGCAACCAATATTTTTCTGAAGGATCGTCTTCCTAACTTGCGCCAGCTCTCCGCCACGCACCTCCTCAGCGCGTTCTGTTCCAACCAGACCTCTCAACCAGACAAACGAGACATTCTTCAGGCAACATGAACTCTCCAACACCTGCCAGTGGTGTGGCGCATACAAATGGCACTTATGGATCGGGTGCTGCGATGACGATCGCGAACTACGAGCCTCGCGCTCCCCTCCCTTCTTCTGTAAAGCCCGTGGTCACACCCGGAAACAACCCCGATCATTTCAAAAATCTGCGAAACAAACTCCTCACCGCCAACAAACCTTCGAGGGGCATACAACCATACAAGGGAATGATGCTCCCGGGTACTGGCTTCATGGGACCCAACATATACATCCGTGCGCTTCTATCCCTACAATCCTGCACCGACGAGGAAGAAGCTTATGCGCTCCACCATCTCGTGAAAATATCCCACGAGCGGGGCGATAAGTACCGCTTCGATGGATTTCCTGGACTCGCTGAGGCTTTGGTAAGTCGAGTCATTGGAGCGTCCTCACTGTTCTACGATGTCAAGTTCGAGATCTCTTATCTCGAAGAGGAAATGGATTTGGGCATCCACGTACTGAACGGATTGACCGGGACTTCAGATCTGTTGCAAAGAATAAGAACCTTAACGGCTCTCGACATGCAAGACGACCTTCTTCCCGCAGAAGTAACGACAGCTCTTGGAAGGATCAATGAGGCAGGCCTGATACTCCGGAATATGACCATGCTCGAGGAAAACGCCGCATTCTTATCCAAGATACCGTCAATCCGAGACTTGATCGTTGTCGTTCTGAACCTCCCACATCACGCAGCCGTTGTAGAGCTTCAACATTACTTGCTCGAGATCGCAGAGCAATTGACCAAATTCTGGACGCTGGACTCCCAGGACCCCCTCTACCGGTCACTGCTGGCGCAGATCGAATCGAATGACCGTGGACGAATCATCACATCGCTACGGGCTATCGCTCGGATTTCCATGACCTTGGAGGTTAACAATCGACTTATGGATGTACCAGCTAAGGCTTTACAGCAAATATGCGACTGGCTTCTGGTGGAAGACGAAGAACTCAGAAACGCGTGTCTCGATTTCCTCTACCAATTCACTTCGATCATGGACAACGTCGACATTTTCGTCCACGAGGTCAACGTGGAAAGTTTGGTCCAGCAACTCGTACGATTTCTGTTATACAACAATACGCTACTGGAAGAACGAAGGAGCAACAGGCCTCCGACGAGACACCAAATAGTCGCAGATACCCCTCAGAAACTTTCCATTCCCATAATCGAACAGTTAGTGACGTTGGACGAGCCAGAACGAAGCTCACAATGGTAGGTGATTCCTGTTGGGTAGTATTGCTTTGCTAATTCATCTAATAGGTTGCGTGCTTGTTTTGAGGAAGACCCAACAGGCGAAATCACGCAAATCGCCTTATGGAGTGCCTATAACCAAGCTTTCAACGACGTAATGCAAGCTGAGCCTCTTCACAAGATGCTCATGCCGGCTAAAGACTTCATTACCAATGTGTCCTCTACCTTTCCTGGCGCCACCGCTCAAGTCCTTCAAATAAGTGCCACGCAACAAAAATATACCATCCGTGGTATCCGAGCCCGCGCTACTCCTGTGGATCCCATCACTCGGCGCTCCTACATGCGCTGTCAATGGCACCCTCCAGCGTACTTGAATGGGCATGCAGACACGAAACACACGACGCCATCTCTTGAATGTGGTATTTACTGCCCAAATGCGAAAGCATTGTGGGAGCACATCCTGTCGACGCATCTCAAAATTCCGAAGGACGACTCTGGCAAGTGGCTCCTGGAGACCAAGCCTGATATCAGCATGACGAACGGCGATGCTACGCCTCCACAAGCTCGTTACAACTGCCATTGGGGGGGCTGCACGCATTACTCTGCGGAGGGTTCCGAGTCTGCATATGAGGTTGGCCAGCACGTGAAGACCCACCTCCCGGACAGCTCCCTGAGCCATAGCCAGAGGAAACATAACAGGACTCCATCGAATGCGACCCTTCTCGCGACATCGGCACAGTTAAATTACGCGCAATTCCAGCCGGCACCGCCTTATGGCCAGCAAGCGGGTATGGGGTATAGTATGACTCTACCGCCAGCGCAGAACCCTCCGGCTTTCAGGTACATGAACACCGCGACGGACGAACGAAGTGATGCGGCTGGTCTTCCTCTCGCTAGCGTGCTTGTCCTGAGGAATCTGGCCAGGCAGATGGCGAAGCTGGAGGATCCGCCCAAGGAAGATGGTGTGCCAGTCCCACCCAAAACCCGCGGAGGAGAGGAAGATGTCATGATAGAGGAGCGCGATGGCTGGGTCAGGAGAGTCTTTGCGCCGGTGAAGGATCAGCTGTACTTCGTTATGGCGCATAACTTAACGCTAAGGGAGTATATGGTCACCCTTACGAAAGCGATCGCGGCGGGCGGAGGGTAGTATGGGTTTGATATTTGCTTTCACCGCTGCAGCGCGTCTGGCGCTTTGTACGACTAGGGATATCTTCAGGCGTTGGGACAAGCATCCTAGATGGATATGGGCAGGGAGATTTCATCATGATCTCCTTTTGGAGCAACAGCCCTGGAGTTTCGGTAATACTAGGTAGTCTTCGAGCGATGATTCCCTCGACTCGGATAACCTACTGTCAAGCATTGCAAGGCCATTATCATTACCACAACACGTGTACGCTAGAGTAGTCTTTCGCCCTTTAGTATCTGATCTTTACATGATATTCAACCTATACATAGTAAACATTTTCAAACAAAATCGAGGAGATCAACAGCTTATGAAGCTGCTGCCAAGCGCCATTCGCCTTATGCTGCCCCTAGCACACCGCCAACTGCATGCAGGACGTGCGCGGTGCGCGATGCGCGAACGCGGAGCACCGCTTCCGAAGCTGCAGTGAGCTCCTGGTCAAACTCTGCTTGTGAGCATTTCGTATGTCCAATATGTCTGGCTATGGAGGGCGACACGGCTTTACATGCATTCCTACCAGAAGGGGCAGTGGGAGGACGTGGAGCTGTGATTGGCCCGCCGGTTCGCACTCTTCGGCCTGGAGTCATCTCAAAATACCCCCAGTTTCCACGTCGCCACATTCCGCCTACAACCCCTCGCTCAGTTTTCTTCGGTGAAGCCTTCCGCATCCCTCAAGAATCTCTGTGATCAAGCAACCGGCCAGGTACGTTGTAGACGCGACGCGTTGATGAACAAGCTGCGTCATGTACCCCGCGATACCCGACGCCGGTCGCGACAAGCACATCGCTGACACAACCACAAACAGAACTCCTCCGGTAAACACCTGGTCTGCATTACACAAAACGAGGCCTTTGCCCAACCAGCCTATTTCATCTGTCGACGCCGACTCCTCGTCCATTGCTCCGCTTACCTGCAAAGCCACTGTACCGACACCTTGCCTGGACTCATTGCCACTTTCTGCGCGAAGTCGGCTTCTCCCCTCTGGAGTCTTTCCCAGCTTCGTACTCTAGCACCTTTAAATAGGCTTTGACCCAACCGTGGTCATAGCGAGGTGCATTTGTCGAAGCAACAGGATTACTCCCGCAAATATTCGGCACATGAGTGGATATCTTTGGAAATACTTCCTTGAAGACGATGTCGAGAACTTCCGTCATATCTTGGAGAGTGGCAGCTACAATGCACGACCGGGGGCACAGAAAGGCCCTCCTGGCTGGCAGGGAGGGAATCTGGGGGACTCGCTGAACAGTCCGAGCAGCTTGGGAGCTTCACCAACATTGCAAACCAAGTCGCGGAAAGCTACCGGCACGTTAGCGGTGCCACTAACGAGGGCGGATATCAATAGCAGAGATGCGACTGGCCTTACTATCTTGCACCACGCCGCGACAATAACGTCGGATAATGCCATAGCCTTCGCTCAGGCTCTCTTGGAACAGCCCCTGACGGATTTGTATATTCAGGACCAGGAGAATGGATGGACTGCGCTTCACCGAGCCTTCTACTTTGGCAATATTGCCATTGCGCGTATAATACTCAACAGGGATGCGCAGGATATCCTTGGATATGGGTTAGCTCGAGGGTTGGTGAAGATCAAGGACAAAGAAGGGAACGGACCCTTGGACCTCTTTTCCATGACTATCAAAGATAGAGTAGTCCGGCCAGATGATCCAAGAGTAGCTGGAGATTCGGACTCGGATAGCGATGGAGGTGCTGGCGAGAGTGCGGACAGAAACGAGGACGGCTCCCATCGAAAATCCGCTCGGCCGCTCATCAATCTCGAAGGTGATGAGGTCTTCACGTTTGGGAGCAACAAAAACGTCACTCTCGGTTTTGGGGATGAGGACGATCGACAATTTCCGGAGCGCGTCACTATCAGGAGACCTGACCACCTAGTGCAGAGATTCTACGCCGAATCCCGAGAGAAGCAAATGCAGAAGTGGTCAGCCATGAATGTTCCGGTCAATGAGGCTGCCGCCTCCAGGGGCCCTCCTACGAGAGACACGATTTCTGAACCGACATGGGTAGCTCAAAAGTCTGTAACGGAGCTGCCGACAGTCATTCGGAACACCCCGTTAGTCATTCAAGACGTACAAATGTCGAAGCTGCATACCGCGGTCTTGACTACTGATCCAGTATCGAACCTCTATGTCTGCGGACATGGGCCAGGTGCTCGCCTTGGGCTCGGACACGAAACAACTAGATATCAGTTCACCTGCATCGAAGGGGGCGGCTTGGGTCAGAAAAAGGTCATGGCTGTGGCGTTAGGCCAAAATCATACTCTGGCTATTACTGACGACGGAGAGATTTTTTCTTGGGGTAATAACGCATATGGCCAATTAGGTTATAACTTGCCTAAGACTACAACGCTTATCGACGAAGATCCAAAAGGGACCTCGCCGCGTCAAATATTCGGGCCTCTAAAGAGAGAGCTTGTCATTGGCGTTGCTGCTTCTCGTGTTCATTCAGTCGCGCACACGGCAAATTCGCTATTCACTTTCGGCAAAAATGAAGGCCAATTGGGAATCACCGGCTCGGACGCGCGATCCCTTGAAGTTCAATCCACTCCCCGAAAGATTGCGGCATCGCTCTTTTCTTCCAATATTAGCTCTGTGTCCGCCATTGATGGCGCCACGGTTTGCTTGCTTGAGAACCACGACGTATGGGTATTTGCAAACTTTGGGTACTCCAAGCTCTCCTTCGACTTGGAGGGATTCACGAATTACTTCTTGAAAAGGAGCTTCCTCACGACAAATTATTATGCGACACCAAATAGGATCTGCAAATTAACCTGTGGCGGCGATACCATTTGTGCGTTGTCTACTTCTGGGGATCTCTTTACTGTCGCCGTCAGCAAGCGATCTGAGACAAGCCAAGATACCAGTACTTCCACTACAAATCCCACCAAGATTCGTGGAGCTCTTTCTCAACCCTACCGGATCTGGTCTGCCAAAAAGGGGCATATGGTAGCAAGAGATGTTGCTGTGGACCAAGATGGATCGATCATCCTGACTACGGAGGCGGGCAGCGTTTGGCGAAGGACCAAGAGGGCGACGATCAAAGACGCAACCGCCTCTGGAATCGGAGATTACAGACCGAAAGATTACAAGTTCTCTCGAGTCCCAGGTCTTACGCGGGTTACGGCTGTGCGAGCTTCAGCATTCGGAGCATATGCTGCTGTCCGTAGAGACTGTGACGTGACAAGAACGCAAATTGTCGTTGATGAGCTCTCCTTATGGACGGATGTTGAGCCACTGTTGGCATTCCGTGCTCTCACCAACTACGAAGAGAACTCAGACGACGAAAACCCCAGTCCTCGATTTTGGCAACGACCTTCGAAAGTAGTGTCACTTCGGAAGCGCGTGCTTGCATCAAAGGATCTCGAAAGTGAGGTTGCAGATGTAATCCGCCAAAACATCAGTGCGGACGATCGCGAATATGACCTTGACATTGGAACGAGTAGCTCAGAGGTCCGCATACCTGCCCATCGGTTCATGTTTTCAGGTCGTAGTCGCGTAATACGACAAGCTCTAGCTACAAGGCAAGACTGTGATGTCGACATGTTGGATATCGCGACCGTTACTCATGATCAGATCACGGGGAAGACTACGGTGTTATTTCAGGGTGTTGACTTTTTGACGATCTTTAATTTGGTTCTGTTCGTCTACACAGACTCCGTTGTCGACTTCTGGCATGCAGCTCGGTCATTACCTAAGATGGCCGTCAGGTTCCGTAATTCGAGGACTGAGATTATGAAGTTAGCCTCTCGGTTAGAAATTCGACAACTCGAGCGTTCAACACGGCAAATGATTACTCCCGTAAAGTCCATGAATCTCGACATGGAGCTTGCTATCAAGAATGCTTCTATCTTCGAAGACGGCGACGTTTTAGTTCAGCTTTCTGACGGCGATTTGAAATTACATTCAGCCATCATATGTCAAAGGTGTCCCTTCTTCCACGGGATGTTCAAGGGTAGAGCAGGAGGGCAGTGGCTTGCTGGGAGGCGTGATCTGTTAGCAGGACCGTCAGATGCGATCAACGTCGACCTCAAGCATGTCGACACCCGCGTCTTCTGGCTTGTTGTTCGTCACATATACGCCGATGCCGGGGAAGAACTATTTGACGACGTCGTCAGTGATGACTTCAACGACATTCTCGCTCTGGATGAGCTTCTTGACCACGTGATGGATGTGATGGGAGTGGCGAACGAACTGATGCTGGATCGGCTGTCTCAAGCTTGCCAGAAGGTGGTTGGCCGCTACGGTATGCATATGAACTAAGAAATGTCCAAAGGGCAAGGGTACTAACAGCTTACTTAGTCAATGCTCGCAATGTTTGCCAACTTCTAAACGCTATCGCGCCCAGCTCAGTGACCGAGTTAAAAAATGCCGGATTGGAGTATATCTGCCTGAGCCTAGAGGCAGTCATGCAGAACGGGTAAGCCCTCTCTCCACAGCCCCTATAGATTTAACGACATCTGATAATCTACCTAGCTCCCTTGATGAACTCGACGAAGATCTATTGCTCGAACTCAATCAAGTAGCCCGTGACAATCAGCTTGCATATTTGCCATTTGCCAAAAGCGGTAGAGCAGAAGCACTTCTTCTTGAAAAATACCCCGGCCTTGTTGAACAAGTTGACCGAGCCAGACGGGCTAAGGTTGATTCCATCATCCTTTCCAACAAATATAATCAAGGTGATAGGCAGATGTCTGGTTCATTTAGGGCTCAAAGTCTAGAAGAATTGTCTACGTCTCCACTTCGACAAAAAAACCGACGAAAATCTTCCAAAGACATCAAGTCGGCTTCTTTCACAGGGTCACCTCAGCTCCAACAAGCTGAAGTGGCAAACATCAACTCGACAGACCGGGGTGAAGGTCAGCTTCATAGGGCAAAAGGAACTCATTTCAGGCGGGGGCGCTTGAGCCCAGCTCTCACGCCCATTTTAAAAGGCAAAAATTCTCTAACGGATCTCATGTTCGAGATGTCGAGCGATGAAGAGGACGCACCACCAGAGAAGTCGAAAGGAAAAGAGCCAGGCGATACTGATCCGACCTTCTGTCGCCTGGATGACGAGTTTACGCCTGTAGGATCTCCAGAAGAACTTTGGGCAAGTGCTAGAAGGAAGTCTCGACTCTCCCCCGACCTAGGTGTTGAATCGTCAGGCAATCTTGGCTCTCCCCAAACACCGGCGATGAAAAGCTCAGATCGCCCTTGGGGTAGCACACCCTTGAGCACTCCTCGACTCGATATGAGAGACATCATGGCTCAGACCTCCCCGGCCAGACCATCTGGTCTAGCGATCGGGTTGGCAAACGACGATATCAAAGATGGGAAACCTATTGGTTCATTTACCTCCAAGATGTCTCAAAGAGAGCGGAAACGTCTACAACAAGCACAACAGCTCGGACAACCACTGACGCCGCCGGTAAACGACAAGACACAGCAACCTCCGCCTACAATATCACCATGGCGTCCCGTTCACTACGATAACAACTCCGACCTTAGCGGTAGCCCTGCCTTAGCAACCAACCCTAATACCAGTCGTACAAACAGTACCCCTCAAATGACAATGCGACAAACGATTGCTAACAGCGGCCAAGCAAAGGGCAAATCCCCAATACCGCCTTCGCAAAGTCGAAGCGTATCGAATCCTAACAACGTCATCCCGCCTCCCTCAAGTTCGTCCTCGACGTCAAATCCCATAATACGCCCCCATTCAATCCGTCATAACCCCCTCCCCGCCACTGCACTTTCTGCCGCCTCGCCGTCTCAATTCCTCGCCTTACAAGACGTTCTGTCTCAGCAACAGGCAGAGAAAGACGCCATCCGTGAAGCTGCCGCTAAACGCAGCTTGCAGGAGATCCAGCAAGAACAGGAGTTCCAAGAATGGTGGGAGCAGGAGAGTAAGCGCGTCATGCAGGAGGAAGAGGCCCGTCGACTGACTGAAGAGCGTGAGAAAAACGTGCGGGGTAGAGGAGGTGGGAAGAGGGGTGGGAAGAGGGGCGGACGGGGCCGTGGGAAGAAGGACAAGGAGGTTCCTGAGGCGCGGCCTGCTCAGCCAGGGGAGGGAGCTATTGCGCCACCTACGGCACCTCCTTCAGCGCCGGCCAAGCACAATGGAGGGCAAGAGACTGCAAAGCCGAAGAGTAGGGGGCCAAGAGGTAGCGGACGAGGTGGAGGGAGGGGTGGGAAGGCGCAGGGCCCGGGAAGGGAGAACATTGCGCCTCCAGGAGCTGGAGCGGCGAGTTGAGGGTGCGCGCTCACAGCGTTTATCTCCTTGAGTACATACATCGTTGACGTACATACATAGCATAGCTCAGAGCATTGACTGCATAATAGACTCCTCTGTTGCCTGCAATCCTAGGACAACACCCTATATGGTACTCTGAGACCTTGTTCTATTTTTCAACTTCATCTTTGGTCTGTCCAAACGAGGCTCTCTCTTTTCAATGTTGATCGGTTTAGATATAGCAAAAAAAGGAAAGAAAGAGGAAGGCTGCATTTAGTAGTGCAGGAATTCACCTCAATAGGTGACTCTATCGGTGATTCGTGATCCATCATCGCAACCATTTCGTCCCAACCTAAACCACCAGGTTGGAAGGACACAAGAGCTCACAAATAAACGCAGGTTTGTGGTAAATACCCCTCCGAAAATGGACGTTTATAACGCCGTTTTATGGGGGCCTTTCCCGCCATGCCGAGAGTAAAGCCCCGGCCTTCAATCCCGGTCATATTCCTCTTGTACAGGGTCCTTGGCACCTTTTACTCGCCGCCATGTCGAGTATTTGTCACCTTCACGCGTGCTTAACCTCGTGGCTTCCTGTACGCTGTATGGCCTTTGTTGAATCTGCCATATTAGCTTAGAAACATCTCATCTTTATTGGCTGCCATGCACTGCTCTGTTGGTTCTCTCAGCCGTTTGTCGTGATTCGTCAACATTTCTCTCTACAAACTACCCACACACTTCGTATGGTAAGATTTCTTCGCCCCATCAATGTCCCATGGCTTTGGAATCTATGGTGTGGGTGTCTGTTGCCGTGCGATTGGATGAGACAGGGGAGGTATATATTTTCGGCGCTACCCAGGTGTCTCGTATCTGGTCAAGCTCCTAGCGAACAACGTAGCTCTTATCCTGCCTAGTATTAAGGTTAATGAGAGGGCCCAAACCGATTGGCTATTTACGATCGGGGTTTGAGCCCGTTTGGGCTCGTCTTCCCTTGTCCTGGGGCAATTGTCCCCAATTTCGTAATAATACATTGTGAGAAGCCCGTTGGGGCTCCTCTTCCCTTTTCGTACTGGTAGGCTCTTAGTAATAGTACAAATTATGCCATTTTATGATAGTTCGCCTGTATAATATAAACTCTAGAATAGTACGCAACGCAGACTAGTTCCTATTTTAGTGCTTTGTAATAGTACGACCTTTAGAATAGTACAGATATTGTACTAATCCCCATGCCGCAACTTTATAATAGTATGCCTCTCGTACTAGCCCTAATTCTACTGAATTATACTGGTATGCGAGTTGTACCAATTCTATAACGCCAGCTTTGGAATAGTATGCATCTTGTACTAGCCCTAATTCTGCCAAATTTGTACCAATCCCTATGGCGCCAGCTTTAGAATAGTACGGCATCTTGTATGTTGTACTCTAATCTTTAGTAGTAAGGGTCCAGGCCAGAATAGTGTTCTGAAATCAAATTTTACAAATAAATGGAGAGGTCTATTTCTAGTGGCCGCTAAGCAGAGTTTTTAACTCAATACCACGCTAGCCACCGCTCTCCTCCACTACATCACGGCAGGCCTCATCGAAGGCCTGCCGAGGCCTTATAGAGCATCTTTTTACCCACTCGCCGTCCCTTAAATAGTTGCCTCCTTAGGAGTGCGTTCGGGGGCTCTGCATACGAATAGCCCTATAAGCTGCGTGCCTTGCTTGCACTACGAGGTCCCACATCCATGCAATTAACAGTGAGTGCGCACTTCAGTGCTCACCATTCAAAGCAACACATTTCCAGTATCTTACAGCCTTCAAAGATCGTACAGTCTCAAATGATTAACACTACGTGGAGTGCACGGCTCTCCCTGCTCCCCTTTCCCATCCGAAAACGTCCTCTATCCATCCACATTTCCTGCCAAATCCCATTTCTGCAGTGCTGTACGATCCATCCATTCCCGCCAGTTTTTGTCGTTAATAGGCTTGTGGATTCTCAAATATTCCCAATAATCCGGATACCAACCGGCAAACTCCCAATTAATAAGCCCAGTAATTTTGTAAGTGTAGTAGTCGACTATAATGTTTTGTAGTGCTATATCGCCGTGCGTAAAGACAGAGCTCTAAGAGTAAGGAAGTATAGTAAGTATCTCCTCTTTAGTATATCTTCGGCTATAGAAATGGTAGTAGCGTTTAAATATCCAAGCTTGAACGGCAGCATTATTAATAAGAGGCCGAGGAGGAGATTCTAGATCCTTAATATACACGTTCTGGCTGCAAGATCCGTCGGCTAAGCAAAGGAAGAAGTTGTTAAACTCTGGCGGTTTTAGAATCTGGCGAATCTTTCTAATTAGGCTCCAAATATCGTGATAGAGTCGCTCCTTTGTTTTCTTATTAAGAGTATCCCAGAGGTCCTTTAGAGTTAATCCTGGACTAAGACTTATAAATAGGTCGCCATCTAACTTAGAGTAGTGAGAATATAACACCTTAGGGACTGGAACATCAGACAGTTTGCCCACAAGCCTTAGAGCAGCCTCTTCCCGGGGCAGTACTCTACTGCCAGATTTTGCAATCGCGTCATCGTTAAGTCGTGTTATGCGAGCCCCCATTTGGAGTATCACACTCGGGGGTCCATCTGGACCCCATTCCGGGAGTGGTGCCGCTGGATGCCTTGGTTCTGGCCTTGCTAAATGATCTTCGGGAGTGGTGTCCATTGCAGAAGGAAAGAGGAGGCAAGTGTGGTAGGGCAGAGCGCCTGTAGTATAGCGATTTGGGTAGTAACCGTGCTAGCTGTCGTCGTCTGAGTAGTAATTGTCACGAAGATAATTAGATTATCAAGTCGAGAATGATGTGGGGCGTGGTGCACAATGCTGGGGGGTTCTTTAAGGGCGCTGCTAAATGTACACCCTATATTTACTCGGTGTACACCCCTTTTCTACTCCGTATACACCCTTCTTACGTCTAATCTTCTAATTGGTCCGGAGGGCTCGGAGGAAGCTCCGGCGCTTAATTCTCACGCGCATCTATATGAAATGGGAAGGCTGTACAGCCTTACTATTTTATTGTGCATTCTTACCGTTTCCGTGAGGCTATATATATAGGCCAGCTACACGTAAGGCCTCACGTGAGGCCGTACGTAAGGCCGTACGTGAGGCCGTACGTGAGGCCGTACGTAAGGCCGTACGTGAGGCTACTTATGGCAAGGCTGTGCAGTATACCCGTTTTACTATGCATACTTCCCGTTTCCTACAGTGTATATAGGCCGTTGTATTGCTACCTACGTGCCTACGTGCCTATAAGCATGCCAAAACAGTTAAATCCTCACCTTATTACGGCCTCTCTGCATTAAACCTGGCCCCCCTACATTGCCGCCGCGCCTTCCTGGCTATCCTGATCCATCAACCCCTCTATATACTGCTCGTATAATGCTATCTAATATTGGAGCTCCTCATAAGGAAGCAGCGCTGGCGCTGCCTGAGGCTGAGGAGCTAGCTAAGGCTGAGGAGCTGGCTAAGGCTCAGGATAAGCGCTATTATGACGCTGCGCAGCCCCTTTCCGTGGTGCTGCCTTCTTCCTAGGTGCCTTATCCTTTGCACCAGGCGGCCGGCTATACTTCTTAGGTGCAGCAGTAGATGCAGTAGTAGGTGCGGGCGTAGGTGCGGCAGTAGGGGGGGGCCTAGGTATTACTGCATGCTCAAACTCGGGCGGATTAGTAAGCAAATCGTTGAATTCCGTGATAGCTAGTGTAGCGGCCGACTGAGGAGCACTCTAAGCAACAGGAGCTGGACGGGGGGCTACAAAAATAGGCGGTCCTGGCGGTGGAACTGTCGGCGTGCGTTCTGTAGGTATACCTGTAGGTCTAGCTGCCGC